TATTCCAATTAAAAAATTGCAATCTACCTTGAAGATGGTATAAATTGAAATGGTCCGTGCATCACGTAATGTCCTTCGCCTAACGCCAGGCTAACGGCAAAACGTTTATTTTATTTTTTTCTAAATAACTTCGCAGCCACTGGTCGTATTAACTTAGAACATATATTATTTAAAAGCCTTAATTAAGACGGTTCTAACGGTCTTAGATGTACGTTAATATAAGTCCCGGATTAGAAGTTATGATAGATCTTTTAATAAAAGTTAAAGGAAGTTAGTTGGAAAGCTTAGACCAGCGGCCTTTAACCGTTAATTTCTTATGTACTAGGGTGTGGATAAGTTCCAATAGTAATTTTATAAGGTGCGAATAATAAAACTTTAATTTAAATTTAAATTTAATCCCGGATTTAAAGTTAAAGTTAAAGCTGGATTTTGTTTAATTTAGTTATTTGAGGTAAATAAATTATTTAATTTATTTAAGTTAATTTGTTTATTTATATTAAGGGTTAAAATAATAACGGTTACCTTAATTTTTAAAGTGTTTTAATTTGATTTTATAAGTTGTTATTTATAAGTTTTCAAAACTTTATTTTAATTATTTTCTTTAAAAGATTATTTTAAATTGGTATTACTTATATTTTTCATATTTTATTATAGTTTTTTTTAATAATTAAGGTTTTTTATAAAGATAAATGTTATAAGATATTTCGTATTTATGTTTATAACCTTATTTTTTATTAATGTAAGAAATTTTTTTACATTAATAACTTTTTTAAGTTTTTTAATAAAAGTGTAATTAAGAGTTTATATACCGTGTTTAAAAAGATGGTTAATTATTTTTAATTTTAATATTTAATTTAATTTATCAAAATATTTTACTTTTTAACTATTAAAATTAACTTAATATTTTTTTAAAGGTTTTTATTATAAAAATTATCATTATATATTAAAAATATTTTCACATAATATATATTTAACGTTAAGGCATTTAACTTATTAATATTTTTTAAGTTTATTTTTTTACTATTATATTTATTTTTAATATATGTATTTTATATTAAGCGGCTATATTTTCGTTTAAGATTTAGCTTTAAAGTTAAGGTAATAGCTTTTTTCTTTTTTTTTTTAAAAGGGCTTATTATTTTAATGGTTACTTATATAAGTATAAAATAATAAATATATAAAGTTTATTATAATAAGTAAATATTAGATATAATAATAGTAAAAAGTTAGGTGTGGATGTTATGAAAAAATGGATAAATATTAATATAATTAAATTTATATTTATAAGTTTAAGTTTTTAAGAAAAACTTTTACAGGAAAAAAAACTTTATAAGTAGTAAAAAAAAGTGTAACCTAAAATAGTAGGTTTAAGCATAAAAAATACAATTACGGGTTAACAAAAAATTTTTTTTTTAATAATGTAATTATATATTAATGTGAGGTAATATAAGGTTAAAAGTTTACATAAAATGGATAATGTATAAATATTTAACTGTTAAAATATGACGTAATTATTTTAAAGGTTTATTCCTAATTATATTTTTTAAATAAATTAACTTAAATAAGTATTAATTTAAGTAAACTTTTAATTTGGATAAGTTTTTAGTTTAAGTAAAAAAATCGGCTAAATTTTATTAAAGTAAACGTTGTTTTATAGCTTAATAAAGGGATTATTAATCAAATCGTTTATATAAAGGGTTTTCTCGTGATATTCTCAGGTATTATTAATATAAATATATGCGACGTTTTAAATATTTATTAATAAATTTTAGTTTAATTTTTTCATATATAATAAATATAAACTTATAAATGCGGATATAATATAACGTTTTAAAATTTTTAAGTTAATATAAAATTCCTGTATTTATAATAGTTATAAATTTTGAAAAGTTTTAATTTAGAAATTTTAAATGGAATTTCTTATTTAAAATTTTTTAATTAAATCTAAAATTGCAAATTTTTATCTTTTTTTATCTTAATATTATTAACAATATTATTTAATATAAATCTTTTTATTATTTATGATTAATTTATTTTGTTAACTATTAATTAATATTAAAATAAATAAGGTAATTTTATAATTATAATAAGTTATAAATAAAAAATTAAAATTATAAATATAATTAAAATTATTAAATAAAATAAAAAAGATTAAAAATTCTTTTTTAATTAAAGTAAATTATAAAGATAAGCACAAGTTATGTGGGTCACATGACTATTCCCCACAATTCCCACATAAATAATAATAATAATAAATTAAAAAATCTTTTTTTAATATAAAACTAATAAAATAAAATCTTAATAAATAAAAAATAAATAAATAAAAAAAATAATAAAAAAAAATTATAAACTTTTTAAAAAATTTGTAAACTTTTTTATAACGATTAAAATTACTAATAAAATAAAGTCTTATTATCCGCACCTTATAAAATTACTATCGGAAACTTATTCGCACCTTAATACATTTAAAATTAACGTTTAAAGGTTATTAGTTTAAACTTTTTAATTAATTTTAATTAAAAGATTTAACATAATTTTCAATTAAAGATTTAAATTAAAATACATTTTAAACTATTTAAATTAGCTTAGTTAAACGGTTTAAATAATATATGTTTTAAATTAATACGATCGGTGGTTATAAAGTTATTTAAATTTAAAAATTAAAAAACACCTTAAAAATGGGATAAATTAAAGAGGTTTATGTATTATATAATGCCAGTTAACATTATATTAATAATAAAACGTTTATTTTACTTTTTTTTAAATAACTTTATAATTACCGGTTATATTAATTTAAAACATATATTATTTAAAAACCTTAATTAAGATAATTTTAATAATCTTAAATACACCTTAATTAAACTTTTAAGTTTAAAGTTATATTAAATCTATTAATAAAAGCTAGCTTAAAAGCTTGGACCAACGGCCTTTAAACGGTAATTTCTCATATATTAAAGTGTAAATAAGTTTTAATAATAATTTTATAAGGTGCGGATAATAAAACTCATAAAATAAAAACAAATTTAATAAAAATAAAATAAAATTATTAAATATCGTAAAAATAAATTAAATAAGCTTATATTAAAAAAGTTAATTAAGATTTAAAAATCTTAATAATTTAATTATATATTTAATTATTTTTAATAAAAAAAGCGTTTAAAAATATGTGATAAATAACTTTATTAATAATAAATATTTTAAATAATGCTTAAAACTTAAAAAATAAGTGTAATATTAAAACTTTAAATTTTAAAAATCGTATTTATTATAATATTAATAATTTTAATTAAATCGTAATAATTTTTAATTATAACGTATTAAACTTAAAATTAAATTAAACTTAAATTTAAACCACTTTAAAATAAAAGTTTTGTTATGTGCATTACCTATTTTTGCTATCGGGGCCTTAAATGCATTACCATTAAATATTATACATCTTATAAATCCATTAAATCTTAAAAGCTAGGGCTTATTTAAACCATTTATCCCATCCACTTAAATAACTTTTTAACCATATATCGCATTATAATATAACCGGATTTAATAAAAAGAGAATCTAATTTTTAATTAATTGATATAAGCCTTAAATTAAGGCGATACGTAGTCGCAAAGTTATTCAAGTAAATAAATAGCGGAATGGGAAACACGTGATCACCCTTAAAGCCACATTATAAACCCTTAACGCCCTTAAAACCCTTAGGCTTAAACTTTATTAATTAATTTTAACCTTAAATAACTTTTTAATTATATATCGCATTAAGATACCTCCGGGTTTAATTAAATGGTAATTTAATTACTAATTAATTAATATAAATCTTAAATTAAGGCGATATATAGTTAAAAAGTTATTACGGTAAATATATCGTAGAAAATCACGTAATATTGCTTAGTGTAACCTTAAAGGGCTTTAAAGGTTTTAAGCGGTTTTAAGGGTTTTAGCATAGTTTTAAAAGCTTTTAGTCTAGCCTTAAAAGCTTTTAATGTAGATTTAAAAATAATTACATGCCTCTCAAGCTGTGACCTGCTTATTTAAATAATTTTACAACTATATATCGCCTTAATTAAAAACTTATATTAATTAATTAGTAATTAGATTCTCTTTTAATTAAATCCAGTTACACGTTTGTGGCTATATGTTTCAAAAAGTTATTTAAATTAAATTAAGGTAGGCAATTAAGGGCGTTAAATTAAGCCCGGATTTCAAAATTTAAGGCATGTACTAATACCTAAAGATAATGCACCTAAGGCCCTAATAGCAAAAATAGGTAGTGCACATAGCAAAACTCTAAAATAATAATAATATTAAATTACTTTAAATAATTATTACGTTATTAAACATTTATTAAATTTAATATAATTTAATAATATAATATATTATCTTAATTTAAATATAAATATTATATTAAGAATTAAATGTATTAATTACGCGGTTTAAAATTTAATAATATATATATATACATAATAGGTTTTATGTAACTAAGCAGTATAAAAGTCGTATCTTAATAAATCGGCGTCGGATTTTTTTTTAAATTTTTATATTCGTATATTTTAATATAATAAACGCGTTTATAAAGTCTTATTTAATTTAAGGTAAGATTCGTGGCGTTATAAATTCTTTTAAATGGTTTGATATTATTATTATTTAATGTTATTTTAGGAAGGTTTTAAGAGGTTTTAAATATCCTAAGTAACTAAAAAATTAAGGTGGTTTATATTTAAGTTTGGTCCGGTTCCGGGTTTAATACGTTAAGCACGTATAAAAAAAAAGAAAAAAAAAGGACGCGGGGATAATAACAAAGCCATTTGTTATATGCCCTCGAACGTTTCTTCCGCTAGAATTAGCTAAATATATAATTAAATATAAGCTTCTTTAATCTACTGTCACAATACTTGACCAAAACTAACACGTTCATTTGGGCATGATATACCTAGATTAAGCTAAGCTAATCTAGAAAAGGAGCGTTCCAAGTGCGTGCGAGGGCATGTGACAAATGGGCCTGTCACATATTAACCCAAAGATATTTCATGCCCTCCCATACTTCTATTCCACTAGGTAAGATCTGGTTAGCTGGGAGCAAAAACCCATACGAAGTTGATCTTAACTCAACCCCCCATCCAAACTCCGTCCTAGCAGCATCCGTCATGTAATCTCTACCATTCCCACTCGACTGGTATAAGACGAGGCAGCCCGGTCCATAATCGAAGCTTGTGTTGTCTATGAGATATTCAGTTAGTTTTCAACCGACGGCAATGCTTTGTGGGGATCCCAGCATTATTCTCTTTTCAGTAACGAAGACTTACATGGCTGAGCAATTCTGGCGGCCGTTTCACCTGCTAAGCTTACTTGCTGGTCAATATTCGCTGGAAATTCGTCACAAGTATAACCGTACGACAGCAGGATGACCTGGGCATAACTATGCCAGTCGATATATAATTTGATGCCCTTGTCAGCAGCTAAGCTCTGGGCGAAGTCCATCAGTGCGGCACATTCCGGCGTGTCGCCCGGTTGGTAGCCCCGAAAGGACTCCGAGCCTGGGTCGGAGGAAGAACCGCCGCCTCCGAATCCGACAGACCAGTTCCGGTTGATGTCCGTTCCCACTTCAGTTGTGTTGTCCCTCGTTTGCCGATTTTTTCTCCAGAGGCGGTTATCTGTTTGGGAATAGACGAACCCTTGGATAGGGTGATTTAGTTGATACCTGAATTATCTATTTCCCGAGCGGGGAGTTATGCTTGTTACTTACCATCCGGGTTCACGACTGGTAAGACGTAGAAATCGAAGTCATCCAGTGCGGCCTGTACAGTGGTGTCGTTGCCATATCCAGTGACTATCTGATATAGGAGATACTCGACGACCTGATGGATATTTAGGTTAGTGAATCAATCAGACACCAGACACCTAGCGAGGCAGAGTGCTCGGATTTGACACACCATGGAAGTGATCCACTCCCGAGCATGAACGTTGCCATTGAAGAAAACTGCTGGTCTGGAGTCTTTGCCGTTCCTGCCCCAGAGGTGAATCCCCTGAATGGGCCTCCCCTCGAACGAGGATCCTACTTGGATGAGTTCCGAGTTGTTGGCAAACGACGCTTGGAGGTCAGCCCAGAATCGTATATGATCATCGTATGCGTGGTATGAATCAAACCAAGAAAGATCTGGGAAGCCCTCGTTGTCAAGACCTTGTCCATGTTAGTCAATATGGTATCACTTGGAAATAAGATGCAGTTTGCACACCTGGATACTTTCCCAAGGAGCCTTCAACCATGATGTCAACTCCCAAGTCTTCACTTAGGATAATAGAACTGAAGTTAGAGGCTTCAAAGGCCGCAAGATGCTCAGGTGGAACTGCGACATCAAGTGTTGGACTGCCATTGTCACCAATGCCGTGGGCAAGTTCAATGACAGACAGAGACTCGAGGCTTGACTTCAGATTAGTGCTTTGGCTGTTTGCGTCTATCCTATATACCTTGAATTTGTTGAACGAAACATCGTTGTTCTGGCTGGCATGGACATTGACACTGATGATGCTGGTAAACCAGACAATACTAAAGAGCTTCATCCTCACCATAGGCTGGGGGTGGACTACGTGGGCAAAGAAGACTTTCTGGGCAGAGTGAAAAGAAGAAATATCATTAGGTTAACTATCTAGCTAATATATATATATATATATATATATATAATATATAGTCTATAGCAGTCAATAATCGGGAAAGTCACCATAGAGATAAGTATGTGTAGTTGGGTTTGGAGCAATAATGCAACACAACGTCGTACGGGTTGGCAAAATTTGGTCGTCTCCTTCCTAAACTCATCCTCTATGAAGCTTGGCAACAATGAGGTGAGGATGATGCAAAATATCGACACTGTCAATACGAGAATAGGGACTGTTGTATGCGAACTTGAGATCCCAAGGAACATGAAAAAGGGGAAAATGACAGATACCTACCTATAGGTTAGGTAGTTACTTGTATATGGTATTATGCACTTACTAAAGTTATGTTATTACATATTACATTAGACTACACTTACTAACTTGATTATGTAATATGATGGAATTGCGTAAAGTTATGGAAAGGAGGGGCTATGAGAGAGTAGTTATAGGCTAAAATAAGTAGGCCAATTCATCAGCGAATCAGGCACTTTGGCGGAGTGGTTAACGCGATGCCCTGCTATTAATGCGATAGTCCAGGCATTCCCTTCGGGGGCGTGTGTTCGAATCACACAGGTGTCGAATTTTTTGGTCAACTACGTATTTAACCCTAACAAGCTTGATTCAATGTATTTTTTATCTTTTTTGTAACGTGATATCTTCATGTACGTACATCTTGGCGTATTTAGTACAAAACGAAACGCTGTGTCATCTACAGTAAGATATACATACGTACCGACGCGCTTATCAAGCTGAACTAGACCGTTTTCAAGACTATAAAATGCAGTATTGAATTTGAATTACTACATTATTATTTGATCTTTAGATAAAAAAGCTTATGACGGTATAATAAATGTAAACAGAGAAAAATAAGCTTGTCCATTATACCCGTCCACTTCATAGCTTTACCCTTTGGTGATTGCGCTTACTAGTGCCAACCTGTACCTTACCGGCGTGTTTCCCCGTATCCGGGTCTGCGGTCTGGGCCCTGGAGCGACGGCGATTTTCCTTTTTCACGGCATCCGCCAGTGGATTCTTGTCGTATCCTTTCAACCCTTCCAAAGACTTGCCTCTTTTTCTAACTTCTTCGAGAGATAGAGGTCCGGCCATGTCATCACGGTCTCTATATCTATTAGACATGCTATCTGCCACCACGCCAAGGGCAGTCCAACTCAGGCGCGCCCTCCGCGTCCTGAGTCGCTCATTATTAACGCTTTGAGCCAAAGCTGCTAGCTCGCGTATCTCACTTAGCTCACGATCAATTTTGCATGTCTGGCCGAGCACACCGGCCCGGGAATCGCCGTTGGGTAGGAGCGCGTCAAGATAATCGTTAAAAGTATAGTGACAACGTTTAGGAAGGAAGCGGCCTCTCTTCGAGGCGAGTTTACCGCTGTGGATGGTATATAAACCACCTACGAGGCGACCCTCTACTCTTTGGCGAACCCCTAAAAGAACACCGATTTGCGCGAAGGGGTCATCGGCAAATGCAAAATGGGTAACAGTGGGATAGGGCGAATTTGGGTTGACTTCGGTCTGCTGATACACACTATTTCCTAGAGGCAAGGTCATCTCCATCGAAGCGGCGCCAAAGGTGAAGACGTGAAGCTTGCTCAGTCGATCACCAGGAGGTAAATCGGCGCAAAGGCGGGCGAGTAGCCAGGAGACGTCCAAAGCACCCGTATTGTGCGCGAGGATGCGCACGCCCGTTGTCTCCGGTTTTAGAAGACTAGCTCTTACGGAATTATAAAGAGCAACCGATCTTGCCGTGGGGATGTAGAGGTTCCGTTGGAGAAGCATGTGGATAATGCCTCGTAAAAACCCAAATCTACTGGAACCAAATACACGCATATCATGCCCAAAGATTCTCGTGAGTTTCGGTAAAAGCTCTCGATATAACTGTTCATCGCGCAAAAAACCGCCAACAACGTACCAATCCAAGGCCTGCTCGTTGCTGACCGGAATGCCCTCTTCCACCTTATCCGCAGCAAACGTATATGGCCGAGGTACGTCTTGAAAACCACTAAGAAACCAGATGAAGGCTATCTGCAAACTTAGCCAGGGTACGAGGACCAATCCTGGAAGTACTAGCCAGAGTAGAGAGAGCGAGAGAATAAGCTGTAGCTCGAGGAGTGAAATCAGAATATAGAAGAATATGTCCCGTAACTCAGCCCAGCTTGCTTCGCGTCGACGTTGGATTATGGAGGACGTGACGGCGGAGAGGATGCGCGGGATGGCAGCGACAACATAAGACGCGTCTGCTTTGATGAGAGACATGGTGGGTTGCTGATGGCTCAATGGGATCGTCCCCAGCGCGCCATCCTTGAGTGGCAACGTAAAGCTCAATGACATGGGTTCTGCGCAATAGGGCTGTGGGCGATCTTGCTGGAGGCCATAGTATGGAGTAAGATACGAAGTTGCCATCTATCATATTGCGCAACATGGACGATGAGCTTTCATACGATTTATCTTGTAGAAGCCTAGAACAAGAGGATTTTTGGGTCAACAAATATGAACAAGCCATGGCTAATGTTGTTATCGGACGTCATTTGGGAGAACAATCCAGACAGCACAAGCCAACATTCCAGAGCGCGAGCTCGTGTTTTTAAGGGCTTGTATTTTGAGCAAAGCAAGCGCCAGCAGTGCCCAGCATGCCATTAAAGCATTACATAGATTATGGATCTGTAATTAGTAATAGCTGAGGTTTCTGACTTTACCTTAATAATACCTACTACTTATTGGGTATTTTTTAGTTATTGGCTGAGCCAAGTGTAGTGTATGAGTGTATAGGTTAGTTGAATGAGCGAGGACACGAGGATATCTCCTGAGACAAGAAGAGCTTGTGTCAAAAAGGATCAATCATCTCAATCATCCTGCAACCGTGGCCCTTTTGCCAATGGCAAATAACTAACCAACACATACTAACCGGTTGCCAAGTACAGCTACCTATCGCCAAAGCCCGGAGTGTGGTTCCCGATTCTCTCGGGGAGTTGCAGTTTCTACTGGATTCGATAATGGACGGAGACAAGCATGAGGGAGACAATGGACGGATACCATCGGGACGGGATGCGTATCTAGTAATGTATCTCGAACACATCGAGTGCTACTGTATTATTGTCTGGGAGGATCTAGAATTGTAAATGACGGAGGAAGAAGAGGAAGAGGTAGAAAAGGAAGAAAAAAGAAAGCTTGGAAGATAGTGATTAAATTAAGTTTGTGCTATTTCAGGATCTGGGCATCGAGTTTAGCCTACGGTTGAAGTGCTGGACTGGACTGTTCAATGTTTGTTTTAGGGAGTTTTAGTGGTTGATCCCAGTTACCCTTGCCCTTGCAGCGGGGGGTAAAGAAGTATTCCGGGTCAAGTCTAGGGCTACAATACCTAAAATTAGCATATTCCACCTGTTAACTTTATTACCTGTCAACCTATTCTAGCCTTTCTAATAAGTTATTGTACATACTAGTATTGTACATACCTACTAGGTACATAGTATTTACGCACATGTCCGTCCGTGTGTGGTCTGAGACATGTCGTGATTGCTCTTCTCTCATGTATCATGGTGATACTATCGTGCGTGCCTCTTACTCTAAATGCTACCTATACTTCCTATACTTCACTTACCTATCAACTTACCTACCTAGTAAATGGTAAATGGGAAAAGGGGTCAAGGCAGGTAGGCAGGTAGGCATGTAGGCAGGCAAGTCTTTCGAGACGTGGTTGCCAACCACGGAGATCAGCATCACTCGATTCCCATCTCCCATCCCCCCATCTTCCCGTCAGCCCGTCCCTCTTATCTTCTTTCTTCTTCTTCCCCTTTTCTTCACTACTTCGATAGAACATAAATTAACCCAATTCCTCCCTTCATCGATTCCTAAGTTCGCCTCCCATCCTCACCAACATCTTCCACATCCTTCACATCCTCAATATCCAAGTTGTCAAGTGAAGCAAAACAAAACAAAACAAAACAAAACAATACGACACTAAGAAGGACACTCAAGTCCACCCTAGTAGTTCTTGCTTGATCGCTCTTCGTCATACCATCTGTATCTACTCCTTGACGAACATAATCTGTACCAACCAACCCAAACTCATCATGAAGTGGTCCCTCAACCTTCTACCTTTAGGCCTCCTTACATCATTCACCTTTGCTGCGCCCGTTGCCGAACGGCAACTTGACCTCTACCAGTTTCAGATCTCCTGGTAAATCTCTATCCCCTATCCCCTACTACCCACAACTACCATATCTAACGGCTTTGGTAGCCCAGCAAACAAGAATGTCGATGGTCGATTCCTCTCGATAAGCAACGCTACCTTGGGCGTCTTCGATGAGGCCACTGTCGACCCCGTAAGAGTCTATGCTACCGAAAGCGAGAGAAATGGCTGCAGCGAGCTACACACGTACCCCGTGGGCATCGTCGACCACTCCATCGGCCTCGTCGGCCAGCCTAGCTTGCTGACTCTCGTGGATATGGTGAACCCTCGTGAGGCTGAGCCAAACGTAGGAGATGTTACCCTCTTTAACACTTTCCGCCTCACGGATGGAAAGCTCACCAATGATATTGAGGGCCAATGGATGGCCTTCCCCGGCTCCGGCAACAGTTGGAAGGTAAAATGGTCTGACGGTAAGTGCTCAAGGACCCCCCCCCCCCCCCCCCCCCCCCCCCCTTTTTCTTTTCTTTTTTTAAATTTCGGGCCTGTATTGAGCATGATGATCGATAAACTAACTGTCCCAGGTTCTGCTGTTATTACTGCAGACTTCATGATGGTTGATATTCTGTACAAGAGCGCCGGTGAGGGTCGCTACAATGGAGACTGAAAAAGCAACTCACGCTAAAAGTTGATTTAAAAGGGGGGAGGGGAAAAGATTAACGGCTAGGTGCTTAAGTATTTACCTATGATGCCTAAAATGGTCACTTTTACTGGGTTTTCTTGATACCTACTTCAGTCTAATTGCGCCCATGCGAAAAATAAAAGTTTAGTATTTGCTTATATACGTCTACCTCTAGGTCTATTTGGCATTTGCCTCTGCCGATGACATAGTACTTGTAACTGTCCTATTAATAGGACTCATGTCACAACGCCCCCCTTTTCTCTTGGCATTGTATGCAGCAAAATAGGGCTGAGCTGCAGGGATTTTGATTCGCTGGCTCGGACATGTTCCCCATATCTATAATGCTGTTGCCTGCCATACGACCCCCTATTATACCTACTTATGTACATACATCGTGCCTATGCAGTATGTAGGACATTGTAGGTAGGTTACACTTCATTATTTTTCAACAGCAGAATATACCCTCGCAAGTCATAGTATCAAGCGGAGACACCTCTACGTTTTCACAGGTTTCATCGGATCAAACACCCACAAATTCCCTTTTCATCCCGGCACAGGTGCTCAGCAGGGGGGGTTACTGTTGGTGATGGTCCGGAAGGGTAGCTCTAAAGTGAGGACGGGTTGTGTAACGTGCAAGTGTGTTGACCTGGCCACTGCTGCGATATCGCCTTTGAGTGCACCTACGTATAAGAAATATTAACGCTTTCAGGATCCGAAAGGTGAAATGCGACGAAGGGAAGCCGCACTGTGAGCGCTGTGTGTCTACTGGCCGCAAATGCGATGGATACGCGCCGGTTACTACGACCCCCTCCACCCTATCGTGGCATCGCCCGCGTAATATGTTTCCCAACGTTGATGACGCTAGAGAAAGGCGGGCTTTGGAGTTCTTCTGCCGGGCTGCCGGGCCCTCTTTATCGGGGCCCATGGATCCTTACTTCTGGACTCACCTGGTGATGCAGTTTAGCGGTTTCGAGCCAGCGGTCAGGCACTCAATTGTTTCCATCAGCTCTCTCTACGAGCAAGTGCGCGCTGCCCCAGAATCGATACTGCGGTTGGCCGACAACAGGCTGGCACTCAGCCATTATAACTTGGCGATCCGGGAACTCAAGTCAATGAATAATGAGCCCCTGGTGTTGATGGTATGTATTTTATTTATATGTATAGAGATTCTGCTAGGAAACAGGGAAGCTGCTATTCAGCACTGTAAGCACGGGGTTGTCATCCTGGAGAACGTTGAAGCATCTTACCCCTGGACGAAAAAGTACCTGTCCCCGATCTTTCGACGCCTCACGCTTTTCCCCTTCTTCTTTGGTTCAGGTAGCGCTAGCTTCCCCAAGCTCCTTGGATTGGACGATCAGATGCCGGCCTCGTTTTCCTCCATGGAGGAAGCGCAGTATTACCTAGACGGCATCGTGACTAGAACTGTTGGTCTGGTCCGGCAAGGTGATTCCTATCGTCTTGGGAATTTGCGCTCTAAACCCGTACCATCAGAGCTTCTTTCACAGCAAGACACGATTAGAAGTGCGTTGAATCAATGGCAATCCCGCTTTGCGGATTTTCAGAATGAGGCTCCTTCCCGTCCGAGGCCAGATGAGATGCTTTGCAACACTCTTCTACGATATGAGATCGCCCAGATTTGGGTAGAGACTGCATTCGAGTACGACGAGACGGCATACGATCGGTATCTCGATAGGTTCCGCTGGATGGTTTCCGAAGCGGCTAATATTTACTTGTCAAGGATATCTGAGGGCGATACAACATTGCAGGAAACACCAAAATTCATCTTTGAAATGGGGTTTATACCACTACTTTACTACGTTGTTATCAAGTGCCGATGTCTGGAAACCAGAATTCAAGCGCTTTCGTTAATGAAAATGCTGGGGGTTGTTAGAGAGAACCTCTGGGAACTCTCGTCAATGCATGCGGCTGGCCGACGTGTCATCGAAATAGAACACGCAGTATTACTAGATAAGCAGGGCCAGATCTCGACGATGCCTGGCTGGCCGGGCCTCCCCCCTGACGAGATGAGGGTCCGAGATTCTACCACCAGCCCTCGACCGTTCGTGAATATTGATGAACAAGGTCAAGAAACTCGGGGGCGGATGGCGGGTTTCTTTAGGCGGACTATCGACGGGAATATCTATCTTCAGTCCGAAGTTATTCTTGAGACGTAGCGATGATATTTGAAGTAATAAAAGATGCATAACACTAAACCCGAAACATAGGGATAAGGGGCTTTAGCCACAATAATCCTCTGGTTCCTGTTTGGTACTTAGTAGGCGAATAAAATGCTTACTTGCCTACAGAATTTTCCTATTATATACCTGCGGTCTCAGTTACATGTTTGACTGCTGCTCAGTCGTACTAGGACATGTGCGGCTACCCGGGGGCGGAGCCAAATACCATGTTTCTAGTCATCCTTTGGTCGTTGATTGGCTAGTTCGGATTATGGAACTCAGCCCACGATACCATTCGTTAACCTCAGCTAGAAAAGGAGGAAAGAAGGCTGCAGCTAGAGATGATAAAACGACGTTGGAGTCCAGTATGTCTTAAGTTGGTGAATCTTAAACTCATCGACGCACAATACCTCGACCTGCCATCCAACGTATTCTCCCTCCAACCCACCCACACCAGCAATGACAATGGCGATGCCAACTCCAACACCGACGTCTGAGACCTTAATCAATTATTTTCATGGGGTGGTCAGACAAGCGACGGCAGTGGTGACGAACACCCCAACGGCTACTGGCGTAGATTTCATGACGACTCAGCATATCACCATCGAAGGATTCACTAACGGCCATGCCACAATACCTGCCAAGACGATTGACATCGTTCTACCAACATGTATCCAGAACATAGAGCCGGATGCCAATGGTCATCTGCCTCCAGGGACATGCCATGCCCTTTGGAACTACTATCCAAGCTTCTCCGCCGCATTAGCATTTACTGTTATTTTCGGGATACTGACACTGGCTCACTTATACCAAGCCATAGCCTATCGAAAGGTGGGTTATAGCCCTCTACTCTACCTCGTTATTTCTGAAGATGAACGTACCTACCAATGTATCTATACTGATATGTGAGAGACAGAAATTCTGTTGGGTCATCGTCATGGCGAGTTTTTGGGAAACGTTGGCGTATTTATTCCGATCCGTCAGCACCCGCTACCAACAGAATACCGGCGTATACTTGATTTTTCAGATCTTCGTCCTGCTGTCACCCCTGTGTAAGTATCCGCCGTCGTTGGAAATCAGAAGGATGAATACCTAAAAAACCCCTGCGCGTCTAACAACCGTGACTATAGGGGTAAACGCCTTCGATTACATGGTTCTGGGGCGGATGATCTACTTCTTCGCCCCCTCGCACAAAGTGTTCAACATAGCAGCACCAATTTTGGCAGCGGCTTTTGTCGCCTTTGGTAAGACTTGCTTTGCATGCCAACCGTGTTGGGGACAGTTCTTAGCTAACAACTGGGCCTTTTCTTTCCCAAAGACTTCGTCGCATTCATAATACAACTCGTCGGCGGCTCGATGGCAGGCCCGACAGCGCCAGCAGAGGAACAGTTGAAGGCCATCCACATTTACATGGGCGGTATGGGCCTACAACAGTTTTTCATCGTTGTATTTGTGGCATTTGCCGTCAAATTCCAGCTGGATATGCGGAAGGTGAAAACTACTCGAGAGACAAGTAGCGATTGGCGATCTGACTGGCATCCCTTGCTATTTACGCTATATGCATCATTGACATGCATCACAGTAAGTGGCTGATAAACATTGTCTTTGATTTCATTGCTGACAAGTTCATACAGATTCGGATCATATTCAGACTGGTCGAATTTTCGTCTGGATCAACTGGCGTATCAAACCCCTTACTGACCAACGAAGCGTATTTCTACGGACTCGAGGCCACGCCCATGTTGTTAGCCATTGCTGCCTTCAACATCATCCATCCAGGCTTGATACTGGTGGGCGCGGAATCCGAGATGCCTGGATTCTTTGCCATCTGTAAGGGCCTCTTCCGGAAGCGAAAGGAGAGCGGAAAGCTTGACGAATCTGATCAGGAGGAGGTGGAATTCATGCGGGCGTAGTGTTAAGGTACATGTAGGTATGTGTGGACTAATATTGGTCTCTTAATGACTCCCTTGATGTGGAGGGCGTATCGTTGGGGGCGTTTTATAGGATCTTGGCTTTTAACTATGCGACAAATTTTACTTGGACTTGTTGCTGCTAGTTGATCATATCCTTCTTGGACCACTCAGAAGAGATGGGGTTCTGATATTTATAATGCAACAACAACTATCTTTCCCTCTATCGTAGCCGTATAAGGAAGGACTCACATAGTTAACCCGGATGGCGTCCTGCGGTGCGTTGTTACGGTTCTTGTGCCGGAATCCCCCAACCACTCACCCGTGGATAAGACAAGTCCTTTCCTTGCAGCAACCCCTCATTACCAGCACTGCCAGCACCTAGTCCCGACCTACATATGTACCTAAAGTCGTGATACCCACCTAGCCCTTCCTAAATATCCGCGTCGTTTTAAATAAAGCTCGAACATCTCGCTCGTATTAAGGGGTCGAATTCGAACTAGTTTTCTACGGAAGTGCAATAAAGTCTTGTCACATCAAGACTTACTTACTTTGCCAAAAATGACATCCCCCAAGGAAGAGACAAAGCCGCAGGCTACTTCATCTGCGCAGCTTGCCACCGACCTTCCCAACCCTACTACATATTTAACAGGCCACAACAAAGAAGGGAAGGCTATAGTGCACTCAGTCCGACCGGCATCATGGACGTCATTTGAAGGTGGAATTAGTACGTCTTTTTTCATGTTTGCCCTCTTTTCTTGGACTGAAATCAGATCCTAGACTGCCAACACAATTATATTTACCTATGATTAGTATATTAACCTTTCCAATTGCAGTGGGCTTCAACCAGATCTTCACCAACAAGTTTCCGGCAGACTTGAACGAGGACGCCGATGTTCAATTCCACGACGAGATAATTGCAAGTGGCAACCTAGGGCTAGCTTCCAAAAACGGAACGGTATGCCGGATGGTAGACTTCGGACCGCAATATCAGTGCATGATGCACAGGACCAAGTCGTTGGACTTTGGCATATTGGTCGAAGGCGAGGTCGAAATGATTTTGGACGATGGTAGTGTGACTAAGATGGCGCGCGGGGATGTAGCAGTTCAACGAGCTACCATGCACGCGTGGCGCAACCCGAGTACAACGAATTGGGCGCGTATGATCTTTGTTCTGCAGGACACGAAGCCCCTATTCATCAACGGAAAGGAGTTTGGGGAGGACCTCGGAGTAGGCACTGAGGGCGTCAAGCCGAGCCATAACGATTAGAATTGATCGTTATTCTTACTTACTTGACTGTCAAGAAAAGAGATTCAAGTAACTTAGGCAGTAAAATCAAATATATCTTTCTTTATAATTAATTATTGTTTTCTTCCTCGTTTACTACCTGTTAACAAGCAGGTTGCTTAGGTGAAGGAGAGGAGGTACTACATAGGTATGGTAGGTATTGATAGTAATACTGTAAGAGTTTATTTTATTTTAATTAACTAACCTTAGTACCTTATGTACTTACTGTGATGTCATTGGCCAATTCAGGGTAGTTACAAAGTATAGAGACGTTATGTAATTAACTAGGTTACCACTAACTACACAGTACTAAATCTAATGCGTTTATCGAATCACCAGAAACTCCAAAAATTTATCACTAGCGATTTTCGGATAATTCTCGATTTCCAAATTATAGTTGATACTTTCAATTTACATATACTTGCAGTAAAATGGTCATGACCGACATCCCTATTTTACTTCCACGCGCCTTATGAGATTGTCCCACTTACTATACATCTATATCTAGGTGTACCTATTGTACCTATACCTTAGGTACCTTATTCATCCCAACTACACACACACACACACACACGCACGCACACACACGCACACATCATACCACATCCGGCCATGGCGATCGATTACAGCCCCCGGAGCGTCGCCGACGCCACGCGATTTACCTCCAATACCCCCCATGCGAATGCGAAGCCCACCAACCCACCCTCTTCCGCCACATCCTCCGCATCGCGACCCCCCCAGCAGAGCCGGATGCCGCCCCCGGGCATGCCCCGACCGTCCGCGCCCGAGACCGTTACGGAGAGGGTGCGCCGTCTGCGGGCCGCCCATCTCGCTGCGAAGAAGCATGAGATATCGCGCTTTGACAACATCGTTAGCTCTTCGAGGAGATACTTTGATGCTGCGCACAAATTTACTGTCATGGGCTTGATCGGATTCAGCGGTACGCTTTCTTTCCCTCCTTGCAACCCCTCTTTTTGTCCTCTCCTTGTCTCTTCTTCCTCTTCTCATATACTCCTTTAACCTCAAATCTTACCTTCCCCTAACTAACTCCCCCCGTTCCCGCACCACAGGTCTCGCCCTCTTCGTCACCATATACGCCACAGCCGACATGATGATCTACAACCGCAAGCGCCGGAACGAGTTCTTCGCCATACAGAAGCAGCTCAAGGCCGACAGTCTGGCGTCCGCGCGCCTGGCCTACATGACCGGCACCGCATCCGAGGACCAGATCACCATGGTGGAGGAAGCCGAGGCAAAAGCGCGAGAGTCGGGCATCGGCCTGCCGCCCTTGCTCTCCACCCCTAAACATATGGCGACTGCCGCAGGTACAGAGGCGACGGCGCAGCCGGTGGACACCGTCGGGAAAACGGTCTGGCCCGGCGAGGCCCTAGTCGAGAGCAGCATGTCCGGAGCCAAGGAGGTAGAGCAGCCACAGAAAAAGGGCGTGGCGGCATGGCTGTTTGGGGGGTTGAAGAAGGAGGAAGTAGCACCCGAGGAGTCCGCAGACGTCCTCGAAGACGCCGCGACGGCAGCGGGGTCCAGTTCGCTTTCGCGGTCAAGTATTGCCAGAGTGGCTGATGAGTCGCAGCAGGCGCTCAAGGGCAAGGCGAAGGCAGCTTTCGAGCAGGAGCGGGAGAACCAAAGGAATGGGGGTCCTCTGGACCGGGTCGGGTTAGACGAGAAGCCTACTAGTGGCGAGAGCAAGAAATCGGGCTGGTGGTAAGGTTGAAGGCAGGTAGGTAGTAGGTAGGTAATGAGTGATGAAGCTACGACGAAGCTCCTCTTGACTTGAAAGATAGGGGTCAAGGAATGGGAGATTGGAGAGGGCGACTCGCTGCCTCAACAGGCTAACCAGTTGACCTCAGCACACACATCAAACACACGTACTTATATTCAGGGGTCAGTCATAACCAAGTTCAACACTGATATCTATGAACTTGGGAATGGCATACTTGTAGACAGAAAGATTGCTGCTGTATTATAGCCATGGTGGGAAGGTCGGAGCATTCAACTGACGTATGAGGCCACCAGCTACGTCGTCACCCAACTTAGGTACCCAAAAAAAGAAAAGTTCATGTGCCCAGAGGGATAAGAATTTTCTTCCGTTTCTTTCTTCTGACTATTCCATCTCTGTTTGACCCTATAATAAAGTGCTAGTATTATAGTGTAACGCTCCAGTACGCGGAAACGCCCTCGATTAGAGATTAGGTTATCCTCTCATCTTCCAACGCCAACGACAATGCCTTCCCAATGTTCCAGCAGAGAAGAAAAACAGTATAAAAAAAGTGTCAAGTCGACGCGACGGGAATTTCAGGTAGCAAATCCCTAACTAGATAACTCCCCTTTAATCTTTTCTCTTTTTTTTTTTAAAAAAAACCCCCCTTCCAGTAAATGCAAATATCCACTCCAAGAACCAAGGAGCCAGCAGACCGATGCGATAATGACCGTGTTTTGGGTATAATTGTAGTGAACGAATACGGGTATGCGAATGTCTAATAGCAAACAATACACCAGAGCGGCCCCAGATACTATATTGTTAAAAAAAGAAGAAAAAAAGAGAAAAAAGAGAAAACCGAAATTCCTGCTCTGTCAGTATAAGACCTGGCTTGGGCTCAGGTAAGAAACGCCGTTATATGCAAGTAAAATGAAATACTTCGTGGTGTAGCCCCCCGGACGAATTAGGAGACCTTTTGATTATATTGTTATGACAAAGTTAAGTGTCAAGTACATCCTAGGGGACTCGAAAATGCCCTATAGTTCGACAAGAGCGAAAATTCGCATAGCGAACACCATCAAGGGGACAAGGAGGGGAGGGCAAGAACTATCTCCAAGTTCATGCCCTCAGGACATCTACTATATCCTGCTCGTCTTCCGACTGGGGCCTGCATTTCCTTAACTGTTCCAAGGAGAAGTTTACGCCACGCTCTCATCCTCGCTAGAGCTTGGTTGGGATACTCGCGAAGTTACTTGGTTGCCTGGTTGCCCTGGACTTAAAAAATACCTAGCCCAGTCTTAAGTCGAAAGTGCACTACACCCCTTTTATACTCCTTGTTCTAGGATATGATAATGTGATTGAAATGACCTGGAATCTTCATACGGCACTTCTCGCAGTCGGCTCGGTAACCTATACTGAACGACTTCTTCATACCGGGTTGGATCGTCCATGTATTAAGGGTGTGTTTGCTACGCGAATGGCCAAACTTGCCTCTTGGCGATGGCGTAGCAGGTGCTGAAGAGGGAGAGGAGTCAGGGTCGGCGTCCATCATTCCTGCGTCGGCATCGGTAACTGGGGGGATGGTTTGGATATTGGGATGGAGGGCCATAGCATGGGGGTTTGTGGAATGGGGCATGTGAGGCAAATATGGTCTCTGGTGAGACGCGGCGGAAACGCTCGAGTCCAACACCATTCCTGGGCTCGTTGGCATGTCTTCGCCACCACTTTCACTGATAGGGGACGGTAGACGTCGATTATGGACCATAGACCACTCGCCTCCTAAGGACCGGGGCACTGAAGATTCGTCGTGTCTCGTATGGAATGACTCGGCTTGGCCAAAGCCGGACCCGTTTCCCGGTATTGTATCGCCGCCCGTCTGATTCACCACGTGCATCGTCTCGTTAACCGGGCCCCAGTTATTTCCTCGCACTTGGGCTGCAAAAGTACAATGAATCGGGGTCGGCATTCGTCCTGCTAGGCTTGGGTCGTGCTGAGACGGAGGAGGTTGGAGATACTCGGACGAAGAATCCACCATCATATCTGTGTCCCTGTCCACGTCCATTGATGGGGTTGATTGCTGGTACTGGACCTCCTCCGAGTCAGAATCAGTGGGAGTAATAGTAGTGCTTGCTGGCGCCGTTGAGAAACCCGGGAGGTCTGACCATCGTTTTTGGGAGGGGGACGTGCGAAGAGGAAGAGACTGTAAACGTTTCTGATTATAGTGCAATGTTAGCTCGTGCCGTTTACAAAATAGTGCTGACGGGCGCTATATGAACTTGTTGTGATTCTGAGCATCGGTAAGACTCACGTTTCGATGTTCAGTGAAGCCTAGAGTTCCATTGGCAGTATCTCCCACGCCCTGGCCAATACACATTTCCTCCTCCTCGTCATCCCTTTGCCGCTTTCGTACCAGCTCCGGCCAGTGCGAGTCCAACATGTTCGTCATCGCGAGTACTGGTAAGCTCATGCGCAACTATCGAGGGTACTGGTGTTAAGAGAAATATAACGCCAATTGACAAATGACGAGAATGACAATGATGGGCGACGAATATGAGGAGGGGGTTAAAATGGTGGTGAGAGGTGGTGAGGTTAGCTGACTCGTATTATAGAAATACGGAAAAGTACGATAATCCAGGCAGGCTAGGACCTTCAGCCAGTCGGGGACGGGTCCAGCTTCCAGCAATCGATATTTGTAATTCGGTGGCCACAAGGTTGGGGTGTCAGGTTCTTGGGGCTTGGGCCTTAGGATTCTGGCGGGAAGGACGAGTTGGTTATAGGGTTGGGGGAAGGAAATATTTGGGAGATGGGGAATAGTAATAGGAATGGAAATGGGAATGGAACCTCGTCTATCCAGGTCCGTGGCTGGCGGGCTGGCGGGCTTGCCGGATTCTAAAATACCCTAGGTAGGTAACTAGTGTACCGTGCCTGCCCCAGGTTGTCGATCAGCCGCTTTATATGATTGATGCTCCTACTATGTATGTAATTATGTATTAGGATATATAAACGTTCAAGGGAACAGGAATGGAAGATGGCAAGTTATACACAGGTTGATAACTTATGTTTAATAGGTTGGTAGGTTGGTAGGGCCTGGGAAGGCGCAAGCTAAGAGACAGGTGACAGGGGGTTGGTAACGGAATATGGATGATGATGGAAGGATCCCTAAACTTAGTTACAATTACTATGTACAAGTACCAAAGTACTCGTTACGTACTACATGCCTAGGTTAGTACCTTCCAACTGACAGCCAAACGGACCGCACTTTACGAACTTTACCTGTATGTAGGGTACTATGCACATGTAAGGCCTCCCACTTCCCCGTCCTTGATCCAATGTTGTACCTGTTAAACTACATACATGTAACTACATGTCTAGAATATTAGAGTGCATAACTTGAAGTAAGCAGCAATGTTCCTTCCTTTGGTGGCTGAAAATCTTATATATCCAACATAAAGGAAAGTGCTAATCAAGTTGGAAATGTATATTTCCACGGAAGGAAAGAGCATGGATTCCATGGAAGAGTAGGTGTAGTGTAGTTATGTACAAAAGCACATGGGCTTCTTGTGGGGAACATACATGTAATTGCAAGGATACTCCCTTTGCGACGGATTACATAGTAGACTGGATACCAACAAAGTCCAGTGACTCCAGCCTTGTTAGATACCCTACCTACCTGTAATACGTAAGCCATCTAGGCCCATCTTATGCACGTATTTTGTTCATTCAATGTTAGATCATGCATATGATTACTTTGTGGGACCAGGACATAAAGGTTCTCCTTTTTCTTCTAATTAACATCATTAATTAACATCATTAACTATAATAACTACAAAATACAGCAATAAATGATATTGATGTTGATATCAACCTCGGCCACCAAAGTCACCTTGATATATCATCACTTATATAGTGCCTACTCTTTGTTTCCATTTCGACGTATCATAGCTGACTATCTACTAGTTAGTTAGTTACCTGTTACTATAGTTATTACTAGGTACTGCTGGTAATTGGTATGCAGGAGACTGGAGGTCTACATGTACATAGAATACGCGAAGTTTTGACAGAGGACAAGTGTAACCCATTCAACACCAAACCATTTCAGGCGATAGGTTTCAGATTTGCTTCATGGCGTACATCTGTACAGGGTTGCAATACTTTAAGAGTAGGTCAACATAGACAACAGGAGGTATGAGACTAGCTTACCATACCTTAGGTAGGTAGGTATCTAATAGTGTACTAATAGTGTAGGGAGGCACATAGACATTATAAATCATAACTATTCACTTGATGAGATAGTTTATCAAAGGTGATTAAGATCATGAAGTCATGAAATCGCTTCGTGCCTTGCTTTCAGGTGCCAGGTTCCCCACAGTTAGGTATTTATAACCATTAATGGCCTCTTTTACGATCTCTATCATCTCTATCATACTACTTCGTCACCGCAAGTCATACTCTCCATCCTCCATGCCAACAACTGCTAATCCTGTCCTCTTTAGACTTGTTGAACTGCAATGTCTTGATTCTTGCAGACCCCCTCTCCTCCCAACCCCTGATTTCGTTACATTCAACTACCCCTCATTCCTCACTTACACTCATCTGGACACATACCTACACTAGGTAGCATGTAGTGCCAAAGTTGGAGTATCACATAGGTAGCAGAGAGTTGAATCATCGTTACCGCTCTTCTTTTCCTAGGTATGTATGTTATAACGTGAGTAAATTGTCCGAATTGTATACGATCTTTGTCAAGTGTATGCCTCAAATTCATTAGTACGTAAGAATCTAGTGGAATATGTCGTTCATATTGTGAGAAAGTCACTTGCACGTTTCATCTCAAGAGTCTTAGTCTTCGTGCGGAAATAATTGTACTTATAATTGAATAAATATAAAACGAAGCGAGCCATGAATAACGACCATTAATATACCCAAAACGAAGTCAACACCTCAACCTTTCTTTTTACGGAGAGATATGGAGGGGTGATTGGTGAATCAAGTTTGACTATCCGGTGCCCATCCATGTTCCCCCAGGTTCACCTTTGTGTCGGTCCCAGGCTTCTCTTAGCGCTTACCCTCGACTTCGGCGCGTTTCCCATATCTAGGCGGCTAGTTTTAATGCCTAGCACCTACCTCTTCTCGAGTTCTCATCCCTATAGGCAGTTGCTCAACTACTTAGCAACCTCACAAAATTCGATTAATATGGCTATTTTAACGAGAATAATGGCGATCACTAGGACTGCGTCAGAATCCAATGGGAAGGTAACATGGACTAAATAGACTCAGCAACACAGCTGCCAAAGCTATCAAGTAGCATGCCATGAATAACTATCAGATCGGGTGGTGGTTCGGAGTGTGAAGACGTTAGCAAAGACACCATAGCGATGAAGAACTAATCCAAGTTTTTTATCAGTAGGTGTGCTGAAGTCGAATTATATAGACTTACCTAGAGAAGCATCACTCTTGTACCGCTAACTGATATTCATATTTGCTAGCCATTCTCTGGAGCCCAGGCTAGAAGCTTCTCACTCTCTCGTAATGATGATTGAAGGCTGGCTTTTCATCTACACTATTTTGATAATCCATCAACTTGATATAACAGAGCTATTGGTCAATTTCTTATATTGATCGTTCAAGTATTCACTGCCTAGTATAAAGCCACTTCAAAGTTCAAAGCAGCAGTAGTATTGGCTCCAAAGATTTCTAGAGGAAATTGGTCAGCAAGGGCCTGGTATCCGGCAGCATTAGGGTGTAGATGGTCGCCACCATCATACTGGGAAGCCAAGTTAGCCGCATTCGAAGGGTTGGCCAGGATCTTAGCGAAGTCGATGCTTGCGTCGAAACTACCATCTCCACCACCCAGAATCCATTTGTTCACTGTCTGTCTTCCTTGGTCTCTGGTGGGATTGCTGTAGCTCTGTCCATTCCCGCCAAATGGTGTAATCGTTGCACCAAAGACGGTCATGCCAGCTGCTTTAGCCTCAGTAGCGATGGTCTTGAAGGCCGATGTTATACTGTTGGCGAGGCGTGTCTGTGTCCCCGAGTCCGGAGACCCTCCACCGATGTCATTCACCCCTTCAAATATGAGGGCGTATTTTGCACCCGCTGTCTCGAGAAGATCTCGTTTATAACGCTGCATGAGCGGCGGGCCTAGACCACCAGTGAGGACAGTGTTGCCACCCGCTGCTTGGTTGCACACGGCAATGTTGGTAATTCCTTCTTTTTGCATCTTTGCCAAGAGAAGGTCTGGCCAGCTGGGTTTCTGTCAGTCAAAGTCTCAGTTACGAAATGGGTCCTACCCGTACCGGTTGTTGGCATTGTCATCGCTTCCGCGTCCATCTGTGATACTATCACCAAGAATTACCAAAGCGGCGGTTGTTTTAGGAGCCCAAGCCTCCACCGCAGTGAGGAAATACCAGTGAGCCGTACTCGCTCCTGTGACTGTCGAGGCATTTAGATGATTACCCTGCTGCATCCAGGAAGTCGTCCGGCTTCCCGGGTGTCCAGTAATACTGCTTCCAGATTGGCCAGGTTGCGAATACAGACTGATCGTGACCATGGATTGAGGCTCAACCTTGTAATCAACTGGATCTGTGTACGCAACTTGGCCTCTCGGGATTGTGACCGACGTGGAACCATTGAAAGTGAGGCCCTTCAACGTCGTGGTATCAATGCCATTGACACCAGCTTTACCTCCCGTAGGAAGGGCTACAGATGCTTCCGTGATGGGAAGATCACTGCCGCCAAATGTATTGGAGATCTGGAAGCGCAGCCTCTCAGCGCCGATTGACAAGTGTAGGGTTTGCCGGAGGGTGGCATCCTTGAACGCGGCTGAGCCTGACTAGATTGATGTTTAGGTGTTTGTTTGATATACTACTGGATTGGGTATGACATACAAATGGGGAAGGTGGCATATTGTTAGGCTCTACCAGCTGTGGCATGGAAGTCCACGTTGCTACCCAATGCGATTCTTCATCCTGGCGCGGAGTATTCTTGATAGGTAGTGCGCTGATACATGTTACCCACCATAACAGCCACATGGTGAAGATGGAGGATTTGAAACTGAGGCTCTTCATCTTGTATAACGACACGGAGACCATGTTGGTGGTAGCAATGGTAAAAGTTGAGCGCCAAGGCACAGGAAGATGGATTCATGGTGGCAGCTTGGATACTTATTATCGTTAGATCGTGCCGAGGTTTGGAGAATGCCGGATGATATACCTCCGCAGTTATATTGTCCTGGTAGTATATTATAATTTAGCCGTAGGGCTGTTTCCTGTTCATCCAGTTCACTGAGTTTAGAACAACTTCATATTGTGTGAATGGCATTCAGGAAAAGGGGTTGGGCTGGTAAGCTAAGCTACCAGGTCAGTTATCCTAAGTATCAGGTTGCCTACCTACCTACCTGCCTATGTTGAAGAGGAAATTGATGGAACACTGCGTGTGTGAAATAATTACATTACCATTCCACAATGGTAGGCATCTATTTACCTGGAATGGGATCAGGCCACACGAAAAAAGTGTAGACGATATACCGTAAGCCATGTGGTGGATGTGAGGGTTGTCGATCCAATTGAACCTGATCTTAGGCTTAACCTGGAAGACAGTCTGGCATAGATAATATTCTATCCTCACGGGATAGTTATGGCTTACTTCGTTCAACAAAGATATGAAGCTCAAATGTGTTTTTAACGAATAAGATCAGATGACATGTCGAGGTACGAAGTAAACTCTGATATCAAACAAGACCGGGGAAAGGGTCTGTGAGGCATGAGTGTACTGTAGCTCTCGAGGCTTACTCTCAAGACTTGAGCTATAATTATCAGTAGCCAGTAATGTGACAACGAGACTCCATGGGCCCTTTGTCATGCTAGAGAGTAAGTAGTTTTGTAAAGTTTTACAACGATTGGTGCGTTGCCCATGCGTCGCAGACATACATAGTACATCTTGCATCATACGATAGAAACATGTAATTGAAGAAATAAGAGTGAAGATTAAAATTGAAGAGTTGATTATCTTAATTGGGTATTACTAAATATGTATCTGTATCTAATACCTGGCAATAGCAAGGATTTACGTATGTAACTACTGTGTATATGCACATTGTAAGTTAGGTACATTAGTAAGGTATTGTAATGTAACCCCTCACTCAATTTGACACCCCACCATTCAATGTTACTTCGTCACTGACGATTCTTAAATAATATGCATAGTACTATACATGTAGATACTAGATACCTAGGGTAGCCTATAATTTTAGTTTTACATGTACTTACCCTTTGATACATTTACTGGGCATCGGGTGTATCGTTCTTCCTATCTTAAATTCTACCTATAAGAACTCGTACGTAGCACGTTAGTAACCGGCTAACGGGTAACATAACCTAACTTTAACTTACTTCCAAGGTTGTGACTTGCTTGCACTCTACCTAGTACCTACCTACCCAAGGCTACCCTACGTACTACGTAGGGTAGGTACTTTACCTAAGCATTTTCATCTATTTTTATTTGCAAACATCAAATTAAACCTTTTCCTTGTACATGACTCTTACCGAAGGCTTTCCTTAATAAAATTCCTATAGATATCAAGACTGTAGATCGGATTTATCTAACCTTGGCAGTAAACCAGAGATCTAAAAGGGACCGGAACATAAAAAGACTCTAATCATCTGAGAAATACACAGGAGCTTGCAAAACTCCTTCAGTCTTAAATTTTTTTTTTCACTCACACACACTCTCTCGCCTTCGTCCTCTCTTCCCAAAATACAGAGTCTGACTCATCTCGAGGCCTCCTTTATTTGAATAATAATAGACGGCACACACTACGCAACACGCATCTATCCGCTCTTCGGATTACCCGCAGCAAACAGACATTGTTGCCGTTGCCGTTGCTGCTGCTGTTATTCATAGTCACTCCCTCTGCAAACCTTCGACTGCTTTACTCGCCCACTCAGCATCATGCCAGGTCTTGATATGGAGCCCCTGGTGGCTGATGATATGAGAGGTATGTGAGGCCATGAAAGCCAATTCCCAGCTCGTCGAACTTTAGACATCGTGCCTCTTGCCTATTTTTGATTACTCTTACTTCCAAACTATCTTCTATCTTCTGCTCAGCCATATACACTCAAGATACATCGTACTTTGAAGAACAAATACCGTTCAGATGCTGATGTACTTGGAAACCGCAGTCCTGGGCCAGGACCCTCTCATCCCGCCTGCATTACTCATCTCTGAGATTCCCATGACCGATGCTTCTCTGCATACTGTCGTCAAGGGCCGAAGGGATGCCGCTGCTGTCATTATGGGCCGCAGTGACCGTCTCTTGGTTGTTGTTGGACCTTGCTCCATTCATGACCCAGCTATGGCCCATGATTACGCCCAGCGTCTCAAGAAGCTATCCGATAAGCTGTCGGATGACTTGTGCATAGTCATGCGTGCCTATCTTGAGAAGCCACGGACAACCGTAGGCTGGAAAGGGCTCATCAACGATCCTGATATCGACAATAGTTTCAAGATTAACAAGGGCCTCCGCATATCACGACAGATGTTCAGTGATTTGACCAACGCTGGCATGCCCATCGCCAGTGAAATGCTGGATACCATCTCGCCACAGTTCCTAGCAGATTTCATTTCTGTCGGGGCTATCGGCGCGCGTACTACGGAATCGCAATTGCACCGTGAACTAGCCTCCGGCCTGTCCTTCCCAATTGGGTTCAAGAATGGCACTGATGGAAATTTGAATGTCGCTATCGATGCCATTGGCGCTGCAGCCTCCAAGCACCACTTCATGGGTGTAACTAAACAGGGCCTAGCAGCCATTACGAGAACGAAGGGAAATGAGCACGGCTTCGTTATTCTCCGAGGCGGCACCAAGGGAACCAACTATGACAAGGAGAATATCCAAGCTGCCAAAGAAACCCTGATCAAGAAGGGGCAAAAGCTGGCTATCATGGTCGACTGCTCGCATGGTATATTGTATTCCCGCTAAGATGATACTGTGACTGAACTAACCTACCTCGTGCGTATTAGGCAACTCGAATAAAGATCACCGAAACCAGCCAAAGGTCGCCAAGGTCATTAGTGACCAGTTGAGGGAAGGCGAGAAGGCGATTGTCGGGGTCATGATTGAGTCCAACATTAACGAGGGCAATCAAAAGGTCCCTGCCGAGGGACCGGGTGGGCTTAAGAAGGGTGTTAGCATTACCGATGCCTGCATCGACTGGGATAGCACTGTCGAGGTCCTGGAAGACTTGGCGGCTGCGGTCCGGGATAGGCGGGAAAAGAACGGCGCGCTCCTCGGCAATGGCCATAGCCAAGACCACAAGGCTACTCTCATCGAGGAGGAATAGGATCATCTTCGGTGAAGAGCACAGCATTAGTAACAGTGTGTCTCCTGCTGCCTTATGCCATTCAAGGGGTTATCTAAAAGTCGTTATAAAATGCTGACAGATGCATGACTTCCTCATGATACTATTCTCATACTATATATGAGAATAGCACCTATACAGTGTGAGATGACCGTTCATAGAGGATTGCTTGACACAATCGAAAAAATATCCAACTCCTAATAAATCAAATATGATAGATAATTATGGCATACCTATGTAGGTATATTATAAAATTTTATCATGGACGTCTTCGTTTACTTAACCCCCCGGGGCATCACCATGGCCAACAGGCATATATACGCCTCGGTCCTCAGGAGTTCGTACCCCTCGTCTCCCTGCGGCCGCGCCGCCTAATCCTGGGGCAGCAGCTTTTTTACCCTCTCGCATCTCGACTACCCTCTTTGCGGCAGCCCAGCCCAGTAAACCAGTGGTACCCAGAATGAAACCCCAGACGATGATCTGATCCTTGCGACTGTCGCGCTGGAAGCACATGGCCACGACATCGATCTCCTCGGCCTCCTTACATATCGGCAAGTGTTGGGACAGGCAGAAGGATCGCGTACACTGGGTGCAGGAGGCGGAGGCGGCGCGCTTTTGCGGTGGAAGAGAGCGCTGAAGGAATTCTTGGGATCCGGATGAACTGGAGCTGCCAAATGAGACAGAGGAGTCGCCTTGTGGGCCAAGCTGGATCAGGGTGCTGTTCTTAAAGCAAGTGCACTTGCAGAAGGTCGGTGCAGCTGGATACGATGGAACGGATGAGGTCAGCTTTGGGGGGGGAGGTAATAGGGAGGTAGGTGGTAGGTAGCTAACTTACAAGTTGCGGCGACGCAGGAGATAAGGATGCCTATGAGGAATAGGGAGAGGTGATGTCGCATCGTGTCGCAGTACCATGTACTTTTATATTATTGTTGTTGTATGTTGCGGCGAAGACATTCGCCTATTTTTACATGGTTTATATCACTTCGTATATCCCCGGAATATGGAATACACTCCTGCAAGATGGTGTTGGTAGATGCAGTGCAGTGGTATGTTGGTATGTTGGTATGTTGGTATGTAGAGGTACTAGGAGAAGAAGGAGCTTAGTCTTCAATTATTGGATGAACATTGAATGTTCTATGTTGCACAAGCAATGACGAGGCAGATGCAGGCTGATAAGATGATAAGGCACGCTAGTTGTTTAGTCACTAACTAGTGTCCCTCAACCTGTGGCTATTTATCAATTCTAACATTGAACTGTGGCTGAAGCTACATGGGAACATTGAACGAAAAAAAGCTCAACGTCGTTGTGGAAATTATAGCAGCAACAATTCACATCCGACCTCAAACGACTAGTCTGCCCCAATTCGTCAAAATGCGACGAATACCGCGACTAAGACGGCCAGCGGGCCTATCTGCCACCACCTCGCTCTCTTCGATTTCTCCCCTAGCCAGTTCATGTTCACATACATCCACCCGAAACATATCCATCTCTCATCGCAAACCCGCGCCCACAAATCTTCAATGCTCCACATTTGCGCGCTTCTACTCATCTGAGAAACAACCTAGTACAGGAAATCTTAACCGCGAGGTTGATGGAGCTCAAGGAAAAGAGGTCAATGAAGCCCAGGAAAAAGAGCCCGTTCAGTTAGCTGCCGAACAGCCTAATACGGAGACTTCCAATCCCAAGGTTGACGAAGCTCCAACGAAGGAAGTCGACGAAGCCCAATTGAAGGGAGTCGATGGATCTCAAGGAAAAGAGCTCGCCACGGTAACCGCCATAAAGCCTTCCGGAATTGAGGGGGACTCTGCCTATACTGAAGAACAGACCCGGCCGGTAGAGCAATGGGATGCATACGTTCCCCCACCTCGGCGCAGTCACGCTGAGAGATATGATGAAGTATCGGACACGAGATATTACCCCGCATTGACAGCAGATGGATTAGAAGCAGTCGGTAGACTAGACAATTGGTGGGAGCTACCCGAACATTGGTCAAATGATTTCGCCGGCTTCAAGCCTCAAGAGAAGGTGCTAGACTCAGCTCTAATAGAGACATCAGTGCGCCGAGCCGTTATAGAGGCATATGCACTGAAGCTATCGGGGCAAGACGATAAATTGGTGGGTGCCTGGCCCATTGGGGGGGCAAGGGACCAATATCGTGTTTTAGAGGCAAATATCAATGTCGCAGAGACCGGCGCAGTGTCTCTGACTGGAGATATCTCTGCTATAGCAGAGTCCCTGAACCACACAGACGAGGCCAACATAGTCGGAGAGCAAACGACCGAGGACCATGCTGAGACGTTAACATCAAAGTCCTCTTCGAACAAATCAATGCCTTCAATCGAGGAAGCGCGGAAGTTCAGGGGGGCATGGGGTCATGGCTGGAAAGCAGTGTCTTTGTCAGACCCCCGGATCAAGTTCGCTGTACGTTTTTTCCATGGTTTCTCCCATGCTGAGAATTCCTCTCGAATTTTATTGAATTCTCTTGCGGGACAGATTTTACTGACAAAGAAATATGATTAGGTCAGGAAGCGTTTGTTCCAACTCACAGGCCAACTAATTCCCGACCATCAGCTGTCCGACATCACCAATGTTCGATCGTTGCTCCAGCTAGTGCAGAAGCCACCCAAGCCTAAGACTTTGACTCAGGAGATCCAGCAGCGCCTGCAAAATCTAGTCAAGCTACCGAACGTCTCGGTGGCAACGAAACGTGTCACTCGCGGCGACAAGGAGATGGCGCTTGGAAGATTTAAGCTGATTGAAGACGAATTGAGGAAGAGAGAGCTGCCTCTCAAGGGCCACGGCTTCGTAAGGAAGAATACGGAGTTGTCGCGCCTTAAGGGTGGAACGTAGTTGATTATTGCAATATAAGTAGTCACATGTATATACATGAGGTTTCGTGTGTATCAATCATCAACTCCTAGGTACATTATACTAGGTATAGTGGCAGCATAAAGTCTGCCATTGTATATATGTATCTATATAACACGGTGATGTATACTATTCTCGTATCTATTGATTTCAGGACATAGATTCTGAGTAGAACTCGAGAAATCATGAATGCTGTTTGTTATTTGCATATTAGAATAGTTACATATGTTTATATGAAATAGGTAACAATGCGTTACTCAAGGATACCTAGGTAACTTGAACCAAGATGCAATTGCAGTCCGTGGATTATTCATTATTGGTTGAGTGGGTTGAGTGGGCTGAGTGGGTAGTTTAACTTTATCTGAAGCTTAATATTTAGTGGACGCAAATCACATGCTAGCTGCATACTAGCGTGCAGCTAGCGTAGCCTTGTTAAAAAAACTACGCACATTTTTCTTTTTCTTTCAAGCCAATCCGTAAGTTAGAAATGTAAGTCAAAATAATGAGTCGAAAAATCATCCAATTGCGAATCGGAGCCTTGGTAGCTCAATTGGCTAGAGCGTGGGACTTTTACAAAGGATTTCATCCGTTGGAACGAAATCCCAAGGTTGCGGGTTCGACCCCCGCCTGAGGCGTCGCATCTACTTTTTGCCTACCTGGGTAATTCTCATTATGATAAATAATAAGTCTAATTCTTTTTTAATCTCTTATTTTTTTTACACAAGTGGCTATTGTGTTGTCAGATCTGAACCTAGGGTATACTATAAATGATTCATGGTTGTGCATTTAGAGATACAGTACATACTAACAGCAGCAGAGGAAGGTGCGGGGTGAAAATGTGGTGCATGATGATATATATATTACATGATGTTACGGTATTATACATATCGATATATCGATTTACATATGTGTAAATTGAGAATATTCAACTAATTCCCATTTCACCTTTGCCAACATATGCTTCCTGTGTTGTTCCATAATTAATTATCTTTATTATTTGTTATTCATTTCTTTGGACCCGATACTTGTTCCTACGTGTACTACGCAGTATCTATCCACGATGATCCATCTCGGCCGTGCCCCACATAAATACTCGGGTCATATAACCGAGGTGCTTTAGTCATGTTCCGTCGCGTCGCGATCCCTTCTTAGTAGTTCTTACTACAAATGTATTACTACAAATGTATAAATGTACTTATTAGGTTGCCATCTGCCTATATGATATATCTATTCTAACCAACAACTTCCTCTTATGACTTGTCAAAACCTATCTATTAGGCGCCTAGCTGCCTTATCCTCCCGGATAAAAGCTCCCACCGCTAAAACGGGTGTCGTGTCGGGCCAAACTCAGCTCGGTGCACGGAGATGTCTACACGGCACAGCTTCCCGTCATACCGACGGCGTATTTGGTGGTCTTAGGGGTGATGGTCTACCGTTGCGCTTGCCAACCCCGTGGATAGAAGCGTGGAGACTACAGCAGCAAGGGAAGAGTGTAGCCTCCGTTGAGGCAAGCACGCAGAAGCGTGATCTTACCCCGAAGAAGATGAGTGATAGTTATCATCGAGTTGTGCTCCCACTGGGCCGAGATCCTTGGCTTACCGATACATATATCAACTCTTCTGGTCATATAAGGTCCCCAGCCCGCCTCTCCCATTTACTGCCATGTCTGACTGGATAGTTGTATTCTAGGCTAGGCACTATATTTATGGATCTAGATGCATTATCTGGGGTCATCGTGTACAAGCACACTGGACCTGGCGTTACGACCGTGACAGCGGCGCTTGACCGCATTACCATCGCCCATCCCTTGACCGAGATTTGTGATCTTGAATATAGTGGTCAGGTAACTTACGCATCAGGGAGAAGTAGTGTGGAGATTACCTGCAGGGTGGCCAGAGCCAGGGATGAGGGTGAGCCAAGCAGACCCGAAGATGTGTTGATGACATGCACCTTCACCATGGTAGGCTTGGATCCCATAACCAAGAAACCCATCAACATGCCGGCACTAGTTTGTTCGACGCCGGAAGAAGAAAGTATATTCAAAGCTGGAGAGGCCAAGGCCCTAGCCAAGAAGAAGCAACTCAAGAATTCGTTACTCGAAACGGAACCGAACGACCCTGAGTCGGCTCTTATTCATAAGATCTGGCTGAAACAACTTGCCTATCACGACCCCAATAATGACACCCGTCAGCCGTCTAATGTAATTCCTATGTCGGGCACTCAACTCTCGACGGCATCCATTATGCAGCCGCAATACCGCAATCGTCATCAGACTATGATTTTCGGTGGGTTCCATCTAAAACAGACCTTCGAGTTAGCCTTCTGCTGTGCTGCGAGTTTTGCGCACGCGCGGCCGACCTTTATCAGCGCGGATCCTTGTACTTTCCGCAATCCCGTTCCCGTCGGCAGCGTGCTGTATCTCACTGCAACGATTGTATACACCGACCCACCGCTCTTAGACGAGGACGGAACCGAGCCACAGCACAAAGACCCGAAGAATCCAATGACACGTGTGCACGTCAGGGTGGATAGCAAGGTTCGAGATGTTGAGCATGGGCACGCCAAACCGACGGGCCAGTTTAACTACACCTTTTCAGTGCCTAAAGACGTTAAAGTCTTACCCCGTATGTATATTCCGAGCTCACCTACTATCTACCTTGCGCTTTTTCTGCTTCCTTGAACATTCTTTCTGGCATTTATGCTAATCATGGATTATTATTCAGACACCTATCAAGAATATATGTACTACATAGACGCAAGGAGAAGAGTGCAGCTTGGAGATGTACAAGATCGCCAGGAGCAGAAAACCTCCAAGCTACAACAGCCACTGTCTCGGTCAGCTGATCACGTTAACCTTACAGAGTAGGATCCAAATACAGCCTTATGCTTTTAGTCTATGTATGCCCCTGTAGCTACCTCAGGATCCTTACGAATATTAGCCGCTATAGAAAAAGGGTGGAATTTCTGCTTTGAAGGCACTGTTGCTCAAATATTAGAAAGGGGGCCCACCGCCCACAACACATCTATCAAGTTACTGCGTCGGGGTAGTGAAACATATATATCATCACGAGAAATATGCACGATCATGCCGGTTTCTATTAAATAGGGTTGATACGCTTACCTACCCTAGGTAGGCAGGCTAGAGGGCGCTTAAGGCACGTTATGTTATATCCATGCACAAGTTACTAGGTATTATCAAGACTTCCGTGCTTGCAAGTTGCTAAAATATATTGCCTGGTGGTAGACTTTTATGTAGATACCCCAGATACGAAGTTTATATTGGCCCAAGACAGCCGACTGATCAATCGTAAGGCAAGCATCAATAAGAGTTGACCGGGTTGTATGTCTTCTTCTTTTCTGGCCTCACCTACATGATCGTATAACTTGGAGTTTTGGTGAAAGAGAGAGAAGCATCTTACAACCATGAACATGTCAAACCACTCACTTACTTGTGACATCTAGAAGACATGCTTACATGTGAGTTTTGAAATGTCTTTCCACGATGTTGATGGTGTTGTAGTGTATGTAGGTATGTATTCAACATTGAATGTTGAAGTTGAAGTTGAAGTTGAAGTTGAAGAGTGGGGCCGAATACAGTGTTCAATGTTGAAATTGCACAGGCCATGGATATCATTGATCGATATGTGAGACCCACTGTATTTCAAGCCACTTCCCCATAACTACCTAGTATTCCTACCCACAATTGAAAACCAAAAACTTTTGCATTGCCACACCCCCAAAAAATTATAGGGTTTTCAAGCCCTTTTAGAAAAATTTGGCGAAAGTGCGCATTGATCCAGGATCTCTAAGCCGCCTTTACAATTCTTTAATCTGGAGAATTGAAGACGACCTCGCGATAGACGATCAAGTTTCATTCCATTAACACAGCCCTTGATCGCAATCAGTCACAATGGTAAGTAATCACATTCAAGATCATCATGATCTATTTCCAAGACCTCTTTATCCTCTTCTGTTGAATGAACACCTCACTGACGTACCGGATTTTCTCTCTATAGGCGATCAAGCACAACAACCAGATTCAGCACAACCGTATGTTCCAATCGATGTCCTCAATTCTCTTCCACTATGAACACACGATGGATCGAGAAATTACTACCTACACCTCCTGCTAAAGGTCAATTATACTCACCAAAACTCTACAGATTTCCGAAAGGATTGGCAACGCCGGGTGCGAACCCACTTCGATCAGGTATGAAGAAAATTTCCATGACGATGTTGTGCAAGATTCTAATTCGAGACGGGAAATATAGCCTACCAAGAAGATCCACCGTCGCTCTGTACGACGTGCTAAGGCTGCTGCCGTCGCCCCCCGACCCGTCGACAAGCTACGACCCGTCGTCCGATGCCCGACTATTAAGTACAACCGTCGCGTTCGTGCCGGACGTGGCTTCACCCTTGATGAGCTCAAGGTATATCTCCCCGAAAGAAAAATCACCCTCTAAACCGCTATCATGGCCGCTTTAGGTGGATATTATGTTTGACTTCAAGATTCTAACCTTTGCGCAGGAAGCCGGTATCCCCCGTCTCGTAGCCCCCACCATCGGTATCGCCGTCGATTTCCGCCGCCAGAACCTCAGCGAGGAGTCCCTCTCCGCTAATGTTGCCCGCCTAAAGGCCTACAAGGCCCGATTGATCGTCTTCCCCCGCAAGGGTGCCAAGCACCCCAAGGCTGGTGACAGCAAGGACACCGACCTCAGCAACACCCAGACCGTCTCTACCTTGGGCTCAGCTCTGCCCATCGTTCCCTTCGCCGAGGCTGTTACCGAGATCAAGAAGAGTGATATGCCCAAGCAGATCGAGGGTGGTGCCTACGCGAAGCTTCGCAAGGTCCGAAGCGACGCGAGATACCAAGGCATACGGGAGAAGCGCGCTAAGGATAAGGCCGAGGCTGAGGCCAACAAGAAATAGACGGACAGCCGAATCCCAGACGGGTTTGCACGGGAGTACGGACGGCATTCTTAGGGTTCTGCTTTCGATGTGTTGTTGGTCGGTCATGGTGGGTTGGCTTGCGGCAAGTGTGTCCCCAGTGAGAGAAGAGATTATGATCCTCCTCTCCGTCACACACAAAAGGCCGAAGCAATATTGCATCTTCCGGTTTACTCTTTAGGTCGTTTCTCAATGGAAAAATAAATGGACATGATCTGAGGTGTCCCTTTGTAATCGACGTGATATGAAAAATACGAGTCAGTAATGTGAAGCAGACTAAAAAGTCGCACTGGAAGTGGGAAACGATGATTATTATTCTTGGCAGGTATCTGATGTTCTATTCAAGGTTGTAGCATGTACATTTGTGCATGACCGTAACTACGCAACTACTGTGAAGTTACATAATTCTAGGAACTGAGAGTATTCAAGATACCTATCCCAAACTGACTTGGCCTACACTACACCTATATGGAGCCGTTCAATTAATGCCAGAACCAGAGTTTCCTCACCCCTACTCCCTACTACCGAGCACCAACTCCCCACCCGTCCTCAGTATCCGCTCGAACGTGGCTTTCGTCGCAGCAGGTAAATCCGACGAGCACTGCTTCAGCAGCTCGGCGATCAGCACCAGCCCGTTCTCGCGGTCCACTTTCACCATCGTCGCGGCCTTCGCTGGGTCCGCCTGCTGAGGCTCTAGCTGGCTTAGTTGTTTGGTTATTGCTGATACATCATCATCATCATCATCATCATCGGGGTTGTCGGATCCTTGTGTAGGGGGGGTGTCATCACTAGCGTCGTGGTGGTCATCGTTGTCGATCGCGGGCGCGGACGGTTTCTCGCCCGTGACGGATTCCACGAGGATGTCGATGATTTGCGGATGTTGGTGCAGCATAGCGTCGTTGATGAAGACGGCGCCCTGAGGCGAGCGGGCCATCAGCGCGAGGACGAACCATAGCTCCGAGCGGAGGACGGGGAATCTGGATTGCAGGCCGAGGTATAGGAGCGTGGTGGGGATTGTTGTGTGTTTGGCGTAGAACTCTTGGAGGAGGTGTTGTGCTTCTTCCTCTTCCTCTGTTTGGTCGGGCAGAGGGGGTTGGGGTAGGAGGGCAGAGCCGATGGGGTTTGAGGAATGTAGAACCCGGCATATGTTGGCTACTGCGCGGGATATTTCCATCTTGATAGGGTCTTGGTCTGCTTTCGGGTGCAGTTCCATCAGCTGCTGTATAGATGTCTGATCTTGTCCCGCCGCGGGCACGCACACGCGGCGCACGTTCGCTGGACAGTTGACGAGGAGAAGCCGCGTGAGGGATATGGCGTCAAACTGGACCTGTGGCTGGGTGTCGAGGTGCCAGATACGGGGCAGGACTTCGGGGTCCAGGAGCCCCGCATCACCTAGAACGGCCTTGTTGCTCGCGGCGATGGATAGGTTCTTCAGGAAGCTGAGTATGCAATGGAGCAGCTGGGGGTCCTGTGCGAGCGAATGGGAGGAGAGTGTGGCAATCAGCGGCTTGTGAACTAACATCTCCTGCACTAGGGTGGTGCTCGACGCATCGGAGCGGGCGAGGTTACCTAGGGTTAGGCAGGCTGCTGATTGGAGGATCACGTCGTGAGGTGACGATATCCAGTCGATCAAGGAGTTCACCACGGGGCTGTCCAAGGGGAATAGTGAGACGAAGAGGGGGTTGGCGGAAAGATCCGCTAATGCCTGGGTAAAAGTACCTTGTAGTTGTCTGAGTTGACTCTGTTCCTCGGGAGTTTCGAGTTGGAATAATTCACCGCCATTGGTGCTTGTTTTGAAAGCCTCCAAGAATAGCTGGGTACCGTCTGGAGTCTCGAGGAAGCTGTCTTGAAGGTACTGGTGAGAAAGATATGCCAATGCTGCACTAGATAGTCCTAGGAAGTTATCGAGATCTGGTGATTCTGAACTAGATGCCTCTTGGATGGCGAGATTCAGGAGGCGGTAAGGTGTTTGGGTAACTACCAAATCGGCTTCAAATTCTTGAGGTTTGTTAGATTTGGTACTATGTGCTACTGTGCCTGGAAAGGAATGAGAATACCTTGAGTGGCTACGAAGCCAATTAACTTGTAGACGATATGCTTATAGGCCGCGGTCTTCTCCAATAGTTGAGAGTCCAACAAATGAATAGCCAAGCGAGCTTTATACGCTGCTGCCTGGGCAGGCTCTTTGGTAATAACTTGTGTTAGAAAGCATCTTTTTCTGAGAGGTAGATATGGCTACTCTCACCATAATCAACGCAAATGTTGAATAAGACCGGGATGGCGTATTGCAGTAGGGAGTCCGTTTCTAGCAATTTGACCAGTTGAGGGATGCAGCCCGAGTCGATGACCCTTTGCCGGTTCTCATCTATGTCCAGTAAGCATGTGGATAAAAATAAAACACCTCCTGAATATGGATTGAAGGGCAAAGGGACGAACCATTGTCTGCACAGGAATTGCCTATGATTCGAAAGCACTGGATTGCAAGATCCTGGGGGGTATCATCCCCCTTTAGGAGGTCTAGGAAGAAGCCCAACAGGCCGGATTCCCCAAGGGGTACTCTCCATGGTTCTAGGGGTAGATGTGTTAGCCGAGCTTTGCTTTTTTTAATGTACCTAGATTAAGTAGATATAGATATATAAGATTCACCTTGTCTGCTTCCATTTCCGACCTTTTCTGCTAAAGTCACGAGATCCTGGGATTTGGTCTCGTGGAGTTTCTGAACAACGTCGAGAACTTGCTGCAATGCTTCAACTCTTGATTCCTCGCTGTCCGGAACATTGCTAAATAGCGTTTCAATCTCGTCTGGTGTCATGGTCTTCCGAGGCCCATCCCAAAGGCGGGGGGATTTATATTATGTCACTTATTACTTATATTATATAAGTAGAAGACGAAGAAGCAAGATGAGGACTAATAATTCGAGTTGACTGCCTAATAGTACTAGGTAGGTACACAGACAGGTATGTACCTGTAGACTAATAGTGGGCACCTAAGTACTAGGTATAATACTAGGTATGGTTACAGCGGGGTTTATGGGGCTACTAGCTATTAGTCAGTAGTGGGGTTAAGACGCGTGAACGCGTTAGGCATGTGAATCTTGAATCGTTCTTTCTTAACATCATCAATTCTCACATTCATTTCTCCCATGTTACATCATAACGGTAGTCTCTTTAAAAGTCTCGGCATATGGACTTGGTTCAATGTGGAACAGCGGGGATAATAAAGCCGAGTAGATAATTAAATGAATTCATATCTACCTCGTACCTACCTGCTTGATACCTGGACTTGAACATTTCATGTTTGAACTTTTCACAGTACAAAGATCTCAAAAATCCACAACATCCATAAAACGCATTCCTACCCAGACGATTAACCATCAACATGAGTGAGCAGATGTCCAACTACCTGACCTCCTTGGTAGATATCCAAGAGCACGTTCATATTTATAATCTAGTCGAGGGATATTGCTACTGTCACATACGTTCGCGAACTTCGCGGCAGCAATGCCATCTAGAAATTCTACCATACGTACAGTTACAGTATCACGACAAAGAACACCAATTTATTCATTTATTACCTAGCCGTGTCTTACTCTTTACGGCCCGCGTGTTAATAAGGAGCAAAAGCACGTAAGACCGAAACCAGAGATGGCCAGTCACCTAGGGTTAGCACATACTGGGAATCCCCCTCGTGTTCGTGGATTATCCAATTTCGGTGTTCCGCCGTTGTAAGACCTTAGGGACGTTAGATTCCGCCGCGGCTGTCCGTTTCGTTTCGGCAGCCAACGTCTGTCGGGATAGACATGGACGAGCGCGGGAGTTGGTACCTGCAGTAGCAGTATACCTACTGTGCCTACATGTAGTGCTCTCTACATATCTACATGTAGGTATCTATCTACCTAAGATCATGTAGGTAGGTAGTGACAAACGATATATCGAGGTACTAATAACAAACAGTTTTCATCCCAAGTCCAGAATACCCGTCATGATTGTAATATCAAATGACTCCGTGGTCCCATATTTTATGGGTATGTGTTCACCTGTCCACCGCAAACGACTCCTGCTGATTAGAAGAACAGCAATAACGCTTCCTGACGCGAGTTCAACCATTCTCATGTTTCAGTCCTGATTTAAGTCATACGCTGTAATCTCCGTCCTTCTCATTGTGTGACACAAACTTCATGGTCTTTGGAGCAAACGCACTCGTTCCAACTCCTCCTTTCCCCTTACTTTGAATACAAAGCAGTGCAACTGCCACCAATACCACCAGTGCTGGCTATATCCCTCAAATTTGAAATGCTCCGTTAATACATGTACGGGTTTCTCAAATCAATCTCGAATCAAGGTAGTAGGTACGTATAAAGAAAGCCGCCTCTGTCTCTCTGGAACAAGCAAGGTCGACCTCTGTATCTACCTAGGTAGCCAAGACACATATCTCACTGTCACTCGCTCACCATGGCCATACCCTGGCTCTTGTCACTCGTTTTCCTGCTGGCCCCCCTTGCCGTCGCACAGGGCTATTCAGACGGCAATGATCTCTTAGATGTCACTATCACCAAGAGCGTTACTGAGACCGTCACCAAGTATCTATCGCAATGCGGCATATCACCTACTCCATTTGAGGCCTCCGAAACCACAATTCTATCAGGGACCACCACAGTTACCAGCACCCTTGAGTCTACCATTTCCGTGGTCATAACCCCTAATGTGACTGATGTCTCGGGTGTCCTTCCTACGGGGTTTACCACATCAGAATTCGCTCTAAACTCAACCCATCCCGGCTTGAGTCGAAGCCTAACCCACTCCCATCCCTCCGGATTCAACTACTCTACCCCTTTAGCGAATGTGACAACGACATTGCCTTGCTCTACAGCTACAGGTAATTTGAAAACTGAACCCCTTATAACCTGTGAACGAATGATGAATCTGATATGTAATCTGCGATGGTTGTAGTTTCACCCCCTCTCCTCACCTCATCAAAAACCCACACGTTATCTTCAACCCCGATCCGTGGGACATCTTCCACGGCGGCAACTACGGTGGCCCCGAGTCAGATACCGGTCAGTGGATCGACTACTCTCCAGGATGGTGTGGCCATCTTCAGTCTCTCGGGATTGCTAGGAACGTTGGGTGTGGCCTTGATGTTAGTTGCAGGCTTCTTGTGAGAGAAGAAGGAAAGGGGGCCGCATCAAGATGAAAAGGTGGATTTGAGCTGGCTCCCTAGAGTAGTCTTGATGTATACTTACTGGGTTAGATAGACCACGACATCATGCTCGACTAATCCTCATAATGCTTACGAGCGAGGCAGGCAGGCGATTGTCTTTATTATGATAGCTGAATTTAATGGCGATGGTATTTAAGTCAAATGAATGTAAAGGGGCTTCGATGGACACTCAAGTTTACTTGTTAATACCCATTTTCGTACGTGCCCGTTCTATCGATGGAGGCTCCCGTGTAATATTCTTACTAGGGTAAGGGGGAGGGAATTGATTAACTAGTACTATTTGGTGGGTATATCTATTGAGACGGGTCTACGAAGATATCAACGTGAATCTTTGTCGAACTCCAGTCTCATATCGGCTGTAGGATGAACCTCAGCGTTAGCCTCCTAGTTTTTATCTTAATTCTTTTAATGTTTTTACTGCTTAGCAGCTTTAATTCACTATTTTCTTCTTTGCTCATCGTCCTTAGTTGGCCAACTACTTCTTGGTGATGGAGAGGTAACCCCTATGTCTCGATTATATTGAGATGCATAGGAAGTCTAACCTAGGTTACTCAGATTGACTGTAACGGGGTACGTCTAGATTCTTTGCAGGCAAGCACAAGAGAACAGGAGTGACATCTCCATGTCCGATTCCATATAAATTGTTTGTGAGGATCAACTGGCCCGAAGTCATTGTTGATGGATGAGGTACATTTATAAAAATTTATATAGGAGGTATGGAGTCGGCCTGTCTGCGTAGGTATTGAATGAGTCGATCAATCCTCCTTCTTCGGCCTTTGGAAATACAGAATTTGGTTACACAGTTGGTTAATGTGTGGGGATGAAGACTTGTTAAAGGGGTAGGTAACGAAAACACTATTCTTCATGTACTACATAAATTTGTAAATAATAGATGAAAGTCATCATATGCTAGCTAGTATGAGAAGACGCTTTAAATGTCTTCCATTAAATTTCGATTTGATAAAACTACCGATGGTTGGTAGGTAGTATTTTTGGCGTGTAAGTAGGTAGACATTAATCGTGAGTTACCAGAGGTCCTCGCGCCTCAAAGGGGGAGAGCCACCAATTTTTCCTTTCAGGAATCCGACGTTCTTTTTTAGAAAACAGGTAAACTGACTGTCATAGCCATAGTCGTAATTCGGCTATATCATAGGGGTCCCAGCTAAGCTCTCGAAAATGGCGTGAGAGGCTCGGGAGCTAGCTACCGATACCGAAATGCAGTCATCCACCAAACCGCACCACCAAGATACACGCCGGCTTGCTGCCTCTGGGTACTTGACTCCAAACCAAGCAGGAGCCGTTGCAGCAATCCATCAGTTCAACTAGCAACTGTTTCTCTCAGTGAAAGTAGACGCTGTTCGCCTCAATACTCTGCTCCGCTAACAACAATTCCGCTGTAAACGCCTCAGGTCTTCTTTCTCCTCGCTCAGCAGAGCATGTTCGTTTTCGTACGACGGCTCACTAGCTATGCGTATATTCGTCTCGGGCCATGATCCCACACGTAAGCATTGGGATATACCGGGTATCCATACGGGGTGCGCGGTGCAGGCGGCGGAGGCAGAGCTTGCGGATGTGGCCGAGGCGGCGGAAGGGGTGGTGCTGGCCTAGGGGCGACAGCGTGCAAGAAATACAGGCCTTGCGGGGAGAAAGGACCCATGCCGTAGGGGCCGAAGTGGTAGGCTAGTATTGAGCCGGGAGGTAGGCAGGGAGGAGCGAGGTATGTGCTGTTGGGGGGGTAGGGGGCTGGGTATGTATACATTTTTTTTTTTTTTGCGAGTTCCAAGGTATGGGAAAGATAGACGAGGATGAGGAGAAGGAGAAGGAGAAGGAGGAAGACGGTAGTTGGCTGTAGAACTAGGAGAGGAATATCTTGAGCAAAAATTGGGAAAAAGCCCGAAAGTTCGGGTTCTAATGCGACACGAAAAGTTCGGGGAGAATAGCTAAATAAACATCTTAAAAAATTCCTCAGCAAACCAAACAAAGGCGGCCACTGTAGTGTAACGTTTATGACGTGGGCTGATTTGATTTATTTGCCAGCAAGCAAGGCCGTGGGAGCTACTAGAACGCTCTATGAATGTATGTTGGATGTACGTCCCGGTAAAGATACATGTATATGGCTCGGGCGCGGGACACACGGTATAAAGTCACGTAAGGCTTCCAATGAGATGTGATGCCAACCCCCCTATATTGGCCCCTATATGGGGGTACAGAGCCTGATGTGCGTCTGGGTAGGTATATATTCATGCAGCTTTGGGATCAATAATCGGCATTTGAAGACAATGCAGGGTTACATGAAGGCATATTTTGAGATTTCCCGGTTGCCTGCTTGAGAAGGCTTGATAGATATATCTTAGATTTTGAGTCTTGAGTCTTGAGTCTTGAGTTTGGAGTCTCGAGAGGATAGGGGTGGGGAAAAGGGGTATTTTAGAGATGGTGTTATGTTACTTCTTCCTTTTCAGCTGTATCTAGTCATCGAACCCTTTATATGTGTATATCTGGCGATATCAAGAAATAAATTACGCGATCAAGTGAACTTTGACTTTAGAATAATTTGAAAAAGAAAAAAGAAAAAGGAAAAAAAAGGAAAGAAAAAAAGAAGTTTGATGAAGTGCAGAATGTAACAATTGCTGATTAATGCATTAACTACATACCTCCCTTTATATGCATAGAGTATCAGCTACATATGCAAATACCCTACTAAGAGAAACCCACGCTCAATTGAGAGTGACATGTGTCCGCGAGCGAGAGACGCGCAACGATAAATTATTAACTAAATAAATTATTAAATAAATTATATTCTTTTTCTGTCCACCTCAACCGCAACTGCAACCTCGACCTCGACCTCGACCTCAACGACAAATCTCTCAATACCCAAGCCTCAATTAATTACCTTACCTACCTTAAAGTCGCTCATTTCAATAACAAATCCGTCTCAATTCCTAACAGAAGCAAAGGAAAAAGAGCGTGTCGAAATTAACAAGAATCTAAAATCCGAAGTCGCATAGCAATACGAAGCAGAACCGCACCGCACCGCAACAAATCGCTGCCCATCATGACGCGCGCTCAGCAGACCATTTCCCTCGGCCTTCTCGTTACTTCTGTATGTCGATACTGTCCTCGATATTGCCACTCCTTTGTGGATTTAGGAGTAATATACTAATCGCCATTCTTACTATACTATAGCTCTACCTGGCCTTATACCTTCAGCTCGTCCCTCTCCCCGAGCTTGTCCAGACCGAGATCGTCCCTGTTGTACGTCCACCTTCCCATCCACTCGCACCCTTCATATCAAGACCCCAAGATAACAACTAACCCCGAACCCTCTACACAGCTCCCCTTCTGGGCCCTCGTCTCCTTCGGCGCGTACCTCCTCTTCCGCCTAGGCTGGAACGTCATGACCTTCCACGACGTGCCCGAGGCCCACAAGGAGATCGTGGCCGAGATCGAGCTGGCCAAGACGGACCTCCGTCGTCTGGGCGTCGACGTCGATTAGATTCGCATCTTTTAGGGCGGAAGGAAGCAGTGAATTCGTTAGCTAGCTTGTTAGTTAGTTAGTTAGTTAGTGATTGAGGCTCGTCCGGTCTATACCTAATACCTACAGATATATAGATACAAATGGTTTCAAAGTTGAGGGCAGTCAATTGATCGTAAAGAGGCCTACGGGCTGGCTGACTGGCTGACTGGCTACGAAGGCGACGAGGAGTAATCAAAATCGATTGATCGATCGTCAAGCTTGTGACGTAGTAGTAACTCTGCACCAACCCTACCTACCTAATTAATAGTAGATGCTACATACGCTTTGAACGAACGAGCAGGTTACAAATATATCAATACCTACCTGAAATCAATGGCACGCGTAAACTTCCATGGCATAAGCATGCTTGCTTGGATTTGAATTGGATTAGAGTGAGTTCATCGTGGCTATTATGTAGGTATGTAGCTTGTCCTATCGAATCCACTCAACCAGTGTGATTGACTCCTATAGCTCCAAGCTCCAAGCTCAAGCCGACACAAGCTCGCATTAGGCTCGGGCGAGGGCATAAGCATTGCTAGCAATATCAGCCAAGTCTGACTGGTTCAGCTATCCATAAACCCCCGATTGATTTTCAAAATCCCATTTCAATGGATGTGTCTTGACACCTTCATACACGGTGGTATACATAGCCTAATACAAGTAGGTAGGTAGGTAGGTAGGTGTTACGTCGGCACACTTGATGCTAGGTACCTGCTTCATTTTTCATCTTCATCCTTCCCCGACCAGTAATGCGACTACCGTTCTCAGTGCTTCCATCGGTTCCCTATTCTCCTGGATCAACTTGTCAAACACATCCGGTATACTGGTTAAGCTACCCCTGGTATCGTGGCCGTGCCCTAGATATATTAGTTAGATTTGTTTTCCCTGACAAGGTTGCATGTTTATTGATAACCAGCATGGGACAGGGAGACTTACATTTCGCTGGTGCCCCAACCAGTAACCCCATCTTGCTCTGCGCTTCTCCCGTCCAGTCAAAGTCGATGCGCCATTGGATGCGAACGTTCGGTATTTCATCCGGGTCGTCAGGGTCTGACATCTCCAAGTCGAAACTGGTCCTCCCCAGGTTAGGTAGCAGGTCTGATTTGCTGAAGCGCAGTTTACCCTTATTACCGGCTTGCGCCTCAAGCCCATCGCCATCCTCGCCATCCTCGTCCACGAGAGGTGGTCGGCCTGGACGACCTTTCCTCTTCGGACCTTTTCTCATCTTCTTGGCGCACTTCGCTAGGCCTTCACGGGTACCCAGTTCCCTCGCAACGGCGCACCAGAATCGGGCTCTTTTTGTAGCAACACGAACCCATTCGCTCATCGCCCAAGTCACGACGCTGACATTCCTCGTCAGGGCGCTGGTGCTTGTGCCCTGGACAACCTTCTCTACAAATGGGCCCAACTCGCCGGCCGCAGTTGGTTCGAGGCGGGGCACGCTCAACTCGGCAATCGCTAGTGTTTTCGTGTTGACCGTCATTTCGATCTTGGCGGCAAATAAACCTGGAGGTACCGATGAAGCCGAGATGGTATGTTTTTGCAAGGGTGGCCCCAGGTGTGCCAGATCGTCTCGGGGTACGATCGATATAGTCGAGGTAAAAGCTAAGGGGGTAAAAACTTGCAGATAAGGCAATTCCTCCTCTGCCGTCATGGATACCGGATGGTGGGAAATCGGCAGCTCCTCACTTTTCTCTTCCACGTGATCCTGCTGGGGAGCAAATAAGGATGGAAGCGAAGGGTTCGTTTTACTGAACGGGAGGAATGAAATGGGATTCAAAGCAACTTCAAGCCAGTCTTGTGACGGGTGAGGAGGCGTCTCCTTTTCAGGGGGTAATGCATGCCGACGTAGTAAATCGAGAAGACCATCCTTGTCTCCAGGCACCTTCAATGTCGAACTAGCTCGCCCTGACTGCTGTACTTGATATAACCGATCATTCTCTTGGATAGCTAGGGTCAAGTCCGACTTCAAGCTAGCGATCTCCGCAAGCAGTGAGTCTCGTAGTCCTTTCCTCTCAGCTAGAGGGTCTAGTTCCTCAATATTACGAGCCGGATGTGACTTCCGCCTTCTTTTCCGTTTCTGGGGCTGCGCTCTGAGTGCTCTTTGTACTGTCCGTAATGGAGATTCTTCCCGCGTAGATTCCTTGGTAAATTCCAAGTTGGTGAATCCTCCAGGAAAGACAGGTGGCTGTTTGAGCGGAGAACTCTTAATCCTCTCGGCTAATGCCCTACTTCTCCTGGGACGTCTAGTAGGTGTATTGTGAATGCCCACAGGAGAAGTTTGGATCGAGGCCGGGTCCGATAAGCCTACTTGTGTTGGAGTTGGTGGGAGTTCTGGCTCTTCCGGCTCCGGCGCACCACTACCAGGAGCGGGTGAACGTCGCAACACTCGACCTCGAAATGGATTTATCAACTCTTCTTCTTCTCCCGAAGGTCGTGGTAAAGGGCGTGGTGAAGGCTTATTCGGTGTTCTTCGCGGTCTAGAGGCCATAGCTCCAGTAACGCGTCGAACCGGACTGGCGGGCCAATCGACTGAGGGAGTTTGCTCTTGTTGTGCATTACGATTGTTTGCTGCTGCATTGTCTCCTAGTGGCGGGATGCTCGATTCTCCCTGAAAGGCGGCATCATTTCTATCGCCTGTTCCAGTATTGATTTCTGGCGCAGGGAGTGTATCGTTGGAAGATCGCACTTGGGAGGCATTCCTTCTCTCCAAGATGTCAGGATGTGATCGCGCAAGACTAGCCTTGGTTGGTGATGCGAAAGACTGGATCTGTCGTCGTGTAGGTCGTTTATTTGGCTCGTCTGAGGGCGGTATAGTCGAAGCGCCTACGGGGATGTTGGTGGTGGGCGATGTTTTTCGCCTCTTAGGCGCCGAGGAGTCCATGAAGTTCTCGGGCTACTTTTATATCCTTTTCATACCATAGCGTCTTCGATTATAAACCTAGGTGAGTGGTTGAATGTTGACTACCTGAACTAGTCTTCACGTTGCTGTATTGTCAACCTAGACTCGGATAATTTTGGTATGTTTGTTTTGTCCCGCTTCAGCTCGATTTAGCCTAGAATCTGCGTAGTATTCTGCCCAGGGCTGTATTGCACGCAATTCCGAGTCCAAAGTCCAAACTAATTTATTTAGGAATCAATTCTAATCCAGCAATCCAATTGATTGACAAGATCCGATGTCCTTCGCTTTTTCCACTTTGAAACTTTACATATATGATATATGCTGCTGTTGAAACATGTCTATAAAGACGCGTCTTAAGGTGTGTATAAGTTTGGTGTTGACGCGCCTAAGATCAAGCTTCCTTCCTTAGCTTATCTTATCTGTTATTTTATTTTTATTTTTTTCAACTGTCACTCCTTACAGTAAAATGGCTCCTGCGTAATCCCGCAGTCCCACCCTCAGTCCGCCCAATAAATTCACCACGTGACATCATGCAGCTGCTACTCGTTGCAGATTGCCCCCCAACCCAATATAATTAATATGTACATATCCATATGTATTTGCCCATGACGTGAAGGCCGAAATCCAACCGAAATTTCCCTGAACCCGGAAAACTCAAAGTGCATTCATTCATATTAGGTTCCAATCTCGTCTATTCCCCCAATTCTTTATCCGTCGCATTTTAGATCTTCATTGAAATATACTACCATCTAACCTCCACATTTACCTACCTATCTTTATTATCATAAATTCTACATTTTCTCTCTAGAAGACATACATGATACAACCGGCGCAATGCCCCTCAACACCAAACCCTTGATAAACGCCTCGCGGCTCGGTTCGCTCGCGCGACAGCAATTCCACACCTCCCCTCGTGCCTTCTACTCGAGCGGAGCACGACTCCCCGGAGGCACACCTGGCGAATCCCCGCACCAAGCAATGCCGCTTGGGCTCTACTACGAAGCCGTGCTCAACCGCCCACAGCCGATTCCCGAGGTGAAGCCCGAGCTGCCTCCTACCTCGTCCCCCAAGTCGCCGCGCTCCACCGTGAAAAAGTCGCCGCCTCCCAAGAAAGCATCCCCATCCCCACCCTCGTCCTCCGCCTCCGCCTCAGCCCCAGCATCTGGCCCAGAAACCTCTTCAAAACCCGCAACAGCACAGGAAAAGGCACGTATCATCTTCGGCTCCTCGCTCGCCGGCCCTGCCGAACGGGCGGAGCGCCTCGAAGCCATCCGGAACCACAGTACGCTAATAGCCGGCGTCTTAGTCCCCCCGCGGCCCCAAGAGCCCGACAACTGCTGCATGAGCGGGTGCGTCAACTGCGTCTGGGACCGCTTCCGCGACGACATGGAGGAGTGGGTGTCTGCGAGTGCGCGAGCCGAGAAGGCGCTGGAGGCTCAGCGGTCGCCGCCGACACCCACGATCCCAGGCGCAGTCAAGGAGGGCTTGGAAGAAGGGTTGTCCGTCCCCGCTACTTCTATGAGCATGGATGACGACGGTGGCGGCAGTGAGACGAACTGGCAGACAAATCTAAAAAAGAAGGCCGACAGTCCCAAGATTGCCAAGGATCTTTGGGATGATGAACTGTACAAGAATGTGCCTGTAGGCATCCGGGAATTCATGAAGCAGGAAAAAAGGCTCAAGGAAAAACATAATAAAGAGGGGACCCTCGGGGGTTAAGTGGGAAAAGGGGGAAAGAGAAAGGCGTACGGACTACTTCTTTATATACCCACTGACTGAGTCGAGACAATATAATCAATTCGCCAGAAGATATCATCACGCTCGAGTTTACTCCCTAGGATGTATCTCGGGACGTTTGCTCAGTCTTATTTTATTCTAGGATTTTGGGATTTTGGATTAGGGCGAGTAGGTATACCCTCGACGTGTGTCGAGGTGCCCCTGGTGTCTGGGTGTCTATCAACACGCCCTGTCTACCCTATCTACCCGCTCTGGAAAGACCATAACCATGCCCTCAACTCCGCGCCCCCGGATCTAAGCGGTACCATTCCCGTTGGTCCGTTGCTTACGCGCCAGTTCGTCGTGCTCATCGATATCTATGGCTTCCCATGGATAACATATCCATAAATCGCCGATCGTCCTGGCCGCTAGGTATCGCGATTCGTCTATCATATCCGCGGGCAATGTGCCCTTCTTCGGCTTGTCCTTGTTCTATACGGTTTGTCAGCATCCGCCCAATCCGTTGCGCCAAGCCCGAGTTGAGGCGAATCCCCAAGTGGCAACTTACATGTAAGACAAAGATGCTGAACTTTGTCTTTTCCGGGCCAGCACCCATCTTCTGACGCGCCTCTTCGACGTCTTTCTCTAGCTCCTTGACAGCGTATTCCAGCGTTGTCCGCGTGTCGTCAACCTCGTCTACGATGAGGATGCGCTTTCCCACCAAGTTTTGCATCTCGCCGAGGCTGCTCAGGTCCAGCCATTGTGTGCGGGTGACCTTGGTTCCGATCTGGTCTGGAACGACATCGTTCACATTTGAGGCGTTCGTGACGGGCAGTTGTTCGTAGAGAGAGAGACCAATAGCTTGGATGGGAATGTTAGGGCTGCCAGGCTGCTTTAAGAAAGAGCGCAGGATGCGCGCGGGCACATAGCCACCACCGCCTATGGCGATTATAAGTTGAGGTTGGAAAGATTCCAATATCTTGGGCGCTGCCTCCTGGCATAGCTTATGCACCTATAAGTTGCCAAATATCCCGTTAGAGAAGCTATCTTTTGGTAACATATTTACACTTGCTCTCTTATAGGCATTACGAGCAGTTTTTGCGCCGGCTTGCAATAGAAGTAGGGGGACCGCGGGGTAAATAGGAGAGATAGATGAGATCTGCTTACATCGTTGTAAGTGACGTAGACCTTCTCCACCATTTTGACTGCTATAGGATGGTCACTGGGATTCCGAGACTGTCTGAGATTGTTGGAGATCGTATGGGAGAGAGATAAATATGAAAAAATTGGAGTATTGTGTGAAGAAACTGTGAAAGTTCGAAATAGTAGTCGATAGATAGGTTAGGTCACTAAGTGAAGGGCGATTTTTTTTTCTAGTTAAGAAAAGAGGACCGAAAAAAGAAAAAGACTCGAGTTAAAGTTGCGACTTAGGATGAGTCGAAAGGAAATAGATTTTAGTGGGGCGGTTTACTTTGAGGAAAGGACTTCTTTTTTTTTCTTTTTTTTTTTTTTTTTTCCTTTCCCTCTGTTCCTTAGACACGCACGTGGGGCTGAAGTTCCTTCTTAGACGGTTCAACTTTCAACATGTCTGGCTGCTTTGTTATTCCTTCCTGCCTATTTCTTGCTTGCTAACTTTCTGCTGCTTGCTCCTGCCGCTCCGGATGTTTCCCTGCCTCCCCCAGTCTCCAAAGCTACGGTGCAATGCAGTTTAGTTTAGCGACGAATTAGGCAAGTGGTTGACAGTGGACCTCCACTGGTGACACACTGACACTGCATTTTCAACTAGGTTAGGTAGGTACCGAGACTTTAAATTCAACGGCCATCTCCGCCGTCCTAAGTTGTTGAAGTTTTAAGCTTTGCATGTCTTGTACACAAATCGGATGGATTGTTTCAGATTCTTTAAGAAGTTCATCTCCAAGAAACACTCACACGTTACCTACTAGTACTAGTACTGACCTCCCTACATATACTACCTACTATTCTTACATATACCTACATATACCTACATATATTCACATGTGTAAGTTAGGTACATATGTAGGTCAACTCCAAACCCTCAAAAGTCCTGGTTCACTGCATTCGTTTTCATATACCCAAGGGGCGGTCAAGACGATCCATCGTGTAGTTATGTACCAATATCGCATTGGCACGTTTTGGGTCCTGTTGCAAACCTACCTAACTAGGTCGGTAGGCCAAATCCAAAAAGATCGACATGGAGAATAACTACCGAGGATGATAGTTATATGCATCAAATCATTACCGAGCGGATTCCATTCATGAACAGGCGCACCCAACCTTAACAAGCAAATCGAAATGCCTTCTCATTGAACTCTTTGATACCGACGCTGTGTGCGCGTGTGTGTAAGGAACAGAAAACATGGCCAAGCAATGCAGTGACACCGAAGGAATCAAGTTGCTGATCATCTAACTTATGTCAAACCACAAATCTATCTTGCTGGGCCTTTCTTGTTATGTCATGCACTTCATCCCCAAAACATCCCCGTCCTCCTTTACTTCGCTTTTGTGTTGATCATGCAATGTAGCCAGCGGGACGTGGCGGTGTATTACGAACTTGAACGAACACGACTGTTCAATGTTTTTGTGTGTGCGAGAGAGGGTAGGGACGTAGGTGGTAGACATGTTTCCAGCAATACGCGCAAGGTTGAACGACCTTCTGCTTAAATCACCTCTTGATAGACTCAGGGAGAGGAAGCCGCGAGCGGATGCAAGCCATACTCAATCCCTGAAATGCATAGTAAAAATAGAAGGTGCCAATTGCAAGATGAGTAGGTAAGTATGGCAATATCAACGATGCTTCCGAGAATCTAGTTACCCACCTACTACTACTAGTAGTATGTACTCTAGGTAGGCACTGATACTTTGAACATTATCTTGAACGTTAACTTCAAAATCGGAATACTGCCCTTATGGTTTCAATGTTTCTATTTACCACTTCGAATAATTTCATTCACTATCAACAGACATAAGATACTGCTATCTAGATATTCATTCGTTCCAATACAATCACTAGTATAAGAAATACATCTCATATCCGCCATGAACTACCAAATCGAGAACCTAAGCCTCACACCCGGAGGTTTCAACACTCCACCCGTCCGCCGCAGCCCCCGCCGCCACAACCCCGAGGGCTCCCGCTTCGCGCCCCCGGAGTACATCGAGGCGCAGCTGAGATCCGACCCGCCCAAGAACCTCAGCCCCGTCTGCATCGCCGCGCTGCCGCACGTGCCGCAGTTCGGCAAGACGATGGGCGTCGAGCTCATGACGCTGGAGCACCTGAGGCGGTCCGAGAGAGTAACGCGGCGGAACACGGGCGGCGCGGTGCTGTACATCCCGCTGCAGAGGATGTGGCCGGCGCAGCAAACCTCGGGCCCGCCGCCGCCACCGCAGATGCTGGTGCCTCCGGACCACCGTGACGCCATCCCCTAGGTGTGGGGTTACTGGAAGGTGCACGAGCAGACTATCCCGGTGGTGAAGCCGGCGCACCGGCCGATGGACGAGTGGCGCCTCGAACAAAAGGACATCCTGCTGCCGCTGCGCTTCGCGGAGTACGCGGACGGCAGCCTGGGCCCCTGGCAGTACCGGTTCGTGAAGCGGTGCGACGTGGCGGATTGGGGGTCGCGGGTCAAGAAGAACGGCTCCTTCTTCGCAACGCAGATCCTGTACAAGGACATCTTCTCCCTCCTCTGGTACCTCGAGCGCCGCGCCCTCTACGACGCCAAGTGCCTCGAGTGCCTGTACCCCCGCGAGTGGACGGACCCGATGTACGAGCAGCATGCGGGCTTTTCGGCCACGCGGATGCCGGCGTTTGACCAGGCGCTCGCCAACTACACGACACGTGTATCCAGGGGGGACCTGTACGACAGCGATGTCGAGCCCTGTGGTGAGTTCGAGGCGGACCCTATGTCGATGGGGCTGCAGGAGAAGATTGACCGGTGGGTGCTTTTGGAACCGGACTCTACGGATGGGGGAGAGCCGGATGCTGTGTGGTGACAGGTATGAGTATACATAAGAAGGAAAAGTATGGGGTTTTCAGCGGCTTCGTGTTTATGTTTGAGCGTTATGGGATTCGTTCCTGGGGTCGTTGAAAAGGAGTCACTTTCAGCGGTACAAGGTATTTTTGCTTTCTTTTGCTTCTGAAAATAGGATAAGGTGACTGATACGTCTACCAGTGTTGGTAGATCGTGGATAATCAACAGCCAATAACTAGTCAACATGCTATTATCGCATCTTTGTGGCTTTACTTAGTTATCACAGGCTCAACGTCTAACTAGATGCTCGTGAGTAATGGTATTTGGCTACGTACTGGGTAGGTAATAACCGGACCTTATCCCATAAAATCCAAGAAACCACCACCGAAGAAGTCCTCCATGCTGGGAAATATCGCATGCTCAGACATGTCGAGTGAAAACATCGCCTCGGATTCATGGTGTTGAGGGTCCGAGAAAGCTTCGCCTGCGTGGTACTCCGTAGCTTCATGGGCAGGCCCATGGATACCGTGTTCACCAGGACCGACTGGCGCACTCACATTATCCCGACTATGCGGATGTCCTCTCATCGCCGATGGCTGGGGCACCGTCGTCGAGCTTGACCTACCGTTGATTCGCGACTCAATCTTTTGTTTGGCCAGGGTGCCGTACTTAAAAGACCAAGCTTTGCCCGGCGAGGTCTTGATCCACTGGTCGACTCGCGTGATCAGATCGATGCTCACTTGGTTCGAGACCCTCGACTGCGACTCTTCGTAATGTGCTAGCAGGAGAGCGCAGTACCCGATGCAGAGACAGGTGCAGGTTGGGACTGCGTCCATGAGGAAGGACGGCATTTCGAGAAACGTCTGCAGGACGATCATAGCGTATTTGCAGGCGCTGGCGCGCAGGACGTTGCCGTCATTGCTCGTGGTTCTTCGAAGCTGTGGTGGTGCGTGGTTCTCGTCGTCGCTGGTGTTGTCGTCGTTGGTCTCCGAGAGTAAGGCCCGAGGACGTAGCCCCTGTCCGACTTCTTCTAGTGACCTGACGGCTAGGATGAGGCAGGCGGCGTGGTATCCTATTCTCAACATGGACGAGGTTGGAAGCCCTGGATCACTTGTTAGTGGGGGTATGTTCTACTGGTATAAACTGAGGTACAACTTACCCAGCAAGTGGTTCCATTTCTCTTTCCACGACAAGAACTCCTTGCACTCACCACCGTTACCCAGGTACGACTGGTGAGCTAGCTTTTGGTGCAGCGTGGAGTAGAGCATGATCTCGGCAACCAGCATCCCGTCTTGCATGGTAGCCTGGTAGAAGCTGAGTAGGATGTTGCATTGGGTTATATAATGGTTCGGTATGATGGATGGCCTTCCCGTTGTAGCGGCCCAGCTGTCGGTATGTAAGTCCCAAAAGTCAGCAGAACGGAAGATCGGCGTACCAGGAACTCACTGGAGATGGTGGAGGCATATCTTGGACCACAGGTGAATGGCTTTGTGGTCTTCGCTCGTCAAGCTGCCCTGTTTGATGTTGTTCACAATCTTTGAAAAGCTGATGCTGAGCATGGCTTGCTTGGCACAGTAGCCGGTTAACAGCCAGCTATCAACATATTCAGCTCCGTTCTATCATTACTGGTTAGAGGCCGGAAAGTTTTATTTCAGATACGGTAGGTACATGGCGTGGTACATAGAGAACCCGACTGCTTACTCACACTGCTCGGGCTATTCGCATTGTTGCTCATAATCAGCACTGCATTGATCTCTTCGAGGTTAAGCGGGCTAGATAGGAGAGCTTGTCCAAGCGTGATCCTGATTTGCTCGTATATCTGCCTGTGCATGGCGGTCCCGCATATGTCGTCGCGGTAGACTATACCGATCAGACAGCATACGCTGTGCAAGAAGGCTGATACCTTGCGGTTTTCGCTGCCTATATTTAGGTCATCGACGCCGCATACGAGGAGATTGTGCCCTTGGTAGCGGAAGAAGCTGGAGGCGAGTTAGTAGGTCAATTGGGATGAACAGGTACCTCTACCTAGGCAGGCAGGCAGGCAGACAAGCAGGATCCCTAAACTTACAGCTGAATCAGCTCATTCGCAGTATGTTCATCAAGTAGCTGCAGCTGCACAAGATCTATATTGATGTGGCCTAGTAGTCTTCTATAGCCCCTTGTTATCTGCTGCGATATCGATCTGAGCACTACAATCGGCGCAGTTTGCGCACCTTTGTCAGCTGGGGTCGAGAAATACTCAGGACCGGGATTCTCATGCTCCGTGTGGGATACTCGCGAAGCGTTCTCCAGATAGGCATCGCCTTTGCTGGGTATAGCCTCATCATTATCGTGTGGCTGGCCCTTAGACGTCAGGTCCTTGATCTTGTTCTTGATCTCTTGGAGTTCCTCTTCGTAACGCTGTAACCTGGAAAAGTACCCATGTAAGCAGGTACAGAGATAGGAGAAATGCTACTCAATTATCTGTTACCTTTCTTCCACATTTGAGCTAGAGTAGTCGAGATTAGGATTTGGAGGAGATACTACATGCTCCCCACGAAGCGAACATTCAATTCTTCACACGAAGACGTGTTAGTCAGTTCAGTTCAGTCAGTCAGTCAGTCGGAGCTTTGCGAACGGCTCGAAACTGCCAAGAGCCCCGGTTCCGGCTAACCTCAAAGTCTGGCAGCGGTGACAAGCCTGGGTGCCAGGGTCGTACTCGCATCTGCATTTCAACTTCTGGCACGACAGACAGGAAAATGCTCGGCGGCGTCTTTTCGGGGTGGATCCTTCAGCCGGCGGATTCTCCCCCGTAACGGGGCGCGGGCGTTTTGCGGGCTTGGGAGAAGAAGAAGAAGCAGAAGCAGAAGGCACGGTTGCTTGGGGTGGGACCTCGTGTTCAGAACCAGCAGTACGTGAATTACGGGTAGGTTTCATTCTAGTATGATTCTACCGTCGGTAACAGTTGGCATTTGCCTTTAACCAGCCTGCGAATCGTAACTGAGTTGAGGTGGACGAACCGAGAAGGAGAGATAACTTTCCCCGACGGAAATCGTTGGTGGAGGAAGAAGTTTACATAATACATTGATAGAAATAGTCCGGTTATAGAGTGTAGCATCCGTCGGTTATCGACGGAGACTTGTGATACTATGTAGTTTCTAGGTTAGATAACTATATCCTAGATGACTAAGCTGCAGGCTACAAATTTAACTTGACAAGTTGAAGTATTACAGCTATGTATGTATCCCTTCTTTGCCAAGAGCGACGCGCTATAAATGACAAGGGTAGCGAATAAAGTGCCAGCAGCGCGTCAGCGTGTCACCTCAAAGTCTCTTCTCCCCCTCTTCTAACACCGACCGATTGGTATTTGTGCCATCTCCTTCTTTCTTTCGCACATCATTCCAGCCTGGACAGCTATAATGGCCTGATCCCAGGTAAACAAGTCAGCAACTCTCTTTCTCCCAAAAACACAAAAACAAAACAAAAACCCTACATTTTCGGCAACCACAGAGGCAGCTTCAGGCGAGGAGTCCGGCCCGGACAAGTGTTTGTCGGCCATGGCGATAGCACGGGTAGACAGTGCCTAGCAGGTAAATATGTTTTGATAGACGTTGAAAAGCTTCAAAGTTCAAGAGCTGAGAAGTAGGGAGAAATGAGAGCTCGACTTGGAAGGGGCACTCACTGCCCTGCGAATATTTGGCAACTCCATCTGTTGTCTCCCTTGTTATGATTGTTATTAGCTACCTACCTAGGTACGCATGGTCTGCTTCGGCTCCGCGCTTGCTCGTATCAACGAAAGAAAGAAAGAAAGAAAGAAAGAAAGAAGGGTTCCGAGATACATGTCAGAAACCGACATGTGTAACATACATGCAAGCCTTTTGGAGTGTCTAAACGTGTGGCATTTTCAGTGTTGTTTTATTGGCTCGGGCTTCTACGACATCATCTGCAAGGGGCAGTATACCTTCAAAATCTCTGAAATGCATAGAAATTATGGTACTTATTCATGTCATCGACCTTTTAAACTTAATTCCTCTTTCAAAATATCTCCTCTGATTTGCTTTTCGTCTGGGCTCAGGGCCTATCGTCCGTATTAGCCCGTACGAACTTCACGTCAGCGATCCCGGTTTTTTCGAGAAGCCTTACTGCCAAGACGGGCGCTGGAATAAGTATGAGTTCACATACAACGCATTCTCCGCCAATGGCTCGACTATCTGGTCCGTTACCGTAGCACGCACATCACAGTTATGGCGCTAATGGGCCAGTAAATAGCACCCCTCAGCATGAACTCCATAGAGATTGCCGTTTGCCGCTGAATCACTTCTTCAGCAAGGCTACAGTGACTGCACGACAGGACCTCATTTCCCGCAATATCAACAAGCTATGTATGCGGATCTCACAGCGCCTTGGGAGTAGCATCAACTTGGGAGCTGCTGTAGCCGCTCTTTCGCAGGATGTCTCGTGTGAAATTACCCTTAATAAAGCGTGCGGAAGCCTAGATAAAGATGACTTCAATATCGGCACGACATATATGCTCCAGAGCGCGGGTTTCGCTTGGCGCGTTGCCAAACATATTCCCTGATTAACAGTGTCCAAGTCGATTGATGTTAGTCTCATATTGAGATTTGTTGACGAGAACATTGCAACCTTCTTCCGATTTATCCAGGCAAGTTGGCTTCCCTTCCATGATAATGGACGTCAAGTATGGGAGCTGTTCTAGCCTTTTTAATTCCAACAGAACATCTTCAGAAGAAGAAGAAGACGATGCCGTACTAGCACCAGCTGTCGTCGCGAGCCCAGCGCGCAGACGTTGCAGGATCTCGGCGTTGCTAAACAGGTGATATAGCATCAATCTCATTACGCTGGACACAGTTTCCAAGACTGCGCCCACTATGGTCTGGAAATCACTAATAACGCGCGGTAAAGACTTGTCAGCTGGAGGAAGCTTTGAGCCCCAACTCTATAATCTCCAGTCTTGCGTGGGCCGAACTATACATTACTCTCGCGACCATTGCTCGACACTTCGATTTCGAATTCCAGGATATCCAGGCTTCGGACTTCGAAATGGAGAGTGATGATTTCATTATTGTGACAAAAAATAAAGCCCTGCTTAACTGCGATGTAAACCTGCCCGAGGCTTGATGCGCAGCATAAGAATATTCCAAGCTATCACTCTTGATAATGCAAAATAGTGCGAGGCGTATGGGCCACCTAGGTTAGCAAACTTACTATAAATAGTCACTTGAACAATTATACAGACTATTGTTACCTTCAAACCAATAGCCCCCTGACGACCCGACAGGATACTATCCCAGCTCTTTGTATACGTTAGGTACAGTCAGGAGTTTGTAGAAGTTATGTATACGAATCAGAGTTTTAGTCAGCAGAGACACCCACCCCCCTTGTTGACCTTTTTGCTTTTTGCTTTTGCTCGGAGCCTCTTCTCTCCTTGTCCCGACTTCACAGCTCTTCACATCTATGCTTGATATGACTCACTTGATTTCTGACAAGTCATCATCTGCCTAACTTCACACTTTCCCCTCTCTCGACTCCTATTCTCACCGAAATAGTATGTGAATATTTCCTGTATAAGTTATTTCAGACCACGGCTGCTGAACTCCTTACTCCATCTACCCCTTAAGGGGTGCACTTCCATGTAAGCTCTTCTAGTCTTAACTAGTTGAACAACATCGCACAACTTACTTTACCCATCATATCGATCAATGCTTTTGACGTCTACTACCTTGGCTCGTATAGCTTCTTCTATATGTAGAGTAGGTTTGTAGGTATATAGATAGCTTACCTTTATCGTTTTGTCTTTTATATTTCATAGGAACAAAACGTCCACGTTCTCTGCCTGATCAGGCCTTCTTTGGTGTTTGCTAGAAAGGCAGGCACATCTCCTTTATCTGTCACCCTCTAGGCAGAAATTCACACCAACTACGAACACGCAATAAGAATCTTTAACCCTTTCTCGTCAGCCATGCAAGAGGGGCGTTCTCTAACAAATCAATATGCTATATCTTGGTGCTCTTAGGTCTATAGAATGGGGATGTTAATCTCACTGGGACATCCTAGATATTTAGTGTTGTATGGAGAAAATAGTCTACTTCTCTGTGCCTTTTCTTCCTAATTCGATCTACCACCTTCCAAGTTTACTTCAGGGGTTTTCTTGGTAGGCTGCCGATTTGTCTCGTCACTCCAAGTCTAGATTTTGTTACTCCATATCGTGGTCAGTAGAGGTGCCATATTCCTTGCTCCTCTTCTTCAACCTACATCGTTGAAGCACTAGATGTTTCCCCAAGCACTACGTATAGAAGCTTCTATCATACTATAATACAACAACTTGCTAATTCTTACTACTAGAACTAGTTCAGCAGCCATCATGAGTTACATCATGGATCTATCGTCGAGCGGCTGGGAAGAGGAGGAGCTATCAGCAGATAGCGTGCAAGCGGCGATCGAGCGCCGCTTCCAAGAGATGCCTTCATTCACAGGACATGCCATGATCGACCTCACTCAAAACCAATATGACGAAGAAGCGGACCAGGCGGAGAGAGAGAACGAGATCAAGCTTGAACCAGAAATTGCCCAGGTGATCGAAGTGATTGATTTGACAAAACCCGAGCCAGTTGATCTGCCTATCGTAGGAAAGTTGCCGCGAAGAACACGCACCGTTATCCCTCCGAAGCGAAATCTTTCAATAACACTACCCAACTACTTGGTAGACAGCTATAAACATAACGGCATGGAGCTAAAGTGTGGGAGTACAGTAGAGATAACTCCAATCCCCGAGCTCAACCAAGCCTCGTTTCTCTATATCAAACTCATCATTATCACCGAGTCTGGCCCTGTGCTACGGGGCCTACCGATGACTCGCACAAGAAACCTACGAGGGCGATTACAACGGCTACGGAACGAACTTGCGATGATACTCGAAGTAGACCAAGACGACACTCGACCCGACGAGGACCAGGCCGCAATCGAAGTTTCCATCGATATGGTACAGAAACCTCGAGTCTGCCACATCACGAACAAGGAGTTTCCCGAGCTTCGGTTCCAGGGCGGAATCTATCACGACACTGCAGAGGTGGAAGAAACAGGGCCACTTGTATGCCGCTGGAAGTGCAAGCGTATATGGGTCGACACTCTCAAGCGTGTGAATCACAAGCCGCCTCACGAGTTCGTCATGGCGCGTATTACTGCCGAGGAGGTTCCTAGGGATAAGTTCCGTACTTCTAGCTCTTACCTGATCAATACCTGGCGAGGGGGCAAGGTACTCGGCGGGTCTTACATCACGGAGGAACCAGAGGGCCTGAAGCCAACGGTTAACGTCGATGTGCCTGAGGTCCAAGATGACATGTCAGATATCACATGGGCCCGCAAGAAGCCAGGCCAACAATATTCCCTCGCCGACATGTTCTGCGGAGCTGGAGGAGCATCGTGTGGTGCCCGATCGGCTGGTTTTCGTATTAAACTAAGTTGCGACAATGCCCCTGGGGCTTGCAACACCTACCGACTAGAATTTCCCGAGGTGGACTTGCGTCAGGAGAACATGTACGACTTCATCATATCCATGCGGTCCTCCACCTACCGCGTCGACGTGCTACATCTCTCTCCGCCGTGCCAATATTGGTCCCCAGCCCACACCACTCCAGGCGTTGACGACGAGGCCAACATCGCAATTCTCTTCTCTTGTCACGAGCTGGTTAAGATTCTACGCCCGCGCATTTTCACATTGGAGCAAACATTTGGTATTCTACATCCCCGGTTCGAGTTCTACTTCAACGCATTGATTCACGGGTTCACGCAGCACGGGTACTCAATCCGTTGGCGGGTGGTCAACCTGCTCGAATGGGGGGCGCCGTCGCAGCGCCAACGTCTAGTCATGCTCGGCTCCTGTCCAGGCGAGCCGCTCCCCCCTTTCCCAGCCGCGACGCACTCTAGAGAGCCCAAGCCCGGAGACGGGAAGAAGCCCTACCGAACGGTCCGCCAGATGCTACGTAAAATCCCCCGAGATGCTGCGGCGTACGACGATCTCCACGAGCCGGGGAAGCTGAAGCGGCTGCACAAGCCGCGCTGGAACCCCGACATCCCGCTCGCGCGCACCATTACCTGCGGCGGCGGCGTGGGGAACTATCATTACAGCGGGCGGAGAGACTTCACGCCGCGGGAGTACGCCGTTCTACAGGGGTTTCCGGTGGACTGGCGGTTCCAACGGCCGCAGCAGAAGAAGCAGATCGGGAACGCGTTTCCGCCGCTGGTCGTCCACACGCTCTTCAAGCACCTCCGCCGGTGGCTCGAACACAACGACCAGGTGTTGCCGGATGCCGACGAGGTTTCTTCGGAGTCCGAGCACGAGGAGGAGGAGGAGGAGTATATTGTCAGTGAATATGAGGAGTCTGACCACGACGGATATGGGGGAGGGTTGGACTATGATAGCGATGTGCAGTATATCGGAAAACGCGAGATCGACCAAAGTGACAGCGAGGTGGAATTCCTGGGGGGACGAAGTCTGTTCGTCAAAGATGCTAGTGTGGTTACGATCAACGACTCGAGCTCGGACGATGATAATGGTGATGATAATGACAATGACAATGATGGCATGGAGATTGATGCGATGAGCCAAGATGCCCACAGTCCTGGTGTTTGTGTAGGTGCTGCGGCTCAGCTGGGAGGGGGAGGAATGTATGCCTCTGGCCCTATCGTGCTTGACTAAAGGGGGTCATTGTGTTTGATTCAGTCTGGGGGTGGCTACTCAGAAATTACATAGCAAGCCAGTCCTCTTGCGTGCTTGCTCGCTCGTTCACAAATACATCTGGTTAGGGAAATTACAACTCGATGGACGAGAGAACAATCCCAGGAAAAACGCGTAACCTAGAAAACAAGCAATATCACTCAAAGGCTTGTTTATACACTTGGCGGCTAGATATCATCAAAACAAGCAAGTTTCGCCATCGTCCCCAAGGCTTGAAGTGGCAACATTGGAGATCGAGGCTTCGTCTATTCCTGCATTCCTACATAGGCAACCTGCTTACCTACTTAGATACTTACAATGTAGCATTAGTTGAGGCTGAACCTAGACTCAGGTAGACTATGCGCTACATGATGCTGTGCCTCTTGTTCCTGCAGTCTAGTGTCTATCACAGCCTATAGGATATAAGCGACGAACCCTTGCTAGACTATATCTACTATCCAATCTCAACATGGGAATATGGGATATTACTCTGTGCTAGTTATGGTAATAGGGAACATACATGTAGGCATCACTATTACCTACATAGTACATACATATTACTTTCGTGAATCCTTGAACGCGACAGCGACCCGGAAAAGCCCGGATCATCCGACTAGCATGGAAATCAGCCCACAGATTTTTCTTCTTTTCTATTAACAAAATTGGCTAGGTCAGGTAGTTACCGTGCGAATAGAATAACACTGGATCTTTGGGTTTTTTTTTTTTTTTTTTTTTTTGCCTGGATGACCTATTCCCTATTCTGTAGGTAATGTAATGTAGTTAGTAGTTACGGTGTAAGTTGCGGGAGAACAATCTGGAACATCGAGCTACGCCGCTTGACTAGAGTTATTGAATCTCTGGGAATTTCACATGCACGCAACTGCTTGCCCCCCGTAAGAGCCCATCACGTACATACCTAGGTACCGACCTACAAATCTATGATATGATGTTGAATTTGTAGGTGTGTGAACTAAGTGGTAGTTATGTCGCTTGGAAAAGCTTGGGAAAGCTTGGAAAAAGAAGACGATGGCGGTATAGACAGTAAGAAAAAGTAGGTACGTAATCTATGATGACCCCAAAGGGGCAGATATCCAAAACTTCAACCAATGTCGTGGCGAACATGAACCCGATTATGTTCGAATCTAGCGATGGATCAAGAAACCCAAGAGCTTTCGAGCCTTGGCAGCTATTGAACAAGGCTATCTAGTAGCCTGTTAGCCCTCGGGTTGCAGATTTGAAGTTTGGGATACATGTATGTAGTTCATGTGGAAGCCTATTACGAGCTGTCTACCTAGGTAGTCTAACGCTGTAAGCGCGAATAAAGGAGTCCACAACGGAAGTCGTCCGCTGCCAGTAGTGGGTGGCCGGGTACCTATGTAACCTACCTACATAGTATCCATGATACTAGTAATGCTAGTTAGCTGAGAAGTTAGGAGGTGTTTACCCGTCAATATTGGTTCAGCCGTTCTATACAGGCCGTATACTATTAACCTAACCTTAGGCGATTTCGAATAAGGAAAAGAAGCAAAGCAAATAATAGTCACCGCATCATTTGTCGTGCCGTATTTTCGGCCAACATCAACACTCAATTTTCGTTTACGAGAGGCCGGCAATTGGTGTAGGTAAGTGGGTTAGTGGGCCTATCAAAGCCCTACATACCTACATACATGGTCTGCCATGTACATGATTGTTGGTGAGTTGCAGCCGTAACGGGTCTGTATGCACATACCTACAATAGTGACATGTACATATGTATCATACGGCGTAGTAAGAAGCCACTTGGGTAAGTACATATAATATCATGATACCATTGATACGAATCAACCACATACATTTACTGTAGTTAATAACTATGTGGGCATCAATAAACGTGCAGGAGTGCCTGCATACATAGTGGTTGTCGAGGGAATTTGAAGTTGCCCGCGTCAGTCAGATTTATAACCGTTGGTAGCGACTTACATTCCAGGTAGTTGATTATTGTAGGTGCCTATGTCAAAGACCTCTGAGGAACATTGAAGGGATTCAATGTTGTTTCTATGGTACATAGGTACATTGTAGCTTGCTACCGAAAGCATTGATGTTTAACGGTCTGAGACATTATTGAACATTGAACATTGAACACGAGGCGACGGCAAGCCATCTAAGACACACAGACAGTCTAGACCATCTTGTGTTGCGCCGAAGCGACGGTAACGGTCGGCGATAGTACATTATCTACGTGAAATATCACAACGAACGGATCCCCGATCTCATTCGTCCTAAGAATAGGCACACCTTCATCTACTTCAATGTATGATCTCCAGGCCCGGCTATCTAGGGATGTGCAAAGGTAGGTAAGTAGGTAGGTATGTATGGATATTAAGCATGACTTCGACTTGCAAGGGGACCCTTAACCGTTAAGATCAGTTACCTATTTTTGGAGAGCACGTCTTTGGCTGCAAGACGAAGCAGATAAAATACACAGACAGCTAATTTCCACATAAGCTGACATGTCGATTTAAAACCCTCAACTCTCGCGCGTTTTGGTCACCAAGGATTGAAATTGGATTCAGGTATTGCATGTACTGTAGGTAGTCTGTAGGTACTAGGTAGGTTATGAGTTATGTTACTTATGTAGTATGCATTTAGTAAAGAAATGGATCGGTCGATGCTGTGCTGTGATCATGCAATTCATTGATCGATTCACGGTTCCCTACATGAATGGAACTGCAGGTTTGGGAGGCACTGTAAGTAAGATGAAAGGAAATTACATACATGTTAGTCACAAATGTCAGATTCTCAAACCGGGTATAACATAATTACCATTTACATAGTACTATGATAGTAGTAACTTGTCAGCAAAATATTCATATTGCATACCAGGTAGTTAGGTGAGCTATTACTAGGTATGCTGGTATGTGTTGGTATGTTACGGCGTAGTACTGTGGTAGTTTAGTCCACGATTTTGACCTTTTGGTCTTCTATAGAGAAAACGGCTAGAATACGTGGAGTCAAATAACATAGAGGACCAGATATTCGAAACGGAAACTACCTGTCGAAACGAGAGAACAGACTGGATGATAGCCTAGTGTGGCAGTTCTGCAGGCCAGCCAGCTAAACTCCCCGAGTAATTTGTAGGGCTGTTCATGTCTCTGGTACCCCTCGGGACTTTTCCCTTTTACCTACTAGCCACCTGCAGCCTGCTAGTGATTGATGATGGTGGACCGTCGACGATGGTGGATTTGCTGGGCTTTACCTACAGAGAACCACATAGTTAGAGACAACTTCAATTTCGCCCGTTTTGACATCTAGAATCCGCCGACCTAAGCTCTTTAGTCGCAGCCGCAGCGGCAGTGCCGCCCCCTTATCCACAGGGTCAGCCCCCGGTCCACGCCAAGATAACTTATGCCGATCCCTATCTTAACTCTTCCCATCCAGAGTACATGCTCGCCACATAGAATAGAGGTGGTGAACACGAGTACCTACGTAGTAAACATTAGCTAGACCTGCTAAGCTAATCAAGGATATGGCACGCCGGACGTTGATGTAGACATTCACGTCATCCCGACTTGCCGAAAAGTTCTATAGCACGCGAGGGACTCCATGGAAGAATTAAGAGAGGGTCATCTTATCAGAAAGATCAACAGTCGATGAACTTGTCTGGGTTAACAGACTGGTTTTCTAGGGATGTTATCACTGGTAATTATATATCTATTTCTGAATAGTAGTACGTAAGTAGCAAATTTCAAATATCAAATATCAAATAATAATTAATGAGAACAAAAGCTTGAAAATAGATGGATAGTAGTAAATGTTGGTTGTATGTATTCGGGCCTCCCATCCAATATTGATACATACATGGAATTTCGCCAATTCACACTTGATAGAAAGAAGAAAAAAAAAACTATCATAACATTACAACGTTGGCTCCTCTCGCCTGATTGCCCAATTAAGCCTTCGGAGTGAAATTTTGGAGCCATCATCTTTACCTATCTAGGATAACATCAGCACCCCCTTTCCCCTTTTTCACTCTGCCGGTTCCTGAATGAAGACCGTGCGCACCCAACTCAACCCCACAGATTAATGAATGTTGCAGGGTGCAGGAAGAGACGGTACCCCTTGCTAAGGTCCCTGTCAACTGGGTTCGCTTGTTACCCTCGTCCCCTGGCAGATCCACAAGGGTAGCTGTCGAGAGGGGACGACACGCACGAGCAGAGCCCCTGTCCCTAACCCATACACACCCATACACACCCATACACATCCATACAGCTACCATATTCTCTTTGTAATTCGATACTTTGGGTTGCTTGGGCGTAGCTTTTGGCTAGGGCTGTCGAACCTTTGCCTTAATTGTCGATCTGAATTAGGTCAAAAGGTCAATAGAACTTGACCGCTAAGTCAGTGGGCAAAGAACGATTCCAGACTAATGGGCTTGCCTAATCACGGGTGGCCGGGTAGGCTTCTGATGCCCCTTGGCCGATGAGTGGTGCTCATTTCAGATGAAGACATAGAAAAGCGAGCCGTGGCCGTCACTTGCCGTCTTGTTTCTTCTTCTCTTCCCTCCTCACTCCATCATCAAGCCTCGGCCAAGATAGTCATTCCTTTGTGCTTTTCGGCATAGTACACTCTCTTTGGAATTAATTTTTATTCCAGTCCATTCTTTAACAGTTTGCCGTTTTTGCGCCTGATTTTAATCACCATGCGTTTCTCAACCCACGGCTCCGCGGCCGTGGCCATGGCGGCATCGCTCGCCAGCGCCACAGTGCCCGTCGAGCGAAGTCTCCTCAACCTAGACACCCCCAGTGACCTGAGCGAGCCCATCACCGCCAGCGTGGATATTGGTGTAGACTTGAGCGGCACCACCCTCGTGGCTGGTGTCGTTGCCAACATCGCCCTTCCCCCGGTTGTTGGTGCCGCCGCCGAAGTCGAGGTCGCCGTTGTGTGTGACACCTGCTTCACCAAGGGTACCATCGATGCCAGCATCTCCCTCGCGAATGTCGTCCCCGCCCTGAGCCTTAAGCTCTCCAACATCGAGGCCAAGCTCGACCTCGATGTCTACCTCAGCGCCGCCGCCGTCATCGCGGTCAACCTATTCACACCCGAGGCTCCCATCAAGCTATCGCTCCCCGGCTTGAACGTTGACGCTCTGGTCTACCTCGACCTCGTCATCGGTGCTCACACCGAGATCGACCTTTCCGCTGGCATTGATGTCAAGCTTGCCGATGAGGCTCACATCGAGACTGATATCTTGGCTGGAAAGATCCTCGACGCCGCTTTCTCTGGTCTCTCCGTCCAGGTCCTCCCCATCGAGGTCCGCATTGGATGCACTGAAGTCATTGCCGATCTCCGCCTCCGCGTTGAGCTCGGTGTCGCCGCTGAGGTTGACATTGACGACGTTCTCCCCATCCTAGACCTCCCCGAGATCGGTGCCGGTCTTGAGGTTGCCGTCTTCGCCAACTTGTTGGAGTATGTCGGTTTCTTCTGCGCCACCCCCTCGTGCCCTCTCTCCACCGAGAAGTACGGACTTAACATCGGTGCTGCCGTCGAGTTGGACGTCGCTGTGGAGGATCTCCTGAACCTTCACCTCGCCCCTTCAATCTCCACTGAGCTCCTCACCCAGCCCATCAAGACCATCTGCGAGCACCCCGACTACACTCCTACTGCTATCCCTACCCCCACTGGCCCCGGTATCTCATTCACCGGCACTGCCCACGCTTCCATCCCCGGTGGTGCTCCTCCTGCCACCATCACTGGTCCCCCTGGCACTCCCTCTGGATACAACGGTGGCGATGTCGTTACTAGCACCATCACCAACGCCCAGACCTTCACCATCACCCAGTGCGCCGTCAACGTCCCCAACTGCCCGGCTGGATACCAGACCACCGCCACCCTCGTCCACACCACTGTCTACACGACGATCTGCCCGGCTACCCAGACCCAGCACCCCGCCAACCCCCCTCAGACCAAGACTCAGCCCCCTGTCACCGTCACCAAGGAGGTTGTCACTCTTGTCCCTTGCTCCACCGTCGAGACCTTCACTCCTCCCTCTGAGGTCCCTACTCCTCCTTACCCTACCGGTGGCTACAGCACCCCTGCCAAGCCTACCGGCGGTGCCAGCACTCCCCGAAACACCCCTACCGGTGGTGAGGACTACCCCGCTGAGACTCCCGCTTACCCTGCTGAGAGCACCTCCGTTGACGTCCCCCACCGCACTCCCACCGGTGGTGCTTCCACCTCCGTTGACGTTCCCCACTTGACGCCTACTGGTGGTGCTGAGTACCCCAGCACCGCTGTGGATGTCCCTCACTTGACACCTACTGGTGGCGCTTCCACTTCGGTTGATGTTCCTCACCTAACCCCCACCGGTGGTGCCGAGTACCCTGCCGGCACTCCTAGCACCGCTGTCGATGTTCCCCACTTGACCCCTACTGGTGGCGCCTCCACCTCGGTTGATGTTCCTCACTTGACGCCCACCGGTGGTGCTGAATACCCCAGCACTGCTGTCGATGTCCCTCACCTAACGCCCACCGGTGGTGCTTCCACCTCCGTTGACGTTCCCCACTTGACGCCTACTGGTGGTGCTGAGTACCCCAGCACCGCTGTGGATGTTCCTCACCTAACACCCACAGGGTACACGCTACCCCCCTACCCTACCGGCCCCACCGGTGGCTTCAACACCTCCACGTCGTGCATTGAGAAGCCCACCGGTGGCCTAACCCCCACCCCCAGCTACCCCGTTGGCGGTGGTGGTGAGCCTCCGATCGCCACGGCCGCCGCCGCCAAGGTTGGCAGCGGTGTTGCAGGCGTCCTTGCCGTCGCTGGTGCCTTCTTATTCATGTAAATAGGGAGAAATTAAAAAGAGAAATAACAGGGGATGGAATGATGTTTTTTATTAACTTAAAAATCCGTCTGCGTGGGGAAATAATTTAATGCGAATGTGAGGTAGTGGTTCAGTTGGTTGTGGTGTGGTTTAATTTTTTTTTTACCAAGGGACGGACTCTCCAGAGATAAAAATCAAAGGCCCCCTCTAATCTGTAATGTTTTCATAGACAAGCGATCGAGGGCGTGTTAAACACCATAGCTTTGGGTAGATACCACTTTATGTTCATGATCTCGTGTAAACTTATTCGGATCTTGGGTCGTCGTCAAGTGTGCTGTGTATTGTACTGTCCTGTCTGGTAAAAAAGAAAGACACCGCAGAGTTGTAGGAGAAAGCCGTTCGTAGTTTTGAAACGCCTTTTCTTTTTTTTCTAGTGTTTCAATTTTTTCTGTATACTATAAGTAGTCAAATATGTAACAATTGTTCTTTTCTTTTGTCACATTCTACTGTCTTCATTACTTTAGCTACTTCAATTCGTCTGTGGCCGTTTTCAAATACCCCTTTTAAAACGTTTGCTCTTCTACTCTGCTTCCTTTTGACGCAATGGCCTTCCATTAACACATATGTCTTTTACTTCAATTTTATGTCCAGGTCACATTTTGATTTGATATGAGGTAACTATCAGTCAATGCTTCTATCGATTCCTCTTACCCTCCCGCCCGTACTTGAAGTTAACATCTTCCATCCTCACCCAGACTCTAACCTCTGTTCATAACTTCGCAATGATGTAATCATCCCATTAGGCCATCAGTTGGGTATTGTCCAATTGTTCCTTCGTTATTAACAACCTTTCGTCTTTTTTTTTTTTTTTTTTCAATTCCCATTAATTCATATAAGTGTATCTGGGTCAGGGGAATGAAATGTCCGTAGCCGGAAGTACTACACCCAATGCATCCTCGACCATCACGCCGTCGGTTGTCTATTCTTTCTAGCCTGCTTTATCTATACCTTCCCGGTGGTTAGTTGGTGGGTTCCCCATTAGTTCAGCTCTAGCGAACCCGGCGTCGTTGGCGCTTCTCCCTTGTAAGTCACACCTGCAAGTTCCCGATTCGGTCTCCGTGCCATGACATAATTCAAAATTCTCCTGCTGGCTGGGGCTGTTGGTTATGGCTCTAGGTCACACAACTTGCTGTGCCACGTCGTCTCACTCACATATATCCCCCGCACTATATCCCGCGAATCCTGCGCTAGGGACGCTTAGGATCTTAATTCTCTGAGGCTACGATCGTATGCCGTTAAGCGTCTGCAATGGTTTTCTTCTCGCTACTCTGCATTCGGAGAATTCGGGGACCAATCCTTCCCATGGTTCAGCTGGTATTTTTCAGTATTTTTCAGTATTTAAATCTCAATAACCGACTGTCTTGAATACCCAACTCTTCCCTGTCCTTGTCTCCTTTCACCTTCCAAGACAGTTAAATCCTTTCCTATAACATTTAGGTATTATTACAATGGCACCTCCATTCCGCGCAGAGCAATTAGGGTCTCTATTGAGACCCGATGACTTACTGGCCGTGCGTGCGACCATACGGGACAAGGGTATCTCGGCGGAAGAAGCAGGACTTCCGCCTATTGAGAAGACAGCCGTTGGCGAAGTTGTCAAGTTGCAACAAAACCTAGGCTTCAAGGCAGTGAACTCAGGCGAGTTCAACCGCACGCGCTTTTGGGGACTCTTCTGGGATGAGATAGAGGGCACCATTGCCCTTCAGAATGCTGAGTCTAGTATCTTTCGGCTGTACCACCCAGATGTCGTCAGCTTGATTGAGAAGGACAGAAAGGTGATGCCCGGCGAGTCAGTGATTGCGGGGAGCAAGCTGTCGCACAATCCTAGCAAGTCGCTGTCCAACCTACAAGAGATTCAGCTAGTTCAGCAATTCGTTCCCCAGAGCGAATGGGGCAACATCAAGCTCACCATGATTGCGCCAAGCTGGTTCCACATGAGATATAAGCAGGGATGTGCTTATAAGAAGGAAGCTTACGCCAACGATGCTGAGTATTTCGCGGATGTGGCCAAGGTCTACCATGCCGAGCTGCAGATGCTATACAAGGCCGGGTTACGGAACGTCCAGTTCGATGACCCTGGCATGGCTTGTAAGTCCAACTCGTCTGGGGTGCTGGAGTGCTTAGCACTTCATCAGCTAACTTGATCCGTAAATAGACTTTTGCTCCAAAGACTTCCGAAAGGGCTGGGAAGAAGATAAGGACAACGCCGGGACGTGGGAGGACCTCCTTGACGCGTACATTAAACTGTACAACGACATCACCGAGAACCTGCCGTCGGACTTCCACACGGGCATCCACTTGTGCCGAGGAAACTTCATCGGCGGCAGGCATTTCTCAGAGGGTGCGTACGACATCATCGCCAAGAAGCTCTTCGAGAACCTCAAGGTCAACACGTTCTACCTCGAGTACGACACCGAGCGAGCGGGTGGCTTCGAGCCCCTGCAATACCTGCCCAAGGATAAGAAGGTGGTGATCGGCGCCATCAGCACCAAGACTCGCGAGCTAGAGGACAAGGAAACCACCAAGGAGCGCATTTACAAGGCAGCGGAATTTGTCGCGGAGGGCAATGGCGAGACCCGCGAAGAAGCGCTGAAGAGAATCTGCTTCAGCCCGCAATGCGGCTTCAGCACTCACGAGAGCGGCTACCCCCTGTCGATGGATGACCAGAAGAAGAAGCTGTCGCTGGTAAGGCAGATTGCCGATGAGATCTGGGGCGAGCCGTAGATTATTAAAGATTATATATATCCATATAATAATATCGGAAGTTTGGGTTAAATGCGATGCCGTAGAGGCATATTGGCGCAGGCTTGGTTACTTCAACAGTCCAAAAGGATCCATGGATGGGTAAGATGGTAGTTTGAGACATGGGAAAACTGGCGTAGATATTTTTTATTTTTTTTTGAAGGGTATACCCATAGAGAATCAACTTCTAGCAGGAGGAGAAATATCGACTCTGGTCGCACATTTTAAGACTTCACTAATGCAGGTACGAGAAAACCAAATCTATCCATTGCCCAATGATTCTATCTTTTGAGTCCGTGAACGGTAAGGTATGGCAAACCCAACTGCCCTTAATGACACCCTAGGATGCCATGTTGCTTGGCTTACTACTACGCCGTATACTATTTCCCGAATAGGCAATTTTCTATAATGCTACGTCATTGGCGCATTCGGGGCCCGTTGTAATGTACGGTTCATCGATTCTACGTCATCACCATGGACTTCTCTTTAACACTGCGTTGTACATACTATGTATATAGTAGGTGTATAGTAGGTGTATATAGTCTATTCACTACCTTGACTTTACAATAAATCATCTCCTCACTAAGAGCTGAGCTTCAAACTTGAACAATATTCAAGTCAACACCAAAGGGGAATCAAGAAAGAAAAAAAAGAAGAGAAGAGAAACAAGATGGCGGAAATTGTAGCAGGGCTATGGGCAGCTGAAGAGGTTGTTTCAACCGGCATCTATGCTGGAGTAGCTGGCCATGTCGTTACGAAGCCTACCATGCCACTCAAGGCCACATTCACACAAATTGGCGCCACATCAGACGATGCTTCCAAGTAATTATTTTTATTATTCCGATCTACCTTCCCGTTATTCATGCAAAACGACAAACAAGCACCAACTAACACTTGGCTTTTCAAGATCCTCCCTTATTAGGTCCCACCACACCCTTACCATCCTGGCCCACAGGGCGTACATCTTCGGGGGTCAAACAAGCCAGGGCAAGCTCGCCACTTCCAACATGCATTCCATAGCCCTGCCATCGTCGAGCACGGACACGCCTGAGTACCGAGTGCTGCCGCCCATCGCTGCCGAGGCAGACGGCCCGATACCCGCACCCCGGACGATGCACGCCGCCTGCGCATTAAACAACCATGTCGTCATCTACGGGGGTGTCGATGAAACGGGAAACCCACTCGACGAGGGTGCCACGGTACTGTGGCTATATGACACGGAGAAGCTTTCGTGGGGAACCCTAGAGCCTGCCAGCCACCTAGAGCGGGCGCCGCCCCCGCGGAGCCAGGCCAGGTTGCTGGCGCATAAAGACGGCAATCTTATTCTCCTTGGCGGCAGAGACGCGAAGGCCAAGGGCGGCGCCGATCGAACCGATGCTTGGCACTTCGACTTCTTCACCAAGACGTGGAACCAGCTGCCGCACGTGCCGGGTACCAGTATCACGAGCGCCGCCGTCGCGGGAGACACATTGTATGTTATTTCTGGCTCCGACACCCTCAGCAGCGAGATACATCGTCTGGAGATCAAGCTGTACGCCGAGGAACCTCCCACCTGGGAGACCATCTCCTTCCCGACGAACCCTCTAGCACCCGGCCCTAGACCGCGGTCTAATGGTGGATTAATACCCGTCACCACCGGCTACGGCCGGAACTACCTCCTCTACTTCTTCGGCGACCGCCAAGACGCAACCGATAAAGAAGGCGGGCTCCTCCAATGGAGCGACCTGTGGACCTTCCAGCTCCCGTCCAGCGACGTAGAAGTCAAGGCGACGACGACCAAGGTTGCGGAAGCGATCAAGCCGGCCAAGATCAAGGACGCGATACGGTCGAAGTTTGGGGCCGAGACGGGAAACCTGACCTGGGCGGAGGTCGAGGTGCAGCCGCCTGGGGATTTGCAGGAGCATGAGGGGAAGGTTCATCCCGGACCGCGGAGCTCGTTTGGGTATGATGTGACGAGTGATGGACAGAGTGTTGTGATGTGGGGAGGTAGTGATGCGAAGGGGGAGCCCGAGGGCGATGGATGGATTATCAGGTTGTCGTGAGAAGATGCCAAAATGTAATTTTTTTATATAAAAAAAAAGGAAGGGGGGGGGGGGTTCAAAAAGGGGTACGGGAAAATAAAATCATTTGTCTTCACAGCAAAAAGTCTTACTAGATTATGACGAGACATCGATACTGGCTTCCAAGCCCTTCAATGAAACCATCAAAGAAACCGAACAAGAAGTGTTCCTTGCCCTTCTTTCATGAACTCGTTGTGCCAGCACTCGAGGCGTGTCTTTCGGCTATCAATCGTGAACAAAGAGCGCATCTGGCGGTAGAACAAACTATATCACGCCGAAATAGATCAACAACATTGGGACACGCCAGGTAGATAGAAAAGTAACAATCTCAATACCTACTTATTAACAAATTCAAGATGAGTAGGAGCTACAATAGAATATCCGTCTACGACGCTAGACCGTTTCACGCCTACCTCTCATCCGACGATGGCGAAGGGGAGGACGACGACGTTGATGTGTGGAAGGATGGTCCGGAGTTGTTTGATTTGAGCGATAGCGAGGATGACCGCCTCGAGAACTACTATCGCACGCTGAATCAGGAGCGAATCTATGGCCAAGGGAAAGGCAAGGGCAAGGGAAAAAGCAAAGCAAAGATTGATGAGAGTGCGACGGTTGAGCCACCACCGGAACGGCCGCAACCGCCACCGCAAGAAGAGGAAGAAGAAGCGGAAGAAGTTGGGAGTGAAGTCATAGAACCGGCAGAGATTTTCGATGAGGACACAAAGACGGTAGTGGATTTAAGAGAAAGGGCACCACGAGAACCATCACCACCACCACCACGACAAGAAGAAGTAGAAAAAGTAGAGAGTGAGATCACGGAGCCAGCAGCAGAGGACTCGGGCGAATACGCCGAGACGGTGGTGTATGCAGGAGACAGACTCACAGACGCCGAATTCGCCCAGCGCCAAGTATCCTACGCCCTAGCCACGACCCGGCGGAACCTGACCCGGATATCGCAGTTCATGCTCAAGCTCGAGTGCCGGGCGGGCAAAGTCACGAAAGAGAGCATCCGCCAAACCCTGGACGCGACCGTCGCCGACAACGCGGACGCCTTTTTCGAGCACACCTTCATCGACCCCGTCCACATCCCCGAGATCGAGGAGCTCAAGGCCCTCAGCGAAAGCACGTGGCACCGCCTATACCTCCTGGACCGCGTGTGGCGGCGGCAGGGCCGCGACCCCCCGGACACCAACAACAACAAGGACAACACGAGCAGCAGCAACAGCAGCACCCCGCCCCCCACGATCCCGCTCGCGGGCGAGCGCAGCGTAAAGACGTGGCTGCGCGAGGAAACGCGGACGGCGCGCCTCGCCAGCCGCGACGAGTGCTACTTCACGGCGGCGGACCTGGCGCAGGGGCGGCGCTTCGCGGACTGGATCGCGTACCTGCGGGAGCTGTGCCAGTTCAAGGACCACCCGGCCGACGAGGCGAAGCTGGTGAAGCTTGCGTGGAGGTTCCTCGACCGCAACCTGCGCGGCCCGCCGCCGGCGAATCCGACGAGGGCTGGCGCGTTTGTGGCGCGGCTGGAGAGCGAGCATGAGAGGGGCGGGTTTGATGAGGTGCTGGGGGACCCCGGGAGGCAGGAGGGCGAGGATGAGAGGGCTTGGAGGGATATTAGGAAGTATTGGTCTTCGAGGTTTCAGTATTGATGATGATGTTTATTTTGCTACGTGGTTTTTTTAATTTGTATATCACATGGGGGTTATTCTCTTGTTATAGTTAAAAGACAAGCCGCCTATGTTAATAGTCAGTCTGTGTGATAGTTGTTTATTCTTTTAGGTATGTATATTTAGCAGATAGCAGACAGTATAGGGGTACATGTGACTTAATTGGTACTCAGATAGTGTTAAATTATATATTGATTCCGCTAATTCCACCTTAATTCATATGAATGATACCTATGTAGACTACGTACCCAAGTTGGTTCAGCTTCAGAACTCCGACCCATGACGCTGATACTCAATAGCCATGCTTTCCTCCCCGGAGTTCTTTATCTGAGCCCCCCATGAGAGGAACTACTTTCAAAGTGCTTGTCTGGCCCTTTATACGCAGCACAGTCCTCATCAAAGGAGTCTTTATGTCGCCGGGGGTGGCTTGCCGATCTTGCTCCAGGACAAGGCATTGTAGCTCCCAATGTCCAGATACTGAAAGCAATTTTCCGTTGCGCAAGAGGGAGAAACTATGATAAGAGGGCATGCCGGGCCTACCTCTTGGTATCAATAGAGCTCAGCCCATGTTTGTTTCTCTTCTCATTCTCCAGTCTACTTGCTCATCACGTCGAGCCACGCGGTAGGTGTATAAACCTGTGCCGGAAAGCCAACTGTTTCGTGCTTGAGTCAAGCCTAAACTCCCCCATAACCATCATGCCTCCAAGTGACTCAACTCCCCTGCTGGGGTCTTCAAGCAATATGGGCTATTATGCAAGCATCGACGCAAGGCTAAGTGAACCCATGCCCGAAGAACGTTCCAAGACAGCACCAGCACCCCCGACTAACGACGACTATCTAGTCGACATGGAGAGACTAACACTCTACCCTAGTCCCGACGCCAGAGCTTCTACCTGCATTCATCAAGAGAACCGTAACATCTTCTTTTGTGACTATTGTGTTCGACACAAGCTACCCCCTCCACAGGACGGGGATCATCGTGGTCTGTGGGAAAGGTGCATGGAGAGTGAAGGATCGCTAGCGGTTCTTGAGTCTATGATACGCTTTCAGATGCGGCTTCTTAGTATATTGGTGCCTTTAGTGCTGGTGTTCATTCTGGGATGTATACAATTGGAGTTGGTTAGATAGCCGGAAGATAGAATAGCTGAGCCTAGATTTCCATAACTATACATAGGTAGGTATCAATCAGTATCTTCAAAGAATCTTACATTAATGAATCACTTATGAGTAAAATACTTTTTTTGTGCTTGCATGGGATCTTAACTGTACTTGTAAATTGTGAATAACTACCTACCTATATGAAAGTGACACTATTCTCCCCACCAATCCACCAACCCCCCTAACCAGTCCTCGAACCCCAAAAAGTAGACTCCGCCGTCCTATACCTACACCCCATATACCGCTCATCACTCTCCAGCAGCTTCATCAGCCACTCCGAGCCGCACACCTCACAGTTCTCCGCGAGCCACACACACATCTTCACAAACCCCGTATCCACCCGCCCCCTCGCCCACGACGAAACCGCGAACCCGATCCCGAGCAGCAGCGGGAACACGTACAGGCCCCTCTGGAAAACATACAGCACCCTCTCCTCCTCGCCGGTGATATGCTCCGGCGGCCGCGCATACCTGAACGCGAGCGTCGCCCACAGCGCCCACACCGCGACAGACGCGGCGGCGGCCAGCGCGCCGTCGCTCGCGACCAGCGCGGCGACCATGGAGAGGACGGAGAGCGCGAGGGTGGTGATCCACAGGGCGACGCTGGCGGCGCGGCGGTGGAGGACGGGGGCGTCGAGGGAGGGCCAGCTGACGCGCACGAGGCTGAGGAGGTGGAAGGCGTACAGGATGTTGAAGCAGTAGACGAGCAGGCGCAGGACGGAGGGGCGGGGCTCGGGAAGCTCGAGGAGGCGCAGGATGTTGAGGGCTTCGAAGATGAAGGCGCCGATGAGGCTGGAGCGCGGCGCGGGCGTGCACCAGTCTGGGATGGCCATTGTTGGAGGGTGCTGGTTACGGATGATTTCGCTTTTGGATAGATGGGCTTGTTTCCTTTGTGGTATTCTATGAAGAGATTGATGGATATGATAATGTAGGACAAAGGAAGGGTATCATATGGGGGCTAATGCTTTCCTATATATCGTAAAGCAGGATGGAACAATGCTACAGGTGTGGTACACTCAAACTATTCATCAATCATACCCCTTTTATCCCCCCCTTTTCACCAGAGGACATCTTTTATCGACCTGCGTGAGTATATATGTAGTAAAATAAGCTGACATAAAAACAAAGGAAGCATTATAATAAAGAACCTGTTATAATGAGAACAGATCACTGCGAACTTCCTCATTCATTATTGAAATTCTACCTATCGGCAGGATAATCTAACGAGACCATAGGTATAACACGCACCAAGGACTAGGTGCTTTTCTTGTTCTCTCTTGTTCTTCTCCTTTATTTTCTCCTTTATCTTCTTCTCAACACCACACACGAATACCCCTTCCCCTCCCCCCTAAACATACAACAACATCTACTTCCACCACTCCCCAACCAAGAACCCCCCCCTCTCCACCGGCCTCAACTTCTCCATATCCGGCCCCGCCCACGGCTTCCACGCGACCACCGCATCCAAAGCCCTCGCGACCGGCGCCATCGCAACCGCCAGCACCCTTCTCACGACCCCCAGTCCCATCCCCACTTCCCCTTTCCCCCCTCCACCCCCCAAAACCACCCCATCCCAAGCTCTCCACCCCCTCGCGAGCGCAAACGACAAAGGGCTGTGCACGAGGTCGATCCAGCCGAGCCGGACGAGCCCGTAGTTGAGGAGGGTGCGGGTCTCGGGGAAGCTGAGGACCCAGAGGGGCAGGAGAGCGGCGGGCACGAGGAAGCGCCAGTCGGCGATGCCGGCGGCGACGAGGAGGAACCAGCAGGTCCAGGCGAGGCGGGCGTCCCAGTGTACTGTTTGCGGCAGCCGTGTTAGTGTTTTCTTCACGTTTTTTTCTATTTTTTTTTTCCCATCCTTCTTTAAGATCTTGGGATTTTGGGATGTTGAGATAGATGGGTAGATAGATAGAGAGAGAGAAAGAGAGAGAGAGAGAGAGAGAGAGAGAGAGAGAGAGAAGGTAAGCAAACATACACGTATCCGCACCATTCACCACCAACCCCTCGCGCAGCACCTCCGCGACGAACAGCCCAAAGACGACGAGGTAGATGGCGGTGGCCCAGCGGGTGATCTTGAGCAGCAGCCGGAGGTCCCGGGCGACGAAGAAGGCCAGCACCACGTGCCAGACGAGGGAAGCTGTGAGGATGAAGAGAAGCATGCCCCCCCTTTTTTTCCTTTTCTTTATTCTATTTTTTTTTGTTGTGTCTTTTTGGGGGTTTGGGTTTTGTGTTGGGTATTAAATTAACTCTTGCCCCTTTTAATTTCCTGGCTGTGTGGATGGCCGTCTTCGCTTCGTCTTCTCCTTTTTGGCCTCGATTATGCACTGGTTTTATCCCGCTATTAGGTATTTCAAGAGCGATCCGTCATGCAATTACTGTAAGTATGTTGGCCTGTCCGTCTGCTCGTCTTTCTGTCCGTTTACCATTCGCAAGTGGCGTATAATCCTCGAATATCGCGCTCGTGGTCCTATCTGCCGTACGCATACCACGCTATAAGCGCATTAAAAGGTCCGTGATATTATCGAAGGGATATCGTTGACACTGCTGCTTCGTGTCCAGTTCTCTATCCACTATTGACAATCCAGTAAACCAAGCGTCGAGAAGAAGAAAAAAAAAAGAAAAAAGGATACTACTCTTCTGTACCTCCGGCCTATGACCAATTCCCAATTCCCGAAAGTGTAAGTAAGTAGGCAAGTCTTCTCGAAGCTCCGGAAGCTTGGGAACGGGGCCGGATGCAGACAGATTCTGTCTCATTCCATGTCTCACTGCCTACCTAAGTAGATAGTTTCCTAGTCTACCAGTTTACTAGCTGTACATGACTGCCTAGTTGGTTACTACATAAATCGGTATGGATGGATTTACTAGGTAATTACCTAACCTAGGTAAGTATTGTCAATGGAATGTATGCCATTCCCAACACGACCACTCCCGTGCCCAAGTCCCAACGCCGGGAACAAAGAATGCCAGGAATGTAGCTGTGCACCTAAATTTTTGTAGTACGCATAATTTTTGATTTGACCCAATATGTACAAGGTACTATCACCATCGTCATCGTCGTCGTCGATATCGTATAGACCCTCAAATACTCTAGGCAAGTACATCAGTAGACATCTACTCCCTAACAAATAACCCCGCCATCCCCATCCCCGTCCCAATACACATACTCACAACCCCCACCTCGCCCCCCGTCCTGCCCAACCCATGCATCAGCGTACTCGCGAGCCTCGCCCCCGTCGCACCCAGCGGGTGTCCCAGCGCAATCGCGCCACCATCGGGGTTGACCTTGCCCTCCTCCCAGTCCTTCTTCAGCCCCAGCTCTCTTACGCAGTAGATCGCCTGACTCGCGAACGCCTCGTTGATCTCCCAGCGATCGACGTCCTTTGTCTCGATGCCGAGCTGATCTAAAAGCTTGGGGATCGCGATGGCGGGGCCGATGCCCATCTCGTCGGGGGCGCAGCCCGCGGTGGTGGCAGCGACGAACTTTCCCATGATGCTGGAGGTGAGGCCGAGCTCGGTGGCGGTGCTGCGGCGCATGAGCAGGGTGGCGGCCGCGCCGTCGCTGACCTGGCTCGAGTTGCCGGCCGTGCTGGTGCCGGTTTCCTTGAACGCGGGCTTGAGCTTCGCGAGGCCCTCCAACGTCGCCGTGGCGCGGATCCCGTCGTCCTGGGTCACCTCGATCAGCTTCTCCTCGTCGACCTTGTTGCCCTGCTTGTCCACCGGCTGGAAGCGTGTGCGCACGGGCACGATCTCCTGCGCGAACGAGCCTTCGGCCTGGGCCTTGGCGGCGCGGCGGTGCGACTCCACGGCGAACTCGTCCTGCTCTTGGCGGCCGACCTTGTACCGCTTGGCGACGTTCTCGCTTGTGAGACCCATGGGCATGATGCAATCGCGGGCATCCTTGACCGGACTATCGACTAGCTCGGGCCACGAGTTGACGGGAATGGCTTTGGAGCCGTAATTCCGCGTCATGCTCTCCATGCCCGCCGCGATGCCGACGCCAATCATATCCGTGCGAATCTGGGCTGCGATATTCGCTATGCTCTGCAAGCTGCTGCTACATGCGCGGTTTACGGTGTAGAGGGAGGTGGTGTGGGGGAAGCCGACGTGGTTCATGGCCATTCGGGCTGCTTTGCTGCCACCGAGTTCTGAGAGCACAACACCAACAGCTACATCGTTGATTTTTTCGGGCGGAAGGTTCGGATTGGCATCGAGGGTGGCGCGTAGGACGACGGAGAGTAGCTCTTCGGGGTAAGCGTCTTTTAGTTGACCGCGATATGAACGACATATGGGCGTGCGAAGGGATGAGAGGACGACGACATCGGAAGGGGATTTGGCGAGAATGGAGGAGAGACCTTTGGGAAGCGACATCTTGACTGCTCTCTTGACTGGTAGCTGTGAAGTAAGGTGAAATAAAGGACGAGATAGGAAGAAAGAAGCTGTGTCGACTTATAGCTAGGTAAAATACATTACATTAGGAATAATGAGAAATGATATAGAGGATGTGGCTTGTAGATCCATATAACTACCCCATACCAACAGCATTTTATGCACCCCAACTACCTACTAATACACATGGTTAGTACCTATAGTAGGCAGTTGAACGGGAGAATTGGTCGGTAGGAAGTGTTGAAGATGTACGGTTTGAATATCTAAACTGCCGGTTGCCGATTCCGCAGGTGGGGGAGACACTAAGAAGGTATTGTGGGCACTCCCTACGAGGTACAGGTATTAACCTGGAGGCATTCAATCATTGATGTTGTAGCCCCCCGCGCCCCCTAATTATTGCTTTTCCTAGGTACATACCTAACTAGTATCTACTAGTTTTGACAGTTGACAGTAGCGCACTTGGCTACATTCACACATTCACACATTCATACATTCACCACAACCTCGGAATTGTCTATCTGCAATGGCGCTGGGAACAAGTGTAGCAATTTGCCCACTATAGTACTGTAGCTACTAGCTAGTGGCATACCAAAATCCAAACAAGCAACCTCGCTGGGAGGATGGATACCTAAGGTATGACACACCCTACATACCTATGTAGCAGCTCTGAGTCTGAGGCCATTGCCGGCCAAGAGCTAAATCCCTTCATAGCAAAACAGGGTATAATACATGATTCGTCCCTTCTTCATCACATCGTCCCTATTATTCCCAAAGACCTAATGATAATACCCTTTTCAAACCACTCCACACAGACATAGCCACAGACAGAGACACACACAAACTCCAAAATAGAAGAGCTTCAAGCTTCATGGCCGTACCGAATCCCCAACCCAACACGGCCATTGCTCTCATTGCCGCCCCCGTACCTAACCTTTTTTGCTGGGCTCATGGCGCTTTCTCGTCGGCTGTCGATACCATTGCCGTCCGTGCTGGTGTTGAATTTGCGCTTCTCTACTGCGAACCCTGCCTTGTTTATCCCGGCAAAAAGTTTCGACTGCAGCTTGGCCGTCTTCTCAGCTGGAGCTGGTGTGCCATCTCGAGAACCAACCGAGCTGGCAACCTCGAAACTCTCCCGCGGGTCACGGCGTAACATCTCAGATGCCGCCTGACTGGCCTGACTCTCAAACACCTCCTCCTCGTCTTCCCTTCGTCGCGGTGCTTGTGATCCTTGTGATCCTTGTGACATGTATGACTGCGTAGCTGCAGCAACCACCTTCAGGGCTGCACAATCAATCTCCTCATTGTCATCCGCCGAGATCGTGCTTTCCCGGCTCTGCCGTCCTCTTTTTTGCACTACCGGTGTCTCTACTGTAAACCGGCTATTTCCATACCGGTTCGGGGGTTCAGTTTGTGGCACTAGATCGACGGAGGGCAACAAACCAGAATAGTCTCCGCGGGCACGTGTTACAGGTGTCGTCGGCAGAGAAGAAAGCGACTGGGCCCCACGCGTGTGTCTGGGCGGCGCTCGTAGCGTAGCGCGATTGGCTGCCGTCGGCGTCGAGGGTGCGCTATTGTCGTGGCTTAAAGCCTGAAGAAGAGCGGCAAAACCATCCTGATTGGTCTCATGATCGTGCCGGGCATCTTTGTGGACAGATCTAGGAGTCTGTCGTGGTGTAGCTCGGTGTTGCTGAGGTGATGTCGCTGCTGGGGTCTTGGGCGTTAGAGCACCGTGAAATGCCCCACCGGGGCTACACAGCATGTGGAAATGTTCCCTATTCTCACGGATACGGTTGAGAAGCATATCACGCTCGTCGACCAGGTTGTCATGTTCCTCGCCCTGCTGTTGAATGAATTTGGTAGCATACTTGACGCGTTTTTGGAGAGCTTCATTCTCCTTCAAAAGTATCTCATACTGGGCTTGGAGTTCTCGATATTTGACTTGAGTGGAGTCGGAGGCCGCATTTAGTTCCCGCCGAGCTTGACGAGAATTCTCGGTCATGCGCAATACCTCAACCTCACGCCTGGTCATTTCATGCTCTACGGTCGCCCTCTTTGCATCCTCATCAGCTTGCATACTGAGTAGGTTGTACTGCAATTTGTGATGGGCGGTCTCCATCTTCAGCCTTGCATTCTCAGCAAGACAGTTTTGAACCATGGCACGAAGCTCTTCAGCCGATGCGTCGGCAATCTGATCTGAAGTCGGAACGATAAATTCCGACACAGAACTACCATCCCGAGCGACAGTTCGGAGTGCCGTGGTAGGTGGGGAGAACATATTGGTTCTTTGCGAGCTGATATAGCCCAATGGCATACCAGCGGCGCCGTTGGTTTGAGGGACTTGCGACGAGGGAGGTGGGGTCAAGGATGAAGGAATGACCTGAGAAGACGAGGTACGGTCATCATTCAACTCGGTCTTGAAAGAAATAGATGGATCGATGGGTGAGTTCGGTCCTTCAGTAGAGATAATGGTCTGCTGTGACAAGGAATGGTGGACGCTCGTATTATCGGGAGGAGTGGAAGGAATGTGTTCATAGTCACTCTCTACGACGCCATTCGGGCGGGCGCTATTTGTATCAGTATCTGCCGACATATTTGCATTCGAATATATGACAAAGAACTATAAGGTAGTATATTCAACAATGATCGCTTAGATTATTTAAATGAAGCTGGTAATGCGTGCGTGATAGAGCAAGAGATAAAGAAGCTCGTGGTGGTGCGGTTATTCTGTCGATGAAACGAGCGATCTAATCCGAACAACGCAGAATGCTCTTTTGAATCGAATCAAAAGAGATCGCGGGCGGTCAGATAGATAGACAGATGGAAAAAGGGAGGGGAGAGGAGGAGAGAAGAAGGAGGGGAAAAAAGATTCAATAATTTTCCCATCAAGTTTGGTAGATATTAATCGATAGTCAATTCCTAGATAATGATAATGCAGATATGTAGGGCAACGTGGTTCAAGAAGGGACGTGGAATTGGGAGGTGGAGAAACGTGATGTGGACGTGGACGTGGATGAGATGTGGATTTTAAGATTTCCAGCTTGAATGGGGAACTGAAAATGTTGGAAGAAAAAACTTGAATGCTAACTAAAGTCTAGATGTCCCCAACTTGAGCTAGGTACACGTACATAGTTAACTGCTATCACATATCTACGCGACCGGCGCCCGGGAAAACCAAAACTCGGGGGCTGGAAGATCCACTAATTCTTCTAAAATTCAAAGGCTGAATCCACAAATCAACCCGAACTTAGCGGGGGTTATACTGTAGCTAGTCCAAGAATACATATGTAACTAAATGATCCGCCTTTTTTATTTATTTTCTTTTTTTGGGAAGACAAAGAAAAAGAAACAGAAGAAAACACCATATGTTGCGCACATTGAGATGATCAAATAGATATAAGCAGGCTAGAACTACACTCAATCAATCGAAGTAGTAGGCATTCCCTTATAACAAGGTAACAAACAATATGTAAGTAGTTACATTGAATGTCATCTTGGAATCAAACAGTATTACATAGGTATAGAGGTACATAACTGCTTTTCATACCCCTTTCCCCCCTTTCCCATCCTTTTTCATAGACAAACTCCCCGACAAGTATGCCAACGCATTCTCGACTGTAATTCAACCCAAACCTCCATCATACCTATATGCCCTCGTACGGAGCCAAACAGGTATCTCTTATCAATCACTACATCGGTACCTTGGACAAGATATCGCGTTATGACCACCAAGACGCCCGGACCAGAAATTGACGACATGCTATATACCGACGCCAACATATTAATTATTAATCCACGTCGTCCTCTGAGCCTTCGCCTTCACCTTCACCTGCCTTGGCCCTCCACTCTGCCATCTCAGCTACCGGCACCCTGCCCCTGAGCCACCGGAGCGTCGCCTCCGTTCCACGCTCGAGCACATTCCATCTCGGTACTCTAAAGCGGTTTCCCGTAACCTCGAATTTCTCGAGACCCCCAGTACCTCCCAAGAGCCCTATGCGAGGATGTAGATGCGAGATTTCATTGTTGCTCGCATCCACCACTTTCATCCCCTTAATAGACACGGGCTCGATCTCTTCTAACCGATTATTGGAGATGAGAAGCATCGTAAGACTGGGGAAAAAATCTCGCAGGGTCGGAAGTTTCACTATTCTGTTGAATGACAAATCCACCTTTTGCAAGTTTGGTGCGCAAAAATTCGTGGTAAGTGGCGTAAGACTGGTGATGAAATTCGTGGCAAGAGAGAGTTCTTTTAGAGCAGTGAGATCAATGGGCTCCGTCAGCCAACTCTCACCCGTGAGTTGGTTATCTGCCATGGATAGAGACGTGATAGTGTCGGCGAAGAATGATAATGAATTTGGAAATTGTGTAAACGTATTATGTTGAAGTCGTACCTCACGAATAGTATGGGCTACTGCGATTTTTGAGCACACGACCGGATGTAACGAGGATGATTCGGTATTCGACCGATCGAGAAGACCGCCTGGCTTAATCGGCCATGTTTGGCTGGTTAATGTATGTGATCGGGAGCGAGCAGGGGAGTTCGTTGTCGAGTTAGCTGTCGAGGTCGGTGTCGAGGTCGGTGGCGTGGTAAAGTCATCAAGCTCTGAGCGGCCCTCCTCTTCTTCGACCTTGCAATTCCCCAGATTATTCGTGGTGATTCTGTTTTTTGGAGGTGGGTCGCGTGAAAATCCATTGCCGAAATTTTCGATTCCTCCGACTTCACTTGGAGGTAACGGCTCTAATCTTAGCGCCAATGCATCTTTCAATTCTTCCGTCGTCAATGATGTGAACTTCTTATCCTTCAAGGGATTGCCCGTGATTCGTAGCATGGCAAGATTGTTCATTCGAGCAATCTCGGGAGGTATGATCCGGATGTCATTGCTTGTGAAGTCAACATGGCGCAGATTTTCAAGACCCAGAAATCCCTCGGGAAAAGCAGCAATACTGTTCTCGTCAGCGTTGATGGTGAGAAGATTGGTCCAAGAGGTCATGTCGGGAAGCGAGATAATTCTATTCATGGACAAGGTGAGCTGATGAAGAGATGGAAGGCTTAGGGGCTGGGCGCCGTCTACTATCTGTCGAATTTGGTTTGCCGCCACATCGAGAATTTGAAGCTGAGGAAAACTCCTCACACTGGGACCAATAAGCGTCCCGGAGAGTTTGTTCTTACGAGCTTGTAACTCGGTGAGTGGGAGCTTTGAGAGGCTTTCAAATGGCAAATCTTCCAAGGCATTTTCATTCAAGTTTAGCATGCGAAGGCGCACTAGCTTGTCAATTCCATCTGGAAGAGATGAAATGTTGTTTCCATGAAGATCCAGAATTTCGAGATTGATCAAGTTTGCAAAATAATTCTTCTCCATACGACCGTATAGAAGATTCTTGCCAAGTTTGAGATCTCGGACTGTAGTGAGCTGCGAGATGACTTCGAGACAGTTGTTGGTGAGCTTATTGGAGGCCTACTAGATAGTCAGCACAAGTCACAGAGACCCTATTCAGGAGATTAGCGATAATATAAGAATGTAGGAACCTACCAGGTTTAACGAGGTCAACAACTGGAGACGCCTTAGACCCATGGGTAAAGCTATCAGCATGTTGCCGTGTAAATCCAGCGACTCTAGCCCTCCGAAAAAATGACCCTCAACGTCATCTTCATTTGTGTCACTCGGGTTCTTATCTGGGAAGATGGCATCGTCGATCGTTTCCAGCTCGTTGTCAGCAGCTACCAGCCTAGTAATATCCACACTTTCTGCCCATGCAATGCCAGCACCATCTACCGACTCTAGATCATACATCTTCAAAACCTCGGGGGGAATCTGCTTTAGGCCCATCGCTGCAATGTTGAGCTTTCCGGTGGTTCTAGCAGTGTTGATTCTGGATTGCATAACCTTGCGGTTTGCATCCTCAAACTTGCGTTGACCGAACGGATCATCTGACAAGCCAAAATCAAACGTCGTATCGGTAGGAATGACCGGCGCTTCATGGGAATCGGAGATCTTGGTGGCTGGGGCTTGCTTGGTTGCGGCTCGCTTCGCGGCCTTTGCCTTTGCAATCTGGTCTCGTAGGGCAGCCGATGACTTGCGTGCAGTAGAGCCCGAGGCCTCCTCAATAGAATCCACCGTCAATGCCGTTGAAGTAGTGGAGGCACTCGACAGGTTGCGGCCGTCACCAGATGTACTAGACGATTTAGCGGACGCAAGTGAAGCTTTGCGAGAAGGATGAGAGGGAGCTTCTGAGAGCAGCGGTTTATCCAGAGAAGGTAGTGATGGTTTCCTATATAAACTGTTTATGGAAGCTCTCGGCTTCAGGGGCCGCCCAGCAACTGTCTTGTACCCCTGCTTAAAGGCCGCAGGCTCGGCACGCTTCTCCGGACTTGGCGAACGAGATCCAAGTGGAACTGACAATGAAGACCGAGAGGCGACCTTCGTTAAGCTGGACCGCGGAGTGAACGACGGAGTGGCTTTGCTAACAGGAGGTTTGGAGTTGCCAGCCAAGCCTCTCTTTGCCGCTGCCCCTAGGACCCCTGATACCGGTGGCTTGTGAGTGTTGGTAGAAGCCCGGAAGTTAGTGTACAAGTTATCAGGCTGCCCGGAGCTGGACCCTGGCCGACTAAGCGATCTGGCTGAGCGTACGGTCGAACCATCTGATTGATAACTAGAGCCCGGTCTTGAGCCGGGCCTCGACCTTGACCCCATACTGCCCTTGGATTGGGGTCTTGAAAGCCCATCTGCCTCAAAAAAGTTGCTGCCGCGGCGCTTGAAAGCGGGAGAAGAGGGCAACCGTGAGAGAGTCTCAACTGTCCTTTCTGAAAGCGAAGGGCGGGACTTCCTCGATTGTGCTCGAGGGTTGTCAATGGTAATATCTTCTTCGGTGGAATTTGTGAAGGCTGGATGTGAGTCGACGGCAACATCTTCATCATCGGCGAACCCTTCTGGTGTCAATAGTCCTCTCCGTGATATTGTAGGAGAAGGGGAGACACGGGGGAATTGAGCGGATAGTTGTCGTTTGGGAGCCGGGGTTCTCTTCGAAGAGTCCTCGCGGAAATCTCGGCTCCGCTGCGCCGAAAGTTGTGATTGTTTTGGTCCACATGATGTGCTCCGACTTCTGATATTGGATTCTCGACGGTTGTTTTGGGAGCTCACGGGTGGCGCATTGGATCTCTGAGTCTTGCGTACGGTGGAGGCTGTGCTAAGCTGTTCCTTGGAAGGTGGTGCGCGAAGTCGAGATTTTGAGGCATTCCCTAAATTTGCGGGTTGGGTCGAGCGTCCACGTACGGGTTCGGGAATCTGTTGCGTCTGTTGCGTCTGGGGAGTAGCAATGACACTCGATCGAGGAAGAGGGAGACGCGACGAAGGTCTTGGAAGAGCACTAGTTCTGTTGATAGCAGCGCCTGATGAACGTTTCTCGTCCATCTTGACTTTGACGTTGGTCTTGACTGACCGAGGTCGAGTCAAGATGGTGAGGTAGATATCCCAGTCAGACTACCAGGAAGTTGGTTATGTGAATCGGCAACAATCATAGATTCAATTGTTTGGTGACAAGGGGGCGAAAAGGAAAGGGAGGGGACCCGTCGCCGTTGCAGACTTCACTTCAAGCAGGCCTAGGTTAGTAGGAACAAGGTATGTAGATGCTAGGTTAGGTAGGTTAAAATCTTCCAAGCTTCAAGTTCCAAGAAAATGATGTACAATACTACAAGTAGTAGAATGTCCGAATCAATATTAGGGTTCGGGTTATTATTGCGAACCTTACAATCCTTGCAATCCTTGCAGTCTTCAATTGTCAGAAACATTGAAACCTTCGCGGTAACATTAACTTGAAGTGGTACAATTTGTACTGTACTAAAACAATACAAGTAATGTAACGATCATTATAGTGTACATACAAGGGTCGAGAAAGTTGAAGAAAGCACGGCCAATGGACACCACAAGCTACGAGACTGGGCGGCTTCGATCGCAATCTGCTGTTTTGGGTAAAGAAAGTCATAGCGCCCCATTAATTTAGGTGATACCTCATCATACCTGACCCTTATTGAGCAGCGAGCTCTTTCACTCACACTATAAAGGCGGGGCCGCTAGGGGACATCCGTTGGCTTGGGTACCTAGGTAAGAACTGCCTCGACAGCTCGAGTTCTAGTTAGCAGTTCTAACGCGTTCCTTACCCCAGCAGCCTACTGTACCAGCTATGCCGCTAGTGTCATTAGTGCCTTGCAGCCTGCATTGGTTTTTGGTTTTTTGGTAAGTACCTAGTACTTCGTATACCGAGGTACATTTTAGTAGTTACTTGATTTCTCCCTTGAACATCAAATATTATAGTTATGTATAACTACGTGAATTCTCTCAACTTCAATAATTTTATTTCCTTCCTTTTTCAAAGCTGATATACCACTTACCTGCATACTCACTCATCTCCTTTCTATGAGTATGGGTATCACCAGCTTCAGCCTTGTCAGCAATGTCTCGATAATATTTGCAGAATATTGAGCTTCTGCTTACACCAAACGAGAACTTGGATATAATTTAAGGGGTCGGCACTGGGTGTGAAGCTGGTGGCAATGGCACCGTGAAAAGGGTCACCATTGGACACAAAAAAAGTTTTATAAACTAACCTACATGTATGTGACATTGAAATGTGCAACTCCGGGGTATTCTGGTGAACTACATCTACCTGAGGTATGTAGGTATGCACATGCAATGTGATCTCTCGCTGCATACACTAGTCTTAATCTGTCAAAGCAATCTTCCGCGATCTCGTTTCTCTTATCAGGGTAACACCACAGGAGGAACATCCAGGTAGGATTTACTTATGGCCATAGATGCCGAGTATGAGAGCACATATATATATATATATATATATATCGATGATAGAATTTTCAACGTAGTAAAGATGATGAGCTCAGATAAGTAGACCCCGGATTTCACTGCCCAGCTACAAAAGTATCTCAAACTCCATCATAAGTGCCTAACCTAGGTTAGTATACTCCAACCCGATTTCCATGTCGCCTTGAATGAAGTGGGAAAAGGGGTAGGCTCGAAGCAGTGTGGTAACACCCGTATCCGCTAACTGGGACACCTACCTTGCATTGAATGATATCAATGATCATGATCATGTTACCAAAGTGACGTGATCATTATAATTAAAAGCATATCAATGATATTCCTCCTAATTACTTGCAACCTTCACGTGCCTAGTGGAATATCTCTGAACAAACCTGACTTCCAACTCATCCCAGGAATGGAGGATTCACCAAACACCTTCAAGCCGTAGGAGGGAACCCTGGTAAGTCGAGGTTATTATATGCATATGTGGCTTAGATGTTGCTTTCGAAATTCAGCTATACGCACTAGTGATGTTATTTATTCGACGACTGGCCTTCCGTAGTTGCAATGTGGCGTCTCCATATGCATCTCGGGCCCCTATTCTATCAGGTCAATAATGCTCTCACAACCAAATACTGTAGGAGCCATGGGGGTAGTACTAGACACTTACGCCATTAAAATCTACAGTCCAATGGCATATCTGCCGAGTCTGCTTGTAAGATCTAGTTTGAACGCCGGGGGAAATTATAGCAGTCCGATGATTCGAAAAGTCTTTGCTGAAAGCACAACATGAGTATTGACGCGCTCACGTTGTTGACAGTAACCTCGCACGCGTTACATATTTAATATATATTTCAAATCGTGGCGATTGATAACGCATGCTTCTTTGACGGCTTCAAAATTGTAAATATCTTTCCGCTAGTGATTATGTTTCCCTTCAAGCTGTGTACATACATGGGGAAGTAAGTGCTTGATATTACCCCTATCTAACATGTTAAGAGCCTAACGGGTGTGCCATGGGGATTTTAAGGAACAAAGAGAGGTCCGTAACTTTCAACGTAAAGATTCGGTTGTTGCCCTGCTTTCTGATTTATTCTATGTTTATATCTAGTCAAGCAACTGAGAATACCTAGTATGTATGGAGTTATTTACTACAGATACACAGCTGATATCAAATACTGTCAGAGTCTTTTCCGTGATTAAAAGTCTCGTGCTGGGGAATACAGAGTACACAACAGCAGCTCAGCAGTTCAACCCTAAGCAGGGGTTATAATAGGAATGATACCTACCTAGTAACTATATTGACGCCTACCTTAGGTATATTTCGAATCAGAGAAAAGGAGGCGGTATACCCCTTTTAAATATGCTGGGCTAGTTAGGTATGTGTCGTGCATTCCGCTGCACAGCCGTTGGCATAGGCTAAGGCTGGCTCTTCCTACGGCTTCTGACAGATACGGCTTACTTCTTCAAGACGAATAAAAAAGGGGGGATTATCATAAGTATAGGAGTAGATCTATGACAATACCTAGGTACCTATAACTCCCCCCTCTTACCAAACTCCCGGAGATGGGCTGTTTCTATTCACCTACCTCAGGCGACCACTTAACCATAACCCAACAATGTTCTCTCATGATATATATATAAAGCTGTATTATACTGTATGTAACCCTATTACAATACGTGAAGAGAGCCTGAGGTAGTTGCCAAGTTGACTAGGTACTACGGTCGTGCGGATCTAAGTCTAGGCACTTACATTGCGAAAGAACCCTCGAAATGTTGATAAAGAAACAAAGAAAGAGGACAAAGAACCTACCGTTTATGGTGCGGAGAACTGATAACCATAAATCTCCTAAGGCCAATACCAACGAAACTCAAGAGATTTGGCAATAACCTGGACACCTTAGGCACGGCACACAACTATCAGCTTTCAAAGTAAGAGGCCCGATATCAACTTCAGCTGCTTTGAGTCTCTAACGTAGGAGATCAACCTAGTTATAGTATAAAAATTAGTACTATGTACAAGTGAAAATCAAGATACATATTTCCTCTCATGGGGAAAATGGTACAGTCCTATATAAGCTACCCACTCAGGGGTATCCACCAGTCTGTACCGAGCTGACTGCAAAGTGCCATCTAGAACAAAGACAGCTACATGTATACCTGTCTATTCCGCTTCCATAGTCTCCGAAGAGATGTTAGACATTGACCCCCGTGGAAACAACGGTATTATTCTGCATCTCCCGAACTCCTGCTCCGTGACATAGAAACTTCCTCCGTACAACCCGAAAAGGGGGGCCAAAAATGAGGCTCTTCAGAGCACCAACTCCAATATCCAGTGGCTATCATCTGACTCATATAGTCATACCCTCAGCACCATGTAAGTAATCAGTGCGTCTCAGCCCTACCTGCACACAGCTGAAACTACCCAGTTAGTCTGCCGTTGGTGGCTCCCGCTCTTCCGATTCGTGCTTGTTGTCGTGGTGGAGTTGGGGTGATTGGTGGAATATAGCAGCCGAATAGGTATGTCACTTTGCTCATTGACAGCTGCTGTATCACCCACAAACGGCGCAGCGAAGGAGATGGCAATGAGCTGAGTGATAGACAGGTAGATAAGTGTTAATGATACCGTATAATCTCGATATATCGGCGTCTTTGATACACATATCAGTTCTGCTTGGTGGTGTGGGTGATTCGGGATGTACTCTGCTCCTGACGTGAGCTGAGGTTGAAAATTTCTCTTCTTTGATACAGATAAATTCGACCATCAATACGAGAACACTCTCGTACCAGTACCTATCAAACTCATCATTCGAACCTGAGATATACACTTTGGCAGACCAACGTCCAATCATAATGCTAGCAAGTGAATGCCTACCTAACACACGCTGAAATACCGTGACGAACTGTCCACGCCGGCCGAGTCTCCAGTTCCGTGACTATCCTATCCTATCCAGACCCTCTCCCGAAAGTCCTACGCGTGAATACATAGCTGAATTAGGCGATACGACAAACGGAGTTTTCGACGTGTGGTGCGATTACTCTTCCCACAGACACGGATGCGACGTTGGGTTAGCCAGCCAGCCAACCAGGTTATTCAGTGACAGCCTATATGTATTTCCACGCTGTCACTTGTCACTTTCGACAGGAGATGATCGCCAAAAAGAAAAAAGAAAAAAGAAAACCCCTGACGCACGGTGAGTGAGGGAATGAGTGAGACTCTATTCTTAGCCTCCGTCGCGGATAAATATCCATGCTTGCGATCAACAAGCCAGCCTAATTAATATATTTTCATATATATAAACCAGGCCGCGCTGCTTTTCGCTACTGGAAACCAAATTCGATATACTTACTTACCTACCCTAGGTACCCAGATCTTCAGCCAGCATCGAACCAACCACCCTCGCAACCATGCATCTCCCCTCCCTCATCCTCCCCTCCCTCTCCTCCAGCAGCGCCGCCGCCGCCGCAGCCCGCCTCCACGTGCCTCCCCCCGCCCCCCCCTTCCCCTCCCGCGCAGTCCGCTCCCCCACCACAACCCAATGCACAACCCCCGCCCTCACCACCACCACCACCATCAACCGCGGCAACGAAGGGATCTGGGTGATCCGCCCGGACGCCACGGACCTGCACGAGCTCTACCGCCTGCGCCAGACGGACTGGCTGTCGAACGACCTGCCCAGGGTCCTCGACGCGTGCGGCGCGGCGTGCCTCGCCGGCAACGACACCGCGCTGCCGGGCGCCTGGCTGCCGACCACAGCGTACTTCCAGGGCGCGTTCGTCAACACCCCCGGGGGCGACCCGCCGAACCACATCCTCTGGCAGTGCGCGTGCTACGATCGGGCCGTCACGGAGGACGACCTGGTGCCGGGCGCGGGCGTGTGGAATAATGCGAACCCGGGCAGTGGGACCAGTAAGTCGGGTTCCCCCTCCCCCCCCCTTTTCTTTTGGCTAGAGAGCATGTAATGTCTAACCGCGACCGCGCAGTCATCAACCGGAAATGTTGAACGGAAGAGTCTTCAACAACTGGAAAAGAATCTCAGGAATACCTATCCCTAGGCAGTGAAAGGTTATGCGGGATGCCGGACCTAGTCTATCACTTATCACAAAATAAATAAAAATAAAATAAAAAGAAATAAACTACCGATCCATCTGAATGAATGCCTGGGTACCTACTTACCTACGGATTTAGGCAGTGATGATTCTCTGAAGACGTCCTATTGATCGGGGACGCCTGCATACATAACCTACCTGTGGTGAAACCATCGGTACCATACAGGACATGCAGTTGGAGTATGTACGCAGTGGCATGTGATTAAGTACATACCTACCTACCTAATAGTGGTAGTAGGGAAACGGAAAAAAACCCCCCCATCTATCAACATTCATCATGGCCTTGGAAATTATTCTAGTCATTATTTAGAGCTACGATGGACTCTGAACGAATACCTACCTACCTGCCTACCTACCTACCTAGGCTCCAGTGAACTAACCTACGCAAGTGTGTATATTTTAGGGGGTTAAATCCCAGCCTTTTCCATGAGCATTCGTCGCCGTAGGTACCTACCTAACCAGAAGACGGCGGTGTGAGGGCAGAGTCCGACAAGTTTTTCTTTTTCTTTTTTTTCGTTCCAAGGTTCATGCCGATTAGGTTGAATCGCCCACAGCCTTGGGCAGAAACAGGGCGTTCGGCATAGTTTCATTCAAAGGACCAACAGACCCAACACTGCCCCTGCCTACCCATACATAATCTTGACAGCAAACGTGAATGGCTGCCTCCACAATGCATGAGCTGCCGTTGGCCTCTGTTTGAGAATCTTCTGGGTATTTGGTTCGCTAGTCTCAAGTGGTCAACGTAACGTAATGTATGCAGAGCGTTTGACACCAGGCAGTATTCATTCGTTTGATCATTCTGATTTTTTTTTCTCGAGATATAGGAATATACCTAATGTTGACCTCCAACCTCAGAAGTTGGGATCATTTGGGATTTCAACGTTTATTTCCCAAGAAACACTGCCTGATACTCTCACTTTCTCCCCGTTACATCTACAGTCACGATGGTAGTTGCATTCAACACGGAAACCCTTAATGGGCTTTGTTCAAACGACCAACTCAAACTACTAGATGCCATCGACAACCTGCGTCTCCAGGGAATCGATCACTACATATCCCTACCGCAAATCATTGTATGCGGTGACCAATCATCTGGCAAGAGTTCTGTGCTCGAGGCCATCTCAGGAGTCCCCTTCCCAGTTCAGAGTAACCTCTGCACCCGATTTCCTACAGAGCTTGTGCTCAGACGCTCGTCTGAGACTGGCGTGACCGTCTCGATCATTCCCGAAGATGGCCTTGTTACTCCAGCTCAAGATGGTCTTCACGAGTTCCACCAAGGCTTTGAGGGATTCCCTAGCTTGGTTGAAAAGGCCAAGCTAGCCATGGGGATCTCGACATCAGGCAAGGCCTTCTCAAAGGACCGGCTTCGAGTTGAAATCTCTGGCCCTGATCGTCCCCACCTCACCATCATCGACATGCCTGGTCTCATCCACTCGGAAACGAAGTCACAGAGTGCAGCAGATGTTGAACTGGTTCGCCAAGTCGTCAAGAAGTACATGGAAGAACGCAGGAGCATTATCCTGGCTGTTGTTTCTGCCAAGAATGACTTTGCGAACCAAGTGGTGTTGAATCTAGCCCAAAAGGTGGACAAGCGAGGCAGTCGCACTATGGGCGTAATCACGAAGCCGGATACTCTAGTTCGTGGTTCTGGAAGTGAGCAGCAGTTTATTTCTCTGGCAGAAAATAAACAAGTCCATTTCGACCTCGGTTGGCATGTCCTGAGGAACCTCGACTCAGAAACTCAGAAGGGATCGTCGCTCTTGAGCAATCGCAATGCGGAGGAAACTCGATTCTTTTCTCAGGGGGTTTGGAATACACTCTCGACCTCGATGCTGGGAATTGCCGAGCTCAGGAAAAGGCTCAGTGATGTGTTGCTACAGCAGATTGCCCTTGAATTACCGAGCCTGATTCGTGAGATTGATCAAAAGCTGGACGACTCTCGCCGACAATTGAAGAAGCTCGGGGAACCACGGCTCACCCTTGAAGAGCAACGGCTGCAACTATTACAGATTAGTCAAACCCTACAGTCGGTTGTTGAACGTTCCGTCAACGGGACATACAACGATTCATTTTTCAAGGATGCCGAAACGCCTGAAGGGTACCAACAACGGATTCGCGCCGTAATTCAAGCTCTGAACAAGGAATTCGCGGAAGAGATTGGGACCCACGGCCACCGACGTGAGATTAGAAGCAAGACATCGGTAGCTTCAGTGTCCCCAGAGTATATCACCAGGGACAAGTATCTTGATCATGTTCAGATAATAATGCAGAGGACTCGAGGTCGGGAACTACCAGGAATTTACAATTCCATGGCAATATCGGACCTGTTTCATCAACAATCATCTCCATGGGAATTGATTGCAAGGAAGCACGTCGATAAAGCCTGTGAGGCAGTCGAAAAGTTCCTCAGGATCGCCATCTCACATGTTGCCGATCCATTTATCGGCGCTTCTCTGCTTGACAAAGTATTTCGCCCAGCCGTCGCGAAACTACGCGAGACCGCTCAGAGCAAAACTACCGAGCTGCTTGATTCTCATCGACGTCTCCACCCAATCACCTATAACCGTGAATATGAGGAGACTATTCATAAGATCTGCTGTGGAAAAAGGGAACAGATAGAAGCGATTGTCAAGAGCAATCTTTGTGTAGAGTCTATATCGACTGATAACCTCTTATCCATGTATTCCAATTACAATCTCCAAAGGCTTGTTGACGAACTAGCCGAGGCTACTAAACATGACGTCGGACGTTCCGCAGCCTCTGAAGCGCTCGATCGCATGCTTTCTTATTATAGTGTTCGTGTCCCTTCTTGAACCTACTCGCATGTGTATCTAGAGAATAGCTAACGAGTCGGTTTGTCTAGATTGCCATGAAGCGTTTCATTGACAGCATTGCCATGGAGGTCATCGAACGGCAAATACTAGTGCCCCTCTCTGAGATCCTCTCCCCTGTGGCTGTCTTCAAAATGTCACCGCAGCTCGTAGATTGTGTTGCGGGAGAATCTCAGAAAAGCCGCAAAGAGAGAAAGGAGCTGATGAAGAAGATCGAAATTCTTCAGGCGGGTCTGAGTACCTGCAAGCAATTTGCTAGTTTAAGGCTGGAAGGTTCGGACCTTTCTTTGTTTCTTTCAGAGATCTAGAATTAACAGGAGTTTCTCTACAGATGAATCCTCTTCTAATGCAGAAGAGACCGAAGCTGCTAATGCAGAAGAGACTGAAGCTGCTAATGCAGAAGAGACTGAAGTCCATACAGACTCAGTCAACTCAGCAGAGACACATCCCGAGACATATGCCAATATAGATCCGAGCAATCGCGATACTTTTTGGGAATTTAGCAGCCTTCCAACACCAAAGAAGAATAAGAAGAGGCATATAATGATGAAGAAGAAGATGAAGAAGGCATATATGGGACTTGAGGGGATGGCTCAGGAAAACTCAGAGCGTGTCTAGATTAGACAAGTTTGAACCCCCCCTCTCCCCCTCTCCCGAAGGACTTTCAGAACACACAGCTGTAGCCAAGCAACAAGAGAGATTCGCACATGATCCGAAAACAGCCTGATAAGATTATCTCCGTTGTGGTGTAGCAGGGAGACAATGCGGTGATGAGACGAGGGGAGAAACGTAAAATCCATTACCTACACTTTCTTACCTGACCTTCTTACCCACCTACTTTGTTACGTACCTACCTAGTTGTTTAAACATAGTTACCTATAACTATACCAGACAGATATTGCACCTACCTACCCAGTACCTAAACCACCAAAGCGAAAACCTCCACCCCACAAACGAAACCATCGCCGCTCAAGACCGATTTACGCTCACTCTACCACTACCTAAGAGCACATGGGGGCTTCACATGGAACAAAGAGGACTTACGTGTATTACCTATGTATGTACCTAGCTTCCACAGGTACTTAGTCTCCGGGAGATGTTATCGACCCCCGCGCAATAACAACAAACAATGTTGTTGTTCAGCGTCTCCTAGGTTCCGCCTCGTGACACTCATAAAAAAAACCCCCACAAAAAGCCCTCGTTGAGTATGATTTTTGATTATTAACTATCTCTATTTCGCAGCAGCAGCAGCTAGGTATGATGCCGCATTATTACATATCTGTAATACATGTTTCTTCCTCTCTCTCTTTGTTTCTCTCGGCCTATCCATCTTTTCGCAACAGCAAAGCCACTTGCTCTGTGCTACGTAGTGGTGTTATTATGTATCTAGTACCTAGTACCAACCAGTCAGCTACATAGCCAGCCAGCCAACCAGCTACATGCTTATCGCGTATTGCCATTGTGTTCTTATAAACCTCAAGCACCAATGCCAGGAAGGCAACCTATGTAGTCTCAGCCCACATGCATTATGTACCTAGGTATGTAGGTAGCCAGCCAGAAAAGCCCATTCGACTCCTCTTAGCTTTCTTTCTCTTTCGTCCGAGCCTCCTTTTCAAAGACTCTTCTTCCAATCACCACCGTTTTTTGTCTTGTGATGCTATTACCCAACCAGCCAGCCAGCCATTCCAACCAAACGGATGCTGGTGTCCTGGCTAAAAAAAGAAAAGAGCTAAAATAACAGATAAATAAAACAGAACAAAAAGGAGGGGGTTTGGATGGATTGCACAAGTCAGCAAGTCAGGTACGAAACCAGAACTCCCCCCTTTTCCCCTCCCCTCCCCAAAAATACAATGTGTAAAAAAGAAAAAAAAAAACCAAAAAACAAAAGCGAGCAAGGAAAAATCAAAAAGTGGGTATAAGAACGCCTCGACAATGCGAAATTGAATGAATGCAAATCGTTGAATAATCCTTTCCCAATCCAATTCGTTCTTGTCGTCGCGTTCAGTTTATTAAAGTCCCAAAAAGCAATTTTTTTTTTTGCTTCTTGTTGCTTGTTGCTGTTCATCATTATCGGTTATCGGCCAAGCAGCCACCCCATGCGCTTGCCACCCTTCTCTCCCGCGCCCGTCTCGTCGCAGTCGAGCTCGAGCCGGTAGCGCCTGACGCTGCCCGTGTCGTCGTCGAAGCCGACACGACGGCTGGACTTCGGCACGAAGCAGTCGGGGACGATGTGCTTCATGATCCAGCCCTTGACGCCGCGGCTGGCGGCGTCGATGGCGGCGTACTCGAGGCGCCGCGTGTGGTCGCTCGTCCAGTAGTGCGTTGTCTGCGGTGGCGGCGGGTACGAGAGCTCTGCGTCGTCGTGCTCGTCCTCGCTCTCGCTTATGCTTCCCGATAGCGTCTCGGGTGGCGGGAAGTAGTAGTACGAGGTAGCTGAGTGTTGTTGTGGCTGGATCACATGGAGAGGTTGCGCGCTCAGACGTTTCACTGGCTGGCCCGGACTGGACTTGGCGGCACGGCGGATGGAAGGCCGTGTCCGTGGCCGGGTTTGGGAGGAGCTGGTGGAGACGGTAGAATTCCGGCGCTGGGAACACTGGGATGTGATGGACTTGGTTCCCGGGTGGATGGACTCGTAGCCGGAGTCATGGCGGAGTATGGGCTTGAATTCGAATCTGTCTTGCCTTGGCGAAGGCATTGGATCCTCCATGACGGCAGACGCTGCTCGGGGCTCGTAGAGGTCGATATCATGGAAACTGTGGTACGTAGCATCAGAGGCAGCGTCACTACTATCCGAGTGAGATCGGTGGAGATCTGTAGGTAATGGAGAGTACCGCGGCATCTTGGCAAAAGTCTGATGGTCCTCTCAAAACATTTGATGGTAAACTATCGCTCCGTCATAGAAGGCCGAGATCTCTCGTTGAGGAGGTGAGAGAAAGGAAGAATGAGGAATAATAACACACAAGATAGCCTGGACGATGGCTGGTCTGGGGATATTAAAACCTGAGGGCTGGAGACAAAGAAGCGTTCCTGCGGTGAAACAGATGCAAGAATAAACTGGTCAGAGAGTTGGAATAAAGTTGCGGTCTGAGTCCAATTTACTCCAAAAGGAGCAAATTACTTAGTAGATGTATATGAAGGCGCCCAGGATACACATCCGCTAGTGGACACAGACGAATGATTCTATACCGTTTGCCGGTCTAGAAAACGTCGCTGTGCTGCAGGTGAACGAGGTATGGAACCACTGTCAGGACGCTACTGCCGGGGACCGTAGGAAAGTTGCCCGCTATGCAGCTCCGGCGCAGGTGACGGCGTAGAGTCTGACAGAAGTCTTGCCAGTTAAGAAGACCAGAGGAACCTGGGATTTTCTTTTTGAGAGCAATGGGAACTACGAATTGAAATAATAGGATAGAATGATTCGCTACCAGCAAAGTGCGGAACACCACAGGCCACAAAACCACAGACCATGGAAACCAGGGTAACCTTCAAAAAAATCCAACGGGGTCGAGGAAATAGAAAACCGCGCGGTAAAGCCACACGGTACGGTACGTCAAATAATACTATGGGTCGAATTTCGAAAGATCGACAACCTTGATTTCGCCTCTTTTCAAAACTTTGCAGTAATAATTAGGGCTAACCTTGGGAGGCTGGTTTTAACTAGTTATTGTTTATTATTCCTTAAAATTTTTGTTGGGTGAAGAAGCGGTCTGGTAAATCGCTTGACTTGTTTTGGAAGCAGGAGGGAGTTATCGTGAAATTTTGTGACCCCGCTGGGCCGCTGGTGTACCGAGAGACCCCACGCCCTACACCGTCGTTGGTCACAATTGGAAGCGGAGAGGAATACGGGGGACGGGTAGTCTGCTATAAATGATCGTAGGGCCTTGGCTGAATGAATCCCCAATGGTTTTGAATTTTCAGATTGTCGAAACTGTCGAAATTGTCGAAATAGCTACTACTACTACTACCTGCATGCAGTGTTAGTATTACTAGGTAACTAGTGTTTAGTGGCAATTGCATATGTAGGTAGGCACTGTACTAACAGCAGGTAGTATGAATAGCATGACAAACATATATGTAAATCGAAAGACTTGTAAAAACCCACCTCAGGCCCCTTTGGAGTGATATTAATGATGATGAGCCAGGAGAGGGGAAAATCCGTTAAATAACGAAAATACAAGTCAGTTCTTGGTAGATCTCGTCACTGAAGGGTTCTAGTCTGATGCTGCAATGCTGTGTGCCTCGTGGGTCATCGAAAAAGACGATCGTAGCCCTTGCATCCGTGTTGCATGCAGGTGAGGTCAAGCCAGGCCCAGGACGGAACGGGATCGCCCCAACCTAGCCTAGATGGCTAATTCTTTTCAGATTGGCGAGCCCTGTTGGAGGGTTACGGGCTGGTGGGTTGGGTGTGTAAATCCGATGTCGCTTTAGTTGCCTGCCTACTAGCAGTGCTAGGCAGTTGACGATGCTGGTACCTGGTAGTTATAACACCTTAATCCTCAACCTTATTAGTGATAATAGGGTTATAAATAAAGTGCGGTAAGGATAAGGACGGGAAGACAGGGGAATATAGAATAATTCTAAGAGTTAGAATAGTTAAAAGAAGAAGAAAAGAAAGAAAGCATGTAGTTAACTATTATGTATGACTTCAACTTTGAAGACCATACACATACATACACATACATACACATACATACACATACATACACGCACAACAACCCAAGGTTAATCTTCTATGTATCTTTCAAATCAACCTAGGGTAGGTAACATATAGTTTTCACATGCTTTGCTTTGGCTTCTTTTCTTGTTCTCTCTTTTCGGTTGCCATTTCTCTCTTTTCTTCTTAATTGGGGGGGTATTGGACCCTGACTGGGGATGGATGGATGGCGTGGCATGGCATAGCATGGCTTTCCATCCCGCGCGGTGCAAGGATATGTAGATATGTGTACAAATGTGTATATACATATGTATGTACGTCCATCATGAGCTGTATTTGGCGTGTTTGGCTTGTTTAGCAACCATCACCTGGCGCAATTTGTGCCAATCGTCTTTGGTGCATGTCACTCAACTTGCCAATCCAGTGCAACCCAGTGCAACCCAGTGCAACCCAGTTCAAGCCAACCAATAATGATATGTCTCGTACCTGACAAGTACCTGTCAATGAAACCCGTCAGAAGGTTATTTTTCTTTCTTGTCATCCCATCCTGCATGGGGGTCCTCTGCAGCTCTCCGGGACCCACCCAGGCATGCTTACTTGCTTCAAGTTGCTTGCTTTTGTTTCTGGACTTCGGGAGGATTTTCTCCAATAACATCTAGAATAAATCGTGCACATGTTAAACCTCGGGCAGTCTGTTTTGCATAAGCCGCGAGAGCCAAGGGCCCAATGAAGGGTTCATGCTGTTAGCCACTGAGGACCGACCACTAAGGCTAAGGACTATCGTCTTGTATACTTTATGCCAATGGGAAGCATGTGTGCTGCCATGTGTTGCACGGTCGATTATCGGGGTTGGCGACTGTCTTCAGCAATAACTACTTGAAACTCTTTGATGATGAAAATCCTCGAGTGCTATTGTGAATACTTACATACCTAGGTTAGGCACTTACCTATGATAGGAGCCCACCTATCTACCCTATTTAGAATGATCATCCGCTGCCTACATATACATGTAGTCACAGCCGTAACCAATAACTCGTCAACCTCGGCCGAGTTCGTGTGACGTATCTCAGCACGCCCAGACGGGGTTCTTCTTTGGGGATGGGAAAGGCGAGAAAGGTAAGAAAGTCAAGAACGTATACAAACGCAAAACATCGCTATCTCATGCAGTTATCGGCGACAGGCTTTTACGTTTTTCGGATGGATGGATACATCTGCGCAATGACAACCTTATCGGGACGCACTGATGGAGACTGACTTCAGTGCTTTTCCTTTTTTTCAAAGTCGAAAAAAGTCGGAATGAATGATTGTATGTATGTATGTATGTATGTATGTATGCAACTAAGCGAGAAATGAAAAAGATGGAATCCAAAACTAAAATACCGAGAACTTGGTACCGATTGGAAGGGACGTGCGTAAAAGGTGACTCTGGCTAAACTTCGGGCTTGACTTTTCATCAAAGAACATGGAATAGAACGTGGTAGGTACAGGGATGTTAGCTTGCGTTGAATCAATGTATTGACATTTTACATTTTTACATTTTTACATTTCGGAATATATTTTTACACAGGCCGAATAGGTGCCTAGTAACTACATAATTATGGATCTTTCAATAACTATCACAGGGTGTTCCTTACTCAGGCGGCTAAGGCGGCTAGCCGTCTCAACATTCCAATGTTAAACAAAATCAATAGTGCAGGGGGGAGGAAATATTACTGTACAATAACTTGACCTATTCCCGGGCAGCCAAGCTATGTACCTTCATACGTGTAATTCGCAGACTCTTACCTACCCTAGGTACTTACACTGTGTACGCTCATACGAATCGGCTCATGAATTAACTAAGCTTTGATTTCTGCAGGAAACCGTGTTGTAGATTCAAAAGTACCTAAGTTAAGTTAACTACTTGGAAAACTTTCAAGAAGAACAAGAAGCTTCTGATAACCTTCCACTTACATATGCCCGTTTATATTTGGCGTTATATATCATTGATCTCCTAACCACGATACAAAGTAAACACCACCGGAACATCAAAGTCAATGACGTTGTTGATATTAGTATAACTAGTACCAAACAAAACAAGATATGGAACCTCATCCTCATCCTAGCAAGTCCTTGCAAAGAAAAAAAAAAAGGAGAAGGCGGTGGATGGTTTGGTTTGGTTTGGAGCACGTTGGACGCACACTATTTTTAATTTCCGCCGAGCCTCACTTTCCTAATAATGACAACCCGCGCTGACCCGCAAACCCGAAAAGAGAAGAGCTTCCTTGCTTATTTCTTCATGTAGTTATGTACTATCCCTGCTTTCAAATCCCAGTCTGCTTTTTCCGTCCTGACCCCTTTTTTCTTTCTCCCCCTTTGAACGAACGTTCGTCTTGGTTATTCTTCTGCTTCCACGCTAGTAGCCACTCGTCATAGATCATCTTTTGCCTACCTAGGCATCTACGTACACGTGCAGTAAGTACGGAGTAGTTACATGCCTACCCAAACCAATACACGCGGCATCTTGGACTGGCGCGATTCCTTGTCGTACATACACACATACATACGGATACTCCAAGACGCCAGACTGGAAGAGGAACAAGGTGAGCATTGTCATATGACTTGATGAAGGAGGAAATAGGGGTGAATGCAAAACACACCTACATTTTTACCAATGCAAACACGTATTTTTTCTGGAGAAAAATGGACGGTACGCATAGTATGTAGGTATTACGGAGTAGTTACCTACTACTAACATTCTGGTTCTTTCACTTCTTTGTTGTTGTTGTTGTTGATGTTGTTGCATTAATATTCAACGTCTGAATGGTGAGGGCGTCAACCCTCTTCATAACCTTCCTGGGGATATGGGACGTATTAAGCTTTAACTAGTAGGTATATAAGACATGGGTGTTTACCGCCTACAAAGTTCTATGTCTAACCTTGCCGTTGGGGGCTTATTATTTCTTGATATACTATCACCACCTATCGATCTACCATTATATACCATAAACCTCTTTGGCTCTCGACAGGCCTGGTGTTGTTGGGTGATTCTAGCTGATGGTAGTTATAGGGGGTATCGATATTCCGCTTACTATGATAGACTTTTTGATGCCCTGTATTGGGCTGCCCTTAATTGGGCTTGACTATAATAACTATCCTCTCTAGTATGTGTTGTTGGCGGATGATTGAAAGATGTCTCGTTATGGTGTGTGATTGCAGTAGCTAGGTAGGTATGTTGATCATGTTAATAGTAAAACCTTGGGGTATAACATATGCGGCCGGCGTTGGTGTCCGGCTGCTCATGAAGCTCTGCTCCTTGGGTATATTATCTCTTCTATTCTCTTCTCTTCTCTAAGTTGTTAAAGTATCATATTTAAAGCGACTTTCTTCCGTATAGGATGGCTGTCGTGTTTAGTGGTTTCCACTTGAAGGAATCCCGTGGGGTGGCCCTCTTGGTGCCTCAAGCCATAATCTCATGCGCGCCGACTTTTGACAGCATAGTCTTTCGTAAAGTCTTTAGATGGCTATTTTCCACAACAATCTCTATGCTGGCCTCACAGTAACACCAAATAGCTTATTTACTGACAGTACTACTTCCTAGTACTCTGTACAAAAGCTTGCACGCGGGCCGTGGAAAACTAGTAGCGAAAACGATGGTAAGTTAAGCGAAGTGAATGGAGGTGCATATTTCTAGCTAGTCCATAGTTCCAACTACCATATAACCTAACTAAGTCGTAGGCGAATTGGAAGCTGGCTGGCTGCCCATTTAGGCTAGGTACATACTCTTCAGAGTGGCCGTGATATGCCCTCCACTAACGGCACGCAATTGAACGAGCGACGAATAGGGGTACTTTTGGTATGTCGAGATGAAACCCTTACGAGTTTCTGTCCTTCTTTTCAACCTCGGTCTCCTTCTGCTTGCCAACAATTACTGCTACCTACGGCAAATCCCACTCTTCATGACGCTCATCTCCGGAGACGGAGCGGTCGAAACGAAGAATTGGTGCATGTACGATCCTTACTGGAAATGTGTTAGCTAGCTGTGATGTAGGTAGGTAGGTATTTGTATGAGGTTTTTATGGCATCAAAACCCGTCGTGGAGCAGAAAACTGGAAAATGTGCATGTGAGTAGAGCTAGAGCCGGCATACTTACCTCCTGCTGGGCGTCGAAGACGGCTTTGCAAAGCCCTTCCATGTTATCGTGCGTGGAGAGTTTGTCCAAGTAAACAGTGTCGCCCGCGCTGACGCTGATGGTGGCGATGTGGCCCTCGATCGTCTTGGGCTTGTCCATGATCAGAATGTCGAATCGCGAATCGGCCTTGTGAAGCGCGTCTCGCCGGCTGGTCGTGTTGTCGTGGCACGAGTGCGGTCCCCATTTTACTTGGCCCTTGAAAGTGAGGATGCACTGCTTGGTGTGGCCTTCGACGGAGTGTTCCTTCGGCTCGATCCAGACTCTGGTGGTAGCCATCGTTGAAGCCTTTTTGCTTGTCTGTTTGCTTGTTTGTCTGCTTGCGGAGTGTAAAGATATGATGATGATAAAATTAGTGGTTATAGTTTGGACTCTCCTGTTCTTGTAGGTGGGTTTGGATGGTATGTATATACATCGAGGAGAACAAGAGAATATACCTGCATATGTACCTAGACAGGTACATCAAGAAGACTAAAAGGGGGGTGAGACTTTTGATGTTGGCATATCCGAGACCATTGGCTGTCCAGCGTCGTAAACACGATAGTATTATTGGAGGGGATGCGGTGTTGCTACCCCGCGTGGACAAGGCCTTCAGCCAGTCTTCGGGCACGGAATGGCATGGCGCGGACGTCGACAGTACGATCCTATGCTCAACTTGACGATCAGATTTATAGAAGCGACGAGCTACATGACTGTGCTCCCTCGCCGAGCTGTAGATGTTTTGCTGTGTAGACGATCGATGAGGTGCCAGTGAAGCCAAGGGGCTTTGGTGGCGCACCCGGCGGCTACCTCTTACATGTCTTTTATGACAAAAAAAACAAGGAGCGAGAGCTGCGTTTTGGACTGCAGAATCTAAGAAAACCGAGAAATCAGAGCCAATCATCCACCCGACAACGCTGAAGTCCGACAGATCCGTGTCGTTCTTGAATATCCGTTGGCGCACATATGCAGAGAAATACGGTCCCAGGACAGCTTGAGGGGCTTCATCCTGCTTTGTGAACAATGCTCAAAATACGTAGCTGGGGCTAAAGAAGGGCGGCTGTGCCGGTTTTCCAAAACGCAAAGCATGCCAGAAATATCAAATCCATTCGACTATGGGGAATATCATGACCTAGGACTTACAGATCCGATGGGGTGTTACTCCTGCATCTACATAGGAGGCGTCCGGGGTAAAGGTATAGGTATCCCCAAGCGTGTTACGCCCCAATGCTCTTAGCGTACTCGGGAATATATGCCGAAGTTCGACATCTGCCAAAGGAACCAGGGGCTTTCATGTAGTGTACTAGGTAAGGTGTTTCGGGGTCCTCGCCCGTCATCGGGAATATTCTAGCTGTTCTGAAATACCACTTTGCCACAACGAGGCATCTATGATCAGAGCGCGACTGGACGTTCAGAGCCTTCATCATAAGGGGTTGTGGCGCACCGCAGAAAGTATAAGTAGGGTTCTAGTGCTAGTAACGAAAATCAAGAATATGACATATAATCCCATAGCTGTCACATTCCTCATAAATTCGGGCCTTAGAAAGTCACGAAGCTGACTAACATCATAGTTCCGAAGAGTCACGTCTTGAGCCAACAGCGATTATGAAATGCTTTGTCTTATATCATTCATAGGGGAGCAAGGGCTCTAACCTACTTTCTAGGTTAGGTACGGTAAGTGTTATCCTAGGTAACATTATTGCACGGAGACTTTAGACCCCTCCCTTTTCCAATTACTGTTAACAAGTCTGTTCCTTTGCTTTGAGAATGGCCCTGTAGGTAATGACCCAGCAAATACATTGTCCATTTAATGACCAGCTCTAGATTTATCGAAAGGGACTTATATGAGTCCTGTAACTATCCCATAAACGAACTTCGTTGCCAACTCTTTTACACCCTTGAGAGTTTACAATGTAAGAGAGGTTAATATGGCTCCATATGGTGCTATACTACCTGTCATATGAGTATCTTCTTGTTATCTAACACATAGTGTTAGAAGTCAACACAGCTTCTCCCCTCTTCGAGCCTTAGCAGCAATGTAGGTTAGGCGTTGACCTCGAGGCTATATACACCCTGATGAAAGAAACGAGGCTTGGTATCGTTCAACACACGGAATAAAATACTCACGATTTGGCTTTTTATCGATCGCAACGTTGAAATCGATATAGCAAATCTACTAGGTACTACATGTCTTCCCTCTTACGTCAGCTATTAAGTCACTTCCCTCCCCGGAAAGTAGGATCTGGGACGACGCCGCCAGGAGCGGCGGACACGACTTGTGGAGAATGACTAATGGCGCGGCAGTGAGCAGTCAGTTATGCGGTACGGCGAAGACAGCCGCCTCCTCACATACTTCTCTGTCACTGACGGCCTCAAGAACCCTGATCACATACTCCGTGGGGAAATCCTAGGAACAAGCGCGGAAGATCTAGCTCCTTTCCATTTTGGCCGTATGGCGCGCTCATGGGAATGAAACGAAGTGTCCGTTCTCTCTATAACTGCCACCATGCTATGCTCTCCTGGCATCCACGGCCACGCAGGTATAGTTTATGTTTCAGGATTCCGATGGTGTTGATAGCTCTTGGCGCGGTGATAAATGCAGCCTCACTGTCGTCATGAGCTAACTTGCTGTACGTATATTTCCATACTCGCAATACTAACTTCTAGGGGATGACCTAGTGCAAGCGATTGCCCTCCACGTTTGCTTTTGGGGGATAGGTAGGCAAGGGATATTTGGAGATACGATCTACTGTGTACGGATCTCCTAACGGCTAGAGCGACCTGGATGACGTTGTCACAGATGACGAGACCTGTATCTATTTTGCAGTTGAAGATAGGTACCAAATACCACAAAGATTCATGGTGGAGGATTCTTCAGAACTCTTTGAGGTTGATTTATTATCGCCTGACTAACCTATAACAGACTATGAATGTAGAGTACTATTATTTTCGGCCATCGGACATCAGAGAAGATACTTCGCGTAGAACCAACTGCCTCTCTGGATATATCGGACTTTGTTGTTGATGGCCTTACACATATCTCACTCTAGTGGATAAGTTTACCCCTATTTCGGCCATGCTACCTTACAGTGTTCCGCCTACATAGGTGTAGTGACTGAAAATAGCTTTCATACTAAGGCTGGATCCATCTTGAACATGTGTGTATACATATGGGTTGGTATAATGATACAATTACTGACGACGTGAGTACTTCCAGTTTCAAACTGGATCACTGGTATTCAAAGCGGCTCTTTCAGCAGTGCCTGTACGTTCAACAGCAATGGTATGAATGTGGGGAAGATCGGGCCCAGCCATGGCCAGCACATATACCCACATGATGACTGAAGCATGTGAATAGCACACATGATGCCCTCTTCTGTACCTACCTACCTAGCTGGGTAGTCGTTCGTTCTACGCCTCAATTGCTATATGCCTTTCCTATGAATGCCCATTCGGTACGTTACCGAAATGTAAATTTGAGCAAGTTATGATAGTGCTCAATGTCACCCATCAACCTGCCAAGAACGGGTTAATCGACGACAATTCTCGGAAGTGGACAAACTCTAGGTTAGGCAGCGGAGCTGACAATGTCCCCTCACTCCACGGAAGACACTTTAAATCGATGAATACCTAGGCCAGGAGTTGGCTGTATGGGGTGCGATAGAGGCAATATTGGAGTGGCTGAGAGACTTGGCGGGGAATTGTGTGCCCATGTGCCCATTTAGATATTAAAGTGCCGCCTCAGCCGTGACATATACCAATATGGATTAGAGATTCCATACTAGATCGCAGATGGTTTTTATTTTTTAGTGAGCCGTATGAAAGTGGACGCCATAATGGGTGCTAAACTAGGTTGATACTTAGTATGTATGTATGTATGTATGTATGTATGTATGTAGTTATCTTTCAGTCAACGGTTGAGGATACGAGAGCTTCCAGTTACCTAGATAGGTTCTTTAAGATACTCAAAGTCGCAGGGTCGTAAATGTGCTAAAGATCAGTCAGTCATGACATGACCACAAGCTATTTGTCTAGGTTAGTTAATTTATCTTTGCATGATGGCGGTTGTCGACCGGGGAAAGAGGATGACCAGAATCGAATGTCGTGCAGGGCTTAGCGATGCATTGGACGGATATTAAAAGTCAGTACAACTATATAAGGGAGCTTGTTCGTCTGTGGCTTGTCGTGTGATTGGGTAAAAGGGTTCTGGCAATCTATATAATCTAGATCGTACAGGAATTTAAGGCATGGATTTTCATAAGATGCAAATGGATATAGATGATGATACAGTAATCGTTTTTCCATTTCCCGGATCATCTACCCCTCCAGGTAGTAAGTAACACGATTGCTGCGTCTTTGTCACTTTTTGTAACCGTTGGATTTTGGGTTTTGGATGATGATGATGATGATGATGATGTTGTTGTTGTTGTGTTATTGTATAACTACCTGGTTGATATTATTGTTGGTGCAGTTGAGTTGTATTTATGTAGTGAGTGATAGTGATAGTGGCAGTGATGATAATGACTCCTACATAGCTTCTAGGTTAGTTACATAGTAGTAACTTAGTACCCTAGGTTAGGTACTACTAGTAGTACTATCATACTACTATGCCGTATGGTGAAAAGTAAATATGACGCGTCAATAACATTGAAGTGAGGCAGTTACTACATATGTACCTATTTCAGTATTCGGAAGTACTTGCAGCGCAGGATCACGTAGATTTGGTACAAGTCAAGGGTCCCTTGATGTTTGTGTCTGCACCTGCGAACTGATACTACCCTACTACCAATTATTTGTAAAACTAGAACCACCATAGGATCGCTTGGGCATAGGCTTAAGGCGCTTTTGGGGGTTGCTAACTTGCTACTGGACCCTTGTCGGAACCTCAAGTGCTAGCCTAGACCGCCAAGCAAAGTACTCCATACTGCTACAGCTACAGAAAGCTACAGTAGTAGAGTTGGTACAGTCGTAGCTAGCTGTCAATATCACCCCCCGCTGCCCCAGCTTTTACCTCACGTGATGCATCTAATTAGATCTCAACTTAGACTTATTTTCTTCGCGCTTTTCTGTATCAAGTAGCCTACCAGGCCCTACCTACCACAATTAGTTAGAGGGGTTTCAGAGTATCCTTGTCACTACCTATTAATCGTGACCAATTCTTTCCCTTCTTTCCCAGCAAGGTACTCCGTCATACATTGAATGTAGTCGACGACTGGGCGACTGGGACGCGATTGCCCAATGCAAACCTTGAAAAGACTAAACAAGTTTTGAAAAAAATAAAGGAAATAACTTGATAAATTTCTCAATAAAAAAGAAGAGAGAAGCACGGGACAAAAAAGAGGATACCTGTATACCTCGTGCTAAAAAAAAAAAAAAATAACAAGAAGGGAAACCGAGAAAAAAAAAAAAAAAACACCAACAACTCATAGACGCACGTACCTACATCACCTAAATCTTTCCCTCTTCTTACACACACATATACATATACATACCTACTGGTATACCACACATACATCATACCTATACGCATACCTACACACACATACACACACCTCACAAACTAGACTGATTGAAACCTACACTGACGTTCACACATCAACATGTCACCAACACGTTGACAATCGACACACCGCAGGTGACCTCGTCCATGGAGACACAAACCGGGACAACGCACATTGCATTACATATGTAGACGACAGGAATGCCATCCTGGGTTCCCGGTGAAAGTTCGCCGCATCTCTCGCGTGGTATAATGCTGAAATCTAAAAATTGGCGATGCAATGCTTATGCTGATGCTGCTGATGTCTATGTGATTGATGCTTACGATACTATCAACCCGACGTCGATGCTGCTGCTTCCGCTGCTGCTCCCGCTCCCGCTTCCGAGTTCACCTCCCAGCCAGGGCTCTCTGCTGATGTAGATGCCGAAACTTCTTTTGCGCCCGCGTATCTTACTTTATCTCGCAACATCGTCATCATAATCATTATCATCATCCAACAATATCAAGTATCTGTCTCAAGGACTTTTACTTACCTATCTAGGTACCTATCGTCGGTGGTGGTGGTGTTGCTGTTGTTGTTATTGCTGCCATCCATCATCTACCTATTTCACCCTCTCATCTCTCGTCCTTCCTTGTTAGACCTTGTTACCAACTTACCTACCTACCTACCTACCTACATACCTACATACCTACTACTTATATTCTATTATTCTATCAAATCTATTACTCTTACTCTTCTTACTACTTCTTACTTTTTCTATTTACTAGGTACTTTTCACTTATTCTTCAACTTCCTAAGTGACGAGGTCCCGGCTAGCCCGGACGTCCGTCTGATCATATTCAAGAAAAAAAAACATATCGAGTTCTGTTTCTTCGGGGTTTTTTTTCTTTTATTATTATTATTCTCTTGTTAACCTTATTTACCTCTTCTTCTTCTTTCTCTCTCTATTTCTTCTTACTTAGTTTCCCTTCTTGAACATAACGGTGCTTTGAATTATTTTAATCCTACCTTTCCTAAAAAATTACCTATTTTATTTTATTTTATTTTATTTATCTATTTCTTTTCTTTTTTTTTTTCGTTTTTCCTTTTATTGTTTCAGCCCACCACAAACCCCCCACCATATAACTCGGGCCTCTTACGCTCGAAACTCCTCTTCCCCCCTTGTGAACTCTCGGACGAAGTTACTGGTTAAGGGCTCGTCATGCTGCCTTCGCCCTCGGCCGGCTTCAGTAGCATACCGCCCCCATCATCGGCCGCGACCACGGGTCCATCCATTATCCCTAGCACCGCTACCTCAGCTCCTCCTGTACCTGGTCCCGGCCCTGCAGCTACAGGGGCAACGTTGAAGCGACCGGCTGCATCCGACCTGCAGCGCAGTGCCGGCGCAAGCGCCACTCCTTCAAAAAGACAAGCTACATCTAGTACCAGGCCGAATCTGATCTCCAACCCAAGTCCCTTGGCTGCTGGTACTGTTGGTACTGGTTCTTTGTCTTCAGCTTCGGCCCCTCCTACTACCACCGCAACCCAAGCTTATATTCAACCTCAAGTTGCTATGTCTTTACCTGCTGCCATCACCGAAGAGCAGTTGTTGGGCAGGACACCCGAACAATTGATCGCCACCATTCTCCAGATTCAATTGCAACATCAGCATTACGTTGCCCACATCTCCGCTCAATTTGATACTATTAGCCAACAACTAAATGACCTTCGTGGAAGTTTGATAGCTTCCCACCAAGCTGCGGCATCGGTATGTTTGTTTATTATTTACAAAATTGTAGCCGTTTACTGTTTTTCATTGACTAAAATGACATCTTCTATCTTTATCTACCTGCCTATATGCAGCGGGTTAGATATATATATATTTATTTTTCATGTACCATTTACTAAAAAAAATTTGCGCTCCTTAGGCACTTAGTGCTCGCGACTTTCCCGTGCGACCCGTCGTGGCCCCTCCACCTACGCAACCGCCAGCTACTTCGTACTCTCGGGGACCATCCATTTCTCTTCAAACCCCAAGTCGCCCCGCAAGACCACCTCCATCATCTCCATCTACTTCTCAGGCCGTCCAACCTAGACCTTCCGCACAAACACCCCAATCTGCAGGTCCACCCCAATACAAATATGGAACAGTTGGCACCGTCGAGGAAGTTTGGAGGGAGTACCGTGAAGGTATGGATGGACAGCCTGCCATCGAAGAGTTGGACGCTACGTGGGGCTCACGTTGGCGGCCTGAACCGCGCGGTCGCACGTGGTACTCTCGGAGAAAAGTCATCTGGGACAAGATCAAGGAGTATATGAGCGAAGGCCTAGACGAAGACGATTCGGTAAGAGAGGTGGAAAAATTACGCGACGGCGGCACCATCAACAAGTTAATCCGAATGCTACAAGACGAGCGGAAGGACAAGGGAGTTGGGGACGATAGCATGACCGCTTAGGACGGCTGCTAGTTACTTTGATTCGGAACCGGCGTTATTTGGGAAGCGGCATTTGATACCATACATCATATATGAGAGGTTGCATTTACGGGGCTAGTCGCAAGAGGACCGCGACGGCCGAATCGGCGTATCATCTTCATCATTATCATCATCATGAGGGCATTTTAAACCACCGTCTATTATAGCATGTTCACTGTTCACTGGCTGAACGTGGGACAGCCTGAGACTTGTTGCTTCTAAGCAAGGCAAGGATGATGGGGGTAATCAGGGTTACCATTGCGATATCTATCCGTCAGCAATGAACGAAGGAACATGACGTTACTTGACTATAGGCATCTAGTCTACCAAACCATTTGCGCGAGACACATGTTCGAAATATTGACCTGTTGGCTGTGCTACTAACGTACCTATCTATTCACTGCCCTACTTGCTCGGCTTGTCATTCCGGGGCGTAGAGTCAGTCCATATGATAGATGACAGCGAAACGTCCGAACTTGACTTTCAACAAAGTGTTCGGTGTCGTTCGCAATGGTCACGCACCCCATAACAGGTATCCCAACAACCTATAACCTATTGAGGAATTTCGAGGCCTCGGTATTTCGGTATATTCTGGGGTTGTTCATCGTGAACCTCGCTCGCCAAGTCAATAAATGTCGGTAGTAAAAAGCCTAAGGTGCCTAAGATGGCGTTGAAAATAGGTTACACAAAAGCCGCACTATGCAGGCGACCTGATTGGTGTGTTGGCCATCACAGTAAGCCCATGGGGGGGTGCGATGGAGTGCGACAGGGTGCACCATACCCTTTACAAACCTGAAATATTCCGTGGACCCGACCACGTCAATAGATATATGGCCGTCGCGTTGACGTAGTAAAGGTGGTTAGGGGGAGCGTGACAATGTTGTCAAATCTGATTCCTCGAAATTCCGGCATCGGTTAGCAAACGCGATCTTGAACTATGTGCTCTCTTGTACTGATCATGTTTAAGTTCCCGTACTCAGCCGCATATTGCAACGTTGACCATCTCGGTGGCTGGCTGAATAAATATTTGGGCAGATAAATTCTGCCTAGGTAGCTTACCGAGCTACTGTCCACCTCGGCGGACCATGTCACGAGCAAGATCGACTGAGCTGGTTTTCTCTACTCCTTTTGGGATCCTCGGCGTGAGTTCAAACCCAGATGACGATCATGGTTGCCGAACTTCCTCCAACTGTCTAGGTGTTCATGGTATCCCCACGCCACATACCGAGTCGATTTGAAGCTCGGAAGTGGATTCCTAAGTTGGCAGTTTAAGTCTCTCCGACTTTTAGGGGAAAAGGATATCTACATACCAAATAATGTACTCATGTATTCGAATCGACAACAAGGAGGAGAAGCCCTAGGCTTGGCCCTTTTCTGAGACTTTATCTAGATCATCTTCTGAAAGACGATCTAATGCAAGTTATATATGTGAGGGCGGGTAGGTAAGGGGCAAACAAAGAGGCAACCAATCCAATGTCTACTGCAGAAGAATTGCTAACAAGATCGACAACGATTGGAAACAATTGACTATGGTCTCTAACAACGACAAAGAGGCATAAATATAAATCTTCGCCATATTTATACACATTAACTCACCGCCAATCACGAAAGAGATATCAACATCCGAGCTTCTTCAGCCTTAGAAGACGCACTACATTATTAGATCAAGGGACGAGGTTTTACGAATGGTATATTCTGTGTGTAGCATAGGTCCTGTACTATAATCACTGAATCAAACGCATACATATCTACCATTGGGGGCCTTGTTGAACTGTGTCTAGCATGTGCATCCATGTGTTTATCCATCATACTACTCGTGAGCATGACACTCGCTTCCTGAGTGTTGTAAATCCTGGCACGGGATACACAATATACAGTCCGTGGCAGGACCCGCGTACGCAGCCACAGTGTGAGTATTCTCACACATTCAGTCCTATCCCCCCGCACCAGTCATGCCACTGGCATCCTGGATGCTGCCGTCTCGAGCAGGACACCCTCTGTAGCCGGACCATCAACGCCTGCAGCATGCGGGCGCGGTACCACCACTTCGTAGACGAGAGCGAGGGTGACATCAAGGACCTCTCCTTCCTAGGTGAGTATCTCGGCACCCACCCCACCCTCCTGCTAATCGCCGGCTGGCTCTTCAAACTCGGCGTCGAGGTCCGCCTCATGAACCTCCTCCAGGAGCGCGCAAACCGGCGCCTCAACCCCCTAACCGTGAGCGTGGACGACGTCCTGAGCCCAGACGAGTCCGCGTACCTCCGGTCCCAGGTCGCCTTCTACAGCTCCACCGTCGCCACCGCCCTGTCGTGCCTCCGCCAGTTCGCCACGCTCTGGGACCTCAACTCCGGCGCGGCGGCGGCGCACTTGCTCCCGCCCCGCCCCGGCAACCAGCCCGTCCCCGAGGCGAACGACGCGCTGTCGCGCGCCCTGCAGCTCCGCGTCGGCGCGTGGGCCGGTCCGGACACGGCGAACCCCCCCTGGCCCGGCAGCGACGCGGAGATCGACCCCGCGTACGCGGACGGACGGTTCCCGCGGAACTTGGCGGAGCCGTGGACGCTGGCGCGCGTGTTTGGGACGGGCCAGGTGCGTGAGTCGCCTGTGCTTGCGCCGAGTACGCTGTACCATGCGCCGCGGCTGCCGCGGTGGATTGGGCGGATCACGCCGTCGCCGCCGGTGAGTGGGGGGGAGGGGGAGGGAGAGGGTGCGGATAGTTCGTTCTCTGAGCTTTCGGTGTTGAATGGGGAGCTGGAGGGTATGGGGATGGATGAGTTTAGTGCGAGCGATCGGCCGTATGGCGAGGGCTACGGCTATTCTTCTTCGCCGGATGAAGTGACGTCTGGGGAGGTGGATGCGGCGGATGGGTATGTTTCTTCTCCTGGCCACGAGTACGTCGAGTATTATAGCGATGAATATGACGATGACGATGACGGCGTCTCGGAGACGGGTAGTGGGCATTCCGACGAGGATAACAGCAACAACAACATCAGCAGCCGCAGTGATGGTGGTCATGGTTATTACTACGAACCAGCAGCATCACCATCACCATCACCGCCACCAGAATCCGTAGACGAATACCCCATCGAAGACCTAATCGACCACTACCCGCACGGCCCGCGCAGCCGCGTGACCTCGTACAGAGTGCGCTGGGCGGGCGACTGGCCGGCGCGGGAGAAGGAGTCCTGGCAGCGGCGGCGGAACATCGCGCCCAGCATCATCGCCGCGTACTGGGATAAGGAGAGTACGAAGGAGAAGGAACAGCGGAGGAGGGAGAGGAATGTGAGGAGGGGCAGGGCGGTGAGGAGGCAGATGAGGGGGGTTTATTAGGTGTGGAATATGCCTGCCCCTTTCTGATACTCACCTCTAGATAGGTAGACTCCGTAATAGATACATGCATGCATACATACATATATGAGTAGTTTTTTCAGGTGTAATATGAAGGTGGGATGGTCGGGCTTTTATGGACGTGTTGGAAGTGATGATGTATTCCAGGGTTGTTCTTGAAAGGATATTGTCTTGGCGTGGATATTGTTACGAGAAGTTGGCCGTGCGAGTGGTAAGTACCTAGGTGTGATAGAAATATGTTGGCAGGCATATATCATACGAATAGTAGCACCTAGTGAAGTCATCTTCAAAGTGCCTGAGAGCCCTCATCTGGCTCAGCTTTACTCTCTGGATTCTGAAGTTGTGTCTGCCGTGTATAGGTGATTTCAACATGAAGAGCGAGAGTAAGATCGTGAGATGCCATCTCGCGAAGGTTCACAATTGGCATCCAGCTTCAGAATTTTCGCTTGGACAATGGATCTTGGAATGCATATATCATTCAATATTTCAATATCTTTGAGCTCGTATCTTGCCCTGCTGTTTCAAAGCCAAGATAAACAAATTGTTAAAGACAAAGAAAGTGGCATAGTATACTTCTGCCAGGGGACATCTATAGTGGATCGTGGTATGAATAGGTGTAACTGTCAAGCATCGAGACAGACGTTCTGGTGGTAACCCGTTTTAGGCTGTTCGCTTAATGTGATGGAATAGGAGTCTCCAATTTCGGAATGGTTGCCATACTGACTCCGTATCTACCTGAGTAAAGTCTAGAACATACTGAAAGTCGGACATAAAAGTGATCATCGTCCCTGGCCTGTTTTAAGGATTTGAGCCTCAGCATTACTGCCTTTACATACGATATTCGGTTATTTGTCAGCAGCCAGCCATGAAAGCACTCACTTTAACCACCGTCGCCCTCTGGTGTGCGAACACGGCCACGGCTGCTCCAACTCGGGTGTTGGCTGCTCCACCGGCTGAATTCACACCCAACACGAGAGTAGGCCCAGGAGGTAGCAGATACAAAGACTCACCACATTTTCGGGTTTATGATGCAGCGAGCGACACTATTTCAAACAATGCTCTGCAAACTCTGGAATCGGCCTACGATTGCTTCGTAACCACTCTAGGATGGCGATCCCCCGGCCTATCATTCAACCAAGATAACGATGATGGGCCATGGTATAAGATGAACGTCTACAACGTCGCCAGCCTAGGGCCCAACACAGCCGCCAACACCGGAACGGACGCCGCCACCGGGCTGAGCTTCCTGAACATCGTAACGGAGTGGATGAACACCCCCGGCGTCACCGTCCACGAGTTCGGCCACGGCCTAACCTACGCGGAGCGATACTGGGTCGACCAGGGGCGCACGGGCGCATGGTGGGAGCCCGTCGCGCAATTCGTCGCCGACACCTTCATCACCTCGTCCTACTGCGCCGACTCCCGAGCAAAATACAGCCAGCCGACGGGCGACACCATCATGAACCTGAACAAGGTGATCAGCGACTCGTACCAGGTGATCGTCGACGGGACCAGCGGGTCGGGCAACTACTACGACTCCTGGCCGTTCCTCGCGTACCTCGCGAGCAACCCGGACGCCTACGCCGGCCTCGGGATGGCGAGCTTCCCGAACGTCTGGCGCAAGTACCGGCGCGGCAGCAACGAGACGCCGCTGCACGTCATCGACCAGCTCGCGGCGCCGGGCGCGAAGGTGCAGAGTGTTGTGGGGCGCTACTGGGCGCGCATGGCGTACGTCGACATCGGGCACCCGAAGGCGAGGGCGCTGTACGAGCGCGAGAAGAGGGGGTACAATTACGCGAACTGGGATTCTCTGGGCAGCGGGAAGTACCGCGTCAAGAGCGCGCGGCAGCCGCGGTACATGGGGGCGAATATCGTGCCGCTTAAGGCGACGGGGAGCGCGGTGGGTGTGGCGGTTACGGCTGCGGCGCCGTTCACGGCTACGTTGGCTATCAAGGCGGCGAGTGGTGGGGCGGTGAGGTATGTGGATGCAGTGGATGGGAAGGCGGAGGCGACGCTGGCGAGTGGGGAGGAGGCGAGCCTGGTGGTGGCTAATACGCCGGCTACGCTGTATCTGTATGATCCCTTCGCGCTGTCGGGGGATCCGGCGAATAGGGGGTTGGATTATCAGGTGCAGCTTACGGGTGCGACTGTTTAAGTAGGTAGTTAAGGGGTAAGATGGGTGGGTTGGATTTATCTCATAAGATGTGATATTTGTGTACATGGTCTATTATTTCGTACATATTAATAACCTAAGTGCCTAGCTAGGTAGTAAGTACCTACTCCAGGATATATCTACTTCATCCCCTTGATGGGAAACACCTTAATCGCCTTATTCGCCTGTATGATCGCCTCTCTCGCGCCCGACCACGTCTTCCTCTTCCCCGTCTCGAAGAACCGAAACGCGTGCGCAGTCTCCACCCCATGATTCATCAAATTATACATCTTCCGATCCTTAAACCAGAACTTCCACCCCTTCCACCCCCACCCCAAATTCTCCATCCCCGTGCCCGCCGCCTCGTGCAGGAACCCCTGAAACTCCCACTGCTTCACCGCCGCCGTGTCCGTGTTACTGTCCAGCCTCCACCTTGCCGCCACCCACTCGTGGTGCGCGTCCACCCCCCTCTCCATCTCCTCCCGCGACGGGACGGCGTGCACGCCGCGCCAGATGTTGCTGACGGCCATGGCGATGACGTCCGAGAAGGAGAAGCCGTTGTTCTTGCCGAGCGTCGAGTGGCACAGCAGCACGGCCGAGTCCGCGTACCGCGGCGGGACCAGGTTCATCCACAGGCGCGGCAGCGGCGGCCCCGCGTAGTCGGGAGCCGGCGGGCCGTGCTCGACGAAGGGGGCCACGTCGAAGTCGGCCGAGTACCCCGTCGCGCAGACCACGGCGTCGATGTCCCCGAGCACGGTCCCGTCCTCGAACTCGATCGCGCGCGGCCCCACGAACCGCCGCAGCCCGTGCAGGGACGTCAGCGTCCCGTCGCGCAGGGAGGGGATCACGTGCTGCGCTGTGGATGGCAGCGCGAGGATGGCGGACGGGTACGGCGAGATGCGCCACGCGGGGTCGAGCTCCCCCCACGTCGACCACATGAGGTAGCGCGAGCCCCAGTCCGCCAGCGCCTGGGAGGCCTTGGGGAAGTTGCGCTGGATGGCTTGGAAGGTCTGGCGTCGGCTGCGGGAGACGAGGAGGTCGGTGGGGGTGCCGTTGCGCCATAGCTTGACGATGACGACGCCGCGGCGGTGCGAGGTGTAGATCTTGGAGACGGTGGGGATCATGTCTTTGATGATGTCGCCGGCGGTGCTGCCGATGCCGACGACGACGACGTTTTTGTTTTTGAAGTCTTCGGCGCTGTGGATAGGTGCACTTCGGTTTAGGAGATGGACTTTTGGGGGAGGGGAAAAAGGGGGAAGGGGGGGATTGGTCTAGGCTACCAACTTACCTCCGGTACGCCTGGGCATGAATCACAGTGCCTTCGAACTTCTCACGTCCTTCAAACGCCGGCATGCGCGCCTTTGTTTGGTATCCATGGCAAAACGCAACCTTGTCGTATTCCAGCACTTGCGGGGTGCCGTCGATGGTTACGTGGACCAGCCATTTGGTGTCCTCCTCGTTTCTGACGACTTTCTCTAGGAATGCGTTGAAGACGACATCCTTTAACAGGTCGAAATGTTTGGCGTACGACTCCATGTATTCCTGGAAGTCGGATTGGGATAGATGGTGCGGATACTCTTGGACATGATTAGTTAAGAAAGAGCGACGATAGGGAAAAGGTAGTAAGTGAATAGGTAGATAGCAAGACCTACTGTCAGGCATAGGGAAGTCAGTCATCCCGCAGGTATATTTGCTAATGTTGGCTTGCGTAGCTATAAAAGGTGGTAAGCAATGCGTATGTACAGGAAAATACTAGAGTATTCCCGTATGCTCACATGGCAGAGCCGTGGTCATCGACGGATCCTCAGAATAAGCCCAGAGACCACCGACTTGACGTCGTCTCTCATACAAAGTCACTTTGAAGCCATCTTCGCGTAGAGTCTTGAGCATAGATAGCCCGGATGAGCCTGACGATGAGGATTAGCATGAGAAAATGTAGATTATACGCAAGTGTGGGGCTTATTCGCTTTACATACCTGCACCAATGACCGCGACGGTAAGTTGTTCTTTCATCGTAATGGAAATCTAATATTTCAGAGCGGAGTCTCGAGTTTTTGTTATTCATTCATTCCGAGTTGTCCGATATTTTAGCCATATATCACTTGACAGGTCTACTAAGAGTTGCAAGATTATCAGGGGCGAGGTCGAGAGTTGAGTTAGGGAATAACACGGTCATGTATTGTATTGCATTGTATTATGATATAGAACTTGAATTTTAGACTACATGATATGATATAAATGATAGACAGCTCCGGAGATAAGTAGGCACCAGATAGATACTGTAGATACCAAAGTCGGTGCCTAATCCAAAGCTGATAGACTGAATAGGTAGTTGTCAGTTGCTAGTTGCAAATCTCGGACTCCCTTTCCCCTAGTTGAAAATAGGTTAGTTATAGTGGGATTGTGAGGCGATCATCAGGACTTGATTGGACGTTATTTTCAGCTGGCTCTACCAGCCATGGATATCCTCCCGACTAACATTGTCAGCTCGGACTATTCCCCTCTGTAAGCAAAGACTGTTGATGACGAAACTCGTGCCCGAGAATCCTTCATCCTACCAGCTCTGCCAACTCAAGAGGCTTCAGATAGAGAAATCGTAAAATCAAAATCAGATTACATTCGCTTTCATCTATGGATATCTATGGCTCAAAATTACCAGGCTCTCAAACACCCGTCTATAACCCCTCCCTCCCTCTCATCATATCTAGGGAAATATATCTCATCATAACGGCGTGCACGGGTCCACCAGCGCATCCGTATCCTGGAACTCGAGCCTCGTCTGCGCCGCGCCCTCGCCCACGACGATATCATACGTGATCTTGACATCCAGCTCCTCGATCGGCGTGTTCGCCTCAAAGAGCACGTAATCCCCCTTCTCGACGCCCGTCTTCTCAAACACGTGCGTCTTGACCTCGTACCGCGGCAGCATGGCCCCCAGCTGGGGCACCGGGTGCGCGAGCTCCATCGTGACGGGCTCGCCGGCGCGCTCCTTCTTGACGGCGACGGTGACGGTCAGCGGCCGCGTCTGCGTCGTCTCGCTGTAGTCGCCCGTGCACGACTGCAGGCGCTGTAGCAGCACGGCGTTCTCGAGCGGGAACCCGCTGCCGCCGTTGTCGAAGACCTCGGCGCCGCTGCCGGACGTCGGCGTGATGTGCACGTTGAAGTTGCTGATCCCCGCCGCGGCGTCCAAGGTGGTCGAGAACTCGTGCCAGACGAAGGACTCGCGGAACAGGCCGGTCGAGGAGCCGAGCTGTAGCGTCGGGCGGTCGGTCGTTATGGCTGTCGAGACGTTGGCGCCGCTGTTGTCGGCGTAGGTGAGGTGGACGTCGAAGTCGCGGGTGGCGCGGTTGGTGACGCGGACGCGGATGCGGCCCTCGAAGACGAGCTTGCCGTCGGAGTTGAGCGCGAGCAGCTTGATGTACGGCTTCACCTCGAAGGGGTCCATGACGTCGGTGAGGGTGACGGTCGAGGGCACGGTGTTGATCATGCGCTCGAGGATGTCGGCGCACTTGGCCTGGAAGGTGGCGGGGTCGGCGAGCGCGTTCATCGTCTCGTTGCCGTCGGCGCTGAAGACGCGCTTGTCGGAGTTGGTCGTCTCGTTGCTGCCGTACGCCAGGAGGTTCGCGGTGTTGCCTTCGAGGTACTCTGTCACGACGACGTTGTCGAATTTGGAGAAGGAGTGCGAGGTGTTGGACTCGAAGCGGTGCACTTCGAGCGGGGTTGTGTCGCCCGTGATCTCGGGGAAGTTGTCGTTGTGGACGCCGCCGAGAGTGTGTCCACACGCTACCATCGTGATCATGTCGCCTAGTGATATTGGTCAGCAGGGGGTTCCAACCCAGGAAGGAATCGCCACTTACTTGTGTTAAATCCGGCTTTGGCAAAGATGTCAGTATGTGTCTTGATATCTTGACTCGGCTCAGGCACTCCCGTTGGCCCCGCCTCCATGACGTCTGTACGGCCGGCTCGGAACGGGATCTTGGGGCCGCCACACGTCGATGATGCGGCGACCACGGAGAGCGCGATAAGGTCTGCCCCGGTCGTTCTGGGGCTGTAGTAGTTCCGGAAGAAGCCGAGCGAGTTGTTGAACGCAGTCCCCTTATTCTCATCTCGGTCCAGCTCGAACATGATCGACGCATCCAGGCCTCCCGTTCCCGTCGCAGCATCGTGCGTCGACATGTCATGGTACGCCGTGCGAATCCATTCAGCTGCGTTTTGGCGACCTACGACGCTGTGACCGAAGTCACATGGATTTACCGCTGTAAGTTGCTGGTTAGCCGATTTCTTCCCCCTTTTTTGGATGTGATGCCATCCTTACCATCGATGAAACCCATTCGTATGTAGCCGGCTTGAAGTGCCATGACATCTTCTAAGAAATCATACTTTGACGGCCAGATATATTCGGCTCCAGCTACAGTAGTAGCATGGAGGAGGCCCACGCCAGCCCAAATTTGGGGCTTCATTTTCGCAAACCGGTATTAGGGGGTAAGTAGAATATATTAACGATAGTAGTGCGCAATGTAGTACGCGAGAAATAACGAGTGTCTAAGTTGAAACGAGTGAGGCGCTATAAATTTGCATAGCAGTCATGATAACATTCTACTTGGCATCGACGTCCGGGTGAGGCCTTTTAAAGTCATCGCGAGCGCGGACTCACGGACAAGTTGTTCTAGAATGCTTCGTTCAGTGGACTTTTTGCATGAAACCTCGTATTGGCATTCCTAGGTAGGTGAAATGCTTGGCAGGATGTATACCCGGGACGGAAGCGAAATGGAGTATCGTATTCCAGGGCCCAGAGGGTTGGCGCTAGATGGACTGACAGGTTACTATCTACAGCAGATACGGGTCCACCACGCCTAGTTCTACGACGGGATCTTTTCCCTCTATAAGTTAAGGCGGCCGATGTTTTATATCCCTTCCAATCAGCGAACAATTATTTGCAAAGGGTAGACGATAATTCTGCATAATTAGGTAGGTACCTAGTAGGTACCTAACCTATATGGGCACCTGGTCTCGCGATAGTTACGAACCTAAGTCTTAAGACCTAGGAATCAGGGCGAAGTGCCGAGACCAATGGTCCTGGACCCTTTACTATAGTTGACTAACCAATGGGGAGGGTGGTGATTATAATGATATCTCCACTGCCTGGGTAGAATGGGTCCCTTCCATGCAGCCCTGTCGTATAGACTATGTCTTGTTAAGTAAGCGTATTCATCTCTTTACCATTGAATGGCATGCTAGAAATATTATTAGAACTTCTTCGAGTTAACGTTTCATTGGGAAAGGCTTGCCATCTAAAACTAACGTGATTGTTAATCTCATTCGCTTCTTAACTGGATATGCCCTTGACCTTGTAGGCTATTGAAGAGCTACTATCTTTGTATACGAGTCTACAAAACAAAGACGCTTTAACTACCTAGGTACGAATAGGCGAGAAACTAAGCCTGTTTTGAGGCAGTAAGGTTGACGACAATAACTCATTCACCTGCCTACATATAACAGTGAGCAGAATGATTATCACTCTAGCTATTCTTCGCATTATCATTCTTTTTGATGCGCTTCAGGCATTGAATCTTCGACCTACCTAGACAAGGCCAAGACGGGTAGAACCGCTTTTTGCCTAACCCAAGTTTGTCAAGATGTTCATACAGACTCCAGAATGACCCAAAGAACGGGATATACTGGCCTGGTTCTAGGTTAGGATGGTAGGAGACTGACCAATGTATGGACACGAAAATAGAAACTTGGAAGGCAAAGTTCGGAAATCGATGTTGCAAATCAGCTAATACTATCTTTAGATATGGCCATCTTCATCTTTTCGTTGACTTCGATGTCTTTTTTTGGCAGGCGATTAACTTGATCCTGCCAAGCTTCCTTTTTGGGCAATAACCCTAACCCTGACCCTGACACTAACATTGACAGATTGCTTCAAGAGCGTTGTTCTCTGTTCATCTGATAACTCAACTACCTAGTATGTAAGAAGTATTATACGAATAACTTTTTACTTGAGAATTATACTTGTCTGTATAATTATCTACCTACCAGCAGAGTTAGTTCTTTCAAATGGACAAACTGTCAGGGCTCACCTCAATCACTTGGCATCGCCAACGGAGGACTGGAAATAAGTTGCCTGAAAGCTTAACATACTAACTTGATTTAGAGATTGATGATCTTAACACTTCCTGGTGAGTTTAGTGGGGAATCGAATCGCGGCGAGGTATGGTGGTGTTTTGATGCCTTAGGTAATATCATGGATCTAGACCGCTACATCTCTCAACCTACTCTTTGTCGGACTTTAATGAACATTCCTTAGTACCGATGACAAATTACCTATCTAGAGGCAAACTACTTTTCGTATGGGTGTATTCAGACCTATTCATTACCCAATTGCAATCTCTGTGGACCATTGCAACGTCCCTACTACTACCAGACGGACGTAGACTCTACTCTAGTGCCTGGCACACAAGAACAAGAACAAGAACAAGACAAATGAACGTCATGGATCAGTCCTTCACTCTTTTCCCGGAGCTACCACCGGAACTCCGCCAGGAGATATGGCGCATCTCTCTCACCCAAGAATGGGAGTATAGTAGCTTCAAACGCGTTGGTAGACAGATCAAGCTAGTGGGTAGAATCAACCAAAGCGTACCCAAGGCTTGCCGCGAGGCTAGAGACATCATGAAGAGCGCCCTCACGGAGGTCGAGGCGAAGTGGTCTACCAAGTACCACCACGGTGGCCTGTTCCACGGCTGGATCAACTTTGACCGCCACCTGTTTTTCCTGCGCGACACCGAGGCCAACTTCCACCTGATGAAGGACATCCTCGAGAAGGGCATGCTGGAACGGATCCAGCACATCGTCATCAACCCGCACGGCTACTGGCACCTTTTTATGACGGTGCGGGCGCTGCAGAAATGGTGCACGTCGCTGCGTACGATTGTGGTGGTGGCGCCTTGGCTCGACCGCACCCTCGTGGACACCCCGGACCAGGTGAACCCTTACGAGGACTGGGGCCCGCTATTTCACACCTCGCCCACGGAACTCAACATAGCGCCCTTGCTGAGCGCCATCGACGCCCAAAAGCCAAACAACATCTACAAGAAGGCGTGGGATCAGGAGAAGCTGGAGAAGACGCTCGTGGGATTTCCTAATGGGACGCCGCTGCTTTTTATGCGGACTAGGAATGATTTGCGCCTACCCAAGGTGAAAACATCTGCATTTTTCCCCTTGTAGGTAACTAAACACTACCTTTTTGCATACTTCAGGTACGTAGTAGTCTTGTTACCGTGGCTAGAATGCTAACATGAAGCTCACAGAACACCAAATCAAATTCAATAGCTTGACTAATTAGATTTCATTTTCTTTACATTAAAAACTAACACAAAGCCCGTAGGGAGACGGTAACATATAAACATTTAAACATACTAGATATAAACATAGATTAATTATTAATGGCTGGGAACGAGCATCGGAATTTGTAGTTTTGTAGGATTATATTATATATATTATATTCGGTAAATAGACCTAATATGGTAGCCCAATAAGACATCTGTGCCAAAATCAAAAATTAAGATTGACTATTCCAAATTTAGAAATTAAGAACAGTGCTATGAGTACGTGAAAAGAGTGGATCGTACTTAGAAGATTCTATGGATAAGTAAATATTTCTATATACATATGTAGCCTAAATGAAAAGTACATGAGCTACCATACTATTTTGTATGGTAGGCTAAGTACTGGCAATATCCCTTTTTACTACATACCTAATAGCTTGCATGTACGATGCATTTATGATTTAAACGTGACTATTATTAATAAGCGTAAAAGGCACTGAGCTAGCCACATAACTATCCCCTAGCCACATAACTATCCCTAGCCACATATTCCTTAGCCACATCTACCACATTTCGTATTAATCTAAGGTCTAGCCTCTTATGTTGAATAACTTTCTGAAACATATAGCTACATATATGCAACCAAATTCAATTGAAAGTGCATTCAATTACAAATTGATTGATATAGGTCTCGAATTGAGGCGATACGTGGTTCCAAAATTAATCAACTAAATAGGTGGCAGGCCGGACGGCACGTGATCACCCCTGGAGCCATACTACTGTAAGAGCCCTTGGCCTCTTGGAGCCAGCCGCCTGGAGGTCACGCTAAGGGGTATCACGTGATGACACACGATATACTTACCTGAATAGCCTTTGAACCAGATATCGCATCAGTATGCAACCTACATCATTCAATTCGTAATTGAATGAGATTTTGATTGATACCGGTTGCATGTGTGTGGCTAGGTGTTTCAAAGAGTTATTTGGGTAAGATGAGCGCTGAATAAGGTAGCGCTGAATAAGGTAGCGTTGAATAAGGTTTGGCTTCAAGGGCTCTTAGAGCCAGATAAGGTTTTACGCTAATTGATGTCACGTGATACCCCTTAGAGCTACCAATATGTATTATACGATAGATCTACCTAAGTAACTTTGCATCTAGATATTGCACCATATTGCAACCCATACTAATTAATCCAAAATTAAATACGCTTTCGAATGAACTAGGTTATATAATTATGGCAATATATTTCAGAAAATTATCCATGTGAAATGTTATATAAGCTTATACAACCACGTCACATGACTGCGTCACAATTCCCCTAACAGTAATATCATCAAGAAAATAATATTCAATTATCCAGTATAACTAGCTAAAGTACCGATATACATGCCTTTCTTTCTTAAAAAGTGGGACTGCATACTAAATTTAGACTAGCTCAATTATTATTTTCATTTTGGCACAGCTGTCTTATTGGGCCACCGTACTAATTAGGACGTCCAAGTCGAGTATTTAACTAGGACTTTTATGCCAACCCCTGTAATCCTCGTGCCTGGCAACGGGCTTGTCTGACTACGATTTCAGCTGAAGTGCATCGTGACAGGATGAAACACCAAATAATCATCATCAAAATACCCCAAATAAAAAAATGGAAGAAATAGAAGAAACAGAGCCGTGCTCTACTTGCCGCAATCTAGAACCTCTACCAGGTCTCGCAGGAGGTTTCATCACCGGTGGCATAGGCAATGACTTGAAGAACTCGGCACCTTCCTGTCAACTATGCTCCATCCTCTGGGAGGGCCTGGAGGCGTTCTGCTATGACAACCCGGGTGCGTCTCAATGGATGGCGCTGCGCCAGTTGGAAGACCCATTTCGACTACAATTTAAACAGACGCCCGAGGAGAAGAATTGGTCGGGCATTCAGTTTTACACGAACAGTTGTGAGTCCAGCCTTGCCTTCACATGGACCGAGTAGTTACTAACCTCATTCACTAGCCCAAGACCCATTATCAGACATCTTCAAGCCCAGCAGTGATCTCGAGCCAGACTCTTCGAGCCCCAAGTACCTCTCTCAAATGAAAGGCTGGGTCGAGACCTGCAACGAGAAGCACCCCGTCTGCAAAGCCCGCCTGAATGACCATCTCCCCACCAGGGTGCTAGATGTTTCCCGCGACGCAGATCTCATCTACCTCTACGAGCCCACCGAGAAAGATCGCGGCTCGTACGTAGCGCTGAGCCACTGCTGGGGCGGCGTCGTCCCCCTCATGACCATGCAAAGCTCGCTAGAGGGGTTCAAGACCGGCGGGATATCGCTCGAGACGTTTCCCAAGACCTTCCAGGACGCCATTCTCGTCACGCGACACCTCGAGTGCCGGTACATCTGGATCGACTCGCTGTGCATCATCCAGGACAACACCGACGACTGGATCCACGAGGCCTCGCGCATGGCGGAGGTGTACGGGAACTCGTACGTCACGCTTGCCGCCACCGCGTCGCGGAACAGCTACGGCGGCCTGTTCCACGAGCACGACAAGCTGGATGTCGGGCACCTGATTTCGCGGACCGCCAAAGACGGGAAAGCCGCGAAAGTCTCGGTGCGCCCGGCTCTAGAGCACACGCCGTACTTCGCCAGCAGCCCGCACGGCCTAGACGCGTCGGCACCGGCGCCTCTGCTCGAACGGTCCTGGTGTTTCCAAGAGTACCTCCTGGCCCCGCGCGTCCTCTCCTTCACGCGCTGGGAGATCCTCTGGGTCTGCCTCTCGAAGCGCTCCTGCAACTGCGGCGAGTACACCGAGCAGACGCGCGAACTCGTCGCCGCCAGCGACCTCAAAGCCCGCTTTGACGCGCAGCTGCGGGGCCCCTTCCCCTCTTCCCCCTCTTCCTCTTCCCCTTCTTCCTCTCCCACTTCTCTTTCTTCTCCCTCTTCTCCCTCTTCGACGACGACAACGACAGCAACAACAACAACAAAAGACCTCCGCCGCCTCTGGCAAGACATAATCGAAGCCTACCTGCAAAAGGGCCTAACCTACGACGCGGACCGGCTCCCCGCCCTCGCCGGCATCGCGCGCCGCTTCGCCGAGCACGGGCTCGGGCGCTACGTATCCGGGCTCTGGGAGCCGACCCTCGTGTCCGACCTATTCTGGAGCCTCGACGCGTCGTTCGGCGACTACCACGGCGTGGTGGCGAAGCGCAGCGGGGATGGGGGGATGCCGTCGTGGTCGTGGGCGTCGGTGGTGGGGGCGTTTCGTTATAGTGCGAGCTCGTATGCGTTGGAGGGGATCGAGGTGAGGGGCGTGGAGTTTGAAGGGGGTGTTAGGGATGCGTTGGCGGAGGTTGTGGCGAGGAGGATAATGGTAAGAGGGGTTTTGACAAGGGCGAGGGCTTGGGGTGGGGGTGGGGATGAGGATGAGGGGCGGAGGATAAGGAATCATTCACGGCGTATTCAGGTCCCGGGGGCTAAGGAGCATGGCTGGTTTGTGGATGTTGCGTCGGAGCTGGCTTGTGGTGTGGATAAGCCTGCGGATGTCCATATTCTACGTGGTACAAAGGGGCCGGGACTTGTGCTTCGTCATGTTGAGGACACGGCGTGCACATATCGGAGGCTGGGTTTGATAGATGGCTATCCGCCTATCCCGGACGATTTCGACTTTACGACAGTGGAGCTGGTGTAGTGTTGAGGAAATGGGGATAAGCGAGGAGCTATATAAGTAGCTATGAAAGTGTGATTATTATATTCTCTTTATAGTTATTGGGATCTGGGAACGGTAGGGAGCTATGGGATTTTGCCTAACGAGCATACATAAGGTGCTGCTATAACATAGGTACCTAGTAGGAATCGTTACTGATGGAGGATTGCCTGCGGTCTTATTGAGCGCAATGATATGATATCACCTATCCGTATCTTTACACAAACGATTAAACGACTCTACTTATCTATATACATGAAGGTCATTGGTGCCCCTGACACCCTCTTGACCGGCAATGCGGGTAACCTAAAGCGAAGATAATTAATCGGCACTTAGGTACAGCCAACTGCTTTTGCCTAAAGAGTATCACGACTACCTACCTATCCCTATCCCATTCATGCCCTCTACAAACTATCATCAAGCAGCTAAAATCGTAGAGAATACATCAAGGTACTACTACTACCACAGCCAAAACTTAATCCTTGGATCTGATTCTATCCCCGTGCTAACCCTTATTGAGCTCACCCAACATGCGACCGCACTGGACCCTCATACTATCAGGAGCCGGTATCATCCTACCTCGCGTCTCCGCTCTCCTCCGCTTCTCATGCTCCCAGCTCGTCGTCGAGCGTCTCGACCCCTTGGTCAATCCAGGGGTCGTTGGGTCTCCCCATCTGCATCAGATAATCGGCGGAGTATGGACCTACTCCACCTACCTATATGTGATCCAAGTTAAAAGAGCCGAAATGCTAACGGGTATCTAGAACTCCTTCAACGGCTCCATGGACCCCTCGACCCTCGACATCCCGGGCTCCGCAACCTGCACGACGTGCACCTTCGCCGAGGACTTCTCGAACTACTGGACGGCGGTGCTGTACTTCCGCGCGCGCAACGGGACGTACAAGCGCGTGCCGCAGAAGGGGAATGTGTACTTTGAGGAGGCGAACGGCGGGATGACGGTTTATTACATCCCGAGCTATAATGACACGCCTGTTACTGCTTTTAAGCCGGTGGGTGTTAACCCCCTTATCTCCCCCCTTTTTGGGGGGTGGTGAAGGTAGGTATCAGTGGGTCTAACGTTAGCAAAGGGGTTCCGAATGATCACCGGCGATCCCACGATACGCACGCAAGAAGAGGCACAACGATTTCGACAACTGACATAGTAAGTGCCCGCCTACCTAATTTCCTGCGTACTTAGCCTTGCAATCACCTCAATAACATGGGCGTATTTTACCCATAGCACTTGCCTTCAAGATCCGATGACACGGACAGGCGAGACACTGGATATGCCGAAAAAGCCGTGTCCCGCGGGCATCATGGCGAATCTTCGCTTCCCTACGTAAGTGCCCATCCCCTCTTACCACAACACTCCGAGCTTCATTCCTAAATCACTTACCCCAGCTGCTGGGACGGCGTAAACCTCGACTCTCCCACCCACTCCAGCCACGTCTCGTACCCCCTCAACGGGACCTTCGAAGACGGCTCTCCCTGCCCCTCCACGCACCCCGTCAAGATCCCGCAGCTCTTCTACGAGATCGTTTGGGACACCACCCCCTTTAACTCGGTATCCGAGTGGCCGGAGGACGAGGCCTCGCAGCCGTTCGTGTGGAGCTACGGGGACGCGACGGGGTACGGGAACCACGGGGACTACGTGTTCGGGTGGAGGGGGGACGCGCTGCAGATCGCGATGGACACGGGTTGCAACGGGTTCCAGTGTCCGGGGTTGAGGTACCAGGAGATACGGGAGGGGAACAAGTGTACGAAGAGGAGGGAGGTGGAGGAGGACGTTGATGGGTGTATGTTTTGAACTTTCAAAGTCTTCTCTCCCTTTTCTTTTCGAAGTTGTGACTAACGGATATGGCTTTTTTCTAGGGCTCACTGAGCTTCCGGGGGGTATGCCGGTTACTGGGGTCGACGGGAAACCCATTTCCTAGACATTTTCGTATGAAAGATGGAGGAAATACATACGCTGATTTGTTAACTGGAGCGTTTGAATAATAATATTCTCAATGTTTTCCTAATAAGGAGGTAACTATACCACCGTTAAGCTTAAGCTATAATATTTCCCAAAAATGGACACGAGTATAACAGCAAAGTAACCCTCAACCCTTAAAACGCACCGACATTTGACCTCTAGGAAACGTTGAACACACCGCATTAGAAGTCTCTTTGTTATACACCAGTATTTTCTTGAGGGTAGGATGTTTCCGGAAGCTTTATTCATTGTCACTCGGCAATCAATGTGCAACGATTTGGCCTGTCTCACGCAAGCACAAGGCCACAAAGAAACCCTGATTGCTTCGCTATACCAGTATCTTTTTTTCTGGAAGCGTCCGGGGGGAAACTCCTGTTAATTTCAAGACAACTCCCTGGGTCTTTTATCTCCACCAACTCTGCATTCTTGCCGTGGATAGTCGAGAGAGAAGAAAAAAATACAAGATACGTTGATCATGAGGAGCAAGAAAACTCCAACTGTGTTTAGCCCCATAGCGAAAGCAACCCAAGTCAAGAGTGATGCGAATGTAGGCCCGCTGCTGGGAGACTGGAACTCCGATCCTTCATGGTTCTGGCCACCGCCATTCTTTCAAGCCTATTGTAAACTTCACTTCCTCAAAGAATGCTCTCTGCACCACTTGAAAGAAAACGAGGACTACAAGCACGCGCTTCTAACACGTGCGTCGAAGCCCAAGAAAGCGAGTAAATGGCCCTCGGAACCAACCAGAGTGCAGCCGGCGCGACGGGCACGAGAGAAGAACTGGAAAGACCAGTCGGGGGTGGGAAACCCTACGTCGAGCAGCCCTACACAACAGAGCCGAAGTAAATCTGCGGAAATTGAGAACTCGCTGGAGAACCGTCATGAACAGTTACAGCTTCACCTTGCCTGGCCGGTATACAAAACACAGATAGAGGATAAGATCAAGCAAATTTATGACAAACTTCGCCGAAATATTAAGAAAGAACGTAAAAATGGAACTCACCATATTCGTTCCTTTAAATACGAGATGAATCTGCAATGCCGGTATTGTAGATTCAACCCCGAAGTCGCCGATAGAACGGGATCCACACTTAGAAAACTTGCACCTCCGGCGCCGATGCATTTAGTTCAACCCGAAGATCTAGAACAGGAGCAGTTCGGAGGGTTCGGAGGATTAAGATTTGCGGTCGGCCTATTCGGAAACCAGGAGATGATTGTGCTCTTGGGAATGGATATGATCAAGGATTTTGTGTCTCAAAGTGCGAAAGGAGTATCGAAGGAGAAGAAGCTGGGCTCAACCAGGGAGACTTCAAGAAAGAGGAGTCGCTCGCCGTCACTTGACAAGATAGACGAAAGGGTTGGTAGAACGAGAACAAGAAAGAGGAAGTGAATTATCGTGGTGCATATAGGCCAAAGGTGTGGCGTACGTATAGACGGGTTGCCAAGGTACATCACCACCAACATAGGTATCCAATAAATCAGTGAATGAGCACTGAATAGAGGTGACCCTTATAGATGCTAACTTTTCCAAGCTCCTGGGCACGTAATAGTGTGTAGAGAATAGAGCAACGCGATACATATATAAATAGTTGCGATCTAAGTCAAGAAGTGTACATAGCTCGGTCATAGGAAGAGTAGGTAATTTGGAATGAAATTTTCTTCGTCTGTAACCACCTTCCGTCTTGATCCTGAAGGACTGATTGTGTGATTCTTGGGACGTCTTCGAAATCTTGGTTTGCAGTGGCTGACCTTTATGCTTTAGCTGTCAGGCTGTCCAGCTGCCCAGTAGGGTTACACCCCAAGACGCCGTGGCGATGGTTGCCAAAGCTTAAAATGATATGGATAGCTGCAATAGCCTTTTGTGGTGTTTTCTATTGGCTCTCACCGTGGGAGATCACAAGGTTTCGTTTGCGTGCGATGGCGTGCGATTGCCAAGCACCTATACGAATCCAGTACTTATACGTATCAGGCATCTACTATTAGATCCTGTGCCACTCATGTAAACAAAAGTAACATGTGTAACATGCTACCGCCGATGAGTTAAAAGGGCCAATTCCCCATGTGAAGTGGTTTGTGTCGCCTATAGTTTTATTTGTCTTGTTCTTGTCAGCCATCATAACTGGGAAGTGGGTGAATAAACGAAGACAGCATGGCGACAAGGGAGGTGGCCAAGGACTCAGATCCTGAGACGCGGGAACTGACTCTTCCTGCCGACGAAGAATATGCATCCTCGACAAATGATGGGATTCAGCAGTTCGCCTATGATGATTCTCGAAAAATTGGCGTCACTGGAGCTGTGTTTCTGATTTTGAATAAGATGATTGGAACTGGAAGTAAGCCATACCTACTAGGTCTTTCGCGACATCCATTCAAAATTGTCGGGCTAATTGAGTGACCACATTATAGTCTTCTCAACCCCTTCAGCTATTTTTGCGGCGACTGGTTCGGTTGGTGTATCTATTATACTATGGGTAGTTGGCGGCATCTTGACATTCTGCGGGTTGAGTGTATTCCTCGAATTTGGTCTGGCTATTCCACTATCCGGGGGCGAGAAGAATTACCTTGAACGAGTCTATCGCCATCCTCATTACTTGGCCAGCTGCGTCTTTGCATCCCAGATGATTTTGCTAGGATTTTCATCCGGAAATTCCTTGGCATTCGGCCGATATGTTTTAGTTGCCTCAGGGAGTACGGAGGGGGATGGCTGGAAAGCTCGAGGTATCGCGATCGCGTGTATTACCTTCGCCGTCGTGCTCCACTCAACACTACCCAAATGGGGATTAAGATTAGTGAACGTGCTGGGGATATTCAAGGTGGTCGTCCTGTTATTCATTGTCTTCTCGGGTTTCGCTGCCCTCTCCGGTCGATTACTTGTCCCACCACCCGGGAATTTCAAGAACGCGTTTGCCATCGAGGTAACGGAGAACTATGGAGGACAGGGTGCGTATGGATATGCGACGGCATTATTGCAAATCATATACAGTTATAAGGGTTGGGAAAATGCGAATTACGTACTTGGGGAGCTGAAGAACCCTCGTAAGACACTTTCGATTGCGGCGCCACTCGCCATTGGTGGTGTCACTATCTTGTACGTTCTCGCCAACGTAGCGTATTTCGCAGCAATAAGCAAAGATGACCTTGCGACATCTGAGGTCTTGGTTGCCGCCTTATTCTTCCGGAATGTATTCGGCGATAGTGCTGGTGCACGAGCTCTTCCAGCATTTGTTGCGTTGAGCAACCTAGGCAATGTCTTGGCAGTGAGCTTTGCTCATGCTCGCGTCAACCAGGAGTTTGGAAAGGAGGCTCTCCTGCCGTATGGAAAATTCTGGGCTTCTATCAAGCCATTTGATGCACCAGCTGCTGCGGTACGCACCTCCACCCCCTCTTCTCCTTTTTTCTTTTTTTTTTCAAGTTTCCCGTCTTGCTATGACTGCCAACTGACTTTGTATAGCTTTTCCTCCACTGGATTGTCACAGTCATCGTTCTTGTTGCACCCCCGGCAGGTCCAGCCTATAACTTCGTCGTCAATCTGTACACGTACCCTGGTGCGTGGATCAATGGGTTTGTCACGGGCGGCCTGATATATCTTCACTACAAGAAGTCGGAAAACTGGTCGTCGCCATGGCATACGTATCTGCCTATTGCGGTGGTATATCTGTTGGCCAACATATTTCTTGCCGTCGTTCCATTTGTGCCACCAAACGGGGACTGGAATGCTGAAGGTTACCCCTATTTCGTTTTCCCGGTTGTGGGAGTTGGCATTCTACTCTTTGGCGGAGTGTACTGGGCATGCTGGTCTAAGCTCTGGCCGGCTATTGGGGGGTACAGAATCGAGGCTCACAGGATTGTTCAGGATGATGGCAAAGAGGTGGTTCGATATAAAAAGATCAAGACGAGGTAGTATATCGGTAGATGTGGTTTTAATGATGCATAACCCGGTACAAGGAGTCGATATTTATAGTAAGTACCTCTACATAGGCAGATAACTTGAATACCTTGAATGTTGGTAGGGCCAGAATTTTTGTGGCAACTTCAATTTCAATGTAACACACATAGTGTAAGCATCAACGTGGTATTGTGGCTAAAATAAGCCAAATATAGAAGAAGGTGCTTCCTTTTTTTGTCTCCAAATGACTTATTTGCCTATGGCCTGTCACTATGAACCACTGGAGCAGTCTACCAACTTGCAGTTGCGATCCATGTTCATGCATGTAATTCCATGCTTAAGATACCTACTTGGGTAAGACCTACCTGGGTAAGATAAACGAGGACTTGCTTGAGTTACACGAACGGCGGGGAAGTTGCATCTTGAATAAACCACCCGATGAACACGGCAAGGGCACTCACTACTGCCAATTTTCTCTGTTTCGCATTTTATTTACCAAATAATGAATTCTAATCCTTTTTCATTTTCACCTTTTTACCTTTTTACCTTTTCCTCCCCCCTATTCCCTTAACCTAAAGCCTTTTCTGAGTTCCTCCCGATTATTGACCATACATAGGTACATACTTACGAAGGTACCTAGGGTATGCATCTTCAAGATTCCCATATCATCAACCAACTTATCGATACATACCACATTGTCTCACTTTTCTCACATGTTGTTTGCTGATTCAAATACATCCAGTCTTCGTCTACTTATGTACTCGGCCCCGTAGACCGGTCAGATTGCCACATTGAAGAAAAATAAAATATTTTCTTCCTTTTCTTTTCTCCCCGTGCCCCTTGACGTTACCATTCCCCGGTTCCATCCCGATCTCTTTTCATTTTCCTTTTTCTACCCTTAGTCGTTCCTTCGGGTGAATAGTACCGTTACTTTCCCCGTTAGAACCGTTCACAAGCAATGATAATTATTGATTGGCCACGAATCTCCGTCACACCACCACCTTCAGTAAAGATCGCAAGCCTATTATTCGGGGTACGGCCCGGTGGTCATTGTGCGTTTACATCTTCAGCGTATTATTCTACGGCGTTCTGCGGTTCTGTTTAGTGCGGAGAAGAAGTCCGAGCTGCGTATCTGGTTTATGCTTTGGCCAAACGAGATCAGATCAACTCAACACTTGCAAGTTCCCGTCCCTCGTTTATTCGTTGACTTTTCTTACTCCCTCAACCGATTTCCCGATTCATTGCCTTCATCTCCCTTGGATTTGAGCAAGAAAATGTCCAACAAGTAACCATAAACTGCGAATAACTACAATCAAATTTCTTCAATCTTCGTTGTTGCAGATCTACTCCCGAAAACTTCACGAGTTGTCTGTTTATACCGACTGAAATGGCCGACGATACGCCATCGAGTGACCACGGAAGTCCCGCTGGCAAACTTAACAATGCTATATCCGACTTTGCCTCTTCTTACGTAAAGAAAGAATTGCTGCAGTTAACCCGTGAACGAGATGATGCTCTTGCGCGCAGTCACGTCCCTAAGCTCCGAGCTCTCCTTAGAGAGGTCGACAAGGAGCGTCATGCGTTTGAGCAAGATAAGGAGAAGTTGATATATGGTTTGCGCGAGAAGTTAGCGCTGCTTGAGGTCGATGCCGATACCATTGAAGCTACCATCGCAGAACTTAACCCTATGGGGCCAAAATATCTGAGCGTTATCCCCGGCGCCTCAACGTTGACCATAAGACCCCCAACGCCTTTGATGTCGCCGGTTCGCGACAACTATTTCCATACCGTTCTTGGCGCCGATATCTTATCTAGTGATACCCCGTTCGCTGCCCAAATTCCGGGCCGAGAAATTCTTGGCCAAGGGATTCCCAATGTAGTGAAAGAGCACTGCTCAAGCTCAATGAATATCAACGTATCTTCCACCCCCAATATAGTTTGCGAAATATCAAGTCAGAACATATCCGAAAATTCTAGATTCTCTCAGGCGACGAAACGAACCAGTACAGATGATGATGGCACTCCAAGCACGAAGAAGCCGAGAACAGAAGATGGAAGGGTAAAAGAGCCAGAGCAATTTCCCCTCTATCCGCGACGGGGCCAGCTAACACACGATTAGACTCTAAGCCGAACTCAATCAGATATCTTCCGTAAAGTTGCATTTCCAAACTTGGTGACATCAGAGCGCATTTTCCGTCACTCGGAGCGGCAGGGATTATTCGTTATTCGTTGTAATCGGTCTAAATGCTCAAGTGGCTATTTCACGGAGCCGCCTCTAGCCTATAATAGAGCTCTGAAGCATTTCCAAGGCCACGGCGAGACTGGACCGGATGGCGAAGAACTTACAAATGAGTATATCTTTGAAAACTTCGCATGTGAGAGTAAGTAATCTCAGTTTCATTCCTAGGATATGAGTTTGCGTTTGCTAATTTTACCGCATAGTCGAAGGTATCAACATGGTGAGCAAGTATTGGATTAAAGAACATCTTGGCTCGTCGCCGCATACTTGTATGTATAAACAGTTTAGCTACCAAATTTGGCAAGGCACTGTTCCATAAACTAACCAATGATGATACTCACGTTACTAGTTTCCCCTGGGAAGCCAAGATCTCGGAATGGTCAGGTTGACAAGGTCGAAGATGTCGATGATGTCGATGATGTCAAAATTGATACAAACGAACCTTTGCGCAAACGGCAAGATGACAAGAATTACACGCCCTCTAAGAAGATCCAAAATCATGTTCCAACCCATGAACCAGACGATGAGGTAGAAGCTGAGAAGCCACGCCGCACTCCTCGGAGCGTGCAACGTCCAGACTACGCTGAGATGGTTGCTAACAAGGACCCATGGAACCTGTCTGATGAGGAAAGCGAGGTGCGCCAAATCCATCCGAGTCAAGCGTCCATTGGTTCCAATTACTAACACACCATAAAATAGAGGGCCATTCCACGTTCAATGAAGGGATCGAAGGGATTTATGAAGGCCGCCAACGCAACTGCGAAGTCTTCACGATCCAGCTCTAGCAGATCACAGGGCTCGTCGAATACCTCGTCAAAGACCTCGACCCCGGTGCCATCCACATCGAGAGCGAAGACAACGCCAAGTAAGTACGTCAGCGCCTATTCCCATGCTGACGAACTTCATCTCAATGTATCTAGGCCTTTTGGCTACACATCGGAGCAATGGCCGCGGCGCTCAGCGCCTAGCTAGGCACAAACAGCGCCCTCGGATTGCACTCATTCGTGGCCATATTCTCAAGATAACTCTGAGACCTAGAAAGTCGGTATGCATAAGGAGATGAATACATCTGTATAGTCCAAGGTTTTATCTCACGCAGCATGACTACCTAGGTAGTTGTTGAAGTGGAAGTGAGCTAGGTATTTATCATACCCGAGGACTTGTTATAGAAAGGGGAAGAAAACGCATGGATCTGAGCATTAGCCACACACCAACGTCGCGCTTAGCTAACTAGTTACTCCCTTGCATACTTGGACTTGGCCTTACTTATATAACAAGGCAGCAAGGATACCTACTACCAGACGCACATATACATCTATGCATTCATGTAAAGATCTCCTTCCCAGGCAAACGAACCTCTAGCTGCATATACAGTACATATACATAGGTAGTAATGTCCACTGAATTATATAAACAATCATATCTGATTTTTGAAGCTCTTCTTTCTTTCTTTCTGCTGTTACACTGGCACTGATTACCACGTACGTAGATCTTACATGGTATTTATTGAATATTCATACCCTTCCTTCCTCTTTCTCTTTCTCTCACCCAAAACGAAACAAAACAACTATCGCTAGACTTTCGCGAGGTTTAGATCAATTCAGTTAGATATCCAAAAAAAACCCCCAAAAAACATCATCATAACTTGGCTTTCCCCCCATTCAACGCATCCCAATCCTGCTGCGTGAACGGCACGTACTGGTCTCCTTTTCCGTGGTCGGAAACCCAGAACACTGGGTCCGGGCTTGTCTGGGAGGGGTCGACGCCCGCGCGCTTGAGGGGCATCTTGTCCTGCTTGTTGTTGTGGGTTGCGGAGCGGGCGGATATGCGGCGGATGAAGATTGGTACGGCGTATTTGGGGAGGTGGGCGCGTGCGTGTCTGTTTTTGAGGGGGGGGGGGTTAGTGGGATTGCACTTTTGACTTTTGTTTTTGAGAAGAGGGGGGGAGAGATTGGGGGCAGGCTCCTTATTTGGGGTTTAGACGATGCAAGGGGTTAAGGTATGATGCGCAAGTGAAATGCAAAATGCAATCGCAGATCCAGGGGTATAACACAATTTCAAACTCACCTCAACAGCCCATTATAATCAAAGTCCTTCACAGCAGCCTCATCGACGAAAATAGCTGCCATGCCAGCCTTCCCGTCGTGGTTCGGCAGTGAAACACCGTACACCGTCGCCTCGCTGACGCCCGGGTACCGTCCGAGCACCTCGGACACCTCGGCCGTCGACACGTTCTCGCCCTTCCAGCGGAAGGTGTCGCCGAGCCGGTCGAGGAAAAACCAGCGGCCGTGGCTGTCGCGCCGCAGTGCGTCGCCGGTGCGGTAGTAGCAGTCGCCTTTGCGGAAGACGTCGCGCACGAATTTCTTTGCTGTCGCTTCCTCGTTGCGGTAATATCCGGGGAACGGCGGGGTGATGGTAACGGGTTGCGCGACAAGGATTTCGCCGCCGACCTCGTAGGGGACGCGGCGCGCGAAGCCGGTTTTTGGGTCGCGCGCAATGTCGCCTGTGTCGTGGTCGATCTCGACGGGGACGAAGACGTTGGAAAATCGCCAGCGCTGCAGCAGACCGTGGTGGCCTACGGCGTGGGCGCGGAAGTCGCCACGCGCCGGGTTCTCCAGCGGCATGATGCCCTCGGTTGAGTTGAAGAATTCGTGGATGGTCTCGATGCCGAATCGGTCGCGGAAGGATTTCCAAACATCGGGTCTTAGGCCGTTGCCGTAAATTGAGTGCACGTTATGCTCTTTGTCGCGCGGCGATGGTGGCGCTGCCAATAGGTATCGTAGGGTTTCGCCCACGTACACGAACCACGTTGCACGACAGTCGCGGACGTCATCCCAAAATTTGGAGGCGCTGAATTTTGGTGCGATACACAGCGTCTGGCCCGTTATTAGTTGTGTCATACCGCTGATCCCACCGGTGCCGTGATACAGTGGCATGCAGTCGTAGTATCGCTGATTTTCGCCTTTGACGTACGACGAACCGGCAAGTTTGCCAGCGGCATATCCGAAAGCAGCCGCCATTGGCAGCATGCAAGCTTTCGGCAATCCAGTCGTGCCGCTCGTGTAGAAGAGACCAAACGGCGTGTCGGGCCGAACGCCATGGCGGAGCTCGTCGGGCGGGCGCTCACCCTTGGTGGCATTGATATCGGGTCGTGCATCGGCCAGTTTAATGATTCGCACGTCCTTTGCTGCTAGCTCCTCCTGGACAACGTCGAGGCGCTCAAGTAGCTGAGGGGCGCCGTCAGCAAGAATGAGCTTTACTTCGGCAATTCCTAAGCAGTGCAACAGGGCCTGCTTGGTAAGGTTATGGTTGATGAGAGCGGGGGCAGCGCCAATGGCGAGCAGGCCCATCCAGGCAAAGATGAAGTCTGGGCTATTGGTCATGAAGAAGGCGACGAGGTCGCCGGGTTTGACACCGCCATGCTTTAAGAACCATTGAGCATACTGATTTACGTGGTAGTATGTCTCGGTGTAGGTGTAGCAGGCCTGGCGTGTCCAGATGCATTCCTGGTTGGGCTGTGTCTGGGCATACTCTTCGAAGAAATAGTACGCCGAGACGCGCTTTTCTTGAACTGAGGTAGTGGGTTGTGTGAGCTAGGTTGAGTAGGAATATGGGGAACCTATTCGAATAGGATGCGTCGAGAAGAGCTTGACTTACTAGCTTTCTGGAGAAGCTTGTCCCCTTTGCTCTTGGCACGGATGTACTGCCAGTCCTGTCGCAAGTGGTATTTTCCGTCAAGGTATGTCAGGCCAGCCGCTGTGGCAGCTATGGAAGCTGCTGTAATAAATTGTTAGGAGAATGGACAAAGGAGAAGATACTGATATCTACTAGGTAGTTACACTGGTTGTGGAGGGGGGCTTGGAAGCTTACCAATTGCTGCCATACTCTTCTTTGACTTAGGTATCCGGGGGAGATAGACAGGTACCTTAATAAACCCTGACCAGAAGGGAAAAAAAGAACCAAGCTCTTATGTAAGTGTACACTTCACTATATCATAAGAAATAGAGAATAGGAATCAAGCAAAGGAGTTTGAAAGTTGCATTTCAGATCTAATCTTCACCGCCAGGTAACAATGGTTGAGATGGGATGTATCAGAGACATCAGAAAGCATCGCAAGATCACAAAACATGGACAAGAAGGAAAAGGAAGGTTGAGACGAGACAAGACGAGACATGACAGACAGACAGGACGCGCCAATAGTTCAGCCGAATGACGACCTCGGGATATTAGCGTTCTTTTGACCAGACGGCAGTTTCTGGGGAACAGGGGGATTGGATTACCGTAGGAGTATTATGGTACCCTTTTTTTTCTCTGTTAGACTGCTATGTAAGATTATTAAGAGAACGGGCGAGAAGCATTCAAAAGTGTCCAGTGAAGAAAGATGAAGGATGGATCCATTTTGATGTGGGGGACTTCTTGTTACACTACCTACGGTCCTACGCTAGGTAGAACCTAAACTAATCCCAAACAAGTCCAAACCCATGCACCTATGCACCCATGTCATGCAGTTACTCGTCTACGCCGTAAGTCAAGTGTCATTAGCCGTTGGAGATTCGCCCCGTAATTCCCGGGTCTATCTTTCGGCACCTGCCTGTAGCGATTAATTGTCCAATGAGAAGCTTGAACTACTTGAAGCTTGAAGCTTGAAGCTTTAGTATTATGTAGGTAAATCGTACATATGCGATCTGGCATTGTCTTGGAAATAGACATAGTTATCCCAGTCTTGTCCTTCCACTAATCTAGGTAGTTATTCACTTCTTTCTTCAACACCGTCGTCGTCGCAAGGGTCAGTGCTCAACTTCATAGCCCTCTCAACATCAAAGATCCCATTCTCGTCCGTGAGTTCCTCCTTGCGTCCAAAATATATCGGATAGACAACATCGGGCGCCATATTTAGTAGAGCTGAATGAAGTTCGTGAAGATGTTGGTAGTGGTACTTGACCAAGACGGACTCGTGAGCGACAGACTCGTGAGCGACAGACTCCTTGTCCAAGATAGCAATGATGTCTTGCTCGATGAATTGGAACCGCGCCATCCGCTGAACTGCCCAGTCCTGGCAATCCTCCTCGGATGCGTTGATGAACTCCGTCTCAAAACTTTCTTCGGTGTTCAACTCTGACCTGAACATGCTAGCACTATCGCGGGGGTCTTCAGGGGCTTCTGTCACGTGATCTTCCACCAGGAAGAACTTGTATATGCCCTGGGATGCTTTTTCAACGGACAGCACTTTAGGTAGAAGCTAGATTTAAACATTTCGGTGAGCTCGAGGTGATTTATGGTAGTATAGCCCGAACTTTTACTTACAGGCTTGGCCTCTTCGGTTGTGCAGAATAGCAAGATACGAGTCACGAGGCTGCTGCTTTGAATACTTGTTTAATATTCCATAACATCGTCTAGCAGGATGTCTATGTAGGAAGTTACAAGAAAGATGCGGTGAATTTAAATACAGACATGGTGAGCTGCAACATATATGAGCATTTGGTGTAAATGCCATACTCATTTTTCCTCGTCGATTTCCGCCCCTGGGGGAGGGGTAAAGGGGCCGGGGATTTCCTGCGCTTTCCAAGCTTGTGCTACATATCTAGGTCAAGTCAGACTCATGTGTTTCAACTGTAAAATATTGGAAGGTGGGGATTTATCTGACTTTGTATGGCTTCCTCTTGCCGCAAGTTCACCTTTGGAATTTCGGAAGGTAATGGATGTGTAGGCCAAGGTTTTTCCAACTACAAGGAATGAGCTTTATACCATTGATCAAATAGGGGGGTTGCTTACTCTTATCACACACAGCAGTGACACTGATTTTGTCCCCTATCTTACCGCCAGCGCTAAGGTACGAAACTAAAGTATATAAATTTCAGTTCGGAACCAAAAGAACCCGACTCTGGCGTAGATCAATACTTACCATTCAAGTCAGTCGATACTCCGGTGGCATACAGCCCCGTAGATGCAACGGCGAGTGAGCCTCCTAAGTCAACCATGCTAGCAATGGTACCTCCGTGCAGAATCTTCAGGCGATTCTGTTGGAATAAAACTTGAGTGTATGTTCAACTGAGCTTGACTCTTGGTGGCCTCACCGTGTGATCTTTGGTGATATCTAGCTCAAAATCTACTTTGCCAACGGCAGCATTGGTGATCCTAAGCTGCGTTCGTCAACAAGCCTGAATCATCGATATCCATGTAGCTTCAACATACATGTGGCCCTAGTAGTCTTTATGAGCATTAGATATACTTGATCAGCCAATTTTCCTCAATGTGCTAAGAAATTTAACTCACCTCGGCTCTAAGCCGGACTCGGCCATGAATGACTTCAAGACCTAGAGGGACATATTCAATTGAGCTGGAGCTTTTTACGAGACATGTGTGATATAGCGGGGAACTAACCGATTTGACAAAAGGAAGTGTGCCTAATCTTTTCGCCATTGTGAAGGTTCGAGATTTGAGGTTTCGCTGGAATCTTAGACCAAAAGATCAATGGATGGGAACAAAAGAAGCACTTGTGCCTTCAGATTCAATCAGGCCCCGGGTATATAATCGGCTTCCGGTTCAGAAGCTTACTAACAATAGGTAGTACATAGAGCTCCTTATCTTAGGTTATCAATAAAGCTCGAATAAAGTTAAAAGCATAGCTTACATCTCATTGGCTGCTCTTCTCGGTGAACACCGGTGAATAAAGTGGACCCGGCGCGCGGATTGAATTCTTCGACTTTTTTTTAGTCGGCGCCTTTTTTTTGGTTTCTTATCCTGTAATTATTTCAATGCTTTCTTTTTAGCCGCCCACATGCATGTCGCTCTCGTTCTCAACGCCAATCGCTTTCTTTCATAGAAGCTGACTAGACAAAACATGGCAGTAGTCCCCAATTCTACAAAGGATAACACTGGGACTGTTGAATACATGAGACTGCACATCACCCCTCTTAATGAGTCTCTGCTAAGTGTTGTCGTCCCCTCTTCTGTCCTACCCAACGCGCGTAACATCTCGTACCACACCATTGAGGCTTTTCCCGAGAGGCAATACGGCTTTATCGACTTGCCCACCCCTGACGCTGAAAAAATCAAGAAGAAACTTAACGGAACTATACTGAGGGGAACCAAGATGCGCATCGAGAAAGCGAAACCCGAATCCATTCCCCAACCTACGGGCAATGCCGATGCGGGCGAGACAAAAAGGGAGAAGAGGAAATCAAAGAAGAGGAAATCAAAGAAGAGGAAGCGCGAGATTGATAATACACCCGGAATTGAATTGGAGGATCGCAAGGTCAAGCGAGGATGGACAACATCAGAACGCGAGATGATTGACGGAAAGCGCAAGAGATCCAAGGAGAAGAAAGATAAAAAGGAAAAGGGTACCAAGGAAGACAAAGACGCAAAGAAGAAGAAGAAGAGAGAAGTCAAGTCCAAGTATACCGATGCTCCCGAATGTCTCTTCAAGACCAAGCTCCCGGATGCTGGCGCTGCTCCTCCCAAGGCCAACGAAGAGGCTACTGGACACAAGAAGAAGAAAAGAAAAGCCGAACGAGAGGTCATTATTCACGAGTTTGAGAAGACCATCAAGCATCCGTCATTCCTCAAGGCGAACGTAGAAAAAACCAATTCGAAGGCACTGAACTTTGAGGACGGTGTTGGCTGGGTCGATGAGAATGGAACAGTTGTCGAGCCTATAGTGAGCAAAAGACCTAGTGCCACTGCTTCCAAGACAGCTCCGACGGGGGTAGAGGATGACGATGATACTAGCAGTAGTGGTTCTTCAGAAGATGATTCAGAATCCGATGATTCAAGTGAAGCCGTTGCCCAGGATTCAGACAGCAGCTCAGATGAGGGGGAAGAGAGTGACAAGGATGTTGAAACTAAGTCTCCGCCAAAGAAACTGAAAGTGGACACACAAGCCTTGAGCAGTCCGGTGTCCAATATGAAATCCGAGTCTGCAAGGCCAAAATCATCAAGCTCAGTTACAAGTCTCACGATCAAAATACCCCCCGCGACACCATCTTCAGCCAAGGTACATCCCCTGGAGGCTCTGTACAAACGAACAAAGAACGATGCGACTACCCCAGGTGGCGCCGCTCAAGAAGCCCAGCCTTTCAGTTTCTTTGAAGCCGAAGAGGATGAAGTGGAGGAAGACGACAACGCGGAACCCCCCAGCCAACCTCCCATGACCCCATTCACCAAGCAGGACTTTGAATTTAGAAACTTGCGAAGCGCTGCCCCCACCCCCGACACAGCACACCCAAGTCGCCGAACCTTCAACCTCTGGTCTAGGCAGGATATAGCGGAGGAGGAGGAGGAGGAGGCCGATGACGATGACGAAGAGCAGGGGGACATCAACGAGGACACGGCTATGGCTGACATCAACGATCAAGCCACGACTTCGAACGAGGAAAAGACTGGCCCGGCTACTGATTTCCAAAGACAGTTCTGGGAGAGTAGAGGGGATCTGAATCGTTCGTGGAGGAAAAGGAGAAAGGCTGCGTCCAAGGAGAAACGGTATAGGGAGAACCGGGCCCGCGCAGAACGAGCAATTTAGTGATGATTAGCAAGCAAGCAAGCAAGCAAGCAAGCAACGCAACGTGGAACTCATTGTCAGTCCGTCCGTCGGTAATTGTTTTTTTTTTGTGGTGTTCGATCAGAACCTCAATTAATGCCAGTGGTTGTTTAATGCCAGTGGTTGTTGTGAATGCATTAATGAAGGCAAAGTCTACGATGTCATGTCATGTCATGTCACTGTTACATATGCTTTAAGCATCAAAGAACTACGCAGGGAATTAATTATTATCACGAGACAAGTAGCATAGCATAGCACAGCACAGCACAGCATAGCATAGCATAAGCACCTAATTAATCTGATTTCAACAGACATAAAGTAGGTATATTGTGACGATCCTGAGTATTAGAAAGTCATCAACTTTTCCCCTATCTAGTACTAGTACTAATCCTAATCATAATCACAATCATAATAATGTCCACCAACCAATGCCATCTTCTCCGAAACCCACCCGCCAGATAAACTGGCAAAACGCAAGGCCATCAATGAGTGAGACTAATCAATCATCCACCATTTGGCGTAGGTACCTATTAAGGTAGCGGAAAACCCGACCAGAGAAGCCTGGACTCTGTCCGGTGTGGTGTCCCCACGACACCACCACCACCAAGAGGTCTAGTATTGATGACTCTGTCCTTCCTCCCCCCCTCACCGATCTCTCTTTGCCCTTGTACTGTAGCAGTACAAGCATCACCATATTCGTAAAGACAAGTCTCCCAGGCTAGAATGGACACAATGCAAAATGAGAGCCAAACCCAGCCAAACCCAGCCAAACCCCGTCGGCGGTCGCAGTTCTTTTCCGTAGTGCTGACAAGACACCGTATCGTATCATATCCCCCGCCAGGCCACGCCAGGCCACGCCAACCTGGACGCCCACTGAATTTTTGCCTGCCTGCTGTGCTGGGTGCCTACCTAGTAGGTAGGCATCAGCCAGTATAACCAGCACGACGGCCCCCGTGAAATATGTCGGACATCTCCTCGGCGAGGAGGATGTCCACCGGATCTTCCTGCCGACCAGGCGTGGCGGCGTGGTCGGTTTTGGTTTCGGCCAGACATGCTTGATTGATTACACGTCCCAAACCCCAGGATGGGGACATGGGAAACCGGCGACCATTGAGGTCAAGGCCCTGGTCCAGGGCCACGGGGACGGGTGGAGTCGAAAACGTGTAGGGCATCGCATCGGAAAGAATGTCAAAGCTAGCTTGCCGTCGGTCTTGTGTGGTGGTGTTTGATTGATTGATTGCATGGCCCGGATTCGAGAGTAGTGAGGGATGGAGGGAGGGATGGAGGCGACCAGCAGCCACGACATGCTGCGGGGTCTCTTGTCCATATCCTCCTCCACGTCCATGTCCACATCTGAACTGTCGGGGAGAGATAGAGAGAACCAGGATCAGTCATTCGTAAGGGCCCCTTTTTTCAAACACCTAGTATCCGAGAAATGGGAACCACGAATCCTGAATGCTTGACGAAGACGCAGACGTCCATTCGTAGTACTCGATGGACTCGCCCCGCGGTGTGGTAACTGAGTGTGATAACTCATCGGGTAGTTATTGAGTCGGTTAATAAAATGCTTTGGCGAGGACTGTTGGAGAGATAGAAGAGAGAACCGGGACCAGTCATTCGTAAAGGTCCTCGTTCACCAACCAATACCCCAGAAACGAGAAAACGGGAACCGAACCGTAGATGTCCAATACTCCGCCCCGACGGGTGCGGCGACTTTCATCACTCGTCGTACTCGGGGGGCGTTGCCCCCCGGTGTGACCGCCGAGTGTGATAACTTACACAGTAAGTATTGAGTTGGTTGATAGATGGCTCGACGAGGACTGTTGGAGAGCGTGGCGGGATCGTTTATAAGGAACACCCGGTACTCGAGAAATGGGAACCACGGATTTTTGAATGTTTGACGACGTCCATTCCTAGCATTTGAGGGAGCCACCGCCCCCCGGTGTGATCGCCGAGTGTGATAACTTACACAGTAAGTATTTAGTCGGTTAATGAATGTTGCGGCGAGAATTGTTGGGGTGGGGAGTTTGGGCTATTCGTAAGGGCCCTTCTTTTTCCACAGTCAAAGTTCCCAGTATCCGAGAAACGGCAACCGTACCTAGATGTCCAATACACCGCCTCGACGACCCCAGTGCGATCTCCCAGTATGATACCTCGTAAAGTAAGCATCGAATTGGTCGAGAAATGACTCGACGAGGACCGTTGGAGAGGGGTGGCGGGACCATGCGTAAGAGCTTTCTTTGCAACACCGAAGAACCCCAGAAAACGGGAATTGTGGATGCCGGAGATTTCGCTTCGTCGTTGACAGCGACTTCCACTCGAGGGCCTCGCCCTCCAGTGTGAGACCTCGCAGGGCAAGTAACGAATTGGTCTAGAAGTCACCGACAACGGTTGAAGAGGGTGAGAGAACCAGGGGATAAATTGTAAAAGCACCTAGTATCCGAGGAACGGGAACCGTGGATGTGATTTGCCACAACAGATGTTGAAGATGTCATGGACACACCCACGGCCACACATCCATGGATGCATAGACTGGGTCACCCACGACAGCTAGGTTGTCGTATGCTGGCGGCGCTCGTACGATCTTTGTGGCACATGTTGAAGATGGGAGAGGACAGGGGAAACACTGATCGGTGGATATGTCATGGAGGAGGCCCTCAGACGGCATCGCAATGTTGTGCCGTCTTCATCTTCTAGTTGCCATTCTGGTCGGCGTCGGCAGAAGAGGGGTTTGCCAAGGAGATTAAGCAAGCACCATCAACGAGAGAGCGCGTCTCGATTAGTTGGTGTGTGCAGCGAAAACGTGGGAAAGGAGGAGTCGTAGAGAGGCATGCACCAAAGCGGCAGTGTGCCTTCTTCTTCTTGTTCCTGGCACTTCTCTTCAAGTTGTTGACGAGACAGTTTCCTGGAACGACAAGCAGGCACCATCCATACGAGGTGCCATCTTGATGAGTAGGTTTGTATGTGCAGCGAAACGAAAGTATGCGTGGATAAAGAGATATCCCCTGCTAAAGAACAGTGCCTCTTTTTCTTGTCGTTGGTGTCTTGAAGTACTCGCAAGGCGTTTTTTTGATGGTCAGTCGTGTGAGTACCACCAAAGAACCAGAGCAGACTGATTTCATAGTCTATTGGAGCGACACGGATCAAGGCGACAACCAGCCAGCCAGCCAGTGAACGAGATCACTGGTAGGTAGCGGCATCCGGGAAAATTCTGACGGCGAGCCGCTGCAACTCCCCCCGCTATCTCTCTCTTGGGTAACAATCCCGATGCCCAGGTGCGATGCCTACCGTCCAAACCTCCAATGCCAGACAAAATGCAGAGCGAGAAGAAAAGAACCACTGAGCGTGGATGGTGCGCAGTGTTCCAACGCCAAGGAACTTTAGATAAGGGTTGTCCATAGGTACCTACCTAGGTAGGAGCTTCCCATGCCCTTACTTTGCATGCTGGATGCCCAGAGCGACCGGCCTAACCTAGGCGAGTAGGTAGTTACCCTTCGGGAGGCGGCAAGCAGCCAGAAACCTGCACACGTCGAATTTTGCCTCGCCCATCGCTGGCAAGGCGCGTGGTCGCCATGTCAAAGTCCTGAAAAGAGACGCGGTGCGTTGCGTTCCGTGTCGTGTCGTCGAACAGAGAGAGAGAGAGAGAGAGGCCCCCTCATCTGGTGTTGCGGGGGCGCGAGGAGAATGGCGCAGGATCACTGGACCAAAAGATGCTGTCGTTCTCGTTCCACGATCAGTGCCATGTGTTGTAAGTAAGCGGTAGTAGGTAGCTGATTCTTCGCCTCGCAGCTTTTAGTGCGTTCTCGGCTGGGCCTGCACGAGACCTAGGTAGGTACCTAGTCAAGGCGGCCCACGTGTTGTAACATATTATTACTACGCGCAGCCCGATGTTGATTTGTGCTCGTTGGGCGCTCAACCCAGTTGTCGAGGAACTGATTCCTGTTGCATGCCATCAGAGCATAGTAGCTATCACGTAGTGTTGACTGTCCCGCCGGCCAATTCCATGAGGTGCCATTTTGCTACTCGCTCAAGATCTTGGTGCATAGTGCCTCTCCACAGGTATCTTCGGAAGTCGGTGTCTGCTCGCTGACGTGCTGGTGTCGTTGAAGAGCCGACCGTCTCACGCCGAGCCTGGCTGGTATTTGTCGTCAACCTGCTGCTGTCCCCCACAGACAACCAGCATGGAAGTTGGAGCTGGCTGTGCCGATGCACGCTCCACTGAATCTTCCGATCATTGGCCTTCTTGGCCGCGGCCTCCCCGACCGCAGCCCTCTTAGTGACGGCTTTCTTCGCGGCTGCTTTCGGAGGCACCCTTTTTGCTTGACCGCAGCCGCATGCCTGGGGACTTCCAGATACCAAAGACATATGGTGACAAAACAGTGAGCGTAGATGGTGTGAGACTTGCCATGCACATCTTGTACGTCTTTCGTCCTGCGAATGGCCCCGAAGCCGCCATTTGCGAAGATGGTTGTAGCAGTTCACATGCCAGTAGAAATTGCCTTTGCCTCTGATGAAGAGAACGATGCGTGAATGTTGTGACACGCACATATATATGCCATGCGTTTGTTTTGTTGGGCAGAGTAGTGCGACATGATGACAATTGGCCTTAGGGTCATGATGGCTATGGAGAGACAGAGACACCGTTCGGTGGGGTACGTGACGGCGCACGACCCCCGTGCAAGAAACCTTTTGTTCGTTGCACATGTTCTGAAGGATAATGATCTTTCTCCAGCGGGCCGACGGGCGATGCAGGTATAAAAGCCTGTTCACCCCAGTTGGGTTCGAAATTCTCATCGTCTTCTTTGCTGAGATGGGAGGCGGCAGGGCGAGAGGGACATGCTGGCATTCGCGCTGTACGTTACGATGTCCGACAACGCCGTAAAGAAGGCTGCCGTAAGTGGAACGTGGTTCTGAAGAATTGTAATGCACGACAGAACGACAGACCGAGACATGAGGTGTGATAGATGCTATCACACCCCAGTCATTGCTCAGTCTTCTCTCGCCCTTGTGTGGGCGGGGAGAGCAAAGACCAACGACGTCTTGTGGGGCGAACACAACGCACCCATTGCACTTGTGCGGCTGATCATCTCGTCGATGAGGGTGTCGTTTGCCCTCCCCCTCCCGAACGGTGCTCTTGGATGGGCTAACAGCAACCCACCCCCCCAGCAGGGCTTGCGCTTTGGGCGTTCACACTTGCGCAGTGCGCCGCAAGCGCTCATTACGTCCAGCCCTGCTGGGGGCATTAGCTTGCTGCCAGGTCCCGATGGATGTATAGCCGCAGCTCCGGCCTGACTGGCCTGGTGTCTTCCACAACACCCGCGTGACCCAAGGGCAACACGGCCCGTGGGTCCATCGGCTGGGTGGTGGTTGATGGGCGCCGAGGGGTTTTGACTTTGGCGGCGAGCGAGATACTGTGGCCCGTGTCGCAGTGTAATCACGGGGCCAGCAGTGAAAGGGTTAAAGTAATGGTGAATGGGTGTCCACGCACACCATCTACGCCAGCGGCCCGTTTCCTCAGACTCCCCTTTCCAGACGGAGCGACTCTTTTTTCCGTGGAAACAACAGCAGCATAGGGTACGCCTTTGTAAACGACTCTGTGAGCTGTGTCGTATTGCTGTTGAAGATATGTGATTGAATAGGTATTCAGCAATGAGATCCAGAGTTTTGCCAATGTTGTTGCTTGGCGTTAGACATAGTGCCGTGTAGTATCAGAGGCGGTGCAGGGAGGGAATTTCCTATATTCTGATTTGCCTGATGAGCCATGTAAGACTTCAACACTAGAGCCCTTGTTTTTTTCGGAGACCCAACACCCGCATGGCTAGGTAATACTCTTTCTCGCCCATGACCTAGGCGATGTTGGTGGGACAGAGGTCAGTGCTGGACAGGGCCATGATGCCATGGTCAAGACCACGATGTAAAGTCGGATCGTAAGCCAGGCCCTCAACGTCTCGATTGAAGTGCGCCTAATCATGTAAGACGAGAGGTAGTCGGCGATGTGCCACTCCTCCAACGATACGCCTTCCAAGCGCGACCGGCCATGTCTCGGGTGTCTTCCACACCCGCGTGGTGCACGGCGGCGCTCCTCGTCGCTCATGGAAAAGAACGGGACAAAGACTGGTGATGTTTGTTTGATGTCTGTGTTCCATTCCATGAGCGACGAGGAGCATCGAGAAGGGGGACCATGGCATTCCAGAGACAACCACATTCCAGAGACATCCATTGGTGTTCTGGGTGTTGGAGGAAAGCAAAGACGTGAAGGTGTGGGTGTGGTAAGGGTCTGGAGAAAAAAGATATGAGTGGATTTGGCACCTCGTCGGTGCACCCGCACCCCCGTGTGTGGTATTGATGGAAAATAGAAGAGAAAGATGATAACCATCTCGCGACTGGTCCGTAGGCGGGTACATCGTGGTGTTGATAGCTGGCGTTTGAGGAAAGAACAGAGGTGTAGTAGTAGTATAGCACCCGCGGTAAAAAGTATAGGAGGTACCAGACCGGCAAATTTGTATTTCCGTTGGAATGATTCGGGAAATATGTTGTAGATGACGCTGCTGCCGGTCGTTGGATGGGTCTGAAGGCTGGAAGTGTAAGATTCTGATATGGAATCCTATAAGGACCCGTGAAGTAATGGTACCCAAAGCATTCAAGGTTAAGCTATTAGCCTAATGCTCCCTTTTGGTGTGTAGGCTGTTTCAGCACTCCCGACAACGCACGTCGGGGTCTGGGATATCGGATGCGATTCCGCTATGTCGTCCATGTAAACTCTTCGAAGGCTGGAAGTTTGCGTGTATAACTTCGCAGCATTCTCATTGGTGAAGGGCGTCATCTTCTTATGGCCAGGTAGATGAGATCTCGGCACATCAGAGGTAGGTGGAGCTCACACCCGCCCCTATGGCCGAGACAGAAGTCGGGGAGGACGCGCTGTCACTTGGGTACCACCCCGGACATCTTTCGTTGTCGTGCCTTCGTGTCCAGACTCGAGTAGTGAGCCATGAGCGTAGTGAAGCTTCAAGGCTACACCGCAGCCGATGATGCAAGCATCGAAGAAGCCCACCAGACCGAAAATATTGTGACTCGGCCTTCTGGGCTCACCATATGGTGTTTTGTGTAATGATTTCTCATCCAGTGGTGCTGGGGAAGGTGCTTTGGCCGCGATCCCAGCGCAGCCCCCGTGGGTTTGCTGGGCATGGATCTCTGGTGCGCAAGAGAAGCCAGAGGAGGAAATTCGAGGTGGTTGTAGAAGTGGTGGTGGTGATGTACGAGTTGTATCTCCCAAAGCCTAGGCGGCAATCACATCACAGCTTCGTATCAACTCTTCGGTGATACTGTCTGCAGAGGAATTGGGTTGTTGACAATCACTTTCACTCCAGGAAGTGAAGCGTAGGAGGTGTTCCTCCTCCCGCCCACGATTTCTCATCGTGGGCCTCGATGTTATCGGTCGGTCTCTCGGTCGGTGATCTCTATGTCGCCATTGCAATGTTGTTGGTGACACTATCATCGATCGCCGCTCCCTGGATAGCTCATCAAGAGTCCTATTGGAACTATACCATTGACTGTTTTAGGTATAGCCCTTAACCACAAGACTCCGTCTGGCTGTCGTCTTTGTGGTAGGTATGATGAATGAGATTGAGACAGAATTGTTGTTTTTCTCTTGAGGAGGAAGGTTGTGAAAGAGACCATGTTAATGGCCATGAAGCAAGGAAAGCCAACTCCCCGTTGAATGGAACATTGGCAGGGTCATAGACCAAAGACAAACCCAAGTAGGAGAAAGAGTTAGGGACTGGTGTAATGAGAGTTGGGACCCAAGCACGACACATTATCCCGGACACAATGAGCTGGCCCTCATAACTGAGGATAAGTTCGCGTGCTTAGGTCCCAACTCCCGCGACCTGGAGTATGGGTGATAGGAGGTAGCACCTGATTGACAGTTAGTGTTTCGTTCATAATTTGACAACTGAGAATATAGAGCTTACCTCAGCGAGCGACCGACCTGCGAGAGACAAGTCGATCGTTCTATAAAAAGAAGCGATCGCCCGCCAGGTCTTGCGACTGCCGAGTGTGCAAAGAGTCTGCGTTAGCCAAACCTTGGGGCCTTGTTTCTTTTCAAGTTTCAGGCCCCTGTTGGATATCTGGCTGTCAGGATTGTTAGCAAGGTGAGAAATTGCTATGAGTGCAATGAGTGACTTTACTGCAATGACTTGATACCCCTAAGTAGAGAGCAGGGGGGGAAGCCCGTTTAGCTGTTGTTGTGCTGTACTTTCAGCCGGCCGACATATTCACAGTTGTGGTGAATAGTCCCATCAATAAGATGATTGATGGTTTTATGGCCTGGTGTGATAGGGTTCAGGAACCTCGTGTGTTATGGTTCAAGAACCCTGTGTGATCTGTAGTAATGCGATGTTAGCAAAGAATCTCTCAATTGAGTATTAATGACAGTTGAATAGAGAATAAAAATATGATGACAAGAGGTAACTTGAATGTAAGTGTATTGAAATTGAAGAACAAAGTCAAGAGTGATGAGGTAGGGTTGGTGATTGGAGAGTGTAAACGGGAAGAAGGTATATTAGACTGCGAGAAAGAAAACCGGGAATGTATACCGTCGATGATATTAGGTGTAAAGTAGGAACTATGTGTTTAGAGTATTAGGTAGGTGACGCGAGGGATGAAGAAGGTGGAAGAAATATTGATGTGTAGGGGAAGATGACGCGTAGTAGAGTCAAGGTTCATTATGAACGGAAAAAAGAAAAAGCACAAGCGACAAGAAGAAGTATCTAGGCGGTGGCAATGTTATGGTAAAGGATAGAGTGTGTGTTGGGCTAAGGAAAAAATACTTGCGTTGTAGTGGCGTGCTGTTGATGGAAGGTGACGGGATGGTAATGAGATGGGAAGTGGAAGTCCAGTGTTATGAAAAAAGAAAAAAAAAGAACTTGTATGTGTAGAGGTAGGAGGAGATGCGTCATGAGTAAAAAGGTTGGAATGGGATGATAAACAAGGCCACAGGGTTGGTAGATGATAAGTAGTCAGGAATAAGAAAAGATCAAGCTTACCTTTGCCATATTTGTCACATTGGGAAGAAATTGATGAAGAACGTTGCGGTAGGAGTCAATTCCCTCGTGCTGTAGGAAAAAAGAAAAATTAGATTTCAAGTTGAGTGCTGTAGAAGGGAGTGGGAAGAAGAGAAGGATGCTTTTGTTTTGAAATTAAATATGTGCGGTTGTGGGTGTGGGGGGGGCGGTGGTGTTCCTCAGGCAGCAAAACGCGTCTCGCCTCAGGGAAGAGAGGCCACTGGGGAGTAGGCAAGCACTGTAGTTAGCTGATCACGTACCTAGAACTGACTGGAAAAGGTGATGTGAGATCACGCAGACAAACGTGGCGGAGGATGGCGAGTACTCCACGACTCCGCAAGTCTCTAGTACATGATGGATATGAATGAATTCGCATACATGTAAACGATGTAGAGGACGGAGGAGGTGTAGAAGACGCGGAAGACGAAGAAACCGCAGATGGCATTGACAACGCGAGCGTCTTCAGCGATGAAAATGATTTGCAAGATGAAGCAGATGAAGGAGAAGGAAAAAAAAAAAGAAGATGGATGATGAGATATATATATATAAAGAGTCAGAGGTTGGTGAATGGAAGATGAAGAGCGTCACATATTGACATCAACTGAAAGACAGTTGGTGAGAGCTCGGCCGTTCACATTTTGGCGTAGCGGTATGTTCTGCCCAAGAGGGCATGGGAGAGGAAGTGGAAGAAGAAAAAGGCAGATGCTAGATTTTATGTTGTGGGAAATATTGTTTGTGCTGGAGTGCGGAAGTAAAATATATTTTTTTAAATAAAGTAGTCGGCGGCCCTAGCACGCAACCTCGGAAGGAAGGCGGTGTGGCTGGCAGGTATCAAGTTGGTACCTGAGGTTGACGGTGACAAACAGACGAGCCTTAGGCGGCGACTGCGATGGTTCCAGTTAATGGATAGACCTATTTATGGCGACGGGGAACTACGAGGGTATGGCCACAATTGTTAGAGCTTATACAGGGGGGTCCCTTTGCGGGCTTTATATTTCCAAAAATTTGCGTTTGCTGAACTATCCCAAAGTTGAATAGTTACTCGCAGGGACGAGGTATGATGATTTTGTGTACCAACCATATTGTAGAAAAGATCGATAATAATTGCATACATGGATATGACTGGTATAACCCGGCCGTATCTTGTTATGCTCTCCCCTATTTGCCAATAGGGGATTCAAAGGACAAGATCACGTTTCCAATCCCCTTGAGCATTCTCTGTAATTGTTTATTATACATATCACCATTGCTCAGTGATCAGATCTTCATATAAATCATGCTTGATGGTAGGCGAATGAAGCAGCCCCAAAATCTCACTGGCTATAATTACTTGTAGTCTAGTACACGCCTCCAGCTATATGTCTGATGCCAACTTCGATATCATCCATGATTACGAGATTCCATAATGCCTATCACACCTAATCATACATGGGAATATGTTTTCTAGTTGTCGTCAACTACAATTAAATAGAATTAATAGCCTCTCGCTAGTACTTATGCACCTGTAACAGTTCTTTATACAAGTAGAAGGCATTGGAAGGGCACCATAGGACTTGCTGAAATTGTTCAACTGCATCATGAATATAACAGCTCCCAATAATTCTACGACGTCTATTCTAATCTTCGTAACAATATCCAAGAAAAAGGACTCGCATCCAAATAGGTTCTTGATACGAATCTACCAAGAGGCAAATTCTACCAAGGTTAACTTGACTGTGCTTGTTAACTCGCCATATTTGCTCCGAATTTTCAAAATATAGTGATTTGTAGCTGTCTTTGAGAGAGAATACTATTTAACAATTATTATACTGGATTATCAGCGAGGAATTGAAGAATTCAACAATGCCTGCTATTAACTTCACGACACCACTCTGAATGACACCAATTCACATCATAATCCACCATAAATCGACACTCCAGATACATAATATCACATTGCGACATGAGTACACCAAAAAAAAAAAAAAATCAATAGGCAAAAAGCAAACACGAGGAGCGCCTTCCCCCGAAGACCAGTTCGGATGGCTTGTTCGGCCCCACGTTTCGGATGCGGAGATGGCAAACGGCACGCTGGGGTAGGACAGGAAGTCGCCAATCCCGGTTGATTGCTTACGGGGCTGATGACTAATATGCCGAGTTCCCAGTCTCCTATTTCTGTGTTTCTCTTCCATGAAGATTAGGGAGTTCGGGTATTATCAATTAAATTAATTACAATTACAGCTGGAGATCAAATTTCATTGAAGTTTTCCAATTATTTTAGACCATTCAAAATCTGCTGCGTGTCTAGCTAGAGTACCCATTATGTATGCCAAAGTATCGCTACCTTAGGTAGTTAGGTATTGAACACTTCCAATTAGTTAGCGTCATCCATCCGACCTGGGAGGTGTTGTGTGTGTTCCACCACAGCTTTTGTGTTATTCGAATTGTACGACGATTTATTGGTTTCAGGAATGAGCGCATTAAATTGGCGTCATTGGACCCGAGATCAACAACCCATTCTACCCGCTGCGGGTGGGACTACGCTTGGCAGGGTATTCGAGCAAAGGTCGGTACTCGAGTCACAAAAATTGCAAGCATTCAATGTTTGAAGCTTTACCTCAGCTTTGTAGATGATTGATTTCACGAGATTTGACTTGATTGATAAAATCACGATCGGTAGACAGATGATAGAGATACGCGGAAATGATGAGTCAATTTATGAAGTTACATAAAGAGTGCATCTCGCAATAAAAAAAAGTGCAGCTAGCGATTAGCTACAAGCTACAACACGTTTCTCCCTCCCCCATTCCCCCATTAATCCAGCTTTCTCGAGATTCAAGACCTTCCGATAACCATGATCGTATGTAGTAGCATCATGGTGATGAGCGACACCCAAGATATAGATGATCCAAGGCGTTACTCAAAATTTAATGACATTGTTGTTGTTGCTGCTTTATCTTTGGCGTAGGCGTGAAGTGAGAACAGGCGTGCAGGAGCCAGATTGATTCATGGTAGAATGTTGGTTGCTTATTTGCCGCAAGTGCAGTCAGCACCGCAAGAGCCTGTGAAAAGAATATTGATTAGCATCCATGTATTGATTATTTGATTTATCGTAGCATATCAAATAGTGACAGAAGTGAAGAAGGATCAAGCCTTGTACAAGATCTTGATCTGTCACGATAAATGTGAATGTGATAGCGGGGTACGCAAATGTGAAATCGGCATATTGACAAGGGTCGAGATAAACTTACAGTTATCAGCACAGCTGCATTCGCCCTTCATTTTGATGGTTGATTTGTTTGAGTTGGGGTTTGAAAGAGGATGTTTCGTTCAGGTTGATCTTGTAATAGATCTGTATCGTTAAGATGGATGAGCGTGTGAAAAAAACAAAATAAAAAGTGACGGACGGAAGGGAAGTGCTGCCAACTTTTATATGTCGAGAGGTTCGAAGAGTGGGCCTTTAGGGATATTCCGGATCGGGGCGCCCACAGAGCTCTTGGACCAATGAGTGGTAAAGATAGCAATGCGCTGTTTGTGCGGGGTTTGCGCCTTTTCAGCGCGATGTCGCCCTGTCTCACCACACTCTCTACCTAGTCCCTACTAACCTAGGTACACAATGCCAGATTAAGAAGCTAAAAAGGGACATAAAGTTCGATGTTTGGCCACTGATGTTCCCTCAGACAGCCTAGGTTACCTAGTAGTACACTACGGTATGTACCTTAGTCTATTAGATAGGAGGTATGTATGCACTATAACACAGTATACGCACAAGTCACGCAAAAGAACCCTTATTTTACTTGATTTACGCAGTACTCAAAGGAACCAAGATGCTTACCATGATAAATCTTTAGGTTGGCATTTTTTAGTTCTTATCTACCTAAGTTGCCTTAGTAGGTTTTATGAGCATGACCAAAAGTCCTAACCTTAGAACTACATATTAACTAAAACTCCCATTGAAGTAAGTCTTTCACCAACACAAAAGTGGTAAGTTCTCAGCTGAGAAGGTGAGAGGTTTATGCGTTATTGCTAGCCTGTCGATCAGAAACATCCAGAAACATCCCATGGTTCCATGGATCTTTGTCCTCACCCCCCCCTTCTGCCCCCTTTCAGCATCATATGACGCCAGGTCGAGAAGACCCTGTTTTTATCTTCCCATGTGGCCTCTTGTTTTATCATTCCTGTCCCTAGAATACTGGACCATGACATGACCGCAAGTTTGGTGGACAAAGATGATTTGCAACAGCAACTGGTACATACAGTACTGTAGTGTATGTATACCTTAACCACCTATAATTATCTAACCTAGTAGTCGTGTCATCTTATCATTTCTCATTTTCTCACGCGGCTTCCTCTCCGCGCTTTGGAAACCCTGCAGCCGTCCGGCGCGACGTTCTTTTTACCTACCTATGCATTGATGATTTGGGTTCGCGACGGGTGCTTCTGCTGCCGATGATCCAATCCATACCCCATCCAACACCTCGAGCTGCTGCTACAATCCCCCCCCCACGACAGCTACGAGCTACACTACTTCAGAACGTGAGCTATTTTTCATTCGAGCGCCCACCCCCCTAGGTCCAGGATACGACATATGCATTACATTACATACTAACCTAGGCATGTATGTACAATACTGTATGTAGGCTTGCTACGCTCCCGGGCTCCGTGGGCTGCACGACAGTTTTATGCATGCGCTATCGTTGCATTGCAGCAGCTCTCTCCCAGCCTTTTGCCTATCATTCGCCCGCCATCCATTTCACGGAACTGCTTTGCCACTGATGAACTGCTATCATTGCTCTTCTTGACGGAGTTCTAGAATTTTGACAAGGCAAAGTCTCAAACAGCTTGAATACCTAGGCAATATGGTCTGGCTATTCATAAGACTCAGTCGATTTTTGTTTTATTTTCTATATGGGCACTTATTTTCAACATCCTCAGCGTTGCAATGTCCACCCCGCGCTCGCTGCCGGTAAGATCTATCACATTCCTCGGACTTTAATAGCCTACCACGTCATGAAGCTCTTATCAGAACAGGAACAGAGGAGCCATTCTCGACTTGGTTACTTCCATGTTCACTTCTAACATGCTTCTTTGCTCATCGCTCACAAAAAGAGTTCCGAGGGCCCATTGAAGATGGACACAATTGCATCAATGGTGCTGAGCAAGTTGTATGTACGACGGCGCCAACGTGATACGTACATCGCAGGGTCAACGATACCTACATTCCTAGCACACAACTGCTCCCATTCCTCGTGAACCGGTACATCGTCAGACTATTTGATAACGTTTACGTGTGTTTTATTGAACAGCGCTGCGGGATGGTGCATGCATATCCAATGTATGTACCTCGATACGCAAATGGAAAACCACGGGGGGTGGTATGTAGTAGCATAGCAAGCAGCCTGGTAGGTAGTATCGTGAACCACATCCAGATGCTATTATACCTTACAACCCTATAATAGATAGGTAAGGTTAGATACCTCTCTACACTACCTAGGTAGGAATCGTAGTAGGTTCGGGGATTGTATAAATGATCAGCTGCTCTGACGTCCCTCCTCTTACAGCCCTAACCCAAGGACCAACCGAATAGGTGCTACCTGCCTACCTACCCGTTAGATCCCTCAACTCCTCGGCCACGGTTATTTATGGTCTGCATCTATCTGCCAAGCATGGAAGGATTTCTCCGTGGAGCCCCCTCCCCCCCAACGTGCAAAGCTGCTTAAAGGTTTTTTTCCCAACGGTGAGACTAACAGACAAAGGAAACAAGGCGGGAATAGGTCGGAAGTACCTAACCACAGCCTACCTAGATTAGGTACATGGTGAAAGTCTAGGGTTTCAAAAATAGTTGCGTTTCGTAGAGGGAGGGAGGGAGAGGCTGTATGTATCCGGGCAATGCCAACCCCGAGCTCCTGGTAGGAAGAGTCACAGCATGAAAGCCTGCCTAGGGTAACATCTTGTCTTGTATCCGAATTACCACATCCTAAGCTGCTCGTCTTGTTTGTTTGTATTACATACCTCCGGAGAGGTATTTCCCCTGACAAGGTAAACTGATGAATATACAGTACATACATATCTCCACCTCTACACAGATCCTATACCTACCTCTCTCTACAGGTGACATAATCTAGGTATGTAGCTATTCACAAATCGCCAAAGAGAAGAGTATCATGTCAGTCACTCTCCGCATTCCTCCACACCATCCCTGACGTAGCACCCCTATTCTATTCCCCCATCACATCACCACCAACCACCACCACCAGCCTGAGAGAAGTCCGCAGGTTCCAAATCCCACCAGCCTCATGCCTACCTAGTACTTATCCACTAGATGAAGAACCACACCTATCTACATGAGATCAAGATCTTATAGGTACTCCCTATGCACTCATGAGTAATCTAGGTTCCCACGTGGCTCGGTATGTATGTTCCTACCCAGGTAGCTTCTTACTCACCTGCTGTGTATACCTACCTGCCTATCTACTTGCCCACTACCGATGGCAACATTCGCAAAACAAATTGCAACATACACACATACATACATATATCTCTTTGGCGTCACTGACAGAATAATAACCATCGAGCTACCAATCCAAGCAGGTTACCAGGCTATATCCTTAAAACCAAGTACTCCATTCAACTCGCTTCACGATAAAGCTATAATGTCTATGGCGGTAGTAAACCCCTACCTACCGCCATATAAAATATTATATTACGTAATTATATCCTCGTCGTATAAGACGAGCTATTATATATACACTATGAATCTAAATACCGACAACACCCAAACCTACACAGATAGGTAGTAAACACTACATCCATGGATGTTCTTTTTTTTCTTTTTGTAAATACTCCACTAAACTAGACCAAGTATCTAACCTCCAGCGCTAGCTATTTTCCGACAAGACAAGTTGTTTTTGACCACGCCAACACCATCCCCTACCCTACCCAAATCCACCAACCCCCCCTGAGCAAACCCCTGAACAAACGCCTAAGCAAATCCCGCGGAGTCAAAAAACACACGCTACAGGTATATACATCCCATCCCGTACTCAATCCTCTTCCCTCCCAAAGAATCTCAGCCACGTCTCCAAGTCCGCCGTCACCGCGTCTCCAAGCTCAGCATCGATGGTGCAGTCCTGCCAGGAGAGATACATAGATAGCTCCTTCCCCTTGACGCTCACCGGACACAGCAAGAATGCGGATTGGGGGAGCTCGGCGCTGAGGGAGAAGGTAGCGCGCTCGATGGTCCACCTATCTTCATCGTCTTCTTTTCTTTCTACGTTCCCTTCCTGCTTAACGCTGCCCTCTTTTTCTTTCCCTTTCGCCACGACAGGAGGAGCCCCGTCGATGACTCCCAAGTTCGAAACGCTATACGTTAGTGCGCGAGGTTTTTTCATCGTATCCTTGTGTAGGGTGCGGCAGTCCGAGATATACTTCAATAGACCCGTCTTGTCGTTTGTGCCATCGTCTAATCTGGCCTGTATCTCGGCGCGAACACGTGCTGCCGCCAGCCAGACGAATTCCTCGAGTGCCAGCATCTTGTAACCTTGCTCCCAATCTCCCGCCCCTCTGGTATTCTCTTCAACCTGTTCGTGACCTTCCCCCTCCATCTCCTTGGTGGCTTCTTCCGCCTTCGCTCTTATAAGAGCCACCAGCTCCGGACTAAACTCATGGTCGACGGTCGTGAGTATATTCTCCATGATATGCCTCGGATCGATGTTGGTTCTCTGCAAGTATTTCGACGTTTTCCGTATAAGGGGCCTCAGGTCTACAATAGTGTTTCCTATGAACCCACGCGAGTTCTCTGGCGGTAGTCTCAAGGCAAGGATGACGGCTAAGAGGGTATCCAGGAGGCCTGTAAGCGTAGTATTATGGGCGCGGCACTTAGTTAGTATATTTTGTAATAAGCTGTCGTGGAGGCGAAAGACCCGGCTCAGCGTAACAAATGGCTGGGCGCGGATGGGCGCCCAGTCAGCTTCCATGCCGGTCTTCTCATGCAGCGCTGCGGGCTTGAGTTCTTGCCAAAGGGTTGACAGTGTATATCTTGTGGTGAAGGAGAACTTGTATAGTTCATGCATTGGCGGCGGTAGGTCTCTCCGCTTCTCTACTGGAATTGTGAGCACACGATCCTGGAACCCTTCTGGTGTTATCTGCAAATTGTCATCGTTGTCGTGGTAGCTGCTAAGGTACCGTCGCATCTCCTCGTGGAATAATTTGATAGACATGCCGTCTAAGTGTGCGTGCCCAAACTCGATCATGATATCGACAAACCTTGTACCTTCAACGCGTAGCACGACCGCTCGCCAACCTGGCAGAGTAACGAGCTGCGTAGGCTTTTCATCGACACGGGCCTGGATAAAAGCCCATAGGTCGGACTCGTAATCTTCAGCCTCGGGGCTAAAAGTGCGCCATTCCACTAATTGACTGAAGTCAATACTCTGTAGCTCCACAAAAGCAGGTTTCCGGGAGTTTGCGCCGCGCATTCCCACACGCAGCATGGGATGATCTAAAATAACACGGGCCATGGCCGCCTCGATCCTGTGCATTATCTTGTCATGCGAGCCATCCACCATAAGCAGCGCCGGAGGTACTGTGTACCGGCACGTCAGGATGGAATTGCGATATAGGTCTAACGAGATCAAGGCTGCTTCATAACGCTCACTGAGCTGGAGTTAGTATTGATACCCGGCTTGGAGAGTGGCGTTGGTTAGTCACTATCGAACCAAAAAACCTCGACTCACAGGTAACCCAAAGTTCTAATGACCTTTGGTTTGGAGGGTTTCGAAGGCTTAGCCAATAGCCTCCTTTCTGACCGTGAGTCGTTCATGGTTGCCGGCATGGGTATAGGCTACGTAGATGTGTAGCGATTGTATTGGTAATAATATATCACGGCCAATCGTTCTCGTGATTCATGGACTGTCACCTCAATAAAAGACAGTGACTGTTGTATTGGAGTTCGAATATCATTAATGCGTTTTTATATTTTCTTCTCTCGAGCCCTATCTACTAAGGACCATGTGAAGTTCGGGGAGGTATGGATATATTGTCCACGCTCAAATTAGGCCTCCTCGGGTAGCCGAGGGGCACGATGATATTAATACCTACATCCCTTGACAGTTGGATGATAGGGGTCGAATGATTGAGGCGCAGGCTGATGGCCATGGCTCCAAATTTGCAATAATAATAGAGCTCACTGAGAGATTAATAGGTCAAAATATCCCGGTAAAGTGATGCCTGGAAATGATACTACGTACTACTAGTAGTAGTTGGTAGATGAAAGAACAATCAAAGGAAGCGAAATCGAAAACAGGAAAGCTGAAAATTAGTTTACCTACTAATGTACTCGCTTACTACTAGTAGTACTCGTGGGAATAACTAATTACGTAATGTAATTATATACTATTTATGAAGGGACGGAAGGTGCATAAAAACATCAAACTACATACTTTGCGAAGTAAAAGATATGACGTATGATCTCTGGTATAAGTGCTAAATGCATAGTACTATACCTAGTATACCTAGTATACCTAGTCCAGGTATACCGCGTAGCATCTAGACATATCGACGACCTTATGCGACGCCACTACCAATCCCCTATATGAAGACGACTTGATAATATCAGTACCAGGTAGCAACGCAAAGCGAAGAATCAAATAATTCACCGAACCACTTCCCGAAACTTTTTCTTTCCCCGCGGGCCTTAAAACCATGCGTTTCCTTCGTCTGCCCCCCGTCTTAACGCCGTGTGATGCAATCGCGAACCTCATTCATGCCCTCTCCGTCTCCGGAAATAAATGGGAGAAACATATGTACAAGCAAACAAATGCCTACTTGGTGAATAGGCAGCACTCATGTGCTAAGATGGAAAACCTTTCATCATTTCATCACTCCATCACTCGGTCCTTTGCTTCTTCGCACGACCACGCTTAGCCAGGAATTTGTCGCGGCCACCGACACTCTCCCAATACTCCTTCAGCCCATCCGGTGCAACCTTTCTCATTTTTGTTTCGGACTCCCATGAGGTTTCGCCTCCTGTGGCTGGATGACCGACCCATTGAACCTCCATCTCGAAGCCACCCCGATTTTTCTTTTTGTGTTGTAGGATCTTAAAGACGTGATAGATCTCGGTCGGTGCGTTCTTAGGTTTAATAAACAAGGCGTTCATCCGGCCACCTTGTTTTTTCCAGTATGCATAGAGTACGTCCTCAGCACCCCTTTGTATCTCATCCTCAGGTTCCCATGTCGCTTCTTCTTTTCCCTCTCCAGCCCAGTGGATCAAAACTTCGATTCTACCGCTGCGGTCTTTTGCCATACGGTGTTCAAGAATAGCATGGACTTCGTGCTCTTCTGCTTCGGCAATGCCATTTGGTTTGGAATGCACCTCGTCTTCTTCAGGCTCAGTTGCAGTTGCCTTTGCCTTGCCCTTTTTCACAACTTTCGTGGGAGTCTTGCCGTTGGATTTGGGGTGGTCAGTGGTGTCACCATGAGGAACGGCTGTGCTAGCATTATCCTCGCTAGAAAGGTCTGTGCGGCGTGAAGAATATGAGTAAGTGACCATTCGGAGTACCACGTAGTACACTATAGGTAAATAGCGCAGGGCTGTAGGCAAAGGGAAAGGAATGGGTACTTACCAGGAACACCCATATCAGCTACGGGAACCATGGAGCTCTTTGTTAAGTTTCCCTCTTGTTCTTTATCTTCAAGTTCTTCTTGCGGCTGTAGTCTTGCAGCTTCTGGCTCTTGTGCACGAGCTAAGTTGGCAGCTGCATCGGTTATATCGTTCTTTCGGGCACCCATCGAACGGCTTCGGCGCTCTGTCCTGCATGTGAGCAACATCAAACAAAGAGCTTGGATCGGTTCATGTACTTACTGTTATTGGTTTTGGCTGATGAGGACGGCCGACTTTTTGCGGCGGGGCTTGGAATTTCAGAAGAGATGCGCGATCGGGTACGCTGGTTTGAGGGTGTTTTTTTCTGAACCGAGTCTATTTTGTTTGCACCGGTTAGGACAGTCGGCGCGAAAAGAAGAGATCCAGTTGATCTGGTTGGTGTAGCTGGCAAAGCTTAAAGCTAGTGAAGTTGGTGAAAGGATAGGAAAAGAAAGGAAAGGCAATCAGTCGCGTACATGCTAGGTGAGAACTTACCATCATCTATATCATCGTAGGGGTCTCCCTTGGCTTTGCGCTTGGTGCCGCGTGGTTCTTTGTCCCCATTCACAGGTTTGGGTGCAGGCGACTTGGTTCTCCAAGTATTGATGGAGTTAAGGAGCCCGGACATGGTGATAGCTTGATAGACTAAGCAACAAGCTTAAGGGTTCAATTGGATGTTGACAAAGACAAGATCTCTAACCAAACTGGTGAGAAATGGTGAGAAATGGTGAGAAATGGAATATTGGTTTAAGTCCTAGAGATCGTTGGTCCTCGTTAGATGATGACAGTACATCAAAGTTGGTTATGATTGTTAATTCAAGTTGTGATTGTTAATCGTTAGTTCAACTTAAATCGTGACTGGGAGTTGGTTATGTATGTAATTAATTGACTGGTAAGCCTGGGGTAGGTCCTAAAGGTACGTAAGTTATGAGTTGTGCTTATGTTTGTGCCTGCCTGTCTGCCTGTGGTAATAACCTAAATTGAAAGCTCTTTCCACTGTTTCCAGTCGAGTAGCGCGGCAAGGGTGGAACCGCGACTTGTTTTCTTGGTCATAACTTACCCTGCCTAGGGTAGATATTGCCTAGGGTAGGTAGGGACCAGCTGCTGGTATGTAATAGGTATGGCAAGGCAAGTGCCGGCTCTTAAAACACGCCGCTTTTATTTAACTACATGTGACTGACGTCTATGTCTCACTATCGTAATCTACTTCTTTAGTGCATACACAGTACTACTTACATATTTGTTGATATATATATTCGTTTTGATACATCGATCAAGATGGTCGTGCTTCGAAATATTCGAGGAGTGATACAAAGGATATTTATAGATGGACAAGATTTCCACTACCATGGTCTTTCTCCTTCTTCTTACAGTCAAATACCCTCGTAGCCAACGGATACGTGATGTCGGTTGCTATCGAAGAATATATAATATATATAACCACCGGACGAAATGATTAGCAGATGATGGACTAATAAGTAAATGATAATTTGCTCATCCAACTGCTATGGAAAATCAACGTGCTGCTTCCCCTATTTAAATCAATACAATATTATCTAATATCGTAGCCCCGTTGCTATTCTATACTACCTACCTACATATATACATATATATATACATATAGGTGGAGAGTCTCCATACCACAAGGCGTCTTTTGGCTTCATTGTTTTTCGATTGGATGTTTAAGTAAATAGTTGGAAATTAAAGCTAGGTAGTACATAGCTTGAATATGGGATTGATACGTTGTTAATTTTCTCAAATTTCTCGAAGTCCCGTCATACATCAACCTCCCAACCTACGTATCTTCGTATATTATATGTTCATATTTAGATCTCTTTATATCCCCGCTCCGGGTAATGTAGGATATGTACTAGGTTAGGTATATATCATTAGGCATATTACCCTCGATTTCCTTAATTTCCTTAATTCTATTAAGCTTTGACTTTCGATCATTCAAATGGGGCTTCTTAAATTCTTCTCTGTTGATATACGTAAACGGATCGGCCTTATGATATAAGTAGTCTATAATCTGTTGATTGTGTACCAGGTACACTTATGGAAGACTCAATGACCCAAACTCCAGCATTTGAATCAAATAAAAGGGGAGAGCTAGAAACACTGCTGTTGCTAAAGCTAATATAGCAAAACATAAGATATGCCTAGGCAAGCATCACGAAAGCAAGCTAGGTTAAGCGAATACTACATATTAAGGTGAATCAGTCGAAAGAAAGAGCACAATAAGATCTCAAATCGCTAGTAAAGAGCACACCGCTAGCTCTATTAACCTAGTTCAGGTGCTCGACTTGATACTGAAAGAGGTTATGATCTGAATGTTGAAAGCTGAGTATATACTGTCGTGAGGAACAGCTCCGTGTTTTTATAAGTCAGATCGACATATCAACATAAAATAGATAGCCCAAGATACTGCAGCGGGAGTAATTTCATTGGTCCTTCAGTCGAACCAATAGAATACATACATACATACTATTGTGTTTGCGGTATAAACGCAGAGGCTCGGCTTGATCATATTGTATAATGGTGGCAGTCTATGTTTAGTTAGTCTGTTGGCATTCCTCGATGTCGCTACATAAGTCTAGTCAAGGCAAATCAAGGACTAGAGAATGGATCTTGCAATAAATCGATTTCGAACTCATATTCAATACGAGAAAGTTAACTATTTCCTTTCCAAGTCATTTTCAATGTTTATAACTCGCCGCCACACACTGAGCCTCAATCGGAGTCGTGATACTCAGACTCTACAGGCAAACCGCCACGTTCCATGCATTTGCAAACACTCCTCGGATGGATAACATGAATCACGTATTTTCCCCTTGTTCTCCCATTCCTCCTGCTTAACGCAATCATCCACATTGACGCAACTAGCATTATAAATCCATACGAGTCCGATCCCGACAAAATATCAGAAGATGATAAGTACGCGGATGTACCTTTATACGGCAGATATCTTCCTCGTCCCAATGACTTCAAACCCGATGCGAAGCATTTCAACAACACGACGCCAGAGTCACTCGATTACTGGTCGATGGTGCTTGCAAAATGCACGGAACTCAACCGGATCTATGAAAGCGATGAAGGAGGACGTGATGTCTTTGCTCTTGGAAGCGTAATCATCAAGGCTCAAGCCGAGTCACTTGAAGGTAACACCTAAGGGCCGGCGATCTTGCCGCGACTACTCGTACGCCGATACAAACGAAGTAGGGGCTGTTTGTCTATCAAAAACGGTGTTAGGCGATATCAAAGTTCCCCAGGTCTATTTTGCTTCTAAGGTATGTTCGACTGCGGTATTTAGTAATGTAGGTCCCTAATTCTTTGCCGACAGATGAAAGGACGGCCTGTATTTGTACAGAAGAGGATTCCCGGCGTCGGTTTAAAAGTCGCCTGGAAATACCTCTCCCAGTCTCAGAAAGCTTCCTTCAAGGAACAAGCACGGCAAATGTTACAGAAGCCGCGTACGATCACTCCACCAAGTGAGATCAGTGGTCGATCGTACATTATTTCGGATCCGGATCCCGTGCATCATCGCGGTATATAAGAAGTTGAGAAAGATATCATTTTTGAGGATAACAAGGAAGACCCCGATCTGTGTTTTATGCACAATGATGTTTTGCGGTCCAACTGCATTGTCGATAATGATAAGATCGTTGGGCTCGTCGACTGGAAAACTACAGCAAGTATCCACGTTCGGATTCGATCTCCAAGGCGTGAGAATTATGCTGCGCTGGATTTGCCTGTGATAATTATGATAATTCCTGTAGCGGAATAAGGCACAGGCACCGATTTTGCAGAAGGGTTCAGAATCCAATAATATTTAGTTATCACTCTAGAGTGAAGTATGTTTGGGACCGATGAAAAATATTAAAAAAGCATTGGGCATCATGGAGGATTCATGCTTTGCATACATCTATACCAGGTAGAATTATCTGGACAAGTGAGTTGGGCTGGCAGATAATACCTCACATATATGATACATTCAATGTTGTTGTATTGGACAAGTACGAGTAGGTACACAGCGACAGAAATGGCACATGACATGACATCAGGTACGGGTACCTGCTACATGTATCTTTTAAATCCTTCCCGCATAGTTACAAGGGGGACGAATTAATAAAAAACGAAGGAAAAAATGAGCGCGGGGGAGGGGTAAAACTGCCCAAGGATTAGGTACGTACTGTAACAGTACATACATATGTAGTAAGTATTTTCCTACTATGAGTCAGACAAAACCGCCAATAAGTTTTACTGTTGTAAAGAATTTCGAAATTTTGAACTAAAAAATCAGGAGATCTCAAAAATTATCGGAATCGCATATTCATGAATATCGGCCGGTATTTACGCCCTAGAACGATTGTTCGCGTTACCAGCTCAAATAAATTCAATTCTCCAATTGCCGATCATTCTCAGATCCAAATCTATAACCACATTTCCAACCACAACCTCAACCTCAACCTCAATACCTTTCCTACTTCACCCCGCCGCCTGTTCGTCTCCCAGAGACGCGCCCTTGGCACCATGGCCCCCGCCGATACGTTAAACACGCTTTTGTCCAAACTCAATAACCTCACACTCGACTCTATCTCCGAGAAATATCCTACCACACACCCCGAAGTCAACCCATTCGATCTATATCGAGTTCATCTTGCCGAAATCCTAGCCCCCATCACCGGTGTCGCCTCCGACAAGATCTACCCTGTTCTATCCTGGACCAACACTCTAGACAAGGGCGACTTCCTTTTGCCTATTCCCGCCCTCCGGATAAAGGGCGCAAAGCCAGACGCATTAGGAGCCGAATGGGCAGCGAAGGTGAATATGATGCGCCGTTTACTAGGTATATAGTATAATATTGGAAACAAAAGAGGCTAACCTTTTCTTGCTACCACCTTGACAGTTCCCCGAGGATGACCCTCTATTCGAGAAGCCGGTTACTGCTGGCAACTTTCTAGGCTTCTTCACCAGGGGTGGACCCCTAGCACAAACAATTGTTCCCATGATCCGGCAACTCGGTGAGGACTATGGCCGGAATCGCTTCCTTGGTATGAGAGACCCCAAGGATCCTAGCCAAGGAAAGAAGCGCATCGTTGTCGAGTTCAGCTCCCCCAATATCGCCAAGCCCTTTCACGCTGGACATCTCCGGTCTACCATCATTGGCAGTTTCTTAGCAAATCTTTACGAGGGGGCCGGCTGGGATGTCACCAGAATCAACTATCTTGGTGACTGGGGTAAGCAATACGGTCTATTGGCTCTGGCATACGAGAGACATGGAGACGAGAATGCGCTAAACCAGGACCCCATCAACCATCTTTTCCACCTATACGTCCGCATAAGCGCCGAAAAGGAAGCGGAAAATGCAGCCATCGAAGAAAAGAAGAAGGCGGGTGAGGATGTTACTGAACTCGTGGCGAAGAGCTTGGATGAGCAAGCCCGCCGGTACTTCAGAAAGATGACAGATCGGGACGAGGCCGCTGTCGCGTTGTGGAAACGCTTTAGGGACTTGAGTATCGTCCGTTATAAGGCCACGTACGCCCGACTCAATATCAAGTTCGACGAGTACAGTGGCGAGAGTCAGGTCACGGAGGAGGCCATGGAGAAAGTAGCCAAGGAGATGGCCGAGAAGGGCATCACGAAGGAAGACCAGGGCGCTGTCCTTGTCGACTTTACCGAACTGATCCCGGGTAAAGAGGGAAAGCGTCTTGGCAAGACGGTTATCCGGAAGCGGGACGGCACGGCATTGTATCTCACTCGGGATATCGCCGAACTACTAGGCCGATACGAGAAGTACAAGTTTGATCACATGATCTACGTCGTAGCCAGTCAGCAAGACCTCCATCTCCAGCAGCTCTTCAAGATCATCGACTTGCTCGGCTACAAGGACATTGCACAGCGCTGCCAGCACATCAACTTTGGCCTTGTCCTGGGTATGAGTACTCGGAGGGGTACTGTAAAGTTGTACGTTTCCATGACCAACTCATGTACTTACTGAGAAATAAGCTAACGACAGGAACTAAACAGCTTGGATGATATTCTGAGAGATTGTGCCGACCATATGCACGATGTTATGCGGAAGAACGAGGCCAAATATTCCCAAGTCGAAGACCCCGAGGGCACTGCTGATACTCTTGGCATCAGCAGTGTGATGACTCAGGACATGAGTGGGAAAAGGTTCGTACAAATAAAATCATGTCATGGATGAATAGAAGCTGATATTGCTGGCAATTAGGGGTAACAACTATACCTTTGACTTGGCCGTAATGACCTCTTTCGAAGGTGACACCGGCCCGTACCTACAGTATGCGCACACCCGACTTTCGTCGATCAAACGCCGCGCCAACGTGACGGACGAGGAACTAGCCAACGCCGACCTATCTCTTCTAACGGAGGCACACGCCATCAACGTCGTGCGGTTACTGGCGCAGTGGCCCGATGTCGCGCAGAACACACTTCGCACGCTCGAGCCCACAACGGTGGTGACTTACCTATTCAGACTGACGCATGTGATCAGCAGTAGTTACGATCACTTGCAAGTCGTAGGCAGCGAGCCGGAGCTCAAGATTGCGAGAATGGCGTTGTATGACGCCGCGCGGATCGTGGTCGGGAACTGCATGAGGTTGCTGGGATTGAGCCCGCTTCTGAGGTAAGTTCTGACTCGTCGTCTGATATACTAGCAATGAGGATGATATGCTGACGTTTACAGAATGTGAGAGGGTCATACCAAACAAACACCCTAACCTAGGGGGGGTGCCATACCGCGCAGTTTCCCCGTAGCGAGCATGCTGCAAGGTGGTCGATTGAATTGTTTCTAGGTACTCGAAACTGCCCATTGACGTTGGGTCCCAGAAGGAATTCATTCATCTGATTACCCTCACATCCTTCACTCATTTCTCCCTACCGTACCGTACCGTACCGTACACCTACCCCGCGCAAACAAACAAACAACACGCACGAGTGATGGAGGGTTACCATCCAAAACCAACTCTTACCTATCTTAGTCCAGGCACCCCTACAGTTTTACCTTCATTCACCACATCACCTCGATAGATAGATAGATAGATAGATCTTATCTTTAACTAACTTCGAGTTCTCGCCAAAAAGGGAAAAAGTTCTCGGTGAAGGTATTGCCCCCCCCCCCCCCCCCCCCCCAATAAAGGGGGTTGTTTCTTGTTAGGATTAGCTAGCATTCTCAAGGAACCTACCCATCAGCCTACCCAGGAGGAAAGGAATAAAACAAAGAACAAAAATACAAAATAATGAAATGAAAAAGCTTACGGTGCCTAATTTTACCTAGTAACTGACAATATGTATGCCGTATAACCTGGTCAGCGAGAGTGTGATAGGTACCATGAAGTGAAGGTTAGATGCTTGATCCACGTACATACATACATACAATGCGCTTGTCCATGTTATATAATACTGTCCTAGGTATACCTACCTCCTAGGTAAGAAGCAAAAGTCCTCTAACCTCTAACCTCTAACCCAAAGGATCTCGCTATAAACAAATATTCCAACACCGGCGCTCAATAGGTACACTAAACCCAACCATGAAAACCCGCCCAGCCACCATCACCACCACAAGCCAACTAAATGCATTACCAAGTACACCGCTTGCAAAAAAGTCCAACCCAGCCTCAGCCTCAAGTCATAAACTCACGTATAAAACCGAAACGTATTGGCCGGATCCTCAAACTCAGACCCCTTGACCGTCCACCTGCCGCCATTGTGCCCAACTTGCACATTTTCCAACACCTCCTGCTTGTAGTGTTCCAGCCACCGATTAGCCTCCTTCAATATGAAGAGCAGAATAACGCCCGCGATGAGCGACAAGACGGCGGTGATGCTGATCCACAGGAACGGTTCTAGTGGCTTTAGGAGTCCGTGCGGGTACTCCTTGGGCTGTATGACGAGGGACGTGCCGATAGCGATGGCGTTCCCGGCGCTGGTGAAGGCGCACGCGAGCGCGATGACCGATGCTCTTTTGGTGCGGTTGAAGGGCTGGCAGCACAGGAGCTGAGAGTAGGCTGCGGGTAGAGTGGCGAACATGCCTGGGAGGGCGAGCGAGAGCATTATGTAGAGGCTCTGTGGATACCTCTTGCTGGGCGGAACGTTTGTATTACTCATTTCGGCTAAAGCAATGGCGATGGCGATGACCATAGAGCCCAGGATGGCACCGAATACTGCCACCACTTGGCCTATTTGAATCATGGCCCAACGCCGAGTTTTGGTCATGTCGACGAAGCCGGCGCTTAAGGCCAAGGCTATGAGGCACAACAGCTAAATATTTGATCAGCTTTGATGTTGCTCCTAGATTTCCCTCATACAATCCACTAGGATTAACTTACGTAGGGCACCACAGAAATACTGTCAATATAAATCTTGTCGCTGATCATGGTATCGGTCAAATCTCGCACGAGACTCAGGGATCCCAGTGTGTGTAGCGGAAATGAAACACAAAAGCATAATATAGCCTTTGGGAGGTGATGGAATTATCAGTAAATGATTCCATACTTTGATCTCGAGAGGGGAGACTCACGAGGATATACATCTTGACGTCTCGAAGAGCCCGGCAGAAACCCACGACAGAATGGAACCACCAAGGTCCTTTATCTTCGTAGTAATTCGGGTGAGCCCATCCATACTCTTCCGCCAAGCGACCCAGCGCAACTTGACGGTTGGTGCAGTTAAGCCACGTAGTGGATTGGGGAACGTTGGGCAATGTTTGACACATTCCCACCGCACCAACAATGGCCGTCAGCCCCGACGCTCTTAGGTAGTACACGTATAGTGTGCGAAGCGCCTCTGGCGGGAAGATGCTTTCAGGAAGAGAAGGATCTGCGAGGACGCCCAAGGTCACGAGCATTCGGGCCGCCGGCCACATAGAAAGAATAAGAGCGATTCGCTTGCCGAGTTCCTCACGGGTGTACCAGCAAGACAGCATGAATAGGAAGCCCGGCTGAGAGAGGCTAGTAAGATTATGTACTGTATGGTTTCTGGAACACCAGGAGGGGCACTTACGAAAAACATCGATTCTGTGATTCCCATGACTACATGGCCAAAGAGAAATGTGCCAGAACTGGAAGTTGTGCTGAGAGCCGTTTGGATTAATCCCCAGACACATAATGACGCGCACAACTAGTGCGCTGGCCTTTTGACCGAGACTAGGGCGAGAGTCGCTGGAACTGCCTTGGTGTTAGCTTTTATATACCGTCAGAATTTTCCAGGTAATTTTATTGACTTACTCTGTGCCACAACAAGGCTGACTGCTCTCGCCAACTCGATTTCCTAGGAATGTGTAAGTTAGATGCCATTGACCTGACATTTCTAGTCTGGAGACAACGAACCTGGTATTGATCTTCGCTGAAGCGTAGAAAGTACCGGAAATATGGCTTGTAGTATGAGAAGAGCAGGTGATCCATATGAACCAACAAAGCTATAGTAGGGTTTACCATCAGCACAAACCGGATCGTAACATGGCACCTACTTGGCACATTCGACAACGCGTGGTGGCTATCAGGGAAACTAACATGCCAAAAGACAGAATGATAGGAGTGATCTATCGATCATTTTGGGCAGCTTTTTCTTTAAAAATTCATATCTATCCCTGTCTATCCCCGGGATATGCAACCCCGGGAGTATGGCCGGGGGTTCGTATGCGGGGGGCGGATCGGGCGGATGGGGATCAATGTCTTCAGCAGGATTCGGTGGCGGAGCGGGTACACCGTCGGATGCGTCGCCGGCTACGTGGCCAGCTACATCTGCGTTTGCATCGATGGGTGCATTGGCGGGTCCATCTGCTGGTGCAGCTTGGGGACTATATGGCGGTGCAGCGGCAGATGTGCCGTCGGCGTTCAAGTCATCCAGCTCTATATCTAATTCTTCGGCTATGGGTACAGTTTGCTGTTGGCCGGGTTGAGGCGGGTGGGCTGGACCAAGAATTTGGAAGAAGCCCGACATGTTGAGCAAGTATGTAGCTAGGTAAAAATAAACATTTAAAAGGGCTATCGAATGGCAGCGATCATCTATGAACAGTATATGATAGAAAGTCGTGAAAAAGATACCCGAAAGTAAACGAATGACTGTTGAAAGTGAGGAACTGAGTAAAATGACGAGTGATGAGAGTGATGAAAGTGATGATAGAGTTACAATACCTACCCTGGGTGAAGGAGATGGAACAGCAGGTACATAGCAACTTTAAGACTCATTGCTAGGCTCAGCGTTCCTTCCGACCTCATTGGTGGTTGGACCCTTGTTATTTCCCTTTTTGGACGTGGGGAATGTACACTCCAATTGCCCAATGATGCACACTCTAGCCCAACTATCAGGTATTGTACTAGGTATTGTACAATACAATACATTATATTTAATTTTCAATGTTAACTTACAACTCCGAGTATTTAATATTCAATGTTAACTTAAATGTTTTTACCTCCCCCACGCTAAATATACAAAAGACAAGATGGGGTAATATCCACCCGCCTATAAACGTGTCAGGTCATGAGAAAGCAGCGTTTGAACTCCAAAACCCCAAGACCCCACGCAGCTACACGATTTATGGGGTTAGTGTAAACCCTCTATGGCGGCGGAATGTCCCCGATATACTCCACCCAGGAGGTCTTTCGGTCTAGACTGCCAGCTATTTTGCTTTCTTCGTGGGGGTTATTCTTACCCCAAAGGCCCAATGCAATGTTTAAGGGGGGCTTTACCGACTGCCCGTTCGTGCTATTCTTACTCTCGGTAAGTACTTTCCTGGGTTACCTACCATTTTATTATTGTCACTTGACTATCTTGTTTTAACGATTGGAGTGAACCCCTTTTCTAAACGACATGAAGTTATTCTTACAACTTGTAGAACGCTCGAGAAGCATTCCACGGCCTTGCCGAAAGAAAAGAAAAGAAAACAAATAACAGGGGATATATTATCATGATAAAAAACCTCGAATCCAGTTGGCTACCCAATAAAATAAATATGTATACTACTACTAGTAGTACTGTTAGAAACTAGAGGTACCTAGGTGGGCAGGTGAAAAGTATGCCACCGCACAGGGGTTAAACGACACACAAATGGCGTTGTTCCTTAGGTACCAGGATCCATCTATTCAGATTGACCGAGTTCGGTTGCTGGAGTCCAAGAACACCTAATACTTACTTACGTTCACTACCCAACCTTAGTAACTAAAACGAGAGGGCCCCATCAACTAAGATCCCATCGCGAATAGCCACGAATTTTCTGCTCCTTACCGAGAACACGCACGATGCAGCTGTCTCCAATGGCCCGGTTTTTGCCTCCCATATCATTAATACCGGGCATCCGCCCCCATGTTGTTCGTTTCGACGCAACAACTTCTTCGTCTCTGGTCAAAAAATATTGAACATGGCCTATGCAAAATACATCGCTCGCATGACCCTTCGCAGCTCTGACACCAGCGACACCTTTCCAGAACGACATGTTCTAGACACCCCGCCAGAGTCCAGCGTGCACCCTGAAGTTGTCAGCAGGGATGATACTCCCGATGATAAGGCCAAGCCTATTAGAAGGCGACCGAGACGCCGCTCCGAGAGCATCGACGGGTACGAGATGAGGGACCGCTATTGGGAGGCCATGGATATCATTGATCGAGACCTAAGAGAAGCTGCCAAGGCGCCAGCAGTCTGGGATTACGTTTACGATCCCATATGCCTCCCGCCATCTGGAAGTGCGAGAACACCAGCTATACGACAACTTGGAGGCCTATCAATTCGAAGAGCCTGGAGGCGGCGCAACAGTCGTGAAAAACCTGATGCGAGCTCAGCCCGCACCGTCGAGGCCATCATGCTGTATGAGAGGGGCATGATGCTCTCCCAGCAGTCGCGGTGTACTTATTGCCAGCGGGGTCAGGGGATCTCGCCCGGATGTGTTGTTATGGATGCTGAATGGGAACCTCGGGAACCTCGGGACCCGAGTATAGCTGGCGGTACTGTGGAGCTGAAGTCAACATGCAGCAACTGCCTGTACGCGGGGCGGACGGAAGAATGCCGCACGCAATTACCCTCCCCGGCACCGAGTCAGCCTTCGCGGACAAACACTCCAACGCCAAATCATCCTTCGAGAACACACACGCCAAGCCAAATGAGGCGGTCCTTCGCCTCAACCCCAGACCACCTGGAAGTACTTGACTTGGTGGAAAAGACGCTGAGAGCGAAGAGGGGAAATGGGGGAAATGACGGCCTCTCCCGGGCAAGACAGATCGAGCTAGCGGCTTTGGAAATCGCACAAGCAGCGCATGAATGGGGGCTAGGGGGTGGGGAGAAGCGCCGAAAGAACATCGACCCGGTAGGAGATTCGACGGATTGACATCGTCTAGATCTGGAATCTAATTATTTGCATCGTTGGTAATACCATCATTATCCTGCCGAAACGAAAAAACGAATGAACGAGCAAGTCCATTCATTCTTACCCTAGAGAATTAAAAAAAAATAACGGAACTAGAAGGGCTTTGGGGAGAGTACTGACGGCATGTTGGTGCACTTCATGCATCCCATGAAGAATCTGATAATGACTAAAACAAATTAATATGTAATATAGCAGCATACTTACTACTTAGGTACCTACCTAACCTTAGATAAGGTACCTATCAAATCGAATTGTACTAGCGGGCTTTGAATAGTTTGGCGCACACCAAGCTTTTTTTTTTGAGGCTATTCAGACCCATATAAATACCCGTTTGGCCCCATACCATGGTGTTGAGACCCACCCACCTGACATGTCACGGGACCTATGTAGGTACGTATTTGGTATCCAGGTAAAGAAGGTACTACATGTAGTAGGTAGGTATTCAAGAGGAGATTTAAAGATTAGAGATTTGAGTAAACACTAGGTTGGGCAGATACCCTACCTAGTATGTAGGTACCTTGATTCGTATAACTTGACTGCGTTTACATACATACCTTGCCAAGTGTAGGTAGGGCTACTATTGACTAGGTAGGTAGGTTAGAGACGTGGGTGGTGGTGTGTAGGTAGGTACAAATCATCAGCAGCAAGGCCACCGGAGGAGGCAAGAGAAGCAGGCCATTTCATACGTATCTAGGTGCAATGTTGCTTGGGTATTTACAGTAATCCCGACTAGGTATCAGCTATATCCTGTATGAACTCTTCCAATCGACTCGACTCGACTCGACCGAGACTCTGATACCAACCAAGCACGGTGAGAAGAAGAATACCTATGCAGGTAGGTAGGTAGGTAGAAGATATACGTTGTCGTATTCTGCGTATCAGGCATGCATTACAACGTCAGTATCTAGATTAAATACACTAAATCGTGCTGTGTGTAAAAACACGTTGTCTAGGTAGGTAGGTAGGCTTGAGACACAGATGCATATCCCACCAGCTCTTCTCCCAGGACATGTTCGAATAACAAGTCGACTGAGTCCCCGAGGTCTGGGAAAGATCCATGGATGCGAGCTGATGCACGATCGATCTAGGTCGCAAGTAAAGTCCCAGATCACCCTTCACCCAACCTAGAAACTAGAAAGTCCTCCTCTGTTCCAAGTCAATGTCACTCAGGTACTGAGCTATACAATATATCTTCCAACATGCGTCTCACGTTACCCAATCGCGTTCTGCCTAAGTACCTACCTATCTACCTACCTACCCGCGCCATTCCGGCAGCCGAACACGACATCAAGGAACTCCCCAAGATCTCCTAGATTTCGGCGAATGGCGTGATCTAGAAGGACCCCAAAAACACGCCGGTGATCCCACGCGCGATATTAATCAGAGATAAGAGACATGCCGCGCCGGTGGTCGCGACCGACGGCGGGCATTACCTTACCTACTCTACCGGCCGTTCTAGGTCGCTCAATTGGTTGCACCCCGAGGAGCCAGAATTCAGGGGGGCTTCGGCTAAAATCAGGCAAGCTACTACCTACCTAGTACCTACGCTCGTACTTTTGCTCAGGGTACCTAGGTAGGTAGCGACCCTGAAGATCTCCAACGCAACCCAAGAAAAAGTGTCTAGGCAGATATCAAACTTTTGATCTGTAGGTATATTTCCCGGCCAGTTGGATCTTCCGGCAGGGATGCCACGCGTACGCGCGTTCATTGTCTAGATTGGTGTGCGGAGATCTATCTCATCGGGACTCTAGATGAGCAGATGAGATGAGATCAGTGTGCGTATAAGACGTGCTTCGTTGGCTCCTCGAAACTGCCAGCGTGTTCTTGGGCTCTCTACGACACGCAATACTACCACGCTTTTTATCAACATCATCAACATGTTCGGCACCAAGTCAGCCATCACTCTCGTTCTCCTCGCCGCCACGGCGGTCTGGTCAGCAGTATCACCGGACGAAACCTGCGGCAACGACGGCGCCGGCGCAAAGAAGGGCTACACGTGTCCCAGCGCGATAAAGTGCTGCTCGCCCAACGGCTACTGCGGCGCGACCGACGAGTACTGCCTGAAGACCGTGGGCTGCCAGAGCAAGTACTCGAACTCGACCTCCGCCTGCATCGATCCCGTCGATAAGGTTTCCATCTCTCCCGATGGCACCTGTGGAGAAGATGGTGTTGGTGAATATGGCTACCGGTGTCCCTCGGGTGGGAACCAGGCTTGCTGCTCGCTCTCGTGCGTCCACCTTTTCCTCTTTTTCTTCTATACCTGAACGAGTTTCGCTAACGTGAGTAACCTATAGTGGCTACTGTGGAAGCACTGACGACCACTGCCTGGCGGCGAGTGGCTGCCAAGCTGACTATGGAGAGTGCAAATGATTTGACTATGGCATGACTCTGGTGGGCGCCCACTAGGTCAGATGATACCAATTGATAAAATTTTCTGTTAATTGGAGATAACTTAAGTTGGAAGAGGGTAGGCAAAATACAACACTTGTCAGAGCTGGATAGCCACGGTTCAATATTGTAGGCAGGACATTGTTTAAAGACCCGGACAGGGAAAGGTGAAAAGGGGGGCGGGGCAAAACCCTGAATAACTAAACCAACTACCTACTGTCATTGGCTTATGGATATAAAATCTGATGTTAAACTGGTCATGTTCAATGATGTCTTTGAAATAAGAAATAATAATGAATTTGAATACTAGGTAATGATAATCAGAATGAGCCCGGTACATGCTTACCTAGGTAGGTCCTAACTATAGGTAGGTAGTAATGCTTGCGCCCTATACAAGAGACACCATACAAAACGAAACTAGTGAACAGAGGGGATCTTGGCTTGTGGGATAATTAGCCGATTGCGGAGTTTGGGTAACTTTACCTAGGTGGGTAGTATTCACCTCGAGAAATTTGAGCAAAAGCAATATCGTGAAACCAAGAAAAGACGCTGTTTCTGTGCCTTCGATATTACTGACGAACCTGAGTTACCTATGGTATTGGTGTCTTGCGATAAAATGGCAGCCTTATTCTACAACGGGCGTTTCTTCCAGTCCGGAGCAAAGGGCGAGGCCCACTCGTTTGCGGACTCGGTGCTTGTGGATGGCACCGGTAAGATTATTCACGTGGGAAGTGCCAATGATGAACAAGTAAAGGATACCGAGATCGTCAAGCACGATATGCATGGCCGTATAGTCTTACCGGGTTTTATTGATGGACATATGCATTTTCTGATGCTGGGGATGGCCCTCAAGAAGGCGGGTCTGGAAGCATGCAAGAACCTGCAAGACATCCGACGGACCATCAAAGAATTCGCAGTGGCGCACCCCAACGTAGCTAGAATTATGTGCAAAGGGTGGATGCACTTCATGACGGACGGGGAGGCGTTGGCAAGCATGTTAGACGATCTGGACCCTAGGCCCATCTTTATCGACTCCAAGGACTTGCACTCGACCTGGTGCAATACCGCTGCACTGGAAGAGATGGGCGTGCAGGACATGCCTGACCCGGAAGGCGGAAAGATATTTCGCGATGAAAATGGCAAGCCGACGGGGCTCTTGTCTGAAGCAGCAGCGGTTAATATCGCTTGGCCACATGTCGGGAAAGTCATGCCGATGGAGGAGAAATTAGCAGCGTTGAAAGGGGCAGTGGATGCTTACCATGCATCGGGCTACACAGGACTAGTAGAGATGGCAATGGACGAGAATGCATGGGAAGCTCTGCAAATCCTTCGAGAAAAAGAAAAATTGCCCATCCGAATTGCGGTTCATTGGCTTGTAACTCCACGGAAAACTGAAGCAGAAAACCTCGCTCAGGTCGATCGCGCAATCGAGCTTAGCAGCCAATTCAACGCCGATACAAGTCCGAACTGTCGTGTCGTAGGCATCAAAATCATCGGTGACGGGATTATTGATGGCTGTACCGCCGGACTCTCTGAACCCTACTCTTCCAACGGGACTACGGGCGACCCGTTCTGGTCCCTGGCAGAGCTTGGTCCTGTAGTCAAGAAAGTTGATACTGCAGGATTGCAATGCGCGATACACGCAATAGGCGATAAAACCGTGAAAGTCGCGATTGACGCGCTGGAGCAAAATGCGACACCCGGCCGCAGACATCGAATCGAACACCTTGAGCTCACAATGCCCGAAGACGCTGCGCGGTTAGGCAAATTGGGCATCACCGCATCCATACAGCCAGTGCATGCCGACCCGGCAATCCTCCGTGCCTGGCCGAAACTTCTTGGTTCCTCCCGCTGCAAGCGCGCATTCGCATACAAGGACTTTGCCGACGGGGGTGCCGTATTAGCATTGGGATCCGACGCCCCCACGGCACCCCACGCGCCCCTGAAGAACATCTACACGGCGACGACAAGGCGCTCGGCCAGGGAACCGGAGCTGACGGACCGGATGAACCCGAACTTTGCCCTAGAACTGGCGGCAGCTATCACGGCAGGCACGGAGGGGTCTGCGTATAGTTGCTTCGCAGACCACTGGGCTGGTACGTTGGAAGTTGGGAAAGCGGCAGATTTTGCTGTAGTAGACATGGAGTGGGATGCGGATAAACTCCTAGATGCTACAGTTGTACAAACTTGGTTCTCGGGAGAAAAAGTATTCGATGCTCAACATTGAGTGCGTACCTAACCTAGTACATACCTGCGTAGCCTAAGGTTGGCAGATAGGTAGCTTGCATACCTATGTAAATGTCCAATAGGGCTGTCACGAATTGATTGAAGTAACGGACGCATGACCCCAGTCTGCCAATATTGGCCGAGCCGACTTGGCTCAGCTTCACCGCCACCAGCGGAGATATCTCATGGATCTTGGATCTCGCATTGGTCGCGTGTTCTTATTCTTGGCTTCGACTACATACACCGGGCCGCGGTAATCGTATCTAAAGACCAATTATAGAACGTAGTGGCTGATTAGGGGGGGAAAGAATGATTCGAAGAACTTCCTGGATGGCTGATCATAAAGATAGATTCCACCGATATCATGCACATGTGAATGCGAATGTGACTATAGGCTTTTTTGTAAGACACGCTCGCTTAACATGATCCGAGGGAAGATTCCGTAGATAGGCGACGAAGGAATCGGGGCTCGATCGGAGCGGGTTGGCCCCTCATACCCCTTTTTCGGATTCTAGTGGAGATTGTAGCACCGAAAGATCATGTTAAGGTGTCCTAGTTGGGGACATATGTACATGTATGCAAATAACTATAGCACTCTTCTGGAATCGTTACTTTTTGAGCGAATGATTGATCGAGCTAATTGGACAAGTAGGTAGATAGGCATAGAATTGAAATATAACATAATATGAATGATGATGAGCCATTGATGGAATGCTGAAGCACATGTTGACGCACATGTTATGTTTGTTCTTTTTGTCGGAGGCGCAGCAAGTCAACGGCGTAAGAATAATTCGGATGGGAGAAATAGGTGGGGAAGGATGCCGAGGGTGCCGGGGGCGGCGTTCGCAAGGACCGAACCGGGACCAATCGTGCGAGGGACGGGTATGACGGTCTACTATGACCAGGACTATTGTATGAAATTGTATCAGAATATGTACACGTGAACACCTATGTAGGTGGCTACTGCTTCTAACTACTACCTACTAACTAGTAGTAGACGTTCCCTGTTAAGTCCATCGCACCTTCTTGCTCTTCTACTAAGTATACACGTATATCCATATGTACTAGGTAATATGTACAGTACATACCCAGAAGTATTCCTCCCAAGACTCCAACCATGACTTCCATGTTCTTGGGTCTTCTTGGCTTTCCCTAACAAGTAAAGTGTCGCCTCATTATATCCACCTGCCGAGCAATAGACTTGCAGGGTCTTCCCAGACAAGTATCAAAAATGCTAAAAGGGAAGAAGATTTGACAAGGATGAAGAAGCTTCCTCTTGTCATTTCTAACGCCATTTCTACTTCCATTTCTGTACTTGGACAGGTCGGAGCATTGACATCTGCACTTATCTTCCGCGTCTTACCATCTTCCCATCATCAAGCCAATCATCTATTATCTAGGCCTCTCTACCAAGTATCCTAGTAACTAACCTGCCTGTTAACTTAACATACCATCTCCATGCTTCCGTTACCCATCACTCCGTTTGTTTGGAAAGCCAATCGTCGTTATTCTTCTTCCGCCATTCCCTGTTCTGTTATGCACTCTTCCAATAGCATATGACGAGGCCTAGACGCCAATCAATGCCTACCATACCGATACTATGCCCAATCCGCCTCACTTGTGTCCAGTGCCCCCCCTTGGCGCATCTTACATTACTATGTAGTAGGAACTACATGGACACTGCACAATGGACGAACTCGGCGGGGTAGACGAGGGTCAGTACGTCGTATTATATCTACCTCGTCCCCCCCACGATCTCGTCTCGGCTCCGACCTTTTTAGACCCTATTCTTTTTACGGATTCTTCAATCCATATCAGCAGTTACTAGCTACTAACCAACACTTGAATGGGTATAGAGGACCAACTTGTTGTCGAGGAGTCGACTGAACCTCCTATATGTGGCCACGCCCATGCCGTACACGATTCTTTGCCTGGGCACAACGACCAGGGCACATCAACTACAACTACCGCTGCCATTCCTCCTACCACTAGCAGTGTAACTGGTTCACCAAACCCAGCTCCTAGTGAGAAGGCCGCCTCGTCTCTCGCAGATGAAGGCTATATTGAGCCACACACCCTAACAGTTGAGGATCTAGAGCAGCGTCTCAAGACCGACGTTCAAAATGGCCTCGACGGTGGTGAGGCAGCTCGTCGCCTACAGGAAGATGGACCAAACAAAGTTGAGGGAGCTCAAGGGCTATCCATGTGGAAGATTCTCCTAAGACAGGTCTCCAACAGCTTAACTATGGTCCTCATCCTCGTTATGGCTCTCTCATTCGCCATTAACGACTACATCGAAGGTGGTGTTATTGCCGCCGTCATCTTACTCAACATTGTTGTAGGGTACGTCGAATATTATGTCCCTAGATTTGTTACCAGTACTAGCGAATAAAGGGTATCGCGTGCTTGTGCTTATGCTAAGCTAATTATCAACAGCTTCGTCCAAGATTACCGCGCAGAACAGACCATCCAATCTCTCTACGCACTATCTGCCCCGACATGCAAGATTATGCGTTCGGGGCAGATAACCACTATCAGGGCTGAATCGCTAGTAAAAGGCGATGTCGTTCTCCTTAACGTCGGTGACATTGTTCCGGCAGATCTTCGATTTGTCGACGGACTAAACTTGTCTACCGATGAAGCTTTGCTTACTGGAGAGTCGCTACCCATCAGCAAACATCCATCTATTATCCTAAACGAGGTCGAGGTTCCTCTTGGTGATCGTGTCAACATGCTATATTCCGCGAGTACTATCACTCGTGGGCGAGGCAAGGGCATCGTTGTTGCCACGGGAATGAAAACCGAAGTGGGAAAGATTGCTCAACTACTGCGAGCAAATCCCAACTCAAGTGAAGATTTGTCCCTAATGGGGGCATACTGGAAGCGCTTCAAGGCTAATACGCGCAGCATTCTTGGATTGGAGGGCACACCCCTTCAAGTCAAGTTGAGCAAGTTTGCTTTAGTCCTTTTCGCCCTTGCAATTCTACTCGCCGTCATCGTATTCTCTGCTAGTCTCTGGAACATTGACGACGAGGTTCTCATCTACGGTATATGTGTGGGCGTTGCGGTCATTCCTGAGTCTCTCATTGCTGTCCTAACCATTAGTATGGCGGTTGGGACGAAGGCTATGGCGAAAGGCAACGTAATCGTGAGAAATCTTTCAGCTCTAGAGGCCGTTGGAGGAGTAACCAATATCTGCTCCGACAAAACGGGTACCTTGACGCAAGGAAAAATGATCACGAGGAAAGTCTGGCTCAAGAACGGGTCCGCCGCTACCGTCGAAGCTTCCACTCATCCCTTCGACCCCTCCAGCGGCGTTGTCACTTGGAACGATGAGCCATCTAAGCCCCAAGACTCCATAACGTGCATCTCTCGACTACCACCTTATGCAAAGAAATTTGTTGAGTGTTTATCACTTTGCAACAATGCTACGGTGACAGATGGGAAATCGGCACCGACTGACGACGCCGCCGAAACATCAACCACTTCTACGGTTACGGCCTCTAACTGGACTGCTGTGGGTGAGCCTACCGAGATTGCTCTCCAAGTCTTCGCAATGCGTTTTGGCATGAGCAGGACCTCGGTGTCTCAGACTAACGATTTACATCTAATGGCGGAGCATCCCTTTGACTCTTCATTCAAGCGTATGACTGTCGTATATGCATCTCGAAGCTCTAGCGAGGCTGATGTTTATACCAAGGGCGCGCTGGAAGCTGTGCTTCCATTGGTAGATGCATCCGACGAAGAAAAAGCCGAATTCATCGCCAAGGCCGAGTCGATTGCTGCTGAAGGCCTCCGAGTACTCTGTGTTGCCCACAAAACCGTTAAGAATGAAGTTGGTCTCAGAGATGTCCGTGAAGCTGCTGAAAGTCACCTGACACTTTTAGGTCTTGCTGGCCTATACGATCCTCCTAGACTTGAGACGGCGGACGCGGTAAAAAGGTGTAAGATTGCGGGTATATCTGTCCACATGCTTACTGGCGATCATATCAAGACAGCAACAGCAATTGCACGTGAAGTCGGCATCCTCGGAAATGACCTCACTACTGCTGAGGCAGCCAATGCCACCATGCCTGCGGCTGTCTTCGATGCCCTGACTGACTCTGAGGTTGACCAGTTGGAGAAACTCCCACTGGTATTAGCTCGCTGTAGCCCGTCAACGAAAGTGCGCATGGTCGAAGCAATGCATCGCCGTAAAGCATTTTGCGTTATGACTGGGGACGGTGTCAACGATTCGCCTGCCTTGAAAAAGGCAGATGTTGGCATCGCCATGGGTCTCAATGGCAGTGATGTAGCCAAGGAGGCTGCCGACATGGTTCTCACTGACGACAACTTTGCTTCCATTGTAACTGCCGTCGAAGAAGGAAGACGTCTGTTTGATAATATTCAAAAGGTAAAGTTTCTTATTCCCTTCCTAAACTTGAGGAAGCACTATTGACCAGATTATATGCATATGCAGTTTTTACTTCATCTTCTGGTCTCCAATATTGCTCAGGTAATTCTCCTGCTTATTGGTCTCGCGTTCAAGGATGATGAAAATAAATCGATATTTCCGCTATCACCCATCGAAATTTTATGGGCAAACTTGATCACATCATCCTTCTTAGCCCTTGGCCTGGGCCTAGAGGAGGCTCAACCAGACATCATGCTACGGCCACCACATGACCTCAGTATTGGTATCTTCACGAAAGAGATTATCATTGACAAGATGGCGTATGGCTTCTTCATGGGCGGTCTGTGTATTGCCGCGTTTACCTCGGTCATATATACGCCCATGGAAGATATCTACGATGAGCCACTAATCTACAGTACGTTAGGGTACAATTGCAACGAAGAGTACAATCCATCCTGCAGTAATGTTTTCCGGGCTCGAGCTACAACGTATGCCACCCTCAGCTTCCTCTTACTCGTCACGGCATGGGAGGTCAAGCACTTCACTCGCTCCCTTTTCAACATGTATCCAGAAATGTACACCGGTCCTTTCTCAGTGTTCAAAACGGTCTGGCGAAACAAGTTCCTCTTTGGGGCAGTGCTTGGTGGCTTCGTTATCACATTTCCAGTCATATACCTACCCGTCATCAACAAGATCGTATTCAAACACGAAGCTATCGGTATAGAGTGGGCTGTGGTAGGCGCATGTGTTATAGTGTACATTGCCCTAGTGGAGACGTGGAAGGCTGGGAAGCGGCGATTTGGTAAAGGTACCATCGTCCATGGTCAAGTTGCTGCTAGCAGTGCTTAGGCGCCATACATAGGTATCTACTTAGGTAGGTAGTAACTATATGAGTGCTTCTTAGGAGTTCCTCCGAAGCAGTCATGAGTTTGCCAGTGGTCGGATTTGGTCAGATCCAAGGAAGTCTGGAATAGGCAAATAAAAAAGGAGGGCATGGATCTTCTTGTTGTTTTCTTCGTTTCCCAGTCTTCACTCAAGTTATCACGTTAAGTGCGGGAGATTGCGGTGGAATTTTCCCTGGTACAAAACAGGATGTATTCGTTTAACAGTTGCAGTTTGGGGTGTTGGATACTTCACATATGAACCAACTAAGTACCGCATGATGGTTACAAGTTTAGGTGTCGAGGAGCCATTACTATCATTAACATCCATAGCTATACGATATACTTAGCAAATATTAACTATATTCATTCCTTATACATAGACAATTAGTATGATTGTTGGTTGTGGTATGGAAATCGTGAGACCGTTTTTGTTCACGAACTAAGCTTTTAGGCAAGCAATGCCAACTACACATGTCACAAGGCGCAAACTAGAAGACGTAGAAGTTAGAATACCATCGTTGTTGCGCGGGGATCTCTTAACATATCCCTGAAGACTATGGAAGCTATCTATACATGTAAATCGTCTTTGTTCTATCTAATCATTCTAATCCTCCTCCCTTCTCTGTAGACCCCTTGTACACCCTTGTCAATACATGTTTGTCTGTTATGTTTGCATCCGATATGCCGATATAAACGAGAGGACATTCAATGAGCGATCAATCAATCATTCACCCTTTTGGCGTAGGTATTGGTAAAAAATGTTGACAGTAGGTACAGTTTGTCAGGGAATCCAGGAAAACAGATGATAGGTACCTAGTAGGTTTTTGCTTGTGTGGTTGGCGGTGGGAAAGCAAAAGAAAAGGGGGGGGTTATGTAGGTGGGTATCTTGACTCGCGACGGAACCCGGCCACGGCAGTGCTTTGGATAATCAACTTTGGGGGTTGGGACCCGTAGGTAACTAGGTACCATGGAGCGAAAACCATAGATAGGTACCTACCCAGGTGTGTCGATGAAATGTCCAAGGGCTTCTGATACGGCCGAAGGTATTCGTTGCCGCGGTGTGGGCGGGTATAGGGAGGGGAGGGAGTATGTTCAGGGTCAGAGTGTGTGAGAGAGAGGAGATCATTTGCGTGGTGCCGGTGTGAGCGATCGCTTCGTGGGCTCACATCGGCGTCACGCGGTATCGCGATAATGATCAAGAGTGTTGTTGTAGTGCCTAGGTACTAGGTTACCAGCAGCAACGTGTTTCGCAGGCTGCTGCTGCTGCCGCTTCCTACCTACCTACGCCGAGAAAGATTGGCGGGAAGGAGGTTCTTGTCTCGGTATGGTATAGATGTGGATGGTTGATCTGGCGGAGGCGGACGTGTCGTTTCTTGTCACCCGTACAGATGGCGCAGTTGGCAGAAAGACTAACAGATCAGCGACCAGGGGCGGGTGAGAACAGCAAGCAGCACGGCAAATACGCCTAGGTATCTCGAATTGAAGCGCTCGCCGCATAGCGGCTTTCTCGACACGCTCCCCCCAATGGTCATGCTGTCAAGGACGCCAAAGGAAGCCTAGGGCGATGGCAAACCCCAGGCTAACCTAAGCTGTGCCCGCTATGACTTATGACTAAAACCAACTGAGTGAGATGCGGCTTTCCAGTCAAAAAACCGCGGCGCACACGGCCGCGGTCTTGTGGTGGCTATGGAAGCGGGTCCCGACGATAGAGTTCGGTATCGATGTCGGCGCCGAGACGAGACCAGACCAGACCACTGATGGTGCTGTTGAGGATGTCCACGCCACCCCCTCAGCTTCTGATGCCGAGGGTTGGTGATAGGTATAGGGAAGCACAAGCCAACGGACCCATTTCAGCCGCTTGGGTGGGTATTTGCAACGGGCTCCCTACGAGGCCAACGCCAGTAGGTAAGCCACCGAAGTTCGTAGTGGGACTTTCGACGCGACACGCTTGTTGGGGAATCAGAATAGTGTCTTACTCAAGGATTGAGAAAGCCCGACAGCCCCCAAGAGTGTGGGAGCTTGGCTGGCCTTGGCCACGGCCACCAGCCGACCACCACCGCTGTTGGGGTGGTCTTGTTTCTGCAACAGAGAGGCCCCGGAACTCCCTGGTTAGTGTAAGGACTCGATCGATGATTCCCAGTAGGAAATATCGGCTGAGCGTACCTAGGCACATGTGCATCGCCGCCGGCGTCCGAGCCAGGAATCTCGTCGTGCTCGATGCGCGACGGTTCCGGGCTCAATCGATAGCTGCTCTGAGAACGGCAACGGTGATGGCAACCGAGCAAGCCCAAAAATCAATCAATCAACCAACCGAGCAGCTAGCTGTAGAGATCAACGAGGTGCCGACAGTTGAGGTGAGGTCATCGAGTGACCCGCGTAGGGTAGGCATCCGGACCGCGGCAAGAGCAAGCCGCGGTCGCGGTGTTGGGTATGGATTGTTGGTTAGATGGATGCCGAGACCGCGGACGTGGATGTCCACGGTCTCGGCGCCGGGGTGACCATCGACGAGATGCTGGCCCATCTCGCCGCCGAGAGGCTGTCGATGAGGCTTTCGACGCTGCTCTCTCGGCCTCCGAATCCTCGGGTGCTGCGGAGTGGTTGTGGGGGGGGGGGGGGGGGGGGGCGACTGTGGAGGGTTGCTGCTTTCAGCTAACCCCCCACAGTGTCTGAGGTCTTCGTTTGCGTAGCCAAGATCTCTGCGTGATTGTTGAATCCGGCTTTGGGCACGTTCTTTAGAACTTCGAAAGCTATGTTGCCAACCCCCGAGCCGCACCCGCCATGATTAGGAGGTGGCGTTTAGCTCTATACCGCGGTAGGTCGCGGTCGCGTGGTCGGGAGGCCGTCAATGAGATGGTGTGGAATGTCGACGCTGAGACCGCCGGTGTAGATGTCGACGGACTCGACGCCGGGAGGCTGTGGGTGGGAGTGTTGAGGCTCTCGACGCTACTCTCTCGGCCTCCGAATCCTCGCATGTTGCGGGTAGGCCGAGAGGCGGCTGATTTGGGCCGTGGCGGGATGTCGCTTTCAGCTAACGCCTCATCATGCTAGAGTCCTCCGCATGCGTTGCTAGAGGTTCATCGTAGTACTCCCCAGGAAATGGGTCAACTTACTTTAAGAAACCCTTGGAAGACCTGCCTAAGTACATAGGTATGTCGAACCTTAGGCCGCGCCCCGCCGTAACTTGGACGTATCTCCCAGTCCAGAACCGCGGTATGTTGCGGTCGCGTGGTCGGGAGGCCGTCGAAGGGGTTGTTGATAGTTCGACATCCAGCGGGTGTCGATGACTCGATTAAGCATGTCAACGCTTCCCGTGCATCCGGCTGCTCAGGTAGAGCGGATGCACGGGAAGCGTCGCGATGCGAGTTACTCCCCGTAAACCGGATTGCTTTGCGTTCGCAGCTAGGCTCTCCATGTAGGCAACTGTTAAGAAGGGACGTAGACATCTTGAATGCTTGGGTCAGTGACGTAGCAAGCCAAAGGCAGGTGAGGCCTCCGGGCCAAACCGCGACATACCGCGGTCGCGTGATGGTCGAGACAGTCTATGGTTCTGCTAAGCGTTTCAGGACCAAGACCGTTGATAGAGCAGACGAGCGCCCCGACGCTTCATGCATGCCACTTGCAGGCCTGACGGCCGCGGACCGGTCAGGGGCCGTCGGAATTGGAAATGCGAGGTTATTTATTTGCTTCGCAACCCTTTTGTTAATACCAGAGGCCTGTGCGTGAGCAGCTATGTTGAGCCCATCTACAGCATGCTTTAAAGTGATGATGCTCTTCGTCGTTTGTTGGGTTGCCTGGATGATTGCTGTTGTTGTTGGGTAGAGGCCGGCGGATTGGAGGTGCGTGATGGTGGCTTGCAAGCATGGACGTCTCGCATGCTCGCTGCTGTCCTGGCACGCGGCAGAAGGGGGAGGGGGAGGAGCCGTCCATGCCTTCGGGATCTCGGTCTTTGTTGTGACCCTGTGTGAGTTTGATTTTGTCGAGGGGACCGCGGAGGGCCGCCATGGCAAGATCGATTGTTGTCGATCGGATTGCCTGGGCGATTTCTGGATTGGGGATAGGTTAGTAATGAACTATAATGTGAAAATCAGGTAGTAGTAGTGGGTGATTGTAAGTACTTACCGATGAACCCCTCAGGCAACGCCATGCTCCTGAGCTCCATGCCGTCGACGTCGACCAGCTCGCCCAACTCATTGACCTCTGTGCTGACAATGAGGGCGTCAGCCATGTTGCAGAAGAGCTCGCTGTCGCCCAACGTCCAGGCGACAAAGAGAGCCTTGTGGCAGAGGTTGTATGGCGCGGTGATACGGTACTCGGACAATCCCTTCATCCACTTATCAGCCCACGGGTAGATGAGGTGAGTGCACTTGTACTGGGAGACGACAAGTGCAATCTCGTATAGTTCATCGAGGCTGAGTGTGTCCGGTATACGGTTGAACTGGTAGTGGACGATGCTGAACAGGGTGTTCAGGGCAGCGTAGTCGCCATCGACGTACATCATGCCCTCACGCACGCCGCCGTGGTCCTGAGTGCACACGTTTCCGTATACCATGACCCGCCGCACAGGTGAAGCTGAGGCGAGGTTCGCCGACAGCACCTTGGACATGATGGTATGTCCCGCGGGGGTCTGGATAGGGACAATAACGTGGCAGTTATCATATGTGGGATTGAGCAAGTACTAACCGAGATCTCTCCATCGGCAGCAGCTTCGCGAGGAAGAGCCCCGACAGAAGGAGTCTGTATGATAGTCTTTTGTGGCGTTTCAATGCCGGAAAAAGAATCAATACCGGAGAGCTGATCCATGTTAACGTTGTCGAAGAATGTAGTGCTTGCAATGGTGTCAGCCGCAGCATCGACGGGGCCAACGACGATCGCGGTATTGCCCATCTGGGTTTCGGCAGCCGCCGCAGTAGAGCGTGCGACGGTCATGTTATCCGATACCGGAGAAGAGGAGTCGGCGAATTGGCAAAGTAGGGGGGAGGAATGCGGGAGTTTATCCATGTTGACTCGAGTACAGTCGATCTTGCGTTCCAGTGTACTCTCACTCTCATGCTCACATCCACGCTCACGTCCACGCTCATGGTGACGCTCATGAGAGACAACCTCAGAAGACGAAGGCATTGTAGGAGATGGTGTCTTGCAATGGGTGTGCCAGAGGGGATTGAGAGTGTGGTGTGGAATATTACAACAGTAGTCAGGGCCGACCTTGCTGATCCTAGCGGCGTCCAATGTTGGGGTCTTTCATGAAATCCCTTAACGTGGACGAGAAGTGTGTGTCCGAATGTGAGGGTTTTTCACATAGGATAGAGCAGAAGGATAAGATCGGAGTAGGGCAGGGTAAACAAGAGGGTATGAGGGTAAGCGGGTGTAGAGAGTAGAAGGCCAATATGGCGTGTAGAAGAACAAGAGAATTGACGATCCAAGCGTGGGTGTGAAGGTATTTCAAGAAATACATGAATAAGTATTAATGTGAAATAGATATCCGAACGTGAAGATGCGTCGGGTGGTAGAACATAGAAAGGTAGAGTAAAGTAGGGTAGGGTAGGGTAAACAAGAGGTAGAAGAGTGTAAGGCGTCAAAGGTGTTTGCAAATCTTTTTTGAAAATTCACAATCTAGAGGGGAATGTGAAATACAAGAATACCCTTCAAATAATAATAATAATATTTGGCAGTTGTAGTGGATTTGTAGTAGAAGAAGAAGGCGGTTCCAAGTGTTGTTGGGTAGGTGTATTGGAGAAGTAAACAAGGAAAAGCGTTGTATGAAACGGAACCGCAAAAATAACTAAAATAAATAAATAAGTGAACGTTGCGGATGGAGTGGAGGGAAAGAAGAAAGGTTGATGACGGGTAGGATCAGAAAAATATTTGTTTATATACTCGCCACCGGCAGGACAGACGAGTGGTGCCTGAGGGATGAGAGACGCCTGAGGCACAAGCGGTGCCTAAGGATACAGACAGATACAGCTGTAGCGATGGATAGGATCAGACAGTTTGTATACTCTCCGCCGGCGGGACAGACGAGTGATGCCTGAGGAACAAGAGATGCCTGAGGATACAGACAGATACAGCTGTAGCGGCGGGTAGGATTAGATAGACATTTGCTTATATACTCTCCACCGACTAGACAAACGAATAATGCCTCAGGGACAAGTGATGCCTGAGGAACAAGAGATGCCTGAGGATACATACAGATACAGCTACAGTGCGTATAGGCCGTACAATAGACTCTCTGTACCTATCCAAGTACTAGCAATGGTAGGCAACCTTGGAGCCTTAGAAGCTTCTGTGCCTAAGGTTGCGTGGGAAAATGCCCCTATCTCCACGAGTACCGTCAGGGGAGGGCACGGTAGACATCTACCTCGACGCCGGAGCCAGTCAAGTAGTGAATGAAACACTGTCTACCTAGGTAGACACACACACACACTCCTATATACTCTGTGAACGACATTATTGGTCTACCCAACTTACACCTTGCCGACAGAGGGCTTGGGGTTCTTACATTTGATATCAATTTGGAAGATACGGATCTATATGCATAAAATATTATGTACTTGGGCAGATAACCAGTATACATCTACTCTGGGACACTACGTGATACGTCCTTACTGGCCTGGAATTGTATATATCTACTGTCTAGGGATATGGACTCAAGGCATGACAGGTGACGCATGATGTGTGAATGGATTCAACAAAGGGCACCCGGGCTTATGTTAAAGTAGTGCGCGTTCTGAATTCATCATAGTAGCAGCTGAAGCTAAGTAGGTTCCTAGTAGGTACCTTCTCTATGATACACGAAGATCAATATCCACAAGACTCAGCTGGGGCTTTCCCAACCCTTACTCTGCATGTTGTACTCCTGATTGAGTCCTGATGAGGCCCTCGTCGCGAAATCTTTTGAAATCAGTCTATGTCCGCCTGAAAACCACCAACCTGTATATTTCAGATAAAGTGAAGACCGAAGACGCCATAGCAAGTAAAGACAAGACCGAGCAGCAGACCGAGCAGCAAGAAAAAGATGATTGCCTTGCCTTGCCAAGCCTCCCCCACTTCGGCAAGGCAATATAAAAATAGGAGAGCATCCACGATTATTCCACGACTGTGTTTAATTATGGCGTAGTGCCCTCTCCCTCTCCCAGAATACGTGCAATTAGCACGTAAACAAAGATGACACCTCCAAAGACCAGCAGCTTGTTGTGGCTTAGCCATCCTGTACCGGCATCTCTTTGTTGAACAACGGCATCGACAACGGCTTGGGTTTGACCACCGCTGCTACCGGCGATGCCTAGCTGTGGTCCACAAGAGTTACCTCCATTTCTAGCGCCTGTAGCCGCATCGACATTATTCTCCGTCATCCAGTGCCAGTTCTCCTGGTCGATCTCTGGCCACTCGGATCTGAACTTGGCACCACCATCTCCGACCTTCACGTTTCCTTTCTGTGCTGGGTTCTTGCCGTGTGAGCCACCTCCCGTCGAGTTCCACCACCGGGATCGTGCTGCGAATATTCTACGCTCATGAGCTGTGGCCGAAACTGAGCCAGTTGTCATTTCTTCCGATGTCATGAACGATAGCAGGCCAATCAAAATCGTCGAGACCTCCCATGCTGGATTGAATGAACGTGGGTGGAAGTCGGAAATGGAAAGGCAGAGTCGCGTTGATGGTTGGAAACGGCCAGACGGCGTGTGCATTCGAATAGCGGGAGGCGCAAAGGGATAGTTGGGAGGAAAGATTAGAGTTCCCCAGTATTGACCATTATGATAGGGGGTGTCCTCGGGACCGGTGATTATGTAGTGCCACCTAATTCAGTCAGTCATGCGAAAGGTAGCGGAAGGTAGCGGATAGTAGCGAGAACAAGGGGACGCACTCAAGAATGTTAGATTCCGATGGGTGAGCACTGATATATGGAGGAGGGTTTTCCGATATGGTCTTGTACTCTCGAGCCAACTAGATAGGAGTTAATATGTATATGTAAGTCATGCAGTATGCTTCTTAAACAATAGGAATCAGATACATACACGTTTGCTTGCCTGCTTGCTAGCCATGACGTCTTCAGTTGGTTATTATCGTGGTTTGCTGTGAGGGTATGGGGGGTATCTCGAAAAGGAATGGTGCCACGATAGCGCGTCGTTTTATGGTTGCTTTTAAGTATGAGGTAATGAACAAGATTAATTGTATGGATGATGTTCAGAAGGTAACGAAGGAATAAAAAAAGAAAAAGAAAAAGTAATAAAAAGGTTGAGTGCTAATCGCTACCAGAGGCGATCGCGTAGGAGTGATTTGGGAAAGGAGGGGAGGGTTGGGGATAGTTGGTTGGTTGTAGTAAGGCGAATGAGGCTGATGATGATGATGATGAGAGGGAAGACTCGGGAAAGAAAAGAGAGTGAGTGCAGTAAATTGAGTGAGTGCACTGAGAGAGACTAAGAGAGACAGGCTGACAGGTCAATGGGTCTAGTTAAACTCCAGTGCACAAGTACCACTGTATTGTAAGCCGATAACGCCGATAAGGACAACTTCGCCTGAACCTTGACCGTTAGCGTCGGGTCTAACGCCACACTTGCCTACTAATCAATGCTTATATCATCCATGGATATGACGAATTACATGTAGGTTCAATGCTACGTACCAGTACGATGTTCCGTTAAATTTTAATCCGTACAAAAGTCAAAGACATTAGTTACACAGTACAAAGTACTTAGACAAAGTACTTACCTAACTAGTAGATACTAAACCTTAGGTACCTTGATCCTTGTACTTCACATTGCCGAATTCAATTCAATATCTTTAGTGAATAACTAACTACCTAGGTTAGGTAACTAGTTATCAGCAGCAGTATTTGCGACTTGGGCATCGGGATTCTTGCCCGGGCGTTACCGAGCTCAAGCTAATTCAGGCCCTGCCAACCACATGCATTTATCATTTATAGCATTTGTAGCATTTACCACTTTGAACATTTACAACTTACAAAAGTTGTTATGAGGCAGGTTTTCACATTCACACACTTACCATCATCACAGCAGAAGGGAGAAAATACGTCCCCTGCTAGCTGACATGGCTCGCAATTCTTCCTCTGAAGACGGTGATGTACGACAAACCCTGGTTTTAACATCTCAACTTTGGAAAACGCGCATATCAACTTATACAAGAATAGGTCTTCGAGGGTTTGCTCAGATCCGAAACTGCATCGGTAGAGCAAAAGGTCATAGCAGAACGAACTCACGTTCACGATGCGCAATCTGAACAACGGACACTTGAATTGGTAAGCTCTGCTATAACTATTGGGTATCATCGTTGAAGTTGTAAAACTCATATCAGATAATTACCTAGCTATCACAAAACCAAACTCTTCCCGTTACTCTCTCTTCCATTCAGATCCATGGCGCCAGTCATACGCGCAAATCATTCCTCAGTCCTTTATTCCAGCCTTTACTTCAAGATAGCAAGAATGTCGACTATACGCTGGCAGACATGTTGGAACAGGTAGGTGGAGTCGTCGAGAAACTGCAAAAGTTCGGTATGATACAACTACTTTGCCCACCTCAAAAACCTCAAAGAATTTCGTGCTAATCATGAAATATAAAGACATATTTCAACCTCAGATTCTGTTCCATTTATCCCGCCCCCCTCATCTGGATCCCTCTTCCACTCCAACAGACCTCGATGTCGCTCTTCGTGTGCGCGAAAAATCTCGACTCCTTCTCAAGACCGGTACCGAATTAGGCAATACCGAAGGATCAGCATACGGATCTCTACTCTGGCGAAATATATTTGGAGGCGCCGAGTCTTTATCGCTCAATGCGTCTGCAGGTACACGAACCAGAACTTCATACAGCGCCGAATTCAGCACCCCGATACAAAGCAATCCCAACTTGCGTTTCAGTCTCGAAGGTTTAGCAAGCAGTACGGAGAAGCCGTGGGCAAGTCATGAAGAAGTCCTCAAAAGTGGAGGGGCAAAGCTGCATTGGTTTAGGGATAGCGGGGACCGACATCAATTCGGTTATGCTGGTGCTTGGAGACAATTGACTGGCCTCGGAGCTGGAGTGAGTCCCACCGTTCGAGGTGACGCAGGGGACTCTGCCAAGAGTGCTATTTCCTACATATTCCAGCGCGAACGAAGAGATAATCCGATGCTGCCACAAAAGGGATATTTTGTCAAGACAACTACGGAGCTCGCGGGGTGGGGACCCCTAGGTGGAGATGTGGGATTCTCTAAGGCCGAATTCGAGGCTTCGGGAGCGGTCCCCATCCCTTTACCGGGGATCCGAGGGTCATCCGGCGTATCCATTGGTGCCGGCTTCCGAGCCGGTCTACTATACCCTCTTCCGTTATCCTACGGTCTTGGCGGTGCTGCACCTAGCCGAATTAACGACCGGTTTACTCTTGGCGGCCCGACAGATGTGCGAGGCTTCTCGTTGGGTGGTCTAGGCCCTAGAGATGGTGGTGATGCGCTTGGTGGTGATATCTTCGCTGCAGGGAGTGTCAACATGCTACTCCCTCTACCTCGAATTGGGCCAGACTCCCCGTTCCGCCTCCAACTATTTGCCAACGGTGGCCGGTCCGTAGCCATGAGGAGTAAAACGAAGGGGGGTGATCCCGTCGCTGGGCAACAGCTGAGTGCTGGCTCGGTGTGGGATGGCATGATCTCCGCCTCCAAGGACCTTAGTTCGGGACTTCCCAGCATCGCTGCTGGTGTAGGTCTCGTATACGCACATCCGGTAGCGAGGTTTGAGTTGAACTTTAGCTTGCCATTAGTGCTGAGGCAAGGCGAAGACGCCAGGAAGGGACTCCAGGTCGGCGTGGGAATTAATTTCCTATAACGCAATATCATTTTCGCAGGGTGCTGTGGTCCCTAAAGATGAGAAGGGGTTATTTGTTGTAAATATCTAGGTTAGATTCGTCTTTCCAGTCCTCATGCCTCCTGTAGATACCTACATATCCCTCCAATCTCCAATATCCGATGTTTTAGCATACCAAGCAAAACTTTGGGTTTTGTCTTGCCTCCTGGGCTTTAGCCCAATAGAAGAAAGGTCGTTTTGTATCGAAGCTGGAATCCCGGTTTTATAACATTTACATAAGGATATTATATAACCTCATTCTACAGCCCTTATCTTAAGATTCAGTAAGTGTCTGCTTATACTAATACATATGTCACTCATAATGCAAAGCACTATCTAATAAGGAGTGGGGATAAGTCTATACTACTAGCCAGGCCAGGTAGGGATATAATGATAGCCAGTCCATATAGATATAGATAGCGGGGTTGCTATCGCGTGCTACCGTACAGACGGGATCCCTCATCGCGAAGAACCGAACTCGGATCTAACTATTCCTCTATTCTTTTTTTTTTCTTTTTCTTTTCTGTTATATTTTCCTCTCTCTCTCTCTCTCTCTTGATTCGATTCACCCTTCCCTCCAAAACAACAAGAATCAAGAAGGGGGAAATAAAGGAAAACAAAATGCCACAAATCACCCCCACCTCGAAAATCGTCATCGTCGGCTCCGGCGTCTTCGGCATCTCCACTGCCCTCTGGCTCGCCCGCGCCGGGTACACGGACGTCTCCGTGCTCGACATGCAGGACACCGCCGCCGCCGGGTACGACCCGCTCTCCGGCATCGACTCCGCGTCTGCGGATCTGAATAAGATTGTGCGGTTTAGCTACGGCGCGGAGATCGAGTACCAGCGGCTCGCGACGGAGGCGGCGGGGTTGTGGGGGGAGTGGAATCGGGAGGTTGAGGGGGCGGAGGAGGGGGGGGGAGGGGAGGGGAGGTTGTGGTGGAACACGGGGTTCCTGCGCATGAGTGCTAGCGGGGAGCTGGGCGCGTTCGAGATCGAGACGTTGCGGAATATGGAGAAGGAGGGGATCAGGGAGTTTCAGTTCGTCTGCGACGATGACGCAGGTAGGTCCGGCCCACATCGTATTTCTTGCGCGCCTAATCTTTGGTACCTACTTTAAACCTGGGATGGTGAAAAGTTAACCGTCGAACCGTTGCGGCATGGTATAGACATCGCCCGCGCCAAAGAAAGGGGCTGGGCGCACAAGCTCGACCCGTGCCGACGACAGGAGCGGTTCGGGTCGCACAAGGCCGTGCTCGATTCCACGGCCGGCTTCGTCTACGCGTATAAGAGCTGTGCGTGGGCGCAGCATCTTGCGAGGAGGGAGGGGGTGAAGATGGTGCTGGATCCGGTGCGTGGGAAGGTGGTGGATATTGCGTCTGGTGGGGATGGTCGGCCGGTGGTGGCTACGGCGGATGGGCAGGAGCATGTCGCTGATTTGGTTGTTGTTGCTGGTGAGAAGATCCTTTTCTTTTTTTTCTTTTTTTTGGTTAAACACCTACCTACGACGAGGTGGTCGATATTCTACCATCATCATTATTATTACTGACACTTTACACACAGGAGGCGGGTGGACGCCGTCACTGATCCCGGAGGTCCAGGATCTACTCGAAACAACGGCGGGCTCGGTGGCCACAGTCCAGATCCCCAGGGACCGCGCCGACCTGTGGGAACGGTTCGCGCCGGAAAACCATCCGGTGATTTCATGGGGATCGCGGGAGGGTAAGGAAGTGTATAGTCTGCCGCGAGATGAGAATGGTGTTTTCAAGATTGGGTGGCGGAAGACTAAGTTAGTTGCCTCTCCTTTCTACGTCTATCTACCAATTTATCTGCCTGCGTAGGTAGGTAGTGTAGGTACGTGAAATCGGCTGACCAAGGTGACTGAAATAAAAACAGATGGACCAACTTCCAAGATGTTCGCGGAAACCGCATATCAGTTCCCAAGACGGCACACGTAACAGAAGAGAAGGAGACGCGGATCCCGCTTGAAGCTCTCAACGGGATAAAAGGTGAGATGCCTAGTTACATCACTTCCCTCCCCCTTTTTTTTTCTTTTCAATTTCAGGCCTATTCCTAGGCAACTAGGTCCTAACCCCCCCAACAGAGTACATCGCCCTCAACTTCCCCGAACTCACCCCCCTCGGCATCTCCTCCACGCGCCTCTGCTGGTACACCGACAGCATCGACAACTCCTTCGTCGTGGACTTCGTCCCCGGGCGCCCCGGCGTAGCCGTGTGCTCCGGCGGCAGCGGGTACGGGTTTAAGTTTTTGCCTGTGCTAGGGAGAGAGGTTGTGAAGATATTGGAGGGGAAGGGGGCGGAGACGGTTTATGGGAGGATGTGGAGGTGGAGGGGTGGTGGTGAGGATGCTGGGGGTGAGGATGGGGATGGGGATGGGGAGAGTGGTATTGATGGGAGGAGAAATGGCTTGGAGGAAGGGGAACAGGGGCCGAGGGTGTTGGCGAAGCAGAAGATGGCTGAGGTGGAGGATTGGAAGTTTACGTGAAGCAAAAGTTCTTACACAGCATCTAGGTAGATATCCTGCGGTTGGTGATTTACTTTAAGGGACTATAGATCGTACCTACATACCGCGGTCATTCGTATCCGTACGCAATGCCACGCTACGTGTCGACAATGTCTCCCTATTGTCTAGCCCCTCGCATAAAAAGTTGATGATATGCGGAGGTATGTTTTCCATCATCTCAGATTCTTCAGACAGAATTTCAAAAGAATCGCTGTTTGTTCTACTGCGACGAAATACCTATATCACTCGACCCCTGGCAACCGGCGAATTGGCACTACTAGGCCTAGGCACTACAACCTCGAGTATCTCTCCTATCATTCGTGTGACGTGCGTATCACGTACCTATATAGAATATGTTAGAGTAGGTAGCTTAAGGATCTCTTAGTTCTTAAACGGGAATTCCGGTAGGATTTAATGGTCGTTCCCCCTTTTACTTTTCAGTCAGTTCCTAGATCCCCGATTTCTTCACATGCAATTTGGCCAGACCGCAGCAACAGCTTTACTACGTAGTCAGAACATCTCGTCAAGTGTACCTACTAGGTAAGCACCATCGAAGGATAGGCTAACAAAAACCTATAAGAGAGAAACTAAGAAACAGGGGCGACGGCAAAAGTAATATGTGCTGCTAAACACCAAATTTACCCTAATACGGCCCCGCTTCTCTGAATTCCGTGCAGGTATTTACCCCCCCCCTGAGTCTTAGATCGTGAACCTCAAAAGCTTGGCCGGATCTGCTTGTAATAGCGTAATCGGCTTATATCCCAACGATTGTAATATAGGCAAATCGACCTCGAAGTTGCCTAGAAGAGGGGAAATCATCTTATCCTAATGGTAACAGGTTTTCTTTTTCTACTAGTTACCTATAACGTCTCTTGGACGTATCTCGCCCCTACGAGTCAGAGGAGTCATATCGTGCTATCCATTGAACGTATGTGCAACGAGCGCTTAATCCTTGTTCGCTCATATGGTTTCCTACAACCTATGAAGATGTGATTGGCGAGATCATTGGTAAGGGGGGCTAACGGGGGACTTAGGGGAGCTTGACACTAAAAGAATGATTTAATCTGATTGGCTGGACGACTATATTTTCTGACCAATCCGGTAATAGCGCAAAGGAGAGGATTGCCGTATGCGTCCAACTATCGTGATAAAATGGACGATGAATCTAGATAATCCCCATATCACCATTTTCTCATTCGCCGATAAAGTGTGGGATCGTTAGTTCTATTCGTCGGTAGCGCTTATGCCCGTCACGCGAAAGCCTCAAGGCCTTCTAGGCTTGTTGAACAGACGTTATTGGAGCCTGTGCCCCGGTACGGTTCACAATCTCGACCACCGATTTGCCATTGCTGCAACCATACGTTTTTTCCATATTGGGGTGTTGATCAATTTCCGGGGCGATGGCGAAGATCGGACAATTAAAATAATCAAGGAAAAGTCCACTTAGTCTTTTGGGATCTTGGTTTCCTTTTAAAACTTCCCGGTGCGCTGCTGCTGTGTCTGTGTAATCTTGGCCCCCGTTCGTCCTCCTCCTGTATGTCTCACCTTTCCGATGTCTTGTGCTTTCGACTGGTCGTAACGTGATGAATCGGGGATATCAGTTGGCTTGCGCCATGTGGGCGATGACCGCCTTCACGCTTGCCTTGGTTGCCCTTCGTTTGTACACTCGTGTGAGGATCGTCAAGTTCGTCGGCGTAGAGGATTACATGTATGCATGTACAGGTGTATGTAGGCCCCGTCTACCTGATTATTGGTGATATCAAGTCGTACCATGAATACATTGCTAATCTAAGTTGTTCTGCATAGGCATTCTTCCTCTTCTTCACCATCTTCATACAGATCTCAGTCCATCACGGACTGGGCCAAAACTACTGGCAACTCAATATCGACGACACCTCTAACGCCATCTTCTGGACATATGTCGCGAACAGCTTCGCCATCATCGGAAATGCCATGGCGAAGTTATCGATGGGGCTCTTTCTACTTCGCGTAGTTCAAACGAGGTGGCACAAGATCGCACTCTGGGGCGCTGTCATCGTCACGACCACAACGTCAATCGCGCTTACCATCATGCTCTGGAACCAGTCTACGCCGATCAAAATGAGCTGGGACCCGTTGCGGACGCCTGGGGTTTGGAATATACAGATCCAGCCTTTGAGTGTTGGGCTCGGAGGTAATTCAGCTTCTTTCTGTCGCTTGGCTGAGTTCAAGTCAAACAAAACCAGACTTCTAACGCTTCGTTATAGTATGGTCCAGCGCTTGCGATTTCTTCTTCGCTATTTTCCCTTGGTTATTTATCCGATCACTTCGCATGTCTCGGCGAGAAAAGCTTATGCTGGCTGGCGGGATGAGTCTTGGAGTGATGTAAGTCAACTCGACGGTGCCCCCTTTCGTCGGCGGGGGTTCATAAAAGTTCAATCAACTGACCTATACTCGAAGTGCTGGAGCTTGCGGAATCACTAGGACAGTGGTACTCTCCCGACTGAACGTCTTCAACTATACTTGTAAGCAGTAACTGCGAGATCGTGACACTATACAGCTAGTTAACACTTGACTTAGTAAATTTCGTGCCATACTTCGCCTGGGCCGGCGCAGAGATCGCCGTCGCCATGGTATGCATCGGCGTCCCTACCCTACGGCCACTATATCTTAAGACCAAAGGGCTGGCCAGCGCCGCGCACAACTCAACCCGAAGTCGAAACAACAACAATAACAACAAAAACAACAAAGAGCTACCCCGTTATGTGATGTACGATCGTAAAGCGATCACCCCGCCGCCCGTGGTGCGCGACTCGGGGTTCTCGCACACGCGGACAAGCTCCAACATATCGAAGCCGCCGACGGTGTACGCGAGGTCTCGGAATGATAGCGTGGAGGATATAATATCGGGGTATCAGAACGAGCACGCGGGCGTGATATGGGTGAAAAATGAGTTTCGGATGGACGAGCAAGTTGTGGATTGGCCGTTGCGCAATTGATGATGAGTGATGACTGAGGCACCAACTAGAAAATTAGAAATTGTATAACTGGGTTGGTACCTACTGGGTATGGTATACATCAGCAGACGCAAGTCGATAAGGGAATGCGGCGTTATATTATTATTATCATTCACACAAATGGATATCCGGTTATATTATCAGGGCCCCTGAGGTTAGTTACTACCGTCCAGATGAGCTTCTTGGTATCGACGACCTAAGTCTCATCACTAATAATTTTACTTTACTTCTATACCTTCAAGTAACTATGAGCTGAGACAACATCTCCAGGCCATGTCTGGTTGCATTTCCCTTTTGAGCATCAACTCCGGGGAAATATTAACAAGCATTCATATAGTCTCATATACCATCGTAAAAAAACTCTTGGAGAACTCCTGCGCGTATCAGCCGCGGTCTTCGAGAAGTGTATTTATGTCGATAGGTCCTGGCGCAGATCCGGACATTTAGGGGTTTTTCGAGAATATGGGGTAGAAGTCATCCAGGATCGCAGCTGAATATAATTGGCAGTGGGTCAAGGCATATGGTTATGATTCCCCTTTTGGCTTGTAAATCGTAACAGTGCCAGGTATGTAAGGAGGCACAGAACGAGGGGACCTATTTACAATGGCATTCAGAAACGCCAAGTAACATCTCCTTCTGAAACTCTGAAACCACGAGACGCCCCCTACAAGTTCCAGCGATCATAAGCGATCATAAGTGATCTCTTTCTTAAGCGACATCCCTTTAAGCGACTCGTTTATTGTAAGCGTTGTGAAGTTGTATTATCGTGGTAGTATACATAGGTATCGTAAACAGTCAGTTTTCCGACAGGATATCATCTTACACACTGCCAAGTGTTACAAGTCACCCCTTACCGTTACCATACTCGCTCAACATCCCATACTGGGGGCTGGAGATGCCAACAGCTCATTGCTACAGAAATGCATCTTCAACACGGACGGTGCTCCCATTCCGACCACCCACCTGATATATAAGTCACTGTTTCCTCCGACTTCGTGTAGTTAGAATTATTCTCAATATCAAACCAACAGTTTAGTTCAATTCTCAATATCCGTGCCGGTCACATTTCAATTCTTAACGCCATATCTTCACTTCTCTTCCTCAACGTCAACAAATTCCAAGCTTCAATTAGTAATAATTACCAACAATAACGTCTATTCAAAATGCAGTTCTCAAGCACCGCTATCCTTCTCTTCAGCCTTTTCGCTGGCGCCTCCATTGCCGGTAAGTCTTCTCGTCTTACGTAGTAGTATAAAGCCATAGGGAGAACTACCTTCGCTATACTTTGAACCCCCAAGCATAGATAGCTGCTAACCCAGGCATTTTTCCCCCCCACAGCACCCACGCCCGCACCCGCACCACGCAAAGGAACCAGCAGCAACATCGGCAACGGCAACGAAGCGGCATTTGAAGGCCAATTCTGTACCGACGGGGACTTCGACGGCGTTTGTCAAGCCAGCGGTCGCTGTGGACTGAGTCTCCCGCCCAACGAGTTCTCCCAGGTTTTCATCAGCGGACAATGTGGCCAGTAAAGCGGGCCAGGGAGTGGGAGTGGGAGCGTTGTTGAAGTAATTATCTCCGCTAGTTAAAGGGTTGGTAGTGGGAGATATGGAGATATGGTGCTGGGTATGCAGCTACTGTTCTTCTTTGGGCAGCTACGTACGTACTTATTACTGAGGTAGCTTTGCAAGATTACCGAAATGAAAATATACTTGTTGGTTCATTTACTAGGCATTACATTTGAACGTGAAGTGAGTTCTAGGTTGCGTTTCTGATATCCCGAGTTGCCTGTTGGCGAATCACTTATTTCTGGGCAAAGGGAACGAAACGGTTTAACTACCTAGTGGGCAATTAATTAAAAAACATTTCTACCTAACTAAGTATCTACTTAAACTAGATTCTTAACGGTTATATATAGGTACCTAGTATGTACACCACAAGCTCCCCTACAAAAACGAACTCGTTCTAAACTGTGCGCCCCACCCGTTGATGCCGTGCTTTAGGGGGCATAACGACGCCCCTTTATAGGTTACGGTCGTCTCAACATATCGGGCCTGGCTGACCGCGTGCTCTGTATCATGGTAGTGTGCGGGACTGCAGCATACGCCCTGACTATCTGCCGAGGCTTCATCCAGTGCGGGTGGCACCAGTTGTTGCAGCGGTGATGGCTAAAGAACGAGCTCATCCCGTCATGGCCGAGGTCGGAGATGCCGTACATGCCATCCACGGACATGATGGCAGGGTCGGAGAGGATGACCTCGTTGGAGTTGATGCCGCCCTGGAGATCGCAGAGGAGGAACTGCCCGCCCGACTCGGCGTAGCTGAAGTGGCTGAGGGCCTGCAAGATCTGGCCCCACGTGGTCGAGACGTCCGCCCATCCGGTGTTGCTGTTGTACTTCCGGTAGTTCTCGATGAAGGGCTCGACTAGAGCACGCTCCCCCTTCCGCTCCCCATCTGCAAACACCCATGTGCCAGGCACGTTTATTCGAATGTTTTGCAAGTCGGGATAGGCTTGGTTGAACCGGTTCATGATCTCCAGGGCCTTGTCGACGGCTGTGATGTCGAGGATGAAGTAGTCGACCTCGAAGGTGGCGCCGCTCTTGAACCACTTGACAACCCCTGTCTGTCCTGTGCGATGGCCCTTGCTGTAAGTCCCCTTGGCCACGTGCCGGAAACTTCCGTGGGCGAAAGGATGATCAAGATCATATTGGTTGATCATCATTTCGTCGGCCTTGTTGTATCTGCCGCCGTCGCGGTCACAGGCCGATAGAGTATAAGTGGCTTGGTGTCCGAGGATGCAGGTCGCACATTGTGAAGCGCCAGCACCTATAGAGTACTGGTAGGACTGGTAGGAAGATTGAGGCAGATTGCGCTTACAGGAAGCACACTGGCGCATGGTGGATGACATATCCCTTAGATTTAGACTTGATTTTGAAATTGAATTTGGCTTTGACTTTGAGTAGATATCTACTTCGTAGGTACCTATTTCAGATTTGAAGATTGAAGTTACGATAAATTATTACTGATGAGAGTTGATGATTGGTATTGAATTGCTCTCTAAAAGCATTCAAGGGGTTACATGGCTATTTATAAAATATTTTCCCTCATATTCCGTACACAGTTGTCATGAATCTATGATATCCCAGGATATGCTGGCAATCACTTGATATATGAGCCCTATTTCTTGTTGTTTTCAGCATGTCTGGCCTGGTTTCAGCCTAGATAGCGTATTTGTCTCTGTACTGGGTAAGGCATCAGTCATATTAGATTTTACCGCTACGCCAGAAGGCGAATGATTGATCTCTCATTGATTGTCTTTAAGTTTCTGTCCGTATATCTGACAAGTCATTCATAGGGAGCAAAACGGAGACAAGGGGAAATCCAAAGAGAAGATACGGAAAGAGAGATAGAAAATGAAAAGGACAAGAACAGACCTAAAGGGACACCTAACCTTAGGCTACTCGTATGGCCTTTAGCTATGGAACTTATATTGCCTTTCTTAGATTCCTGGGTCTCATCCTTAGCAATGGAACAGGTGGGCCATAGTGAGTAGGTAGTCCTTGGAAGGGGCATACATGTCTGTTAGTAGCTACACCTGTAAATAGAGAAAGATTTCATATAGCTATGACGCCGACCTATGGGCACATATCATAGGGTTTTCCGTGGGGTAACAAGATTGTATATATACCTCTCAGTCTGCCCTTCTAGTATTCTAGGCAGACAGTTTCTCTTAGTAAAGAAAGGCAGCGAAGAGTGATGTCTTTTCACACCCACAGACAAACACTTCATTAGCTATCTTATATCTTAACCTAGAAACTTCCAACATCTGTCACGAAGTGTGAGCAAGAAAAGACATCTATGTTTACTGAGTATTGTTCAAAAGCTAAAATCGAATATACAACTCAAAGGTTGCTGTGGTTCTTTGAACCGGCGTGAAACCTCATGGCTTCTAGAAATTTGACTGGTTCTTTCTCGTATAGGCTTTCGATGTAATTAGGTAACGATGGATATTTCTTGATGAAAGGGGATTGCCTAACGGAATGATAAAGGTAGTACCTACAGTAACCGCATTGTATTTAACAAGTAGAGCTGTCAGGAGCTGCCAGAAGCTCAGCAGAGAACAAAGACATCCCATGCCGCATCTGGACTTATCCATTTATTGTTCCTTGTGTAATAACTTTATTGCTTTCATACCATTCGATCCTGGTTCTAAGACAGAAGAGGCTAGATACTCGTTCTCAAGTCTATTATGTTCGGTGTTTTAGGTAGTGTTGATATACAGAGTACTATGTACATCGTAGGAACGTTAAAGCCTTCAATGTTGAGGTCGTTGTTAGGGACCGTTGATTACATAAGCACTTCAATTAAACACTGCATTTTAGGAAGGTGCCTACCAAACTACCAGGCACCAGGGTGCTAGATATGAGGTCACTGAAAAGGCTCAAGTTGCTACGCTAGGAAACAAAAAGTACTAGGTACGTAAACGCGGGGCAAAGTTGGGCAAGCCCAGCAGGGTCGTACTATGTATGTATGTAGGTGCGATTACCCAAGCTCCGCAAAGATCTGATCCGCAACCGCCGCCAGCCCCGCCAAACGGGTGCCATCTACGTACTACCAAAGTACATTATGTACCCTTACACACATAAATGTAGGTACCTTTAGCTGCCATGTCCACTATTGGGTACATCCATGGATAGCAACTAGTACCTGGTATTAGGTACCTAGTACCCTACCTAGTACTATGTATGTAGGTATTGTACATGCCTTGACAGAAAAACAGTAGAATCCAAAAAAAAAGAAAAAAAAATTAAAAATTCTCGGACTTTTCGTCCCCCGCCAAAAAGCTACTAGGAGCTGCCCCAAAACTTCCTCCACCACCATCCGCCATCGTCTATCCATCGATAACATCAACCCTCTTCTAAATTATCCTTGACTTGACCTACATACTGCCATCTATCTACCTACCTGCCTCAGTATTCTTGGGTACGGTTCAATCAACTTTTGCGACCTCAATCCTTCTTTAACAACCATCACTTTGGATTCTCTACAACTCCAGTTGTACGATCCATAAACAATCAATCCAATAACGCGCAACCTTTGCAATATTACTGTCTCCCGCTGTTGTCATATCCTGTCATATCATCCTTTTATTCCTGCTAATTGATTTGTACTCTGTGCCCTACAATCTCTACAATCTCTACATTCCCCACTGAAAGTTGGAGCGTGCAGCCTACAATAGTCCTAATTCTTTCTTCACCTTCACCTTCACTCACACCTACCACTCTCTCAAACCGAACTTGACCTCTTCAGATATATCTCTCTGTCCGTAAACCAGATTCAATCTCGGCCCTCTCAACGATACCACCCTCGAGCTCCGGATGAGTCGCAAGTTATTCCGGGTCTAGTCGCATGGTCACGGCCGAATGCCTAACTTTCTACACAAGCTAACGCGCACTCTCTATTCTTCATAATCCTTGTCTCTTCGCATGTTGGTGTAATTTCTTTGGACTATCTTGACATTATTGATCGCCTCCCCTGTTAAAGCTTAGAGAGAGAAAACGAGAGTCTACATTATGGCACCCCACAAGGGCCAGGGCAAGCCTGGAAAGGCCACTTCCGGTCATGCGAAAAAACCTCCTTCCACCACCGCACCACTTCTTCCTGCTGTGATTCCTGCCATTCCGCTTCCCATGATGGCCAAACACAACGCGAAATTCAACAAGAAGGCGCCTATCACCTCTCCTGTGAATGGTGCAAATGGTGCTTACACTACTAATGGTGCTCGGGGTGTTAACGGTTCCAACGGTTCCAACGGTGTCAATGGTGTCAACGGTTCCAACGGTTCTAACGGCGCCAACGGCGCCAACGGCGTCAACGGTGCTAGTCGTTTGCCGATCTCATCTCTCGAAGAAGCCCTCGCCGGAAATGTTCCTGTTCCCGACGGCGCAAAGGCTCCGCAGCCAACCAAGACTTCCAAGAAGGAGCTTAACGGCTCCAATGCGGAGAAGCCCGTACATGATACAACCGCTGCAGTAACCCACGAGCACCGCGATGATAATCCTAGTGGCCATCGCAATGGCAACGAGAATCTGACGAACTCCCATATTCCTACGCCATCGAATGGCTCAAACGGAACAAACGATATCACACAGCCGAAATTTGTTGCTCCTCCTACAGGAGATGTTGAAAATGGATCTGAGTCGGCCTCCGCATTCGCCATGGCGAATGGCACTACGCTTCAAAAAGGTATTCCGCATCTAGGTTCCTGGCCTAATTCATCTGAGCATAGACTCTTACAACTTATAGGTGCAGAAGATGGCTACTACCCCGGTGGTGGTGCAACTCAGCCTATCTCGCAGCCCCAGTCGGCTACCTCAACTACCTTCCCAAATGCCCAGTATCCTCCGATGCATCATTATCCGCACCCAACTCGACCACTGCAGACGCAGCTCTTTACCGACCAACACGGTCAACATGATCGGATTTCCACCCTCCGCGGCCCGCCCCTCCCATACAGTCATCCTCCCCACCCCGTTATGAATAACGGTAATGGTGTTGTCTTTGGTGGCTTCCCCGGCTCTCATACTCCTTCTCCAGCACCACCGTCCGGCTTATTCATGATGCCCCCACCGCCCCCGCCCCCGCCCATGCCCATCAATGGCGAGGCACAGATCCAGCGTGGACAGCCCAACGGTCACCCTCATGCGGCTCCTCATGCAGGCAGCAATGGTGTGCCAAGACCCATCAATACCGACTTTCGACCCAGCATAGCGTCTGTATCCGGTATCGATAGATTCGGACAAGTGCCGTCTACAGGACCTCAGGTCCCGATGGAGCCATTCTCACCCAGTGGCCGCTACGGTATCTCAACACCCCATAGCTTCCATGGCTCGCATGCCTCGGGTGAACCGAATGGCATCGATCCTAGCACCATGGCTCAATACAACGGCAACCCCTTTGGAGGTCACCTACCCCCACCACATCATATGCCACCCTTCATGCATCCTGGACTCATCCCACGACACCCTGGCATGGATGAGGCACTGTTTGAAGGCATGAAGTACTTCTCTGACCAATTCGATAGTGGTGAACTCACCGATTGTACCCTAGAGCTCGTTTCCTCCAAGGGCTTGCACCACCCAGTCAAGATCAGTGGCCATAAACTCATGCTCGCACGTAGTCCTGCGTTGAAGCATCACATAATGGCAGCTCGTGCTAATGATTCAGGCTCTCATACTATCAGCCTTGAGTCTGATGATCTCTACCTGCGATCTGATGCCTGGCGCAACGTTGTCAAACGACTGTATTTGGCTCCATTACTCAACCACAATATCTTGGCAGAAGAAACGACCTCTTTTCAATCGGCCGAATACAAGATAGACCGATTTATGTTCTGCTTGGGTTATGTCGCTGCGGGCCATCTCCTACACTTGCGTGATGTTATGATGCGCGGCTTGCAGGTCGCTAATGATCTTATAACGTGGGATACAGTGGAAGAGGCTCTAGGATTTGTGTTCGAAGGCACAACTCAGCGCCATGTCGACTACGATGATGAACAGAATGTTGATTTGGAGTTCGGATATGGCCCGGAGGCTAGAGTCCTCTTGCAAGGCGCCATGAACTTCCTTATCGGCGCATTTCCACCCAACTTTGAGCTTGATCCCTCGGTTGTCGACGCTCCCAACTTTGCGCGTATCCCACGTATCCCGCCTGTTACTGATACTGTAGATACACAACCCAGTATGGCGCCTTCCATTGCTAGAGGAACCAACGCACCCAGCAAGAAGCCCACCCGCCTATCGGCTATCAAGTTTGGCGACCTCCCTGCAGCGTTCCCTGAAGATGCCATCGCTACTCCGCGTAGTCCTGCCCAGTGCTCGCCAGCTCTGTCTCGAATTCTGCTGAACCTCCCATTCTACGAGCTTCGCGCTGTTCTGACATCTCAAAGCAATGGTGTCTCGGGTTGGTACACAGCTCACGAGCGGTACGATGCGGTTGCAGATGTTGTGGCTGAGAGAGAGGCAAGACGTCTACGCGCTGTTCAGGCCATCCGTATTGGAGCAGTTCCTGGATCTCACGAAATCCAACAACGGCTCTCAGCCCAACGACGCCATGCTATTGTTGAGCCATGGGATGTCTTGAACTGGCAGGAAGAAATCGCCCAACCAAGGGGTGCTGATGTTCCCCAGATCGTACGGAGATGGGTTCCTCAGTTCTCGGTATCGTCGGAGGAACCTCAGCGATCCAAGCCGCTATCCCAGACCCAGACGCAATCACAGCTATGCGATGTGCGTCGCGATTCCATGGTGTAGGTGACGCATTTGGGCTATGGTGTGACCGCTTCATGAATGAACGATAGTCTTGATTAGTATGGAGGAATGATGTTTTTTATGTTGCATGCTATGACGGCCCCCCCACCCTCGGCATTGTTCTTGAATTTCCATTTTAACTTGTTTTCCCCGTCGGCATTGCGTTTGGTGTTGGTGTGTTTACCACATTCCTCCCTTCATGAACCTCCATGGACATACTTGAATGGGTGTCGAAGAAACAGGATGTGATAGGTCTGGGCGGCTAGGCGGGTGGATGGCTAGACATACTAAGTCTTTCCTTTCCCGTGCAGCATATGCAGATACGTTACAGGTCATGGCCGATTGGCCTAATCGCAAATGTTTCTTGCGGATACAGTCAAGAAGAAGAAGGGGAGGAAGTAGAAGAAGGAATAGGAAAGAAAGAAAAAGTCGTTTTTAGACATTACAGGACCGAGGATGGAAAGGTCGGGCAGGGTGAGGGGTCATCATTTCACATAATACCCTATGTACCACGCAGGCAGATGTTATTGATGCATTGGCTGGTTTGTTTTTCTCGCATCATGAATGCAAGCCCCGGAGTTTGGAGGATTGCGGTTAGAATCGATGACTTTGTTAGGATCGGGCTGTAGGCGCTTGCAGTGTCTACCCTAGGTGTCTTGCAAGGTAGATATTGTGATTGGGTGGTAAACTTGAAGTGATGGGGTGCTCGGTCAGGTGTCAGGTGATCAGGTGGTCAGGCAGGTTAGTTACGGTTAAGATGTCTCGGGTTCCTGTATCATGGTTGAAGGTGGATTAAGGATAAAAAGGCGGATAGAGAAGGATTGTCTGTCGACGGTACTACGGCTGAGTCCGTCCATCTTGTCTCACGAGGGTCTTGAGATAGATAGTCCTTGAACCGATCAAAAGTGTTTTCATGATTAGATACTCTGTGTGATATACGCAACGTTGAAGTGTGTACATAATAGTCAGTTCATACCTACATAAGTAACCGTTAGGTATGAAACGACATTAATTATTATACCAAGAAAAGAAAGCCGTTAGACCGAAGTGTTTACAATAAAATGCCATGCATAGTTATAATTTATACGAGCCTAACTACATGTAACTAGTCACTGTTGTTAATACTTGTTATAGACAGGCCTATTATCAAATTGTATCAATTCTATTATGTACGGTGGACCGTCGGTGGTATATAAATGTGGTAATAGCTGGAGTACTAGGTATACTAGGTTACTACTGTACTAATGTGGGGGAGCTAGTGAAGCTTAGCTGGGATTATGACGTTACATTTTACGGGCGAAGGGGTTTGGGGCCAATGATGTTAGGCTTGCCAATGCGGGATGATGCAGCCCTGAAAGTCAAGCTTTTTCTATTTCTCTTTGTATTTCTTATTTCGATTGCCGACTGCCAGAGGCTCTAGGTAGAGGCTCTAGGTAGTTAGTTACCATTTAATCTTCTTATCATCCCCAGGGCATTCTAGGGTATTTAACGATCGAATCGTTCGATCAAAACATACCAGTTATTAACCTAGTAAACTACAATTACGTATCTAGATAATACTGAAGTAGTATTTGACCCGCATACAGATACCAAATGTAGTAAATCGCTGTTAAGGGGAGCTGCCGTAGTAGATACGGGACCCACTAGTTCGGTGAGCGAAGAGAGAATCATGTAATAGAATAACGGTATAGTTATGATAAGAAGCACTTAGTATAAGGGGATAAAGGGTTTCAACCTCATAGGGTTGTTGAATCTGTTAGTTTCTTTTTTTTAAAAAAAAGATAAATCTAACTACTACTGTTACTATTTTCAATTTTCGTTTTTCTCTTTTCCCTCTTCTCATTTCCTCTTTATCTTTCTTCTCAGTTACCTGAACTAGGTAATAGTTCGGTCATATCTTACACTGAACGTACTACATACCTACGTAAGGTAACTAGGTTTAGGCCGTTTTTGAGTCTGACACGCCACTTGCGTACCGACTCAACTTACTCAACTTACTCATTCTCTTCGTTGACCTGAGATCTACTTTGGATCTACTTCTTACGTGTAGTTTGTTATTGGAATATCAGCTCCGACTTACCTGATACACAAAACCAAGAAATAGATGGGGTCATAAGTAACATCGACCACAATGGACGACCACAAGCAACCACACGACAAAAGTGCCCGCCGCAATAGCATCATCGCGCAGGATGCCGCGATGCTAGCGCAGCTTGGCCACAAGCAAGAGCTTAAGCGCAATTTCTCTATGATATCCATGCTGGGCCTCGCCTTCGCCATCCTCAACACCTGGACTGCCCTCGCCGCCTCCATCACCCTTGCCTTGCCGTCCGGCGGCCCTAGCTCCGTCATATGGGGTCTCATGGTCGCGGGTATCTGCAATATGTGTCTAGCCGCCTCCCTGGCCGAGTTCCTCTCCGCGTACCCGACAGCCGGCGGGCAATACCACTGGGCCGCGATTGTCTCGTGGAAGAAATGGAGTCGGAGCATTAGCTACATTACGGGCTGGATCAACGTGAGCGGGTGGGTGGCACTGACAGCGACGGGAGGTCTACTGGGCAGCACGTTCATCATCAACATCATCTCCTTACTGCACCCGGACTACGAGATGGAAGCTTGGCACCAGTTCCTCATCTATATCGCATTCACGGTGATCGCGCTCTTCATCAACGCCTTCTCGACGCGCCTGCTGCCGCTCTTCACCAAGGCCGCGTTCTTCTGGAGCCTGGGCGGGTTCGTGGTGATCAGCATCACGGTGCTCGCGTGCGCGGCGCCCAACTACCAGAGCGGCGCGTTCGTGTACGGCAACTTCATCAACGAGGTGGGGTGGCCGGACGGCATGGCGTGGCTGCTGGGCCTGCTGCAGGGCGCGTTCGCACTCACGGGGTTCGACGCGGTGGCGCACATGATCGAGGAGATCCCGCACCCCGAGGTGCGCGGCCCGCGCATCATGCTGACGTGCATCGCGATCGGGATGGGCACGGGGTTCGTGTTCCTGTCGTGCATGCTTTTCTGCATCAGCGACATCGATGGCGTCATCGAGTCCAGCGCCGGCCCGCTGCTGCAGATCTTCATGGACGCCACGCAGAGCCCCGCCGGCAGCGTCTGCCTCCTCATGTTCCCGCTCATCTGCATGCTCTTCACCACCACCACGCTCATGACCACCAGCAGTCGCATGTCCTACGCGTTTGCGCGCGATCGCGGGTTGCCGTTCAGCCGCATCTTTGCGCAGGTGCACCCGAAGCTCGACGTGCCGCTCAATGCGCTGCTGTGGACCGCCGCGTGGGTCGTCGTGTTCGGGTGCATTTTCCTCGGGTCCTCGAGCACGTTCAACGCCATCACTTCGGCGTCCGTCGTTGCGCTCGGCGTTACGTACGCGATTCCGCCGTCGATTAACGTGCTCCGAGGACGGCGCATGTTGCCCGAGAATAGGCCCTTCAAGCTCACTGGGGCGTGGGGCTGGCTTTTGAATCTGGTATGCAAATGTTCCCTGCTGTGTCTCATATTTCACATCCCTCCCTCCCATTTATCCCCTATTTCCACAGAAAGATGACTAAAAGGGGTAAATACAGGTCGGCATTTTCTGGACCATCCTAACGACCGTGCTATTCGTCTTCCCGCCCGAACTGCCGGTCACGAGCGAAAACATGAACTACTGCGTCGTGGCCTTCGGCGTCATCCTGCTCATTGCCGTGGTGACATGGATATTCGATGGGCGCAAGAACTACAAGGGGCCGCATATCGATGTGGAAGGGCTGAAGAAGGAGGAGGTCGAGGGCGTAAAGGCGGCAAGCACGGAGAATGTGGACTTGTCGAATAAGGGCGTTGTGTCTTGAGAATGGATGAAAAGAATATGAAAATGGAAGTGAAATTCAGGGGGTAGATAAAAGCATAACAAGGTTAAAATGTGTATGTGTTATGTATTTACCTATTGCAATGCACGTGTATAAAGTCCGATCATCACATGCGCCCATAACTATCCACTACGCATAAACGTAGACTTGCGATGACGCGCCTCGCACTATATACTCGCACTGCCCTCATCCTTTCAAACCAGGCCCACGGGATAGACATGAAAAATGGAAGAATTCAATGTTTTTTTTGTTTTTTTTTGGTAAGACAAACTTGATCAACTTGATTTAGTAAAAAAGGGGATTCAAGGGGGATCTTAGGGGGACCAAGGACATTTTTGTTCAATGGCATGAGTTTCCATACAATAGAAGTGGAAATAGTTAGTTACTGTTACTGGATATGTAGGTACGTAGTTGGGTGGTTTTTATTAGTGGCATGTAGTTAAGTTAACTACGTAACTAAACTAGTAGTTATGTACGACTTGGACCTACATGTATGGATTAAAATAGCAAAAGAATGACGATGCTGATATTGAATCCGGGCCAATCAAATCCAACTTGACCAGTGGATTGTGTATGTCCCTGACAGGTTTAGCTGGCCAAAACCCCACACAATGGCTCACATGTTAGCTCAGCCGAGGCATTGTGGTTTGGTAACCGGATTGGGTACCCTAATCTTATGTAGTGGGCAATTGAGGTGGGACAAGAAGCATTGATTGAAGTGTGTAATAATTAATAGTTAATAGTTAGTTAGTTACTTGGTATGGTAACTTTGAACTTGTTATTAGTCTTGCTTTACTTTTATTCGGACGCGAACCATTTCCATTTTTAAACTATTAATTTCCCTTTTGTCCTTTCCCCCATCTTTCACCCCATCACCATCTCCATCTCCATCTCCATCTCCGTCTTGTCTCCATCTTCCCTATCTTCCTATCCTATCTTTGCCCTCTCCTCATCTTTATCCCCAGCATATTTAGGTATTCACCTTTATACCTACACACCTATCCCTACCCTTTTGGCACCCTTTTGGCACTCTACATGACGGATATAACCCTTTGAATAAACAATTTTGATTGGATATCACTTCTCAAATGTTTATTCTTCTTTTTCCATCATCATCCCCAAATTCTACATCTGTGAGGCTAGGCATTCTTGACCGACACCTACCAGAATCAAGGAGCACCAGACTACCGGGTGTGACGTCGTATTATTGCGGCTGAGTTGGCATTGAATTGACATGATTCAACAATTCATGCGATCAGCTGAACCCAATTCATCTCGCGTCATATATTCTATGTAAATAAGATCCAGAAAATAACACGATCGACCAATCCCATAAACTTGCATAGTTAATCGACTCCATCCAAAAACTCTGCGTTGGGCATCAATCCCCTCTCCATCCGATTCTAACAAAAAAAAAGATTTGCTTTTGAATAAAGGCAATCATGGCGTCTGAAGCCGGATCGTCCAAGTTTCCCACTCTCGCGCCGCTGGAGATTCCAAGGCAATCCGAAGTCATCTCACGTCCAAGAGCGAATTCAAAATCGAAGCCTAGATCCGCCGTTGATCCCGTCCTCCGCAATGCCCTACGATACACCATCTCCGCTCGCGAGTATGACACCCTCCACAGATACGTCCTTTCGCGATCGCGATTGTTGCGGAAAAGAATGCCAAGTGTAAGCACTATGGAGAAGTATATGGACGGCGGCAACACGAGAAAGGGATCCGCAACAGACCGAGATGAAGGAAAAGGCAAAGGGAAGGAGAAGGCGACGAATGGGGGTTCTAGCAGAGGAGATACCTACAATGCGCGCGCCATCAGAGATTCTCTACGCGTATTCATCGCGACTGGTCTAGGAATGAGAGCGTACGAGACTGTGTTGGCAAAGCTCAAAGCACAAAAAGAGTAAGCCAGTCGTAATGATTCAAAGAGTCAATTGTATTAAAATGCTAATAAATAAACAGCGCCTCCCCTGCAAAGAAGCAATCTTTTTTCCAGTCCTCTGGTCTACGCTTGTCACTCTCGCTATCTACGATCTTGCTATTATATCGCCTCCTGTTCCGCTTTCTAAGTCGGTTACGAACTCATTTGCTAGACGCTTCGGCAGCACCCTTTCGCAATCGCAACCCGAGAACATCCCAAACACTTACGTCCCCGCTTGCGCCAGCGGTCGGAGCCAGTATTGCGGGTCTGGCTCTAAGCATATTTCCCTCACAACAACTTCGTGTTACCGTAGCAATCGCAGCCATCTTCCGTGCGCTCGAATTCGGTTGGAATTTATGCGAGGATGAGGGCCTTATCTGGGGCTGGAAAGCCCGTGCTGGCGGACAAGGGCTGATCAAGCGAGATAGGCCCTGGTGGTGGGGAAGCTGGATGCTTCAACCCCTCGCCTTCGGGCAACTTTTGCACGCCACGGTATTCGACCGAGAGTGCTCTCCCATGGGTCTAGTCGACTTCATCTGGAAGAGCTCTTCCACGTATCTTCATAGCCCCCCAAGCAATCTACCCGATGGTGTTCAGTGGCCCAATGCTTGGGAGGTTGCTGGAAGCTTGGCTGAAATGGCCAAGCTGCATTGGCCGTATGTGATCATTCCTTGGTGTCATTTGCAGCGAGATGCTAACAAATCATTTAGGCCATTTGTCTCGCCGACATTGTTTCCCGATCAGCCGACTCTACCTTTGTCTCTAGCTGCGGTGGCGCCTCTAACTGCGCAGGCTCACCCTCTCATAGCCTCCCTAAGCTGCGCTGCCCTGCATCCGTCCGATCCTTCTTGTCTCCGGACTTACATCAGCTTTTGGGTTCGGTCATTCCCACGCATGGGTCGCTTCTTCCTCCTATTTTACTCGCTGCTCATGCTACCGAAGTATAAGCTATTATATAACTCGCCAATATACCTATTGAACCGACTTATGTCACAAGTGCTTCGTATGACGACGTTTGCGACGGGAGGTATTTCAACGGCATGGGCGAGCATCTGCTTTTTCCAGACGTGGCTACCACGGGCATTCTTACCAACCCAACGATTCTTCCTAGGCGGATTCCTGGCCGGCTTATGGGCTTGGTTTGAGCGAAAGAACGGTAGGAGCGTGTTCTTATATAGTGCACGAGCTAGCGTGGATTCGCTTTGGAAGGTTGGTGTTAAGCGGAGGTGGTGGCGCGCTATGAAGGGCGGTGACGTGTGGGTCTTTGTCTTAGCACTGGCCATCACGGGAGCGGTGTATGAGAGAGACGCAAAGGCCATCCGTGAAAGCCGGGTCCGGAAAGGACTCAGCTGGGTGCGTGGTGGTGGATTCAGAGACTGGGGTTTGGATGAGGAAGAAGATCTAGATACAGAAGAGGATGAGCGGGACGAGAAAGAGGACTAAGGTTGAGTCTTTTTGACTTGCAAATATTCCAAGCAAACAAGCCACCAGATAACTCCCTCGATGCGCAGAAAAACGGGTTGGTGGATGCATGGGAGGAGGAGGCTTGGAAATTTTTATGAGTGATGACGAAACGAGATTTATGACTATGGGACTCTGCATTCAACTATGCACACTATTAATACCATAGGTACCTTTGTAATCATAATAGCATGGCGCAGAGGTGTTTTGGGGGTATTTGAATAAGAAGAAGTTTAAGTTAGGTATGAGAGTTGTGAGAGTGTGACTGTTAAGTCGTCGAATGCCTATGTGGTGATGTACGTGATGATGTGTTTCTTGGACGTTGGAGGAGGAGTTTAAGGACGGTTACTGTTTTGACTGTTTGAGATTTTTGTTTACTTTGGATAGCTACCTCAAAAGCAGCTATATAGGTAGATAGATACATAAACCCGAGTTTCATGAATTGTCTGTGTCAATATATCATTGTTAATTCTGAATATGTACCATCACTTACACCTAGGCAGGTTAGGCACTTATACAGGAGTCCAGGCCGCCAAATCCACCACCGAGACTACACTTCTCTTATTCCCTAGGTATCTAGGTATAGGTGTAGAGGGATGGGTCTCCGTTGTCTTTGATGTTGGGTTTTCGACGCACTGAGCACTCTAGGCTCGTGGGTCGAAACTATTCCGGGGGTTCGGACTTGGTTGTTCCTGTCTACCTAGGTATGCATCCTCGTGCAAGAACCTCGCGCAACGAAGATGCTGTTTATTCTGCGTCTTCTACCCGCCTCGTGATACATCTTAGGGTACCTCAAGTTATGTAGATGTGCGTGAAAATACTTCAGGCCACAATGGTTATGGAAACTGGCAACGAAGAGCCTTTTCGACCCCGGACCGGTAATCGCGAGGGAGAAGGGTGAGGCCCTGGAGTAAAGTCGAACCCGGCTCGGTAATTACTAGGGAGGGGAGTATTTAAACCGAGTAGAAACGGAATAGCTGACCTATGGGGAAGTAATTTGGTTGTTGTTTTGTCCAGGTCGAGAGGTGTTACCCCTATTTATCAACTGATGCCCCAGCTACGACATCACAGGTATACGAAGCCACAAATCAGCGCTCTCAAAACCCAAATGCAGCCGACCTACCTAACCAAGGAGATTTCCTATAATTACCCCGTTTTACCGAACTTGCTGACGCCATGTTATCCGGGGCTGCGGGGCGTGATATTCGACAATGAGTTAGATACCTACACAGTACTGCCCCAGAAGAGAAGAAGCTGTTTCTTCTTCTTACTGTTAACCGGCCCGCTCAACGTGCTACATACCTATGCAGTAGAGCAACACCGATCTAAGTGAAGCTACCAAAATATCTTCCAAGTCTGCCCTGTAAGGAAATATGCAACTGGTTAACCTTAGTTGCTAGCTAGCCCTGGCTGACTCAGCGCGTGGTATTGCTCTACAAGCTGGGCTATCTTTAGGAGCAGGATGCTACGTTCCGGCCGATGTCTCTTCAGCCGCATTGTCACGTTGTTTTGGAGGAGATTGGGGATTGTCATGAGAGGTACCTCTAGGCACTGTCGGAAATTCCCAAGACCATGGAATGCTCGGATAATCCAGCCGGTATTGCCTACCTCCAGGGCTATGATATGAATTCTTACTAGTCCCTAGTACGTGTTTCCTTAGCACCTAAGCGATTATAGTAACTGAGTCAGTCACGGCAGATGCTACCTACTTATGTATCTGATATTTCGTTATCCACCTGCTATAGATCTAGATAATACTGCGTCGTCAAATAAGATGTTGAGCAGAACCCCTCTGATCCCACGTTGAAGTTACATCCCAGTGCCTAGTTTGCATCTAGCCCTAGTTGCGGATCTCTCACTCCTTCGCGAGGATCACATCTCATCGTGTGTGCGGGCTTGTTTGAACAACTCAGCCAAGTGAGTGTCTATTGCGCAGGTACTTCAAAGAGTACACTACCCGCGCGTCCTTCCCTGAACTATGCGTGTGGTCAAGCCAACCGTCAATTGAACTCCTCGGGCCAGAGCTTGTCATCATCTCTCAACATGATACTCCCGGCCGTCACCCTTCTCGTCGGACAGGCTCTTGCCCCACCGGGTACAAGCAGCAAACGATCACCGGGTTCGGCGGCTCGGCAACGGATGCCACCGTGACCGTCATCAACTCCCCCTCCCCGCCGACAAGCGCTCTCAGCTGCCGCGAGAACTGTTGACGCCAGCCAGAGGGAGAGCCGACTCCAGCCTGCTCCGGCATACCTACCTATCATCGCCGCCTCGGACCGTTCGGGCCCGCCGCCGGTCCAGACTCCACGCAGATCTGGGCGCACGACCACAACACGGACCAGCCTACCTATTAACCTACCAACCTACCTACCTACCTAACCTAGTAGCTAGCTATTACCCGCAGACCGTGCTGTGCTCGCCTCCGACCCCGCCGGCGAACTTTGTAATGGTAATTGTAACGGCCGGCACTGCTACGCCGAACCCCCTCGACTGGACCGTCCTTCCACACGTCGCGAGCCCGGATAAAGCGCTGTCAGTGCATGGCATGGCCGAGTGCTGGAGCTCCCCCTGGCATGGCACCAGTCTTCCAGACAGAAAGAAAAAGAAAAAAAAAAAAAAGAAAAAACACCCTCGGCTCCCTGATGTGGACGTGGACCGAGGCTGCCGACGGGACGTGAGGGCCGTATGTCGACGGCGGGTGCGCTGCCTGCCGGGGTTTGTTTGTTTGTTTGTTTATTTGTTTGTTTATTGGTGATGAGGAAGAGGGGGCGTACGAGTATACGGTTGATTATTATGTGTTGGCGCAGTTCTCGAGGTTTATACCGAGGGCCGGGGTGGTGGTGGTGGTGGAGGTGGAGAATACGTTTGGCAATGAGGTGTGGGTTACGGTGAATATGACGGGGGGCGGACAGCGGAGTGGGAGGTTGTTGGGGGAGGGGGTGTGTTACGACGTAGGTTTTGCCGTGAGTTAGTTGTCTGTTCTGTTGTGGTGGCGGGTGAGTATGTAGGGGGTTTTCTTTCGTGTGTATATTTGCTTAAGCACGTAGACCCCTATATTCAGGTGCCCGTTGCTTAGGTTAATAGGGTACGTGTTTGCGTTGAGGGGGATGATAGCGAGAATGGATTTCTACCTAGCGATGGAGTCGTTTTACAACTATGTATGTCTTGATGAGTTTCATCCACCCCTTGTATGTTCTTCCGCATCTCTTGTCTGTTAGTCTGTCTCGTCTTGAAGCAGTAGTGATATGACTACCTCACCTTTTCAAAGCCTAAACAGCTAACTCATACTGCAACGAGAAAAACGACCTTCGCTTTATGCCATATGCGAGCATAGCACACCTGGCTAACCATCTCTCCTTGATCGACAGATGCTGACACTACAAAGTTGCCCTGGCTATATGTGATGATATACAAAGCAATATAACTGCTTGGTTCAAGTTAGTCGGGCAAGCTGGTAACTGCTTCCTCCTTGAACTATATGATCATAAGGATCTACATAAACCAATGCCTTTAGTTACCTTGGTGGGACGGAGCATAGAAGCATGTGTTTTGCCTGAAGTCGCAACAAGGCATAGACTTTATGTACAACATCAAACGGCCAAGTATTGACGACGTGCTTTGTACATGGTAGCACCAACTCGACGCACACACAGCATAATAGAACCGCATAATATTCTACAGTTGCAATTTACGAAGGCTTGGTAGTGTTGGTGAGTTAAGTCCGATCGGCATTTTGGAGTTGAGATAGAGTATACCATCTCCCTGGGCAGGTATGTTTTGATGCATTATCCGAGATATCCCCGGTATATAGGTAGGTATATAAGTCCATAAGTCCAGGGAGGGGGTTGTAGATGGAACTGCAGTGTATCCCGAGGATCTGTAGCTCGACGTACAAGAACGGAGGCGTGATCAAGCCTTTGGTTTGGGAATATATTATATACCTACCCAGGTAAGACAGGCAGGCAGGCATATAAACAAACAAAAAACAACAAAATTAGGTAGTTAAAGGCTTTTCAAAGAAAGAAATATTGTTCCTGCTAGGTATGATACATTAAAACAAGCTAGAATACTTCTAGGTAGGTAGGTAGGGCGCAGAGGGTGTGATCGCGCCGTGCCGGCCACGGAGAGCTTCAGCTAATTCGAATCGGATGAACTATATGGCCGGCCCTTGTCTATAACAATGAACGCAAGGGATGGGTAACCTCTAGTTCACGTGCGTGTTACACCACCATATGTCATCAAGGGAGGAGCAAGAAAAATAAATAATGAAAAACGCGGGGAATTTCGTCTCAAGGTTCCTCAGACACCACGTGGAAAGGGTCTTGTTCGACGTGAGAAAACACCTTATTTCAAGTTCCCGCGTCATACAACTTCTTCGACAAATCGCGGAGAGGGTGTAATGGGGCGGGGGTACACAAGCAATAAGAAGAACCTCGACTTCACTGTGTTATGATGCTATTAAGAAAATAGGGGTAGCATAGAAAGGTGCTTGGTTTTAAGCTCGTAGAAACTCGAGGGGGAGCTTGAGATAATCGTTGATTGAGCCTTTACATACCTAGTAGGTACCCCTGTACCAATAGGGGTATTGTTCAATGTTAGGCCATATACTTATCAGTGGCGCAATGTTCGCATTGAAAGTTCCAAGACATCTAAGCCATTCTAACTTTAACTCATCATCGATGATCTTATAGACCGCCCTTTTTCAGAGGGGCGTTCGAGGCTCTTTTACCGTATAACCGTACCCAGATGCGTCGGCAGTTGCCTTTAGAATTGAAACTGTTCAACGGTGTAGCCTACTAGATGTACAATGTAGCACTTCGAATCCCAACTGTATGGATACGCTAGAGAACTTGCGATACCTCAAGTAGGTATGATAGGGTATGACTATATACAAGGGTAGTGAACTACACGTGTATACCTTGGAGTCTTGGACATGTACCTGCCAACTTGGAGTTAGATTTTCTGAAGATCTTGACATCGCGAATGTAACATGGACATGATCCGGCCCCGAGAGCTAAGTGTAGGTACTATGTATTAGGTGCAGGGTGCTTTCCCGTGTAGGGAAGCGTGCAACTATTTTTACCAGCTTCTTAGTATGCTTCTATGCTTCTATGCTTCTATGGAGATAGACGGTGTTATGAGGTTACGTTAAGGTACAGATGTAGATGGGTGGGTAAATGTAGATGAGATATTATCACATGTGCGTACGTAGAATGATGGTGCCTACCTTAGAACCTACCTACATACATCATGATATATCTACACAAGTAATAGTAGGCATGCTTATCAGGAGCAAGTAAGTAAGCCTTGCCGGGGTGGGACGGCGGAACTCATTCCCATGGTAAACACGAGAACTTGGCAAGACTCTGTACGCGTATCTCAGCAGCCGTCAGCCTGTAGCAACATCGAAGTTGGTTGCGTAGGATTATGTATAAAACGTTGGGATCTGCCATCTATCCGTTCGTTTCCATGACCTTCACTGGCGACCTTTTACTAATAATCGGTGACTGAGCTGTGCCGAACCCGGGTCGATGGGATAAATCGGTCTGATAATTGGAAGGGGAAATCCCGAGTGCCAAGTGTGACGGAGTGATGTTGATAACGTCGACAATGAATGGTATACGAAATAAAAGTGGTTGTGATGGATTTTGTGTTGCGGGTTGTCGGGAAGTTATAAGAGTCCGAAAGAGAAAACAGAAAAATAATTGTTAAAAGATAAAATGAAAATAAAATAAAATAAGATAAAATAAATGAAATGTAAGAAAAAAAAAAAAGGTGTGTGGTGTCACTGGTGTGTGAAAACGGGCTGATTAAAGAAGGTGCGTGCGTGCATAGGTACCTGAAAGTAGTCGCCGGACTTTTTACTATAAACGGCAAACCATTTTGCCGAGAGCTTGTCTTATTGGCTCACAGACGAAAGAACATGTCATAAATGTCACAATTTACATATCAGCCCTTCTTAACTGCACAAATTCTGACAAGCATGCATAAAGTGGTAACTATCTAGAAGTCTAGAAGGTTAGGAAGGATAGGCAGGGGTGGCAAGTCCCGAGTCCCGAGTCTTCTCGTAGGGCAACCTTGGCTCCAGATGTCGTTGTCAAGATCGGATAAGATAATCTTTTTTTCAAATCTTGAAACTGATAGTGGACTTATGTACAGATAGATGTGTAGGCAATGACGTTGTTGGCATCTTTTTGTTTGCAGAATCCATAATTAAGGATGAATTCAATTGTGAAGTGCTTACTTCAATGTTAGCATGCTCAACAAACAAGTTGCATATGTACTGTAGGTCCCTATGTTGTAAGCCGTCCTTGCTGATGGCGTATGGTATCATCTTACGAAGAGATGAATGCTATCAAATGCTATCAATCAGAACTGCTTATCTCACACAACGGGCTGGGCGAACGGGTCTACATAGGATAGCGACATCCCCATGGATTCTGGTTTGTCAGATTCCAATTCTGAAACGGCGGCATCTACGGCGCATAGTATGTATTAGTATGTATTGCACATTGCATAGCCTGGTGGTGTGGGTTGGAGAAACAGAGAAAGGCCCTTCTCTCCAGTATTCACGGTATTGATAATTGCCCGTTGACCGGCTTTTTATAGGGACGGAGAACCCGCGGGCTCAGTGACGGGTTGACGGGTTGGCGGGTTGGCGGACTGGTGCTAGACACCGTCTGGGGCAAGTGGGGTGCTGAATGACAGGATACTAATAGTATCATACTACTAGTAGTACGCGGATTCTTAGTTGGCACTAGCTTAGTACTGTATTTGTACTAGTATGTTTGGGTAGCACATACTTTGAACGATGCAGAATTTAAAATGCAGAATTTAAAAATGTTTCCAAGGTTGTTTTGATCATTGATGGTACAGTACTAGGTACACACATGGCTAATTGATGGTATTGAAGGCCCGGGGGTCCAGGCCACCCCAATCCCCTCCACCCCTTTCCCTATCTTGATTTCATCTTACTAGTTAGTCCTAATCTAGTGCAATTCAAGCATAGAATTCATAATTTCCCGTTTAAATCCGACTTTTACGGAGATTGAGTCAATCCATTTCGATACATTGGCTACATTGGCTACATAGTACATTGGCTAACATCGTCTAACTACCTACATCAAATGTATTCCACTTTTCATCCACTGCGCGTATTCGTGGTGCATACTACATAAGTTACTAACTAGTTACATACTGATAACTAGTCAATATGTAAGAACTAGACCCTACCAAGCCCGCGGTTTCCGTCCGTTTCGCCTCCCCTTGTCTCGGTATGTATGTTCGATCATAAAATATTATGCAACTTGAACTGCTCACGGCCTGTGGGGGTTACAAACTATGCGGCGTAATAGGCACGGATAACTAGTCCCAAGAGTCAAGGGCCTCAAGGCAACATTGAACTCTCTGAGTCTGGCAAGTAACTAGACAACTAGGCAGGGCCGGATAACGTTATTACCTGCACTGCTAGCGTCGGACCCATGGAGCCACATGGAACATTTGAACATTTTAAGTTATGTACCTGTGAGTATGTACCATGTAGCGAGATCGCGTACACTAGTACTGCTACATAGTATGTGTAGGCGAAAGACCCTGAAAAAAAGAACTAGAATACGAAAACGAGGCGAATGATACATAATAAACCCGCCCGCCATCCATGTTTTCGACCATTTCCCTCTTCGTTTCAGCCCTTTTGTATTAAAGGTTGTAAGTTGTTGGTTGATAAGAGCTGATATTCTTTTTTCAATTAGGGGGACTCTGTTTTATAGCTGGAGCTCTTATCTCACTCATACCTCACTCATATAACAGCTACTTCTCTTCCCTCGTACCCTTTATTTAAGAGACTAATATCATATCCTCATTCCCTCATCTCATACTCATAAACGCCACCATAGTCATTTACAAACCGGATAGGATATTTGAAGTATAATAACACAAAATATCATACCCTCTGGAGCTACATAGTAAGTAGCCCGGGATTCAAAGGTGGTAGCTCCGCCCTGTCCATCTTGATATGGTATTTATGGGCGCTGCTTTCACCAACAACGATCTCACTGCACAAACATTTGGTGCTCCGTCGCAAATGGCTTCCACACACAGCGATGGCCCTGGAGGGGAGAAGAGTATTCGGGAGACTGGGACGGAGAAGGCCCCAACGACTGGGTCCAGTAATGATACCCAGGTGGAGGATGATTCCGAGCTGGAGCGCCGCGAATCATTGGTACATGAGCTCGCCCGCAGATACACCACTCAGTCTAACGCCACTGGAGCCGCTGGCCACAACCCTTACCTGGATGCTGCCGAAGATTCGCCCATAAATCCTCATTCGTCACATTTCAACGCTCGTGCGTGGGCCAAGTCTATTGTTCGCATGGCCGACCGCGAGGGTACGGATTTCCGAACCGCTGGAGTCTGTTTCCAAAACCTGAACGTCCACGGTTTCGGAGCTGCTACGGATTACCAGAAAGATGTCGGAAACGTCTGGCTAGAGGGCCTCGGCTGGGCTCGCAAGGCTATGGGCGTCGGCCAGAGAAAGATTGACATCCTGCGCAACTTTGACGGCGTGGTGCAGAAAGGCGAGATGTTGGTCGTCTTGGGACCTCCTGGATCTGGTTGCTCCACCTTCCTTAAGACTATTGCTGGCGAGACCTCGGGTATCTATATCGACGACAAGTCGTATTTCAACTATCAAGGTGAGTACTCTTAGAATCATTTAGCTCTAGGGCACGCCGCTGACTATACCAGGTGTGACCTCTGACGAGATGCACACCCATCACCGCGGAGAGGCCATCTACACGGCTGAGGTTGACGTCCATTTCCCCATGTTGACTGTTGGGGATACACTCACCTTCGCAGCGCAAGCTCGTGCACCGCGACACCTTCCTCCCGGAGTCGACAAGAGGACTTATTCCGACCATCTCAGAGACGTCACGATGGCCATGTTTGGTATCTCTCACACCGTGAACACCAGAGTTGGTAACGACTATGTGCGTGGTGTGTCAGGAGGTGAACGCAAGCGTGTCACCATTTCGGAGGCAGCCCTGAGTCGTGCCCCCCTCCAGTGCTGGGACAACAGTACCAGAGGTTTGGACAGTGCCAACGCTGTGGAATTCTGCAAGACTCTTCGAACTCAGACCGAGCTGTTCGGAACGACCGCCTGTGTTTCCATCTACCAGGCACCTCAGACAGCATATGACTTTTTCGACAAGGCTCTCGTCCTATACGAAGGTCGTCAAATCTTCTTTGGCAGAGCCAATGAGGCTAAGCAATATTTCGTCAACCTTGGCTTCGAGTGCCCTGCCCGCCAGACCACCCCCGACTTCTTGACCTCCATGACGAGCTCGATCGAACGAGTTATCCGGCCTGGATTCGAAGGCAAGACTCCGCGAACGCCAGACGAATTCGCCACTGCCTGGAAGAACAGTACCGAGTACAGGGCCCTCCAAGCTGAAATCGAGGAGTATAAGACGGAACACCCGCTCAACGGCCCCGACGCCGAGGTATTCCGCGCCTTGAGGCGACAGCAACAAGCCAAGTCTCAACGGCCCAAGTCCCCCTACACCCTGTCTTACGGCCAGCAGATTATGTTGTGCCTCTGGCGTGGTTGGCAACGCCTGACGGGTGATCCTAGCTTGACCATCGGTCAACTCGCTGGCAACTTCATCATGTCTCTCATCATTGGCAGTGTGTTCTATAACCTCCAAGAAAACACTTCCAGCTTCTTCCAGCGCGGTGCTCTACTCTTCTTTGCCTGTCTCATGAACGCCTTTTCCAGTGCCTTGGAGGTGAGTTTTCCCTCGTGCCTGTATCGTATCATTTAGCGCTGACCATTTTCATCAGATTCTAACCCTCTACAACCAACGACCTATCGTGGAGAAGCACAGCCGTTATGCCCTCTATCACCCGTCCGCGGAGGCTGTCGCTTCTATGCTGTGTGATCTTCCGTACAAGATTGCCAACGCCATCATATTCAACCTTAGCATGTACTTTATGACCAACTTACGACGTGAACCGGGAGCATTTTTCTTTTTCCTGCTCATGGCGTTCTTCACAGTCATGACCATGAGTATGATCTTCCGTACTATCGGTTCTGCCTCCCGAACTCTCTCGCAGGCCATGGTGCCCACTGCAATGCTGATTCTCGACCTTGTCATCTTCACCGGTTTCGTCATCCCCATCGACTACATGTTGGGCTGGTGCCGCTGGTTGAATTATCTGGATCCCCTGGCCTATGCGTTCGAGTCCCTCATGGTGAACGAGTTCCACGATCGCGAGTTCCAATGCAACGCATTTGTGCCCAGCGATGCTGTCCCTGGCTATGGCGGCAATGGCGACGCCCATCGTGCCTGCAGCTCTCCTGGCAGTGTAGCGGGAAGCCCCATGGTTAACGGTGATGCGTACATTAACTCAGCTTTCCGATACTACAACGATCACAAGTGGCGCAACTTGGGTATCCTCATCGCCTTCATGCTTTTCTTCCTCTTCACCTACATGGTCGCCGCCGAACTCGTATCCGAGAAGAAGTCGAAGGGCGAGGTCTTGGTTTTCCGACGTGGCTACAAGCCTGCCCAATTCAAGGAGAAGAAGGGTGACGCCGAGGAAGGCGAAGCACCCCGTGTTGGTCCTACTGTAACTAATGCTAGCCGTGCCAATGGTAACGGCAAGGAAGCCGGCTTCATCGAACAACAGACTAGTGTCTTCCACTGGAACAACGTTAGCTACGACATCAAGATTAAGGGCGAACCGAGGCGCATTCTTGACAACGTTGACGGCTGGGTCAAACCTGGAACCTTGACTGCCCTGATGGGTGTCTCTGGTGCTGGAAAGACAACATTGCTTGATACCCTGGCTGATCGAATTACTATGGGCGTTATTACGGGCGAAATGTTGGTTGACGGTCATCTACGCGACAACTCGTTCCAAAGGAAGACCGGTTACGTTCAACAGCAGGATCTCCACTTGTCGACAACTACCGTTCGCGAAGCTCTTACCTTCTCTGCCCTCCTTCGTCAACCCGCTACCGTCCCCCGTGAAGAGAAGCTCGCTTATGTCGATGAGGTTATCAAGCTCCTGGACATGGAAGAGTACGCCGATGCAGTGGTCGGTGTTCTTGGTGAAGGCCTGAACGTTGAACAGCGAAAGCGTCTTACCATCGGTGTGGAACTTGCTGCTAAGCCCCCGCTATTGCTTTTCGTCGACGAGCCTACCTCCGGTCTTGATTCCCAGACATCTTGGGCTATCCTGGACCTCCTCGAGAAACTCACCAAGAGCGGACAGGCCATTCTCTGCACTATCCACCAGCCCTCTGCCATGTTGTTTCAACGGTTTGATCGCCTACTCTTCTTAGCTAAGGGTGGCAGGACTGTCTACTTCGGCGACATTGGGGAGAACTCCAAGACATTGACTAACTACTTCGAACGTAACGGTGCCCCTGCCTGTCCCACTGAGGCTAACCCTGCCGAATGGATGTTGGATGCTATCGGTGCCGCGCCTGGGTCTAGCACTGATGTCGACTGGTTCCAGACATGGCGTGACAGCCCCGAATACCAAGACGTGCAAAATGAGCTGCAAAGACTGAAGGATACCGCCCCCCAGACCCGTACTATTGCCGAAGACCCAGAATCTTACCGTGAGCACGCCGCCGACTTCTCTACCCAGATGCGCGAGGTCACGCATCGTGTATTCCAGCAATATTGGCGTACTCCGTCGTACATCTACTCCAAGGCTGTTCTATGTATCCTCATCGCGCTCTTCATCGGTTTCGTATTCTTCAAGGCTCCCAACACGATCCAGGGATTACAGAACCAGATGTTTGCCGTCTTTAACCTGTTAACTATTTTTGGCCAGCTTGTGCAGCAGACGATGCCGCATTTCGTTGTCCAGCGATCGCTTTATGAGGTGCGCGAACGACCGTCCAAGGCATACGGATGGAAGGTCTTCATGTTATCTCAGATCATTGTCGAGCTGCCCTGGAATACGCTCATGGCCGTTTTCATGTTCTTCTGCTGGTACTATCCCGTGGGTCTTTACCAGAACGCTGCGGACGCCGGCCAGACCACGGAGCGTGGTGCGCTGATGTTCCTGCTTCTGTGGGCCTTCCTGATATTCACCTCGACGTTTACCGACATGATCATCGCCGCATTCGAGACAGCCGAGGCTGGTGGTAACGTGGCCAACATGCTCTTCATGCTCTGCCTCATCTTCTGCGGTGTCCTCGCCAATCCCAGCTCCCTGCCTAGATTCTGGATTTTCATGTATCGCGTCAGTCCCTTCTCCTATCTCGTCTCGGCCATGCTTTCCACGGCCCTCGCCAATACCAAGGTGCAATGCGCCTCCAACGAATTCGTGCACTTCGATCCTCCGAGCGGCCAAACCTGTGCCGAATACCTGGGCAACTACACACTGGCAACAGGCGGCTACATCGAGGCGGGCACCGAGCTACGGACGTCAGACTGCTCCTACTGCACTATTCTCGAGACCAACACATTCCTGGCGCAGTCTGGAGTAGACTATGGTAAGCTCTTATCTCACTCCCCTTCAGCCCCTTTCTTTAGATCAAAGACTAACCTGATTTGCCTACTAGCTGACCGATGGCGCAACTTCGGACTCCTGTGGGTCTACATCGTCTTCAACGTCTTCGGCGCCCTGTTCCTATACTGGCTCACGCGCGTGCCCAAGGGCAAGAAGAAGGAGGAGAAGACCAAGAAGGAGTAAAAGAACAAAACAGTAAAAAGACAAAAAAACTACAATAACAAGAAATTTACTGAAGACGATGAGATGAGTTTAGGTTAGGTTTATAGGTGGTAAAACCTATCCTAACCCCCGACGCATTTCCTAACATTTCTCTTCGCCCTCTCCGACCTTTCGCAAGAAATTATATTATCTTTTTTTACGAATTCTGGGGGATGAATGGCGATGAATGGAATAGGGATGAGTGTGGAGGGGGAGGGGAAGGGTAAACTCACTTACAAAACAAACCAACTCTTTTGCTTATCTAGATCTTACTACACAAAACACTTTTGTAACTTACACACACACACACACCGCATTACCCGTGGGCGTTCTTGGGAAATAAGCTAAGCTGCCTGGCTAGCTATTCGGTAGATAGAGAAACGGATCGGATTGTCCTCTAGTAGAGAGAGGTGTCCATGGTTCTGGTATCCGGTTGGCGGGATGCTTTCTTTTATTTTTTTTTATATATACTTCTTTTTTAATGATAGATGGTTGGCATAGGATAGGATAGGGAGTGAGTGAGAGAATATAGATGAGATCAATGGCGATTTATAAATTAAGGGGTTGCAACGTACCTCTATTGATGATGTCCTGTGCTCGTCGAGCCTCGTTCGTTGCGTGCTAGTTATTACTGTTTGATTAATTAATTGTATGATGATGTGTTGTGTGATATGTTATGTGTTAGCATGTAGTTAGTTATCTGGCGGTGCTGTTCAATATTTGCTGTCATGGATTTAACTAGGTTAGGTATGTAACTCACTTCGGTCGGTATGCTATTAATAGCATACTACTAACTATGTCTCATAAGTTAGGTAGACTGATAGTTAGTAGGCGATGTTCTCGGATCTTCGCATCGACCTACAGCTCGCTAGGTTAGCTAGCTGCCTACTACTACCTACACGCATATGCATAGGTATACTATCAATGATGTATACTAAGTATGTAACCCACATGTGCCAATCACCATCATGGCACGTATGTATCTGGTTGGTCGAAACTGACATCCTACCCTACCTTACCTACTTACCTACTTACATACATACACATTTATCGACGACGACGATTCGACGTAGGTATTGTACCTAATTTTTAGTCCACATAACTAACTATGTAGCCAGCACGAGATCTGGTCTGGGCCATGCAAGCCGACGGTCGCGTACAGTAGCGTACTAGTACCTACCAGTGTATGTAAGTAGTATGTATGTATGTATGTCGAAAGCATTTCCCCCTCTAATCGAACGCCTATTGGTCGCTTTTTCTCGGGTTATCCCGAAGAGGCAAATTTTTAGTTAGGTTAGTTGCTTGCTTGCTTGCGAGTTTTTAGCTTGGGCTGAATAGAACAGATACTTGTAGTGTGTGTGGCATGGCATGGCATGGTATGGTATGGTGTAAGAGGGGGGGAGGGGAGGGGTCGGAGGGCATGTGAATACGACGTACTGGTTCCCCGGCTGCCTCGTCTCGATATTTAATGCAACTACTTAACCTAGGTATGTAAGTGCGTAAGTGTGTATGCGTCTAAGTGTGTGTGTGTGCCCAGCCAGTCCAGAGCTTTTAGTGAGGTAAAAGTTCATCAGTAGAAGCCTCGTCAGATCTTCTATCGTAGATTAGATAGTTAGTTAGGTGGTCAAGATGTCCTTTGCGCCCACGTGTTATCGCCCTTCAGGGTAGTTCGTCTAAGCTGATCGACGAACCTATGTATCTAAGTCAAGCTTGCGCGCAGCGGCTGAGACACCTAAAAGTTAATTATAGGTACCGCGATTTTCGCCGTTCAAGGACAATGTTCGTTTGGGGCACCGCTGTATCGTGGTTCCGGGGATTCCGAGTTAAATAGGTATATCATTAATTCCTGGTAGGGCCATGACAAACGTAATTTGCGTCGCGAGATAATGCATTTCTGTTCCATTGTGTGGTATCATCATGGCTCATGCCGGTTGACTATGTACGTACGTGGTGGTATTGCGCGATGCCCATAAAATGCTCGATGTCGCCGCCTCCGTCGCCTCCACTATCCTCACCCTCGTCCCCATCCTCGCCCTCGCCCTGACCCGTTGCTTTGCCTACTTGCCTACTTGCCTGCCTGCCTGCCTAGTTATTTTCGGGTTGGTATCTCTCAAAAAAGTATAAACAGTATGTAAAACACCCCATGCTAGAAATGGTTATTACAAAAAACGATTGTATTTGGAACCGCCCCTTTTTCGCCTGAGCTTATGGCGCTTTCAAGTTTTGGCTTGTCCCTTTTTTTTTTTTTTGCTTTTAAGTAAGAAGAGAATAAATGACTTGATGCTCGCTCGCTCGCATGCATGCATGCGCACATACATTGTTGTTGTCCCAATTACTCCTTATAATTGTAATCGTCCCACGGGATCGTCCTTCTCATAAATGTCTTGCATCGTTAGTTGAATCCCAATGACCTTGGCTTCGAAGAACTGGAATAGCTGGAAGAAAGCTGTGATGAATTCGAAGGAACTAATGCAGTCAGGTTAGCATTGCGATCTCAAATCACAGATTGTCATATAAGGAGCAGGGAAGGGCTAAAAAAAATGAGAAGAAAGACAAACTTACACAAGTGAGGCGATGAGGCCTATTGTTGGTGGCCATAGACCAACGTATCTGGATCCCCACCACGGATACATGATGTGCGCCGAGTAAATTAGGAATCCAAGGGTTGGGATGGCAAGAAACATATCAATAATGCTGAATTGAATGCGCTTGGTTCTTCTCCTCCGCGGGCCATCCTCCTCGTCGGGACCCCCGAAGGAAACAAGAGTCTTGCCATTGATGGTTACGCTGATAGGCGGCAGACCAACGGTCCGCCGCGGCGATGGCCAGTAGGCATATCCAAGAATGCTACATATGGCGTGGGCCAGGTTCCAGAACAGGGTAACCCAGCATAGCGAGAACAGGACCTTATGTTCCCATGGCCACCAGCCAGCATCAATTGTGGTATGAACGCGGATAACGGTAGCGAAGCCTAATAGCGCATTGAATAGTCGCGGTATCGCTATTAATGGAACATCAATTCGCGTAACACCCCTTTCGTTATTAATGTTGTCGCATTTTTCGCATGGACAATTGCTATGTATTGACGTGGGCCTATCAATATGTGCAACGGCGGTGTGGTCGGAAGACGAGGAGGAGCGTGAACTCAATGCGGTCTGGGGACTTCGACTCCGAGGTGTTGATGCCGAAGCCGACATAGCTATTGCTGAATTGGGGGTGAGAAAGAATTGTGGTTGTTCGTTGAAAAGGAATAAAAGAATAAAAATAAAATAGAAAAAAAACGCGACTCGCGATTCAATTCGTCATTTATTCTTGCTTTCTCCTATTTTCTTTTTTTCTCGTACAATTTATTCTCTCTGCTTTTCCCTTTTATTGTATCTTTAATTCTTTTCCGGTTATAATACCCTACTTCGACGTCGTTCGGTTCGTTTGTGTTTATTGATTCATTCGTCTTTCGTTCATTCCGACGTAAAGGTGTTTTTGTTGTTGAAAAACACGCCGCAGGCACAGACACAGACACGGACACAGCCAAGGACACACTATCACAACTACAAATCGGAGAATATATCCTGTAAATGTATTCTGCGATTGTACGCGTGTTACTTTGGGAAGACCTCAAAAGGGAATGCTTCGAGAATGCGGAGGCCAAAAAAAAAAGATCGCAAGGCAAGGCGAGGCAAGGAAGGTCTAAGGAAAATTAAATAAAGTAAAGTTAGGCAAGTAGTAGAAGAAGATAGCACGGTTCGAAGGTAAGCAGGTAGGTATGGCTGGTATGTATTGTATCGTACATACAAAATTACAATAGTACCCAGTACCCAGTGACCTACTAAATTGAATACACCAGTGACCTGGGGGCATATAAAGGGGTGAGCACTGAGAAGATACCTACCTAGTTTAACGGTTTTTGTTTCCAAGGATGTCGGATATAAACTAAACCCAGCTTAGCTAAGGTGCCTACCTGTTGTTACTAAGTACTAGGAAGGTAAGGTACTAGCTAGAATCTTTTGGTCTAGCTTCGCCCCATTTCTTTTCCTATCTTGGTTTAGATTTAATTTCATAGTCCCCCTTTCATAGGCCACACTAACAGTTGCTCGCATTAGTCAGTCCAGGTCAGGGTATATTGAACAATTTCTCAAGTACCAGCTTATTAGGTACACGTACATAAGTTACATACTAGTTACCTCCCATTGTCTAGTGCCTAGGGTATAGTTCAGAGCTAATCTGTTTTGGGAAGCAAATGATAATTGAATCAATTGAAGAAGCAGTTGGGGTAAAACGCCCGCGTTCTATTACGGCCCGTTGCGACAACTTTGAACTTCAAGGTTTGGAGCATTGAATTGAAGGATTCGCAAATGCATGCATATTTGGGGGCTATGTTTTTTTGGAAGTTACCCATTAACTACCTAGTACCTAGGTTAGGTAGTTATGTATCTACGTAAGGCAGGTACTACGCAATGTAGCAGCATGTAAGCTTTTACTGCTTTAGATATTCTGCACCTATGTATTCTTTAGCCTGACTTGCTCCTTTTTTTTTTTTCCCTTTTTGCTTCTTCCTGCCATCACACGTAAATTCCCCCAGCCTTCTCACTCCTATCTTATTATTTTATCATTGTTATTCTCACTTTCTTACATCCCATCCCTACTCCTGTCTATCATGTCAATCATACCCTTATCCTATCTCGTCTCATCCCGTCTTTATACCGACTTACCCAGTAGGTATTATAGTAGGTAGTATTAAACCTAGGACTATATCCCCATTCTCCGTCGCATGCATCATGTCCGGTTTCGTCACGCCAAGTCTTACCAAAACCACCTTACATATGTACCTTTATACCTACCTGCCTACTCTTTTTTTTTTTTTTTTTTTTTTTTTTGGAGTCTCTCTCTATCATCACAGTCTCTGTAGCAGCCTGCAAGTATTAGACACACAACAGCTTTGTACCTATATTCAATGTTCTACCTATAACCTTCAAGCATATATAACCCAGACATGCATCATACAGCCGCAGAAATAGTGTAGTTGGATTATCCACCGAAGGATTTACTTAGCTGGGCTGGTAGGGCTCGGCGCATCTAAGTATAGCGGGGTGATGTCTTCCCCATTGCGGAGTGGTGACGATCTCGAGGCTGGTGAAACTAGCCGTGATTCGGCCATCTGCCATCTTAGTCGTCGCTCTACTCAGTTGGTCAACACTGTTCGGCTTTACGAGTCCAAAACGGCATCGAGCTGCTTGTTATAGAGTATCTACTATACTCACTTTATCTACCTTCCAAGCTATCTTCATTATCATCATCCCACCGGCCACGGATGTCACCCTCTCTTCGATACAGGTATACGTAAGTAGGGGTTTTATTTTGCGTCTTCGCTCGTCACCGCCTCTCACACCAGGCAACGATTTCCCACCCACCAGAATTTTAGTGTACGTCACCCACACACTCTTTTGCTCTTACATACCTACACACATATCTACATGGTATCTTACCTAAAGATATAACCCGTCAGCAGTATAACCTACTTACTAGGTAGGTTAGGTCAATGGGCTGTGGTTTGTCGGGCGATCGTTGTCAGCCACACACGTGTTGTTCCTTTGCCATGCGATGTAAACTGTCTAATCCAAGATCTTTTCTTGCCTAGCCCCCAAATCGGATAGACTTGGTGACATAGTCGCGATGAGAATAGAAACAACATCAGGCTAAGTAAGCCGCAAGTGGTTCGTCCACTGGTAGTGAGACCATTGTTTCGTGCCGCAAAAGTAAGCCACTTTCAAGCTGAGTTTTCCTGGCTCCTAACATATTCAACTGAAGCCTCCCTCCCTCCCTCCTTTATCTACCTAGTAAGTAGGCATCTAGGTACATATGTAACTATATCTGCATTGATGCATGTATCTACCTAGCCTAAGTATCTAGCGTCAGTGAGGTAATCTTCCCAAGGATTCTTACTTGCAGAGCATATCAGACATGACAACCCCTTTTGTTGGCCAACAAGCGTTTGACTCACAATCTGCAACTTCAAGCACGCTCTTAAATCCGATCCTTTTCCTTAGTTCTGGTTTGTTGCGGCTTGAATCCATCTGCTTCCTACTGGCTAGTACAGGGGATACAAGACTCATCCGATCGAAAGAATATTATAACCCTTTTCGAGCTATAAGCAAGCAACAACAGTAACGAGCACTACCCAGTTTTGGTGTCGTACTATACTGCCTACTTACATATACATGCAAAACAGCCCTATTATCCGTGTAGGTACTTTCGACGGCCAGGTAAGGAGATAATCTGAAGTAGAACAAATCCGAGCGTCCGAGTATCCGAGTATAGTATAAATGGTTACCTTGGCTGCTTGGACAAAAACAATATGTTAGACTTCTTAAAGAGTATACCAAAATCTACAAACACAAATATCACAAGGCTTAGGTTAGGCTATTATCATCTAAACAATTAGCAGAAAATTGGACGATAATCAAGCATAATGCACGCAGCCCAGGTACAGTCTTGGCCGGAAGGACCACGATACGTCACACTCGACGATCCGCTTACACCATCAGACAACCAAATCCAGCTTCGTGTCTTGGCTGCCGCCGCCCACCAAGTCGTTCGTTCCCGCGCCTCGGGAGCCCACTACTCGGCTAGAGAACTTCCCCACACCGTTGGCATTGATTGCGTTGCCCGAGACGAGGCCACCGGAAAGCTACATTACTGCTTTACCCTCCAGGGAGGCACATTCGCCGAGTACATCAACTTCGAGAAAGATGTCATCTATCCTATCCCCAGTGATATCGACCCTGCGTCCTTTGCTGCTAGTGTCAATCCGGCCATGAGCAGCTGGATGGCCATCACCCAACGCACAACGAATTTACCCAAGGACTTCATAGCCGTTATTGTTGGTGCTACGAGCGACAGCGGCCGCCTGGCCGTATACTCTGCTAAAGCTTTAGGGGCAGGCAAGATTATCGGCATCGCCCGGAATGCTGCGGCCTTAGAGAAAGTCGAAGGCCTTGATGAGCGAGTTGTGCTACAAGATCCTATCGCCGAGACTGACTTCTCCAAGGTACAAGGTTGCGATGTCATCCTCGACTACGTCTACGGAGATGCGACGGTGCAGCTACTATCATCGCTGGCAAGGTCGAGGAAACCTGTCCAACACGTCCAAGTAGGCAGCCTAGCCCAGCGCACCGCTGAGATTCCGTCTCACCTGCTCCGCTCCTTCGACTTGACTATCCGAGGGGCCGGGGTTGGGTCCTGGAAGGTATCAGCCCTGCAGAAGGAGCTCCAGACCCTGATCCCGACGATGGCCAGCTGGAAACTACTTGCAGCTCATTCTGTGCCGCTGAAGGATATCGAAACGGCTTGGAATGATACGTCGCTGGTAGGCGAGGGTAGAGTGGTATTTGTGCCCTAGACATCCATCCGTCCAAAGATACTAGACAGGTCAGGACCTCCCTAACTTATACATAAATATATATAATTTAAGGGGTTCTACATAGTATCTACGAAAAGACGTCGTCTCTGTACCTAATACAGCCTTGATCTACCCTTCGAGAAAACTTAGCCGCGGAAGCATTATGCAATGATAACCACGTCCCCTAGTCGCTGCATGCTCTCTAGAGTGAAAAGATCTGCCTGCATCGCCAATCTGTGCCGCATGCCAGGAACAATTGCTAGACACCTGCTTGTGTAGGCAGGGGATCTTCGTAGGTATGTTTCCTGTCGTAAAACATCCATCCATCCCCTTTTCTGGACTAGTCGGGTTGTTGCGTTTAGCCACGACACAGCCTCATCGAGGTCTTGGGATTTGTGATTTAAGGTAGTAACGCCTCGGCTCCTTCGATGCTGGAACGAGGAGAGGTGGGAGGCCTAGAAATATCGGTACCTGCCGGCTATCTCCCTAAGGGTTATATGGGATTCAATTTTCGGGTTTGTTTCTACTTACCTGAACACTTTAGTACCGGATAAGTATGATAAAATCTCTCAAAGCATCACACGTCCATAGTGAGGTACCTTCTAAGTAGATACAGAACCCAATACTTCAACATCCTCAAATTCGAGCATCACAGAAATTACCCTACCTACCTCCTCACCCACCCACATCCCACAACAACTCCCCAAACCCTCATCAAACCCCCGTGATAACATACAACTCGCCCGTCTGATCACTCGTCATGAACAACCGCCCCTTCTTATCAAACGCGAGCCCTACAGGCCGGAAGCAGTCTGCAGGACACTTAGTAATATTCTCATTCTGCAAGATGTACTCTACGGCCGCGGTGTCAGAGACACTAGCCACGGGCTGGCCGTCCGCGAACGGGATCTTGCCGAGGCGGTATCCGTCGGGCGGTTCTCGGTTCCTGCGATGTTTGATCATTCCCAGTTAGCGATTTTCATATTCTACCTACAGTACCTCCCTCCCTCCCTAGCTAAGGTTAAGGAGGTAAGTAACTAGGCAGACAGGTAACTCACCAACTCCCATGCAACGCCACAACCGCCGCGCTCCCATCCCCCGCGAACCTCACGCCCAGCGGCGCATTGTGCGGCGGGAACACCAGCCTCGGCGCCTGCCTCTGCGCGCGACAGAACGCATCCACCTCCTCTGGCGCCGTGCTCCCCGTGACGTTCTCGTAGGGGGTTCCCTCCACGCCGCCGAACTGCGAACCGACTGTGATGAGCCCGGCTTCGTTGGACGGGATGTCGGTGGTTTGCCACGCGGCGAAGCACGCGGGGTAGCCGTAGTTGGCGCCCTTGAGAGGGTTTGAGGTGCTGGCGAGGACGCCGTGGTAGTTCAGCTCGTCGGCGGGGTTGTCGTTGTGGAGGTCTACGTTGGCGCGCGCGATGTTGTCGGCGGAGTTTTCGACGGACCACTGGATTTATGTAAGGGGTATTAGTTAGCTCATGTGTAGGTATATAGGTATGTAGGTCCATAGGAGAGAGAGAGATGAAGGGTAGAAAAGTAACACGTACAATACCCCCCGTAGCCACATCCTCCCCAACCCCCACCGAGTTCCGCAACCCCCACCCCAGCACCTCTCCCGCCTCCGCATACTCCACCGCCTCGCCCGCCCCCAAAAGCTCCGCAACACTAAACATCTTGATCATGCTCCTCCCAGACGCCTGCTCCGTAGTCCCGTTATCGATGTTACCAGCGGAGCCGCGCGACACGAGCAGCACGTCCGGGGCCGTGACGGGCGCGAGCAGCGTGCGGGTGTTGTGCCCTTCGTTGCGCATGTTGGTTATGACTGTCCTTTTTGTCCCGACGGTCCCCGCGGCGGCGTCGTAGGGGTAGGCGTCTACGGTGGGGAGGCTCGATACGAAGAGCGTTTTGCCGTCGGCGGTCAGGGCGAGGCCGTGGTTTAACTTGAGAGCGCGCGTTAGAAAGGGGGTTGTGAGCTTGGGTTATCTACCTAAGGCATCTGATCACGTCTCGTGCGTAGGTATCCTTCAAGCCAGCAACTGTGCAGGTACTCACATCAGCATCGTCAATCAGCTGCGCGCTCGAAACCACGCAGACACTATCACCACTCTCATCCTCACTCAAAACGACCCTCCTGATCCCACCCCCGGCTTGCTCGGCCACAAGCAGATTCCCCGCCGTATCGAAGACAATGTCACGCGGGGACTTGAGCTCGTTTAATATGACTTGTGCGGCATAGCCGTCTCTGATTTTCAGCTGGGCCGATGGCTCGAGAGGAGGAGGGCAGCCTTGCGCGGCGACTGTTGTTGATAGTAGTAGCCCGAGAGCAGCAGCGAGGAAGGGAAAGATAGCCATGGCTGTCGATCTACCTGGTGCCCAACTACCTAGATACGATACTTGGATAGGTAGTTACTGTGCATGTGAAGATCAAAACTGCGCCTCTGGTAGGTATGTCTGAGCACCACCAGCACCGGATCTAGGTAGTGATCGCTCGTGGGAGTTTATATCTACCCCAGACAAACTACACACCTACCCGATTTAGGTCTCTACATCATCACTCACACCAATCTTCTACGGAAGCCGGTAACTATCATACATGTCGCGCTTTCTATCGCCTCCAACAGGATGAATGAACGAGCAAACGAACCAACAGACGAACCAACACTACACAGGCATGGTTGGAGGGATACCGCCAAGTTTATGATGGGCAAGGGGGGTGGGTGGGAAACGACATCCTATCACGGCATCCCACCCCGGCGAGCGATGAACAACCCTGGACATTGGCGTTTATTATTAACCACCAGGCACACACACATGGTGCTTAGACCGGATCGTCTCCAGTCTTCCCTTCCCCTAGACATCCCCCGGTAGACAACTTGTCGATCCTCCATTTGCAAGTATTCGTACACTAGGCACAGTGAGCTGCAGCCTGCAGCAGGAAGACCTCGCCTCTATTTGACCAACAACCCCTTGACCAAGACTTGGCTAACAGGGGAAGCCATCGGGAAGGATGATCTCCATGACGTAAGGTCGCAAAGTGCGTGTGCTGATTGGGTTTCATTGCGACGAGGAGGGTAGACTTTTCGGGTCGCGGCACCACGTCTTCCATATAGAGGAAGGACTAAACAAAAACGCCTGGGCAGGCATTCATCATCTACCTACCTGCCTAGGTACCTAGTTGATATTTCATTCTTGGGATATAATCAAGGTTGCTATGATTGTTATTGGGCTCGCTTCAAATGAGTGACTTGGAAGTAATTGCGATCAAAATTCGTTACACCATAACACATACAACCCTTTCTTAAAAAATAGGGGCTTACATAGTTGCCAAAAATAGGAGACAAATATCACAAGACGAAAACACAGCTATCGAGAAATGCTCAAATATACTAACCTAGGTAGACTTAGCAGTACATATTTTATTCCCGGCGAGTTTTCAGAAAGCTCAAAATACATAATCGGCCGCCGAGGCAATTATTCATGCATGGCCTAGACACCAACTTTTCTGTGGTTTGTCATTGACCCCGACTCGACGCCCTTGGGATCCTCCCATCAAAATGCTCCGAATATATGGTATCCTCTGTAGAACTCGAGTTGCTAAACTTGCATCTCCTTCTTCTTGATTAGCTAATATGTTCCGCCTCCTGCTTCATCCCCGAGGCCAGCCCGATGATCAAGCGACAACGCAACCCGAATCCGTGTACCAGATATAAAAAAAAATATTGAGAAGTGTGAAACTGTCATGCGCGCGAATTGGGGTTTGGGTTTTTTATTATACAGGATATACAACTAACCGTTCGATGTAGACCTCATGAGAAAGAAACAATGCGGAATAGGTATCTCGTGACATTTCATGCAAGTTGCAGAGCCAACCACTCCAGTCTGTAACTAAACAAGCACCTCGAATGGAAAAGGCCCGACCAAGGTGTTCCCGAGTCATTCTCGTTAAATCATACCACCTGGTAGGCCCCCGTCAGGCGAGTTTGGTCCTTGGGCAACAACCTTTCTAGATGTGGGAGGCCTGGTAGCGTTGCTAGGCGCTCGGGAGCCCAACCCGAAGCCTTCGGATGCTATGGGACGTATTCGACGGCGTTCGGGTCGTGGATCTTCGTCCCTATCTGTTGACATGTCCGAAGATAGATTTGGCATGCTGGCACTGGCCTCATCTTCAAGATTCTTGGTTGGGCGTCGGCTCAGGTTATCAAATACAGCACGGGTACTCGAGAAGTCCTGTCTTCGTCTTGGATTGATAGGTGGCAAGGGCGGAGCGGATCGGCTGTTGCTGCGAGACATGTTCTGCTGGGCATCGGGTAGGGATGTGGTAGGAAATCGGGAACTCGACGTCACAAATGTTGGGTCCGAGATGTCTTTCGTCTTGATTTTACGTCTGTTGCCATCAGCCGACGGCCCATTGTTGGCAGCATGGTTGGGGGGCAGTCCTGAACGGGGCGAGGAAGGGAGTGTGGCAGACGATGGACCGCGGGCACCATATGGCGAAGGCATGGGTGAAACAGGAGAGGGCTGACCAGATTCAAAGCCATGGGATGTCTGAACTCGAAGGTTGTTATCTGGCATTAAGTTCGTCGGTCTACTTTGCGTAGATCCCGGATACGGGTGTGGGGGCATGATAGGTGAACGCTTAATATCCGTTCCAGGTAGGCCAGGAGAGCGTAGCATAGGCCGCGTCGTATTTCCGTTTGGTCCTACTTGCAAGTTACCGCGCCCGGAGGCCTTCTCCGTCGCTCGTATCGTCCGGCTGCGTGGCCGCCCGTCAGTACTAGACTCAGAACTGCTTCTGGCACGGTTAGATCTGAACACTTCTCGGGATCTTGATTCCTGGGTCTTTGGTCTCGGCTCTTCACTTGGTATTATATCCGTTTTTGACCGTTTTTGGAAGAACATCGGAGGTGGTTTCCTATCCCGCTCGGGCGAACGATGCTTAGACGACGACGGTCGGTCCTTAGTGGGTGTTGATCGTGCTGAATCGGGCTCGTAACGCGACGGATGCAAAATTTGTATCTCCATGTCTTTCATCTTTTGTAGTTCACGTTTCGCTTGGCGGAACGTACGAAGCCCATCATTGGACTCGCCACCACTAGTTGTTTTATCCTCCCGTTCGCTATTTTCGACCGATTTTCGTTCCCTCGAACTGTCTCTCGTGGATAGGTCGCGCGATGAGTTAGAGGACCCCATACCAAGCATCTTCAAAGCCTTCAACTGCGATATATCACGGCCCCGCTCAACAAATGATCCTCGGCTGCTTTTTAGCTGTAGGAACCCGAGTCCATTCTGCTTTTGTTGTGATGAATCTCTCGCATCTGTGTTATCACCTAATCGGTTGGGGGATGCAGAACGGCTGTCGGATTCGACATATGTAGTTAACCGTTCGCGTACCCGACGGGCTCCATCAGCGAGTTGATCTGCAAATTCATCTCCATCATTACGAGCATTGGGTAGTGTACGAGGGCGAATTCTAGCGAATTCTTCCGGGTCGGCAGTTTTCGGGGACTGAGACAGAGTGTCCGGCATAGGCTCATTAACATCCAAGTCCAAAGACCAATCGCGACTGGCACCATCTGCCGATTCCCATGGATTGGCGCTATTACTCAAATCTTGGAAGGTATCGGAGCCCCCTAGATCCTCCGGGAAACGGGATTCCATGCCTGCTGTGGATGGCATGGCACCATAAATTGACGAAGCATTGCTGTCTCTTCGAAGGTGTTCTCGTACCATGCCGCTCAGCCCAGCGCCAGCAGTTGGCCCCAGAGTGGGCGAGTCCGCAGGCGAGACTTTGCTCGATCTGGGAGAAAGGGACATTGATCGGTCTGAGACTGGTGACGGTTCGCTTACGGGTACCGATACAATAGATTCGCGAAGGGCAGGGTGTTCATGATCTGATGGACGTCTCAAAACGACCTGCGGGGACACGGAAGGCTGGGGAGAAACAGCACGTGAGCTTTCAGAGTCATTCGGGTCAGCTAGAAAGGACATTCCTTGCTCCTCGTCTTGTAGTGGCTCAGACACTGTGGGGACCACGTCTACTTTGGAATCTGACTCCTTCTTCTGGGCAGACGAGGAGGAACTCGATCTGTCACTGACGAACGACCTGTTTGGTTCATCATGAGACCTTAGGGTAGGTGTGCTAGGTGTGTCCCGTCCTTGCTGACGTTGTAGTTGTCGTTGGGCGTATCTTGACTCGTCGTACGGCTGCAAAGGCTTTTGGAATACGCCGAGAGCGGTGGCCTTTCCCAGGTCATAGGGGTGAATCATCAGCATTGAATTCTCCTCAGTTTCACTAATGGGAGGGCTCAAAGGCGGAGCTCCGCCAAAGTTAGATCGCATTTCAGTTGCACTAGGTGCGCGCGCACCGAGATCCGGAGTGCCAGCTGAAGAGGCAGTGGTAGGAGGGCTCATTGATCGTAGGTTCGGGGCACTAGACTTCGCTAGGATCCTTCGCTCTCCACTAAAACGTTCCACGAATCCGATAGTCGTAGGCGATGGTGAATTCTGCGCCAGATCAGGACTTAGGGCACCGAATGTGCGTTGACGAGTAAGGGAGTCAATGCGGGAGAATGCAGATGACTGCTGCTCATGTAGATCGTTATTGAGCCCAGACTCATATAATCGCCTCGTGCGCGTTACGCTTCTCTCCGTAGTAGATGTGGAGCTATTCGATGGCTGCCAATCTTTTATTGACGACGCACGCTGAGAAGAGGAGACTGAAGTCGCCGCAGTCGAGTTCCTAACCAAAGACGGCATCGAAAAGGTTGTGGAGGATGTCTCTCGCTTTTGGTTGTAGTTGCTGGAAATGGGCGATTCTGCGCGAAGGTTGTCGGGCTCTGGGTCGCCTGAGTCTCTCCTTTCATCCTCATCTCCCTCGCCCTCATACGATTTGCCCTCTCTCTCTGCTTGTCTCCATTTCTGAAAGGCTGACAGAGCCACGTCGTCATCGTATAGTGCTCGACCCCCCATTCCACTTGATTTAGAGTTGGCACCCACTGGAATTTTGTAGATCTTCTGCCGCCCGCCAAATAGGTTGTTACCCTCCGTCGGTTTAGAACGTCCCATGATACTACTGGCCTTCGTTGAATCTGCGTCCGAGTTGTACGAGTTCTTCCGAGCGAACGGAGCAGCAGCCCTTATAGACTCCACCTCGGCAATGTCTCCTAGACCATGGAATCCTCCATAATCCAGTCTCGATTGTCGTTTAGGAAAGAGTACGCTGTCATCGCTAGCTTTGCCGATCTTGGTGCTTGGATCATCCTGCTCCCGCAACATGGAAAACCGGGCAGAGAGGCCAGTCATTAATAGGCTGGTGCGGAAGTTATCTGTGGATGGCAGCGCTGTGGAGAGATCGATATCGATTTTCTCGGTTTCTTGGACCTTTTTTCCCTTCTTGCTAAACGGTCGGAAAGGCGTGGATGATTCCGAATCTTCTGACGGCCGAGGAGTCGGCCGAGAAATCGACACATCCTCCTTCAATTCCTTCACCTTCTTCTTTGTCCGGAAGCGATTCATCGTGAGCGATGCCTCTGCCGGTTCTTTGACGTATCAAAAATGTTGTAGTTAGACCTGAAAACTGATCTAGGTTGTAAATGATTGGCTTGTGTAGTGCTTAGCGATGTCGTACTAAGCTACTATCACGTTCCCTATGCCATTAATGAAAGTAATGGGGCCTGCTTAAAAAAATGACCGACTTTGGTGAGATTCGAATCTGTTGAAAATCCTGAGCCAGATCTATACAAGGTCTATGTTAGCTTAAAGAATGTAAATTGGCCACTATATGAGGAAATAGATGTGTAGCCAAGTGTTATTAGTGTAGACGTTGTGTGTGTGTGGGGAGGGAGCGTTAAGGGGCTGCGCACTAGCAGCGCGGACCCGGACATGCTCAGGGGGTTTCTCAATTACATATCATATCATGCTGGGTGAGCTGCATATTGATTGGTAGAAATAGAAACATGTAGGTTGTCCCGTCTCCTGTCTAGTCAAAAACAAAGTGCTGAAAAAGGAAAACTTGGAGGAGGGGGTTAAGAAAGTCATTGGAAGAGCCTACCTGAGAAGGGACTGGCTCGTGTCGGGAGCGTTTCACAGATCGATGGAAGAACCTGGGCAGCTTTGACAACTTGGATAGTCCCAAAGATACCAAGCATGAATTTCTAGATGGGCCGAATGACGATCACACAGACAACTTGGGATAACCCCCGTCTCTTTTCCCCAATAGAACCAATGAAGTTACCTCACTTGGGAGGGCGGGAGAAACGAATATGGACTCAAGGAGAGGGTGTTGTATCGTAAAGATGCGAAAGAGATACGAGGGATTGGGAACTGTCGTCGTTGCACCACAGACCAATGGTTCCTGCAGGATAGGCTGGTAGCAGACGAATGCCGCAATCCGATGCTGTGTATGCTTGCTAAATCTGCAAGATCCGGCCTTTGGGGTCCTGGAATGAGATATGATTGCAAGGCCTTGTGCGATAGCCACTTGGTCAGATTGGTCAAATTGATCAAGGTTTGGTCGAATGCCAGAACGATCACGGTTGCGAGGGTTTCGCTTGTCTGCCTCAGCAACTTCTTTTTTTTTTCGTCTCGGGTTTTTTCTTCTTTCGACAGTGTCTTTGATAACTGGGGCTTGAATCTGATTACTCCAATTGACCGACCGAGGTATCGTTCGCGTGGTGGTCTGTTCGTTTTTCGACGGCGGCTATGTTTGGTATCAAAAGAATGACTGTGGTGAGAGAAGTTGTCGAAGGAAAATCAAAATAATTGACGACAAAGGGAGCAAGCTGCCAAAGAATGAAGGAGAAAAAACAGGCAAGAGAGAGTATGAGTGAATGACAAACTAGCAACTAAACTCAAACGAGAGTAAACTGGACTCAACTCTCCACACGGACTAGGTGGATTAGGAAGATGAGAGCCAAGACAAATACAGCTTGACTGACAAGTCGAGACGAAAATGGGAAAAACCGAATGGGTGGAAATGAGGGTGATGGACTGGGATGAGTAACTAGGACGTAATTGGGATAGTACTGGGATAGAGAATCGAGCTTATCCTGGAAGAGAAACCCCTCCTCCCCTGCATGGAAAAGGTGCTAGCACCTAGATAGGTAAGGACCCTGCATTAGGTATTGTACCTTACACTACATGCAAATACCTGGCAGTAGGTATCTTTGACCAGGGTATGGGCGTACCTAACTCAGTACCTGCATGTACATATGTGAGTGGCACTGAGTGCAGACTCAGGACTGGCTGCGCTATTATGTATGTATGTAAGTAAAACTTGATATGTAGGAACATTGACCGCGTTAGAACAACTTGAATGCTACCTATTCATGGAACCCTAGAAGACATTGAAATCGATTTATACTGTCTTCTTGAGGTATTATCTAGGTACCTACATATTTATGTAGGACTGCTGCATACGTATGTACATATGTAGTACATAGTCCGATAGTCGAGTTTTGATTGTACCTAATATATCCACGTGCCTGTCATCTGTAAAATACCTAGTGCTATGATGTACCTAGGGTACTAGGTATGTAGTAAATACATGTACGATATGTAGCTTCATATTGTCTAATATGTATCTACACATATACATTGCAGGCCTTGATTTTTTAATGTATTAGATCGCTTATCTCCGTAATGGTTTATTTCAAGTTGTCTGTGCTTTATTGAGAACAATATGAGCAACGTATTATGCACGTGCTTAACATCATAAAAGTGAATGTGTAATATCACCTGCCTGATACATGCATCAAGCAGGTGTCAAGTTAATAGACAATCCTGTAAAAGTATCAGGTATTATTAGTCTAAGTTTGAAGTAATAAGAGAAAGCGATCATCTTACTTACCGACTTCAATTGTTGTCTTTACGTGTCCCAGACTCCCAGTTGAGGGACAAATGTAACTCTATTAAGTAAAGCAGCTTCTTGGCAAAGCTCGAGCGATGAGAAAGTAGCCAGGGGGGGAGAGAGGAGGGAGATGAATTTGATGACTCGACAAGTCCACGAGACTCGAGCAAAGCAATCGGGACAGAATTTACATATGTACATACGCCGTACCTAGTAACTATGGGGCGCCGAGTCGTTCAGGCATACCTAGTACCTACCTAGGTACCTACATATTATTCTCATTTGTTTGGTAACTTTGGTTACGAACTTTAAACAACATTGAACTGAAAACAACACTAGAAAAGCATTGTACGACGTCTACCTTTGAGTAACGTCTTTCAAGTATGAAGTCACTGGTAGATATTTATATGTACCTACTACCTAGCGAGCTAACCTACCGCGGTACTTGCGAACGGGACGAATTAACTATCGGTATGTACAAGTTCCGAATTATTTTTGTAAGCTTAATAGTCAGCTTCTTCTAGAACATGACGATCACAATGCTTCATCTTCCCTGTTTGTATCATGTACTACCTACTCACTACATAGTAGTGGATACTATTATCCTAGGTAGGCATTCGCTCGAGCTCTTGAGGATAATACTATGTAGGTAGGAGGTACCAAATGTAGCTAGGCTAAGCAACGAAAATAGCATTGGGCATTCTAGGTGTGAAGGTGAGCATTTGAAGTTTGTGTCATAATTGTAAGTACATGCCTAGGTTAGGTAGGTTACTACGTAAGTCATTCATCTATCGGTGGCGTTTTAAGGCTGTCACACAGCAGCTAGGGAGAAGAGCAGAACGGATGATTTGCATCCAGGTACACCCATAACTACATCTCTTACATATGTAATTGTAGTTGAGCTTCAAAGACTTCAACATTGAAGCTACCAACTTACCTTACATGCATGTAACTATATTATGTGATACGATATTTGCTTCTCTCTGTCGATCCTTAAAGGAACCATCCAGTTGTTTCAGAAAATACATTACTGCTTATGGCGGCCGTTCAGTCAGCCCTCGTTGACGGTTGACCTTGTCAGCTGGACGTAAAGCAAGGAGATGGAATATATCGGAAGCGAAAAAGAAGCAAGCCATACAGCCACAGCATCCCATCTCCCCACCGGGCGGCCGCGTCAAGCACATGCGAGGTACATATTTGTCCAACCACAAACGCCCAAGGAGCAGACTTGACAACGCCACTAAAAGCCATGTCTTGCCATCGCTACCACATATGTACCTACATATGTGCACTTACATCTTGTACGAGTTCGCTTCCAATAACGGTTACCTACGTAGGTACACACATGTGCACTTATCAGTCTTCGTTTTTACATGTGTAATTCTCAGTACCGGGTAGCGGATATGCGTTGGGCACATGATCTACACGGGCACTAACAATGCTTAAGCGGCGCGGTACCGCCTCGACGGAACCGACAACATCACGGTACTTGTACAATACATACATTATACATAGTAGTATGTAGTAAGCTTAATTGTTTGAAGTGGATTGACGAGCAAGCGCGAGGACGGCGCAAACGGAAGTTTAGGGGCCTCGGCTTCGAAGTTCGTACTAGGTATGTACTATAGTATGTACATGGACTCGACGTCTCAGCCTCTTCGCCTCTTCACGAGCTGTCAGCTGTCAGATGTTACATGACTGCATAGTAGTTATATACATAACTACCCATATGATGGTAGTTACATACATAATTACTTGAAGTAACTCAAGAGATACAACAGCTCTACAGTTAATATCAATGATCACACACGTTGACTTATGTACGCTATGTACATTTTACCGTGACATTGTAAAACAAGGTGATCGCTGCGACGGTGTGCGCTAAAATGCTATAGCACAGACGACTTAAGGCTTCCGCGGTCCAATCAAACGGCTGTTCCTGGCGCTTGACCACGTATGGCTCTAGTCTTCGAACCCTAAATGAATCAACCCCTGAAAATGGAGGGTAGTATCCGTACAGTACATTGTGTACGGCACTAGTCGGCGGATAGCATCCATTGCATCCATACGTAGCATCCACATGTAGACGTTTTTTTTTTCTTCTCCTTTTCCTTTTTTTTTTCATTTTTTTTTTCATTCATTAACTATTAGTTAGTTAGTTATTATTAATATAGCTGCGGGATGCTTATATGATGCTTATATGCATGATCCCACTAACTAATATGATTAAAGACAGTACTCATCACGAACTTGTTACCATATCTGATACCTACCTACATAAGCTCGTCTAAAATAGACGATGGCAAAGTGATCATCGTATATTAGTTATATTCTGCAATATGTGTGGTGTCTAACTTTCCACCACTTGTCACATTCCCACCGGACCCTAATACTAGGATGGTTGGATGGGGCTCAACGAGAAGGATGATACTAGGTTAGTTAGGAAGATATTCATACCAATCATCGTTATGTTATTGCTAGAATTCAAACAAGTTTGCAGAAATCACCTACATATGTACTATGTAAGTAGTCATGTCATGCACAGTCATCAAACGAAGCTACTACATGTGCATGTATGTACAACTATTATATATGAATACGATCATATATGAATACGATCAAATGGTGTAGCGACTCTAGCGAGGTTCAAAACTTCAAATACCTAACTACATAGTTAACCCACTTCTCCCGCAATCAACGGCCCGCTGAAGCACCACCGCGGCACCGCCCATCTCATCTACATACAGTATGTTTATTTTGATACTTGAAAGAATGCTTTTAAGATATGAGATCTCGATAGCAAATCCTTGACTCCTTTGGACCCAGGAGCGTGGATAGGCTCCATGACTTGCTGTGGTCCCTACCCTCTGACATGCCATCCGCGATCCACTTCATTTCGATCAGACCGCGTGGGATATCCTTGACAGGTTGGTCGCCTTACAAGAGGGCACCAAATTTGCTGTTTGTCAATATCAAACTGACCCAGCTATGGCTTGAGGTTGACCGAAATAATTACGAAATTGAGAATAGGCCAATTGCCTGAGCGGCTGAGCCAACAAATAACTATTGGATTGTATGATATTAGTTCCAACTTCTAGCCAACGAAGTTTGATCGCACTTACTTGAGATGACATCGACGTTCCAAACAGGGCTCCTTAACATACGGAACATTAGGGAGACGATATTTGGTACATACTAGGTACAATACCTACCTAATAGTACCTACTACCTATATGTAGGTAGGACCTGGTAGGTATGTGGACATGCAACACAACTGCCTCCATACAAACGACGCCGTCGACCCTAACCGTATGTCAGCCGCAACGAGCCATAGACATATGGGCGCATGACCCCGACCTAGCGCGGAAAAGATCTTGCCTTCCGTTACAGAATCCTTCATCTTTATTTCTACAGAACTTATATCACTTTCCCCTGTAAACTGCGGAGGTAAAGCTTTAACGTTGGGAGTATGGTTCTACGCCAGCTGATACATCTACATACAAATTGATACAATACATACATGATGATACATCTTGTATGTACAGCCGCATGTACATTTATGTGTTACCAACAGCACATCTCGGAGAAAAGTATTCTTATTGCATACATATGTATGTAACAATTCCACCAGGAGAGTTGCTGACGAAGAAATACATACATACATATGTAACCTCTGTATATATCGTCTACATATGTAATACTATAAATTAGGCACATAAATATCGTGCCTTTGTGGGTTGGTGTTACAAGTGGCACGAAGGATGATTCTGCCACTGGTGGTGACACGCAAACGTCCTCGGATTTATTAGCACTATGCTCCTTCGTGACTCGTAATTTGTAAATATGAAAAATGTCTCATACGGCAGGACTTAATGATCTTAGGATGAGACAGCTATATTGGAATCATTATTACTTCATCTTGCGCAGTACATAGCAATATGTACCTAGGTAGGTACTTCAGAGGTGGTGAACTTCTACCACTCAAAAGACAGACAGATAATTTGAGGTAGGATCAACACCTATCCTATGCAGAAATAGAATAATGGCAAGAAGATGTGTCAGACAGTGTATGTAGTTTATCACTATCACCGTACGTAACGGGCATCTTGGATGCCTATGTACGTCAAAAAAACATCACGGCGTACCAGTCTGAGATTACCATTCGTGTATGTTCTCCGGGCGCATCACGTTGCGCAGGGCTAGCCCAAGCCTATAAAGGTCCCGAGAGCAACCCATCGTGAGGATTTAAAAGTAATTCATACCAAATGTGCCGCGGTTCTGGCTGACACCATCGCCAACAGCACCGGTAGCACTGATGTAATCCTAAGAAGAGATCAGCCACGATGTGCATCCGCGTGGCTTCCCAAGTATATTAAAACGTCATTTGATTTCTTTCAAACTGTAAAAAGCCGTTGAGATTAACCCAACGATCGAGCGATCAAAGGATCGAGATCGTTAGAGGTTAGAGGGAATCATCCTTCATGAGCCACCCAACTAAAGCGATTTGAGGGTCAAGTCCAAACAATATATTGATATGATTTCATATATAAGAATGCATGTATACTTCTATACCCTAGGTAGGCACGTATTTTCAAAGCAATGAATGAAAGGCCAAGAAATGATAGATGTTCCAAATGTATGACTTACATACATATATGTACCTAAGTACTTTGTCATGGAAAACCCATGATGTCTTTGCGTGGTCTGTCTGCCGTATGTTTTCTCGTCTCATACATACATCTCATACATATCTGACTATGCCGTGCCTACATATTGACAGAAAATCTTTCGGATGGGATGGGAGATGTGCGCGCGGGCCTCTTCTCCTCCTACAAAGGGTCGAGATGTGCATCCCATCTGGAACTCCCGACTTTTCCCGCATTCATTACGACCAATGAATTCATGCGACGGGCGTAGAAGGAGTGTCACCACCATCGCCACCCAAGAGCGCGGCGGGATTATGGGCGCTTGGGGTGTTGGAGGCTGTTCAAACCCCTCATGATTATGTGTTGCAATAGTCTAAAGAAATAGAACGAGCCAGTAGAAACTCTTCCAGGGCTTCCAAGCGTAGGATACACCAAGGGATATAATACAAGAACGTGGGGTGCTACCACTCGTACAGGCCTTACTGTAGCTGCAAAATCGCCGGTCACGCTGACTGATGATCCTTTTACGATCGACCCCCAACCCTCAGCTTTTCCTCATCAGGTCTACTGCAGCGAATCTACGCTCTGTGATTCGTTTCCACCAGATGAAGTGCCATGCGGGGTAGTGGCTTTTCAGTAGTGTAGTTTGTCTGGACCCTGCGTACTGAATAATACGACTGCGTAAAATATGCTTTTGCGATATTTCTTGGTTTCCTTCCCTTTCCTCCTTGCGCCCACTGTGATGAGAAGGGCTGCCCTTGTAGGCAGCTAGAGCGTCTATATGAAGGCGATGTCCCAGAAGGAATCCTATCCCAAGGGGACTCACATCTCTCTTTTCACTCACTCACTCACTCACTCACACTTACTCTGGTAAATCTTGCAACCTTCTATCAAAACTGTGAAGCAAAAATCAAATCTATACACTAGGTTTCTTACACTGTTATACTTATAACTCACGTCATCGACCAACATACCAACCACTACAACAAACCTTCATCATGTACGCGGCTCACTGTTGCAAATGTGGCGGCATCTTCGTCATCAACACCGACTGCACCTGGTGCAAGCACAAGGAATGCTCTGATTGCCACTAAGCTTCATCAGTCCCTATGTAGAAGGGCAGAAAGGCAGAAAGGCAGAAAGGCAGAAAAGGGTAGGCTCGGCATTGTGTTGTGTTCATCTAGATGAGTCACATACTGACTAGTCTATAGCTTTTTCTTTCAAACTCACAGCGGGGCAGCGACAGCAGCAGCAGCGCGCGTAGAAGCGGTCGAATTTTCCTGTGGTGGGACATTGGGAATCAATATTTCCTTTTTTTCTCCCACCAAGAATTACGATTAGGTCGACGGGGCTTGGCGTCCAGGTGGCGGTCATGAATGGTTATGGTTGTAACTGATGGACATTGAGTAAAAAAAGGGAAAAAAACCAAAAAAGCAACGGCGCTCGCGGTTTTACTCGGCTCATGGTTTCCAACGGGGCAACCTGTGGTCCTGTCACGGGTACACATGTACAATACAATACATACGATACCATGATTATGGCTCCTTTCAACAATATTGGGGCGTGCGAATGTCGTTGGGTCGTTTGGCCGGTAGCGAATCTGCGCTGGGCGATGTACAATAGTTACTAAAACACATGAATTGAGGTATTCCACATTACTCGTGATCTAGGGGGTCATCTGAATGAAGAACAAACAAAAAGTGCTAACCTAGTTGTTACTGAACTGAAGGATATCCTTGGCGATGCTCTTGGCCATATCATCCCAGCATACCTAATATTATCACCGACATCAGGTGGTAATTTTCACTGGTCTCCTCGAAGGAACACTTGGTAAAGCATCGCGATGGCCGATCAAATAAGCGATCATGGAGGAGACAAATGCATACACATGATGCGTCTATTAGCTCGTTTTCAATGACAAACTGCAAATCCTGCACTGCCGCAGTAACCAATGCCACGTCTTGCTCGAAAGTGGTTTAAGGGATCGATCAGGTTCAATATCTAGATTGGTGAGATGGATGTGTAGGAGGAAGAAAGGGAGAAAGAAAGCCCATTGCCATCCCCTCATTTCAGTGCAGCCCCTCGACAGACCAAAGAAGGGCCAGTAAAAGCCAGCCACTGACGGCAGTGTCCTTCCGCCCACAAGCTTGGACCCTTCTGAAGTGAAGGTGGCACAGCATGGTAAGGTGTAAATAACTAACCTGTAGCCTGTAACCATCGTCAGAGGGTTGTCAGCCTTGCCAGTGAACTACCAATAATTTCGTTACTACATAACTACATAGTACAGTTTGCTTTCTTTAAAATCGAGAACTAACCTTGGAATAATTGCTAAATCTCCCAACTTACCAGGTATTCAGTAACTACTAACTACTAGTCTTGAGGTATCCATGGATGTATGTATTAATTGTATTCGATATACCTACCTAACCTACCAGGTCCTCCCTACCAACCCAGGTAACTGGGCTCAACCATCTCTTGGCCTCTCCACACAAAATCGTTGCTAATATCCACATGTATCGGCCAGATGGTTAAGAAGGAGCCAGAGTAAAACTGCATATGTACATAACTGCATAGTACTGGGTAGGTATGCATGTAACCGCTTCTTAAAGAATCTAACCTACCTGTCTGTAAGGTCCAAAGGTAGGGAGGTGGACATAGGGGAGAGAAATACTTGGATGGAATCCTTTCCGAACTACTTAACTAGCATTGAATAGCACAACTCATTCTGCTTCGAAGGATTCTCTTTGCTGGGTCTCCATGGCCTCACTAACAAGTACCGAAGATAGCCTACCAAGTTCCAACTTCCAAGACACTACTATGTAGTAGGAGACTAACCACAAACCTGCCTAGTAATCACCAAGCAAAATCCACTTGGTTAGGTGTCCAGTAGCTTCCAAATTGCCTCTAGTGCTGCATACAGATGCCTGGTGTTGTGGTATAAGCCACGTTGAAAAGCCTTGATAGGAACCACTATTTACAACCCTAGAACTCAGGTTGAAAGTCCATAACAAATAAGAAGAGCAGACTTTTTCAAAGCTGAAAGTTCGTCTAAACAGCTATCACTTTGTGAGTTAGGAGGCCTAGTGATCTCGATTTAGCCATTTTAGTTATCTTGCAAGTTTAACATGGCAATGGCATCCATCTGTTATTGCATCGTCACATGTGATGGAAGGGGGAGAGGGAGACAAACAAAAGACAAAACCAACGGTCCTAGGTGAGGCAGTCTATGATTCTCAACTCATCATTCAGATCAATTAGTCTCATATGATGTACGTTTGTGCATATGCATTTGTGTTTCAGTCGTAACAAATCAAACGGCTCACCATCGACCCCCTCTTTGTCCCCTGACGATATAAAACAAGCACACCGCAACAATCCTAGGAGTAGTAGATTCAACTTCATCTTCGTCTTTTATGTTAACTTACACATCTTGATATCCAACTCCAAAATGGTGAGTTCCGCTAGTATAGGAAGAGTCTAGGTATATACTCTAACAACTTTGTAGGTTCAGAAAGCAGTTTATTCAGTGAGGGTCAAGGGTGACTCCTCAGATAACCTCACCCTTACCCCTGCTTCGACCATGGAGGCAATCGAGGATCTTGGCCTACAGATTCACCCTATCTCAACGCAAGATGGAGTTATCATTCGGGTACAGCCGCCAGCAAAGCCAAGAGATCCTAGTCTCCACCATGTTCCATGCGATATCGTGCTAGTTATTGATGTTTCCGGAAGTATGTCGTCGCCAGCTCCCGCGAAAATGAGCGGAGATGATGGAAAGCCAAGCCAAGAAAACTTTGGTTTATCCATTCTGGACATGGTGAAGCACGCGGCACGCACAATTCTTAGCACTTTAAACCAGGGGGACAGACTCGGAATCGTCACCTACAGTACCGAGGCTGTGGTATGTCCGCAATCCTCTCCTATTGCATGGCATCTCTTGCTTACAATGATATTCCCAATAGGTCATCCAGAAGCTGTTACCGATGACAGGCGATAACAAGAAGTTAACCGAAAGGAATATCGAAGCGATGAGAGCCCAAGAACGGACAAATCTTTGGCATGGTATCCAGAAGGGAATTGACCTTTTCGATGAAGTAGATACGGGTCGCGTACCTGCTGTTATGATCCTAACAGATGGACTACCTAACTATATGTGCGATCCTTCGACGCATGCTCAAGCTATACATGTATGGCTAACATGGCTCTCAGGTGTCCCGCTCAAGGGTATATCCCGAAAATACGCAGCAAATACGAAACCCTCCCTGCAACCCTTCATACGTTCGGGTTCGGCTATGTGATCCGGTCAGGTTTGCTGAAGTCCCTGGCAGAAATCGGCAGTGGCAACTACGCGTTTATCCCCGATGCTGGCATGATTGTATGGGATCCAAACCGCATGTTTCTTTCTTCGCTTTGCTAACCGAATCCCAGGGAACAGTATTCGTTCACGCAGTCGCCCATTTGCAGTCGACTTACGCTACGAAATGTCGGCTGCAAGTGTCCGTTCCTAAAAGTATGGGTTTGAAAATAACATCTGGCAAATCGATCGGCACAGAAGAGCAGGAGGAAGCAGAACGCAAAACCATCACTTTCAAACTCGGAAATCTGCAATATGACCAATCCAGAGACATATATCTTGAACACGTCAACACCGAGGGTCAAAAAGTCCAGTTTAGTACCGTGTCGGGAGATGCCAGTGTCGACGCGACACTCACGTACTCGCAAGTAGGAGGTCCGGAATTACGCACCACCGCCCACAACGATAAACTGAACATTTGCGTTCTCCCCGAGGCCGAGGTTGCCTACCACCAGAGCAGATCGATGATATGCGAGTTTCTTTCCTCCCTCTTTCCGCTTCAGAAAGACGAGGAATACGAGACGCGGAAGAACGTCGACCCTAGGCGCCATCAGCCAAGTCTAAAGCGCCTGCTAGAGAATATACCAGCTAGATTCCATAGTGACGAGTACAATAAATCTCTGATGGAAGACCTGCAAGGAGAGCTGCCGTCGGGGCAGGTGAGCCTTGCGTTATCCACGTCCGAGTATTTCTGCAAATGGGGATGTCACTACTTTTTCAGCCTATGGAATGCGCATGCGAAGCAACTGTAAGTCTTGCCCCTTTTACCCCCCTTCTACCCCCCTTTCAAAGCATATAGCTACCTACCCAATAGACCTACGTATAATTCCTAACCTTCAAACACCAGATGCAATTCCTTCAAGGACCCGGGCCCCCTAATGTACAACCGCAACGCCTTCTTCGCCAAGTGCCGAGACGCCCTCGACCGCGCCTTCGACACCATCCCCCCGCCCAAGCCCTCCTGCCCCAACGTCGCCACCACGCGCCACATCCAAATGAGTCAACTGAACCGCGCCGCGGGCCCCTGCTTCACCGGCGCCAGCAAGGTCGCGCTGGACTCCGGCAAGCAGGTCCCCGTCCGCCAGCTCCAGAGGGGCTCGCGCGTGCGCACGCCCGCGGGGAGCAGACAAGTCGCTGCCGTGCTGAAGACGATGGTGCAACGGATTGCGATGTGCAGAATCGCGGATGGCCTTGTCGTTACGCCGTGGCATCCCGTCTGCTATGAAGACAGAGACAGCAACATGGCGCCTGGTTGGGCTTTCCCAGCGGATATCCTGGCGCAGTCGGAGAAGCCGCAGGTCGTGATCTACTCGGGCGCTATATACTCCGTGCTTCTGCAGCCGGATGACGAGGTCGAGGCGCACGCGCTCAAGATTGGGGGGTTGTGGGCTGTGACGTTGGGCCATGGCTTGGTGGAAGGAGATGATGTCCGCGCCCATCGATTCCTAGGAGACTATGGCAAGGTTGCGGAGGCGATTGCGGAGTTACGGCCGGGGAGGGATGGTGTTGCGCTTTCTAGTGGTGTGAAGAGACGAGGCGCGGATGGGTTGGTTTCGGGTTTTAGGAAATATGTACCACGACAACGGACGGGAATTGGACACTGAGTTGGAAGACATTTAGTGTTAGGGTTTGGTCAAGATGTTGGATATTCGCGTCTTGTAAGGGGGAAAGGGAGAGTAAATACACGTCGTCTACCTACCTCTTCAATACATACACACATACATACATGCAACTCCTCCATGTCTGGTATTAGGGGACCTGAGGGCAGGTGGAGTCACGATACTCACCATGATGTTTGCACAAAAGCTATATTGGTAGGTGCTGTCGATGCTCATTCCTACCCTAAGGGCATGCCGAGCCTTGTAGTCTAGGTAGATAGGGCTGTAGGTGGCCCCTGGGAAGGAACTCGTGTGAACTCAATGTACTCATCCACTTTGTGCCGCCTGCTATACGACTGGCGGTAGTTGGACAAAGAATTCACCTATACTTACCGCATATAGTATGGCTTTTTGCCTGCCTACAGCGGTGTTTGCCAGAACCTCGTCGTCGCCCCACTACTCCACGGGGCATCGTGAAATAGTGACCTCCCTACTAAACTTGCTGCTCCAATCGAGGCAGGAGGTATGGTTTGTACCAACTACCTAATCAGGCGAACGCAGTTGCCTTAAATATTTCATATGAAAATTTTTAGGCAATTGCACGAAATATTCGAATATTTAAAGGAAAAAAATACGAAGAATCACCCACCTTCTTCCTTATATTCTTCAGTGCCATCACGATATGCACTTCATCTTCAGCTCTTCTTTTCTTCAATCTTCGTATCTAGGTGCTTATTAACTAAGTCGCCATGTCTTCCTCGATCAATGATGGCGATGTCATTGACGTTGCCACTGCCCTAGGTCTCATGCAACTTGAAGACGCATCTCCAGCGAGCGCCAACCACGATGATTCCGATGATCTCATTGAATTTGATCATAGTGACACTGGTGATGATGCTGGCATGTCCGATGGCCATTCCGCTGACAATGCCGCCGCCTCTGGCCCTGGCCCCGCCACCTTTGATATCATGCGCTTTTCACATGACTTTAACAATTCCGAGAACGGCATTGTCGAGCGTAGTCATGTCCAAGGCGGCCATGAACCTGATCTCATCGAGCTCGAAGATGACGTTGATTTCGGTATTGACAGGTATGTTGGATAGTCAGTATTCTCAATTATCAATACTAATTGCACAAATGTCTACAGCCCAGGAACCTTTCATCAGTTCCGACGTCTCCCGTATGTAATCCGAAAGCGCATCTGGGAGCAAGCTTTATACGACGAGAACCGCATCGTTCAAATCGTGGTAGATGAGACCGGAATCGCTGTGAAGGACGCCCCGATGATCAAGATGATGTTCGTGTGCTTAGAAGCATATTACCTCGTGATGGAAACCTATCGTCGTTTCACACCGGGAGAGACGATGAGGCTATCTCCTCAATCTTGCCTAGGAGACGGCTTTCTCTTGTCTCCCAAGTACGACATCTGCATGATCGGAGGCCTTCCCGAGGTTTTCGGCCGATTTGTTACCGATGCGGGTAAGTAAAAATTCCATTTTCTTGTTTCAATGGAAACCAGGCTTTCCCCTATTTATCCACCCACCTACTAACGGCGACTGCCATAGTCTTGCAGTTCCGCGAGGATATTACTGCGGCTCCACGGTTCCTCCCGATGTACAAAATGCAGGCCCTCCTCACCCACGATAAGTTCAGACGAGTGGGACTTTGGGAGAGTGAAGTTCACGTCCCTCTGCACATTGGTAATCTTGCTGCACAGCAACTGATTTCCTGGTGGCTCTCTGTCGACGAGATCTGGTACGCCAACAGCGACGGAATCTTGAATCGAGGACGAAACTAGGAACGCGCTTCCGTCGAGGAGAGATTCAGTCGATACCGACAAAGGGTCATTCTACACAATGTCTTCGTCGCCGCCTCCGAAAAATACTGGGCAGAAGGTCGCGCTGAGGAAGCAAGCTTCCTAGACTGGTACGGCCCCGATTACGTTCGGACGCAGATAGAAGAAGACTATTAAGTTTCTACCTCGGGAGAACTTAAGTATCTTCACTATTGCTACTACAACTGCTAGTTTCATACCTATCTAGGTAATGAGATACTACTGCAATTTGCTACCTCTACAGAGAGGATACGGAATCTAACCGTGGGAATCGTTCGAGCCATTTAAACGGCAGTCGAACAAGATATTTGCGCATGCGTTCTACACCAGGCCTTCTACGATAGTTAGTTAGGTACACAGATAAAATACCAAAAACATGATGAAAAAAAAAACGTTCCAAGGTTGTGATTGCTCTTCTTCTCACTGTTACCGAGAGTATATGATCTTTCGTGAAGCAGTGCTTGAGTGGTGTAAGTATCACGAAATCCTACATGTCTACGATCTACCTAACTAGGTACAGTCCCTTTTCGGGAACTTTGATGATTTCCTTTTTTCTTTATTGTTTTATTCTTTTTAATCTCGGCTTAAATTTTCGTTCTTCGACCCCAATAGATCCAATGCCTACCAAGTATACAAGGACCACTAACAAACTGGTGATATTATATATAAATCGAGGCGTTACTAACTCATGAAGCAAGCAGCAGGTTAGTGAGTACTTTGCCCTTAATGATGTAATGATTTCGGGCGCTTCTGCTACTTGTCTCACAATCATTGTTTATGAATTTGGACTGCAGAGTGACGGTTGACGAGTGTAGATTCAACGAGTTTGGATAATCGTGGAGGGTTAGGGACGTTACCAAGTGTGTTACCAAGGGCCATAGTATGTTACCTAGTACCAAGCTAACCTAGGTACCTAGCCTATATGGTTTTAGACAATATGCATAATATGAGGCAGTATCTGATTATATAAACCCCGCCAATTGGTGCATAACTACTACTAGTAGTAATGGCACATAGTGGGGGTACCCACCACTACCCGCTAATTATGAAGGGAACAAGGTTGCCAAGCTGCATTATAGTGGGGACGATATACCTAGTAACTATCTGGAGATGCTTTCGTGTTAACTTTTTGGACTTTTGTAACTTTTTGGGGTTTTGGATTTTGGAGTTGCACATGTGAAGCTTTACCAATCTCTCGTGCTCGTACTTTTCCAATTGATTTATATTCATGCGGACATCTCCTCCTGTTTTATATCCGTAACCATGCGCCAATCTGAGGCTTTGATGCTAATAGGCATCATAGCTCCGAATGGGATTGCCTCAGCAAGTTCTTTGCCACGTGGTGTTGGCCCTGAATGTTAGTTTTCTATTGTGTGCCCTCATTCCGGATTATGTTTCTGTTCTCGATTCTCAATTATCGAAACTCTTACGCCATGCACAGATGAAGCTATGACCGTTAAGTAAAACTAACTAATTTAATCTAGTTGTCAAATTCTACGAAACCAAAGACACATTCACCTGTATAGGCCACCCTTCAATATCAATCGCTGCCTCTCGAGTCAACGATAACTCGTGTGACTGCCCCGATGGTTCTGATGAGCCTGGCACTGCTGCCTGTGCCTTACTCGACCACCTCTCCCCAGAGCAACCCTTCCCTGGTTCATCCTCCGGAACCACAAATACTACAAATGCCCTCCCTGGCTTTTGGTGTGCTAACGAAGGTCATATCGGCACATACGTCCCTTTTATGTATGTAAATGATGGAGTATGCGATTATGACCTTTGCTGTGATGGTACCGAAGAGTACGGGAATGTGGGTGGAGTTAAGTGCGAGAACAAGTGTGCCGAAATCGGTAAGGAATGGAGACGTATCGAGAAAGAGCGGAAAGAAAACCTAGAGCGTGCCAACAAACGCCGCAGAACGATGGTGAAGGAAGCTAAGGAACTCCGACGCCGGGTTGAAGCCAAGGTTGTCGCTCTCGCTGGGGAGGTCAAGGAGCTTGAGACCAAGCGGGATGAATTGAAGGCGAAGCTTGACGAGGTCGAGCTCCAAGAACGATTCAAGGTTGTCAAGAGCGAAGGGCCAGGAAAACTTGGCGTCTTGGCTGGGCTGGCTAAGACGAGAGTAAACGAACTGCGGGACTCTCTGAGCAAAGTTATGAACGAGCGTCAGCAGCTCAAACAGAAGGTCTCGGAGCTGGAGGGAATCTTGTCTGCCTTCAAGGAAGAATACAACCCCAATTTCAACGACGAAGGTGTCAAGAAGGCCGTTCGAGGCTGGGAAGACTATGCCGCCAAGAAAACGGAAGAAGCTCAGGAACAGCTCAACGAGGCGGACATCCAGGAAGTCATGAAAGAAGATGGTGAAAGCTCGGGCATCAACTGGAAAGAGTTTGATGAAGACGAAGCTACCGATACCGATATTTGTAAGTGTGAAAGTAAACTACCAAGTTCACAGTTGATCATGGCTAACAAGTAGTGTAGTGTACAGCTTTGAGGCTTACCTTCCTGAGCCACTTCGAGAATTCCTTCATTCCAAGATCACACTTTTACGAGTCTGGCTGATCGAGAATGGCATTTTGGCTGACAGTGGCTCCCAAAAGGGCGAATCTCGTCTGGTTAAGGCGGCCCGGGAAGCCCACGACGCAGTAGCTAACGATGTCAACGCTAAGCGACGAACGCTAGAAGAGCAGCAACGGGACCTGGAGAAAGACTACGGCCAAGACGAGATCTTCCGGCAGCTTCAGGGTAAGTGCATTTCGACGGAGGCGGGTGAGTACGAGTACGAGCTGTGCTGGCTAGACAAGACGAACCAGAAGAGTAAGAAGGGCGGTGGCAAGACCAACATGGGCAACTTTGATCGCTTCGACTGGGATGAGGCGGATGAGGATGAACGTCATGATGGTAAGGGGCTCGGCAGGGGCAAGCGCCTCGTACTGCGGTATGAGAACGGCCAGCATTGCTGGAATGGGCCGAACCGGAAAACGGACGTGTGGCTCGCGTGCGCCGAGACCGAGGAGTTATGGCGAATTAGTGAGATGGAGAAGTGCGTTTACAAGATGGAAGTTGGCACGCCGGCAGTCTGCGAGGAAGCCGTGGAACCTGGACATGTAAAGGATGAACTTTGATGATGAGATTAATGAATTTTTGATAGCAGAGAGCGAGCATTAGTTAGGTGCAGAGCTAGTCACGTTATTTACGAAGGAATAATCGTAAAAAATAGCAGATTTCAGGATGTCCTGGTATCTATCTGACAGCCTCGCTGCTCTTGTATCCGCCCACCATTTTCCGTCGCTTGCTCCGCTCCTCTTGCTCCGCTAGGACTTTGGCTGTTAGGGACGCCGTCATGGGATTATTTATGCGGCTCGATATGTCCTTCTTGTTTTCCTTAACCTTTTCAGTATTTCTAGCATCCTTCTTCTCTTTTTGTGCTTCATCCGTATCCCTCTCCTTCTCTTCAGCCTTGCGCTTCTTTTTACTAGCGCCCTTATCCTTTTTCAGGGAGTGCGTTAAACCCAACGCCTTTAGGTCGTCTATTCTCTTGGCCAGCTTTTCTATCTCACCCTCATCGGTCGAGAGTATAGGAATTACATCGCGCTCTTCGAAAGGGGCGCTGCATTCGGGGCATTGCTTCTCAGTATCGAATATCTCCTTCATAGCAACTTCGGCGAAGACGTGACCGCACGGCACTATATATACGCCTTTCGTGGCGGCACCCAGCTCCTTCAAGCTGACAGGGCAGGCGGCGAATTCGCGACTGCCCTTTTCTTCTTTCCTCGTGGTGATCTTGAGTTTGGCGACATCCTTCAGGTTTTTTATGCCGGTGCGGGCGAACTCCGCTTCCTGGGTCTCTGGCAGGGGCGTCTCGAACGAGGCGGGCATGAGGCATTGCAGGACGGACTCGTAGTTGTAGAGGCGCCCGCGCCAGTCGGACACGGTGTTGGAGAGGTCGAGGGGGGCATCGGAGAGTGGGCAGGTTGTCCAGGCGTGGACGAGGGATTCGAGGGCGGTGGCTTTGAGTTCGGAGGCGTTGGGGAGCCGGGCGGCTTCGCGGACGAGTTCGCGGCGCTTGGGGATGGAGCCGCCGTCGTTACCCATGGTGTTGATGGATGTGTGATTGATTTTGAAGCGATGAAGAGACTGTTGAGTTTGGAGGTTTCCAACTTAGGTATGCATTGAGATGCTATTGAATTCTAATAGGTACATGTAACTATTACTATGTATGAACTTACTAGGTACTAAGGTTACATAATGAAGGCAAGATGGCAGATGCAAGGGTCCAATTTACACGCCTGCAACGCGTCTATGCTTTGTTAGTTATCGATAAGATAAAGCTTATGTGTACCGTTAAGGCCAAGATTTATACACTGTACCGGTTGCCCATGGCGTGCCTAAACATTGAATAATAGGCACAACTAAGGAGCTAAGATGTCAGGGCGGTTACGTATGTAGGTTAAGGTTGAAAGGATTATAATCGTTATAGCATCCGATACGTAACCTTGGAAACTTAGAATGATGGAAGAGAGACGCTAATGTCGCAAATACAGTGTGACAGAATATACGCATTACCGTTGACATATTTACCTACATACCTAGAGGTAGGGTATTGTATTGTACCTAGGTAGTATGTAAGTGCACTAATTCGGTGCTAGGGAATTCTACAGCGGTTCCTCCTTGTCTCGTCCGCATATCACATAACCTTGTACAACATTGAACCCCATATCCCCGTCACAACCTTTGAGTAATTGAGCGATTGCTTGATTGAGCAAGAAGGAAACACCGCGGTTATCCTATCCTAATCCCATTATCCCACTAAACTATTACATGGTAGGTATCTACCTACCCTCCTACGGTACCTGTCTGGTGCGCTCCAACAAAATCAACGTCACCTTTTACATACATACTACTAGTAGTAGCAGCACTTACCATACCTACATACTACTTACCGCTTTTCAACCACTCGGCCTTTTCGCTTTTCTTCGTCCTTTTCAGACGGCGTCCACTTTCCGTTTTACATACTTCGTTCCTCCCTTTATTGTACCTATTAGGTAGTGCTGTTGCAACTTTACAGCGCCCGCAGTTTGGGTTGCTAGAGTATCTTCCTTTTAGTTTATGACCCTTGCGATCGAATGTCGCAAATTTCGTCGATACTCTCCATCCTTGATGAAGTTTGAATACATATAGCTCCTGAAGCTGGTCGGTCCTCAACGCAGCTGAAGGAAGAAGGGAGAAGAAAGTAGCAACGCCAGCATAGGCGACGCTGGACTCTAGCTGTCGCCCATCATGGCGCAACAGCAGCAGCTGGCCCTAGAGGCTCTGGATAATATTACAAGAGATTTGAAGTCAAGAGCCGGCGACGACGTACGAAAGCGAGCTGCCAACCAGCTCCATGATCTGGTCATTGTTTGCTATAGAGGTTCGTACCATCTTGATCCCCAGGGCAGACATTTGATGGCAATCTCTGCCCTGCTGCTCTAGTACACTTGCAGCTAACCACGCCGGTGTTTTCAACTACAGATTTACAACCAGAACAATTCACTGTATTCTATAATTCCGTCAATAACAAAATTACTACCTTGATGCTCCATGGCAACGACTCCTCCGAACGATTAGGCGGTGTCTACGCCCTCGAAGCCCTCGTTAACTTTGAAGGTGTCGATGTAACCGCCAAATACACCCGATTCACCGCGAACCTCAAGACCATCTTACGGGGGAAAGATATTGTACCTATGCAGCCTGCTGCTATGGCTCTTGGCAAGCTCTGTCGTCCTGGTGGTTCGCTTATATCCGAGCTGGTCGAATCTGAGGTCAAAACTGCTCTCGAATGGCTTCAGTCGGATAGGGTGGAGGAGAAGAGATACAGTGCTGTGCTGGTCCTTCGCGAATTAGCCCGGAATGCGCCTACCTTGATGTACGCGTATGTTGGCCTGATATTCGATCTAATATGGGTTGGCCTTCGCGATCAACGCCAACTCATTCGCGCAACATCTGCAGAAACCGTCAGTGCTTGCTTTAAAATTATTCGTGAACGAGACCAGGAGATGAAGCAGGCATGGATGACCAAGATGTACAACGAAACTATTGCCGGTCTTAAGAACAGTACCGTCGAGTATGTCCATGCGTCGTTGCTAGTGCTTAAGGAACTCCTTGGGCAAGGTGGCATGTACATGCAGGAGCACTATCCGGAAGCCTGCGAGATCGTTTTCCGTCACAAGGATCATCGCGACGCGACTATTCGGAAGACCGTAGTCTCGTTAGTTCCCGACCTAGCCAATTATGCTCCAACCGAATTTGCCCAAACTTACCTTCATAAGTTCATGGTGTATCTTTCTGGGATGCTCAAGAAGGACAAAGAACGAAATGATGCTTTCTTCGCCATCGGAAACGTCGCTAATGCGGTTAAGAGCGCCATCGCGCCATATCTTGACGGCGTCCTCATCTATGTCCGCGATGGCCTGAGCATCCAGTCTCGGAAGAGAGGTTCCGTAGATCCGGTCTTCGACTGTATTAGTAGACTGGCTGTTGCGGTTGGCCAAACGCTTAGCAAGTACATGGAGGCGCTCTTGGATCCCATCTTTGCTTGTGAGCTGACATCGAAGCTCACTCAAGCTTTGGTTGACATGGCTTTCTATATCCCGCCGGTAAAAGCAACCATACAGGAAAGACTGCTTGATATGCTCAGTAGAGTCTTGTGTGGAGAACCTTTTAAACCTCTCGGGGCGCCTACCCCGAACACACTCTCGGCAGTTCCCATTATACCCAAGGACGCCAAAGACCCGCAAGCTTATGAACATCGAAAGGCTGAAGTGAAGCTCGCTTTAAACACGTTGGGAAGCTTCGATTTTTCAGGTAAATAACGAATATTACACTGCTCGCTCACTCCTGCACGACTTCACCCCTCCCCCTTTTTTTCATTTCTCTCACCCGCCCCTTTTCAGTGCGACCTTTCTTGAGCAAAACATATAATAGACGAATATAGATCTGTGCTAACTTCCAACCAAGGCCATATCCTTAACGAGTTCGTTCGTGATGTCGCCATAAAATACGTTGAAGATGACGACCCTGAAATTCGCAAAGCAGCCGCTCTCACATGTTGTCAACTATATGTGCGGGACCCGATCGTGAATCAGACCAGCTATCACGCATTGCAGGTAGTCGGTGATGTTATTGAGAAATTACTAACTGTAGGTGTATCGGATCCGGATCCGGATATTCGGACAACAGTTCTAGCTGCCCTTGATGAACGATTCGATCCACACCTCGCCAAGGCCGAGAACATTCGCACACTCTTCTTCGCCCTCAATGATGAGGTATTCGAGATCAGGGAAGTAGCTATATCAATCATAGGACGGTTGGCGCATTACAATGCAGCTTATGTGATACCCTCGCTGCGAAAGACACTAATACAGATGCTCACCGAGCTTGAGTTCTCGGAAGCCGCACGGAATAAAGAGGAGAGCGCGAAACTTCTCAGTCACTTGGTTCAGAATGCTCAGGGCTTGATCAAACCATATGTCGAGCCTATGATTTCAGTACTCCTTCCGAAGGCTAGCGACCCCAATCATGCCGTTGCAGCTACTATCTTGAAGGCTATTGGCGAGCTTGCAACGGTTGGAGGAGAGGACATGCTCCCTTATAAAGACAAACTCATGCCCATCATTATCGAGGCATTGAAAGACCATTCCTCAACTGCGAAACGCGAAGCGGCGCTGCACACGTTGGGTCAACTTGCGAGCAACTCTGGCTACGTGATTGACCCCTATCTCGAATACCCCGAGTTACTTGACCTCCTTCAACACATCATTCGTGCGGAACCCCAACGTGGACCTCTACGTCAAGAGACAATTAAACTCATGGGAATATTGGGCGCTCTAGACCCCTACAGACATCAGGTACACATTTCCCAAGATGACGACATCTGGCAAAACCATTCAAGGGGTGTAAAATCTGCGGTTGGGAATGGAAGTCCTCTCAACGCGATTAAGAAATCCGACGCACAGCCGCCACACCAGAGAAAAAGCGAAAGTTCCTTGAATCTAGTGATGAAGCCTTACAAAAAGTCCCGTGACAAGTCACAGAAAAATTACAACAATCAAGCACAATCCTTAGAACAGAATGCTAACACGAGGAACAAACAGCAAGTCGAGGAACGCGCCCCTGACGCCAAACGGCGTGTTGAGAGTAATCGGATGACCGATATATCACTAATGATGACAGGATTGACGCCCTCTAATAAAGAGTACTATCCCACAGTAGTGATCAACGCTCTCCTCAATATCTTGAAGGACACGTCTCTCGTTTCGCACCATGCTGCCGTGATTGAGGCCATCATGAACATATTCCGCACGTTGGGGCTTGAATGTGTATCCTTTTTGGACCGTATTATCCCGGCGTTCTTGGAGGTGATCAAAGACTGTCCCCAGACTCGGCGCGAATCCTACTACAACCAACTTGCTACTCTGGTCAGCATCGTGCGGCAGCATATCAGGAACTACCTTCCTGAAATCATCGAATCGTTGCACTTACACTGGCATGAATCGCCATCGCTTCAGGCTACGATATTGTCATTAATTGAAGCTATTTCGCGATCCTTGGAGGGGGAGTTCAAAATCTATCTAGCGAGCCTGCTGCCTGCGATGCTTGGTGTTTTGGAAGAGGATGCGACTACTAAGAGGATCCCTTCTGAGAAAGTCCTGCATGCCTTTTTAGTTTTTGGCTCCAGCAGTGAGGAGTATATGCATCTCATCATTCCCGTAATCGTGCGAACGTTTGAGAAACAGGGCCAGCCAGCATTCTTAAGGAAATCAGCTATCGAGACTATTGGCAAAATCTCTCGGCAAGTTAATCTTAATGACTATGCCGCCAAGATCATCCACCCGTTGATTAGGATTCTTGCCAGCGGAGAGTCATCCTTACGACTGGCAGCATTAGATACCTTGTGTGCCCTGATCCAGCAGCTCGGCAGGGACTACCTTCACTTCATAGGGACGGTGAACAAAGTTATGCAAGCCCACCAGATTCAGCACCAAAACTACGAACTGCTAGTTAGCAAGTTGCAGAAAGGCGAGGCATTGCCGCAAGACCTGAGCTCTGAGACTCGGTTCATCGACCAGACTGACGAGCCATCCTTTGCTGACCTCGGCAATAAGAAGCTTGAGATGAATGCGATACACCTAAAGGCCGCCTGGGACACCAAAGGCAAGTCGACTAAGGAGGACTGGCACGAGTGGCTCCGGCGCTTCAGTACCACTTTATTAACCGAGTCACCAAATCATGCCCTGCGTGCCTGCGCTATCCTTGGTAGCGTACACCTGGCACTTGCTCGTGAACTGTTCAACTCGGCCTTTGTGTCGTGCTGGAGTGAGCTTTACGAGCAGTTTCAAGATGAGCTGATCCAGAATATTGAAAATGCAATACGATCTGAGAACGTGCCGCCAGATTTGCTCGGACTCCTTCTGAATCTGGCCGAATTTATGGAGCACGACGACAAGGCCTTGCCTATTGACATTAGAGTCCTCGGTAGAGAGGCCGGTCGTTGCCATGCATACGCGAAGGCCCTTCACTACAAGGAACTGGAGTTCCTTCAAGACCAAAGTGGGCCGGCGGTCGAAGCGCTCATTGTCATCAACAATCAACTCCAGCAGTACGATGCTGCTATTGGCATTCTCCGCAAGGCACAGCTATATAAGGACGGTATCCAACTGCGAGAGACATGGTTTGAGAAGTTGGAACGATGGGAGGAAGCGCTGCAGTTTTATGATAAAAGGGAGTCTGAGATTCCGCCTGATCAAGTTGTTCCGATCGATATCGTCATGGGCAAGATGCGCTGCCTCCACGCTCTTGGCGAATGGGATGCTCTAGCCAGCCTGACCAGCAATACGTGGGCCAACTCGGCGCCTGAGATTCAAAGGCGTATTGCACCCCTTGCAACTGCGGCTGCCTGGGGTCTAGGCAAATGGGACTCGATGGACAATTACTTGCAGTCCATGAAGCGACAATCTCCGGACCGATCCTTCTTTGGGGCGATATTGGCGCTCCATCGAAATCAGTTTGGGGAAGCGGCCGCTTGTATTCAACAGACACGGGAAGGCCTAGACACTGAGCTTAGCGCACTCATAAGCGAGTCCTATAACCGAGCGTATCAGGTTATTGTCCGGGTACAGATGCTTGCAGAACTCGAAGAGATCATCGTTTACAAGCAGGCCAACGATAGGAAGAAAGCCACGATGCGCCGTACGTGGGAGGGCCGTCTCAAGGGATGCCAAAGGAACGTCGAAGTCTGGCAACGTATGCTAAGGCTTCGCGGCCTAGTAATTACCCCAGCAGAGAATATGCATATGTGGATCAAATTTGCGAACCTGTGTCGAAAGTCAGGGAGGATGGGCTTAGCTGAGCAGTCTCTCAAGCAACTGATCGGCACTGATCACCCTCTGGATACAATCATCCCGTATTGGTCTCAAAATGGCCCAACTCAGCAAGCCGCAGCTACCAGAATCCCGCCTCAAGTTGTCTATGCTGTATTGAAGTTCTACTGGGAATACGGCCAGCAGGCAAAACTTCGTCAAACCGGTCATCCTGAGAAAACGCTGTTTTGTCTCCGAAAATTCACGGCAGACTCGGCCCAAAACCTAGAGCTGGCTCGAGCTTCAATACAAGCTGCGCCTAATGGGACAGAATCGATCACAGAATATGGCTTCCACAATGGAGTGGAAACTAGTGGCCTGCCTAATTCGAGGACACAGAAAATCATTCAAGACCAGACCGTTCTTCTCGCAAAATGCTTCCTCAAGCAAGGAGAATGGCAAGTCGCACTGAACAAGCAGGGCTGGCAGCACCACAACGTCCAAGAAATTCTGACTTCTTACTCGAAAGCCACGCAATACAACCCGAAATGGTACAAGGCTTGGCACGCATGGGCACTGGCAAACTTCGAAATAGTCCAAGCTTTGACGCCTCCGGCCGATAGGACCGTGCCGAGACCAGATCCTTCCGTTGTTATCAATCATGTTGTCCCCGCTGTCCAAGGCTTCTTCAAGTCCATTGCCTTATCTTCTGGAAGCTCTCTCCAAGACACCCTACGTCTACTCACTCTATGGTTTGCCCATGGCGGCAGTAGTGAAGTGAATGCGGCCGTCACTCAAGGATTCGGGACCGTCAGTGTCGATACCTGGCTGGAGGTTATTCCTCAACTCATTGCGCGTATCAACCAGCCTAATACGCGTGTGCGGCAATCGATTCACAACCTACTCGCCGATGTTGGGCGTAATCATCCCCAGGCTTTGGTTTATCCGCTTACCGTGGCAATGAAGTCGGCGCAGAGTTCTAGAAGGTCGAAATCGGCGGCGTTGATCATGGACAGCATGCGTGCGCACAGCGCTAAGCTCGTTGAGCAGGCCGACACAGTAAGTCATGAGCTTATTCGTGTAGCTGTACTCTGGCACGAACTTTGGCACGAAGGACTCGAGGAGGCTTCCAGACTGTACTTTGGAGATCATAACGTCGAGGGAATGTTTGCCACACTTGGCCCGCTACACGAGCTTCTCGAGCGAGGCCCAGAGACATTGCGGGAAATAAGCTTTGCCCAGACTTTTGGTCGCGATCTCACAGAAGCACGGGAATGGTGCCGCCAATATGAAGGTAGTCACGATGTCAATGATCTAAATCAGGCATGGGACCTTTACTACCAAGTTTTCCGCCGAATAGGAAGACAGCTCCCGCAAATGTCTTCGCTAGAGCTGGCGTATTGTTCGCCCAAGTTGCTAGCAGCCAAGAACCTGGATCTAGCCGTGCCTGGCACATACAGGAGTGGTGCACCTATTGTTCGAATCTTGTCATTTGATACCACATTTAGTGTTATTAACTCGAAACAACGGCCAAGAAAGTTGAACACCATCGGAAGTGACGGAAACTCATATTCCTTCCTCTTAAAAGGACACGAGGATATCCGACAAGATGAGCGGGTTATGCAGCTGTTCGGTTTATGTAACACTCTCCTCGCGAACGACTCGGAGTGTTACAAACGTCATCTTGGAATTCAACGGTATCCGGCTATCCCTCTTAGCCAGAATTCTGGTCTCCTTGGCTGGGTGCCGAATAGCGATACCTTGCACGTACTAATACGTGAGTATCGTGAGAGCCGCAAGATTCTTCTGAACATAGAGCATCGCATAATGCTGCAGATGGCTCCAGATTATGACAATCTTACTCTCATGCAAAAGGTCGAAGTGTTTGGTTATGCGCTAGATAACACAACTGGACAGGATCTGTACCGTGTTCTTTGGTTGAAGAGCAAGAGTTCCGAAGCCTGGCTGGAAAGACGCACCAACTACACGCGCAGTCTGGGTGTCATGAGCATGGTTGGATACATCCTTGGCCTTGGAGATAGGCACCCTAGCAATTTAATGCTGGACCGTATCACAGGGAAGATTATCCATATCGATTTTGGCGATTGTTTCGAAGTTGCCATGAAGCGAGATAAATACCCTGAACGAGTCCCATTCCGCCTCACTAGAATGCTTACATACGCCATGGAGGTTAGCAACATCGAAGGTAGCTTCCGGATCACATGTGAGCACGTCATGCGCGTGCTTCGGGAGAACAAAGAAAGTGTCATGGCAGTTCTAGAAGCTGTAAGTTCTATCATTTGTTACATTGTTGAGTTTTCATACTAACAAATCGGCGTTGTAGTTTATCCATGACCCTCTACTAACTTGGCGTCTCACCAACGCTGCCTCCCCTGTTGGTCCCAACTTCCGTTCCGAGCGTGAATCGTCTCTGGGCGCTGGTGCTCAACGAGCCCGCCGACCAAGTATCTTGGATGCGGAACACCCACCCTCGGAGTTCCTTGCGGCCCAACAAGCTACAGGAGCAGGACCCGTTGATGCGGCACACCCCGGCGGCCCACCCGGCTCGAGAGCTCGAGCACGGACCAACTCAAGCCTTATTAACGCAAGCCAGATGGACGGCGAAATGGCCGAGATTCAGAACGCACGAGCGGTGGAAGTACTGGACCGCGTGAACCAGAAGCTGACGGGACGCGACTTCAAGCCGACGGAAGAACTTGACATTGTGACACAGGTCAACAAGTTAATCATGGAGGCTACAAAGCTAGAGAACCTGTGTCAGCACTACATCGGCTGGTGTTCGTTCTGGTAAGAAGAATAAATGGCGAGGCTGTAAATTTACAAGGATGGAAGGGTACGTTCTGGTGGTCTGGTTGGTACGGAGTTTCATACAGGATGGCAAATCACGGCGGAGCTCTTGAAAAGGCGCGGCATAATAAGAATTAAAGCCAATACTACGATACCTGTTACATACCTAATGTATGTGTTTAGTTTGGGTCTGCAATACTGATAGCACGCGTCAAGTTCGGATAGTTGAACGTTGAATTGTAGGACACTTGCATGATGAGCTGAGTCTATGCACTCCTTCAAGTTTGATTCGGTGCTTTTTCCACAAGAAGATGGCGTTGAAGGACTCATCTTTCTCGTCGAGGAAATAAAAGGGGGCTGGAGTTTCGTCAGCATATGTAGGTAGTTAGATTTGCCTAACCCTAGACCTTGCCGAAACCCGTCCTCGTTGACAGATATCATATATTAAATATGATATATATCATGTATCATATTTAGGCCTGCTAGCCGTGCGTGTCGGAGCCTACCCCAACTTCCATCGCATAGAACGGCCACCGGCTCAAAGCTTAAAGTCTAGAATGCGAGCTTGGCTGGGTGGTATTTTTATTTTACTTCTCTATCCGAGTAAAATATGCCATCGCAGAAAATTCTGCTATATTGCTACGTCGAGCAGGGAGTGAAGTTCCCAAGTCATCAATGATCGCCAACTATGTACCAGCGCAAGTGTCAATAAACGGGTTCGGACTCCAGGATTGCAAATCGCTTATGCCGGCACGCCCAACATGCATGAGGAATACCTAGTACGGCGGCTGCGGTCGAAATTAACTTAGATGCTTGCCTTCCTATGTAGGCCATGCAAAGGTCACCTTTTTGACTACTCTGCCTACCTACCTACCTATGTAGTTATATGTTTCAGACATGGCTTACACAAGACGTTAGGAGTCGCATCGCCAGTGGAAGGACGTCTTCATAACCGGGTTAAGCCAATGGCCTGAATCTCAGCCTCACCTACCAACCTACGTTGTGTATGTATTGTACTAAAACGCTAGGGGAGGCCACTCGGAGAGGCGTCCGGATGAGCACTACCTACCTAACTTGAACAGGATAGGCAGAGGATTGAATACTACCTATGTAGAATGCATACCTAGGGTAGGTTACTATCTATTATAGAACTGTAGCAAAAGTGCAACCTATAGAATAAGTATAGTACATATACCTAGAATACATGCCTAGGTTCTATGTAATAGTACATGGCGGGCTATAAGGTACCCCATATGGACCGTAACGTCGCTGAGTTAGCGTGATGTCGAACTCTCTCGACTGTTGAAGGTATCATTAAAAATTAGTAAGCAAGGCTCTACATATAATGAAGTCTAACTGGACCCTCCTTTACATACACGTAGTCGAGGCCGGTATGGGTACTTGCATGAAAAAGAAGATTGAAACTTCAATGCATGCCCGTTTGTATTGATGAAACAAAAAAGAAAAAGAAAGAGGAGGTGCATACATATGTCCCTATATACTTCCTTTGAAGTTAAAGCAGTATGAAGGATTGGTATCTACCTTGAGTAGGTCAACGGTATGGATGTAGGCAGTATAACTTGAAGGTTGGTTATGACTATATGCATATTAACCTTGAACCTATAGTTATGGATGTCCCCACTAGTTTAATTCTCTTAATTATCAATTAGTTAGTTGCAGGGGTATTTATGGCAGGTGGTAAGCGCATAGCAGCCTGGAGTCCCTGGACTACCTATTAATACACTACCTGCATCCACCAATGATGGGTCCATCAAACGCCAAACATTGGACGTTCAATGTTGTACTTCAAATTCGAATCTTCACCCAACTTCAACCTTGAAACCCAATCGAACAACTTACACGGATCGATTTCATTCCAATTAGTCCCCAAATAAGCCGTCATGATATCCTCCTTACGAAGCCGCTATTCTTGATACCCTCTTTTTATTTTCCGGGCATAGCTCCTCTTTATAAATCGTTTTTTTAGGTATAGCCTTCGGCAAATATTTAGAAGCACTTACGCCCTCTTGTAAGTACCTACCTATTGACATTATGCTGTCTGCTTTGACCACTGTCTATCCTTCGACACATCTCATTCTATCTAATGATGTCTGCCTGTATATACACCTCATAATACTCCTGCTACTTACGGATCTGGGTGGCAATGGGAATTTCATGACCTACCCTAAGTATCTACCCTAGGGTAGATACCTAGGTTATCTATCAATCTCATCACTCTTCATCTTACTCGAGGCCATCAATAAATGCCATATTAATGATATTTATAGTTGTGGTGCTCGTCATCCTTTCACGATTTGTCGAGCTGACTTATCTAACGTTAGGAATAAATTACTCTATAAATCGAACTTGGGATGTCTCCTCAAACACACTCTCTGCTCTCGTTTCGACTATCTGGCTGTTAGTGGATGATCGTAGGAGCAGTATTTGAAATTATACAAGTACAACATCTACTGACACGATGGATCCTTCGGCTGCTACTGGTGCCCTCCAGTCATGGAACGAGGAGATAGATCGTTTGATCATGGAATATAAAGCCTGCATGGCTTATCATCAAAAGATCCTCGAGACGAGGAAACAGGAGCTTCGCGAAGCTAATGAGCAGAACCTTGAAAGACTGAGAGTTACTACGCCGGCAGACTTATATGAGAATGCCGTCTTACGTATGGCTGAAAAGGCTCTCGAGCAAGATCTGCAACGAATTGAATTGAATCACCAAAAGGACACCGAGATGATTGAGAAGATCCACAAGAAGGAGTTGGCTCAAAAAAAGAGTGATCTCCATGCAAAACTCGAGGGTATGGCCAAGAGCGCACAGTTGCCAACTGTAGCCCCCATCGTTCTGCCGAAAGTGCCTGAAACTCTCAATGACACAGTGGATGAAGGCCCGCAGAAGCAAGATGTAAGTGCTGGATCGATATCGTGGAATACTGCGCCTCCGAATCCAAACCCGCTACCTAAATTGACCAAACCCCTGACCTGCACCATTCAGCAGGAGGTGATCTGTGGAGAGCGGCGACTGATAATGCGCATCCAGTCCAGAAAACATGGGGCATCCCCCCCTCCAGAGCAGGCTCCCAAACGATTACGCCTTGATACCTCTGTAGCCTCTTTGCCTACTCCAACTAGTCCACTACAAACTGAAACGCAAGAAGAAATACAAGCCGCGACAAGTCAGCCACCTGAAAGAACGATCACGTTCGAGCAGGTTTTCCAAGGCGGTCATGCGAAGCACAAGGATATGATCGTTGAGTGGCCAGAAGGCAGTCGACGATGGTATATACTGAAGTGCGAGATGCATGGGCTTCGGTTCACCAGGCACCCTGTACAGGGCGCAGCCAAACATCTTAGTGGCCTGTATCACGGCTTCCCAGACAGAAATAGGGATATGGCTGTGAGGACACTCGGTTATCAGGTGATCGACTGCAATGCCAGTCTCGCAAAAATGAACAACAAGGCTGCAGTGGAAGCCTACGATAATGGCTACAAACCGCCCCCCTGGAAACACTTGAAGCGGCCTTTAAAAAAGGCATATTCCAGACGGCAGTTTAAAAGTCAAAAGTCCACTAAGCTACCCACACCTAACACAAATTCAAGGCCGACTCCAGGAGCAACCCCTACTCGAAAGATCACTGCTGCAGAGAAGCATGAGCTACTGGAAGCACCGTCGTCTGAACGAAAGTCCTCGGAGCCTTGGCATGGGATTACACACCCAAAGACATTTCACATATATTACGGCAAATGGGGAGCCGACATTCATCATAAGAAGAGCGAACAGCTATATCCAGTCTTAATCCTCGGGTGGGATGACCAAGCAGGCAGTGGCTTAAAAAACACCGATCTGAACCACACTGGCTTACTTAAGGAAGACTCAAAACCACCAAACTGCTATAAGTATGGTGTAAATAAAATAATAGGCTGGGCAGCAGGATATGAAGATGGAGGTTCTAAGGTCAAGTTGAGAAAGTTCCCCGTTATGTTTTTTGACGAGTCGCAAACTGTGGGTTGGATAGCAGCTCGGGACCTGCAAGAGTTCCCTCTTTATAAAAGCAAAGTATCATATCCACCGGACCACCCTTTCAATGCAGCCCGTCGTTGGATTGCGGAGAGGGAGGGCTTTAAGGGGTGGGAAGACCGGGAAAGGGCTCGGATCAATGGTAAGTACTTGGGATATCTTCGTAATCATCAGCGGTTCCTTCGTCGCTTACATGATGCATTCATTAGATCTTACACTTCGTCGTCCTTCACCTTCACCGCTCACACCGATAAACGAATCAATCAATGCCAAATTTCCTGTGACGCAAGAAGTCATTTCGGCCAACGCAAAATCTCACCCACCGGGAGATAGCAACGACTTAGACAACTCAGGTTCAGAAGTAGAGTCGATTGCTACGACAGAAACGGAGATGCTCTTGAATGAATGGCGAGAAAAGGGCGGCGAGATTCCGGGCGATGAAGATTACAGGACTTCCGAATCCGACATAGACGAAACACTTGAATGTGAATTAGAAGATTGGACGAAAATCTCTTTAGCGACTTTGGAATCCGGAAGTCCCGGAAATCGTCCTTGGGCATTTTACGGACTGAGAAGTACAGAGAGCTCCAAAGATCCAAAATCACCGGCTAATCCAGCAGGTAAGACGGATGAGAATCTGGCGAGATCGACGACTGCGGGCATGGACTCGGTACGCAGCCTTGATAGCCAGCTAGCTTCGGTAGGTACCTACAAATCTGTGATAAAGTTACCGGTACCTCAAGAAAGCTCTTCAAGCAACGCTGCCAAGTCAAACGAAGACCACCTGCCATCCCAGCCAGAGCCTCGACACACAGGCCCCGCATCCAAGGGGGATCACTCGCCCAAAAAGTCTCCAGTGCCCACGACTCCTCCAGTCTGTCAAGTTTCTGACAGCAAGAAATTAATGCCGGAAAATATAGCCGACAAACAGCGAGTCCACGAAAGCCTGCCAGGTGAAACTGAAAAGGAGAAGGACAAGCAAAATAAAGATTTGGGAGTTAAATTTCAAGAGCCCAATCAAGGGTTATCTTCTGGGGCTGAGACGGCAGCTTCGCTCATCCAAGCACCCACAGCAAAAGTTTCCCATAGGCCTCCTCCTTTGGCCAGTACTACAGACGCCGAAAATACACTAGCTAAGGTCAATTTCGGATTGTCAGTGTACGTTGATAAGAACGTATCGTGGAAGAGGCACGAGGAGGAAGAGGACTGTGTCGACTTATTCTTCAGCGTGGATGGAAAGACGATAGCCACTCGTCAAGGCCCAGTTGGAGTGTTCATTGATCCTATGGAGATCAAGAGTTTCTCGAGGGAGTTTCTCCCAGGGTCTAACGGAAATAAGACATTAATATTGTGGAAAAAGGACGGGTCAATGTGTCGACTCGTTTTCGACCGCCGAAAAGGAACGACGCTTGAGATTGGGAAAATCCAATCCCGTAATTTCACTCGATGGCTTCGGAATATTAATACTAGTGTCGAATGTTTGACATAGCTCAACAAGCAAAATTCAATATCGTAGTAATTTGAACAACTTGATTTGATCTGTAGGGAGTCTAGGGACAAGGAATGGATGGCTGTATGTATAGCTTTGAGATGTCGTCATTAGGTAATGAATGCTCGTCCCGTTGCATGTGAAATCCATACTACTAGGTACCGAGGGGGGATTTTAGCGGCTTAGCTTGCCTCCCCGCATTGGGGTATTGAAGGTCGTAGATGCACATTGTAATTTACATGTAAGTGGTACTAGGTAGGCTGCACGGGGTTGGCAAGACATAAATACATGTACTCGGTACATACGGAGTACGATAGTTTACATACAAGGTAGTATCAACGTAGACGTATTATGTACGTAGGTCGGAATTCAAGATTCATTTTCACAAGGAACATTGAACGTTGACATCTGGAACCTAAGGCCAAAACTCCGAGAGTACGTACCAAGCAGGTCATCAGTCTTGTTTTTAAAATAAGATGACAACCTCCCTAGACATTTTAAGTTCAATGTTGTTAGATGGAACAATACATAACTTATCCTTCCTTTACTTTTCTTTTTTTTTTTCAAAATATTATTGATAACTACCACCCAACATTGAAGCATTTCACCAAGAATCGAAACATCTCCAAGTTCCAAAGAACAGAACATCAAACTTGCCCCTCAGAAAGCAAGACTTACATAAGACTCCCGTCGCGAAATGACGTAGTTTTACACAGCTTGGTAAACTACCCTTGATAAAGTACTAGGAAACCAAGAAACCCGGGAATATCATTGATCTCCACCGTCGCGTTGCTGCAACAACTCTTTTAATAGTTATTTGCTTTCCCTTTTCCCTTGTTGCTTGTCCCTCTTCTCTCTTTTCCCCTTCTTCCATCTCAAGGCCTTGATGGCTGCTATTGTAAGTTTTGACTACTTCTTTCGCTCACATGCATATTATTGTCTATATTATTATCACTCTCACCCATTATCGATTTTCTTAAAGGGGCGTCATCGGTATGGTTGATTAGCGTAGTGCATAAGCCTTGGCATTTCTTCCGCTTAGATAGGCATCTACGCCAACATCACTCATCACCTCAATAATTAACAAGCACGAAATAACTTGTCCTTGCTTGCTTGCTTGTTCAAGATGGCCGCGCATCAGGGCTGACACTGTATCTTCTTACTTTTTGCGCTTCAGGATACGCCTTGGCTGACACACATGTCGACCCCGAAATCTACCTCCCGCGGCGATGTCGACGGTTCTGCTACAATATCCGACTTTCCCCCGACTTACGCTCCTCCAACGTACGCTTCCTTCTCTTCTGCCAACATATCGAGTGCTGCCTCGGCTGCGAAGCGAAGGTCGACCATCCTCGTTCACCAGAAATCTCCCTTGCTACTTGCCACACCTCCGCAAGTCACACGCGCCCTCGCCTACAGTCATCCCTTTCTTTTACCTCTGAATAGGCTAGTAGGGCTGCTGACATGGACTACTGGAGATCCGTGGGAGAGTTTCTTACTGTTAGCAGCTTTCTGGGCGGCTGTGCAGTATGGTGATGTCGTTATACGGTTCGCCGGTCCCATCGTGGTGGTTTTGGGCATCATAGGGGGGATGTACGGGCGGAGATATAGCCCACTGTCCAGTAGCGGCTGGGCCGAACATCCTAGTATGGTGAACAAGGACAAAGTCTCGAGCACATCTACCGGAGGGGCTGCAGGCGGAGCTCATAAGCGCAATGCGAGTGAGGTTACTAGTACAAGGCATCAGAAAACGTTGGACGAGATTGTCGATACTGTCAAGGTCTTCACCACCCGGTGCAATATCCTTCTTGAACCTTTGCTCCAAATGACCGATTTCCTCTCTACACAACGGACCGCGACGAGTGCGACAACAAGACCGGCACTTACTACCTTGTTTGTTCGGATAGTTGCCATCACTCCTGTTTGGATCGCCTTGACATTACCGCCTTTGCGAATTATAACAACGAAGAGGGTTGCATTGACATTCGGGACCGTGGTACTTACGTGGCACTCGAGGGTCTGCCGTGTATCCCGAACACTGTTATGGCGGAGTGCTACGATACGGAGATCAGCAAGGTTCATCACTGGGCTGGAATTTGAAGAGCCAGCTAAGACGAAGCCCGAAACCGCTACCGACCAGGAACCCGATACCGTGACAGCTTCCAAAACGAAGCAACCAAGCAAAGCTACCAAGATATCGTCATCGGCCTTGACGGAGGCTCTTAAACGAAGTGGCCGCTCTGGAGTCAAAGACACAGGTGTCCGATTCACGTTCATCCTATACGAAAATCAGAGACGTTGGGTAATGCTAGGGTGGACTAATAACCTAATGGCCTACGAACGCGCGGCTTGGACGGACGAGCACAACAACCCGGTCCCTCCCAAAGATGAGTTTGAGCTTCCAGAGGTAGAAGATGGCCACGCGAAATGGAGGTGGGTTGAGGAGAGTAAATGGCGAGTTGACGGCGCACCCGATTTAGACGAAACAGACTACGATACAGAAGCGGGTAAAAACGGGTGGATATTCTACGATAATACGGTATGTTTTCGCCTCTAAACAGAACTCTGGTGGTTTTCTCTTACTTACAGTCACACAGTGGCAGAATGGTCGTCGGGGTAATGATAGTTGGAGTCGGTGGACACGCCGGCGTAAATGGTACCGCGATGCTGAGCTGGTCGAGGTCTCGGAAAGCACGCCTTCCCCTCCGCCACCCGAATTGCCTGCCCGACCCCGTCCTGCTCAAACGCCTAGCCCCGAGGAGGTAGGCACCGCGATATTATCCACCTCTAGTCCATCAAGTTCATTAAATTCCGTGCCTAGCAAGGACAGGTCGAGAGAAGAAGATGATGCCGTCTCACTACTGAGCACATCTTCTAAGTCGATCAGATTCCGGTCCTCGCGTCCTTCAATACGCCGTGGCACTACGAATGGCACACATCCGTCTAGGAGGACCAGTGAGACGGCCAGCTTACGTTCAAACAACGATGACGAAGGGAGCCTTACGCCAGCCCTTGAGCTAGAGATACAAGGACACCAAAGAGACCAGGGCCAGTGGGGCATTGGAGACGAGGCTCAAATGGGCCTTGAGTAGCCGATGTGGAGAGCTTTTGGTCAAGCCATTCAATATTTAATAATTCTGGTAGATGGACGGTAGCATTGAGAAGGCGTTTGGGAAGGTAAGATACCAACTAAAGGCTGTTTTATACTTAGGCCATCCAGAGTGTCTTGGGAGCATGCAGTGAGCATCTAGCAGCTCACAGTCTTCGCCAAATAGATGTGATACACATTTTGGGGTTTAATACGGCATTAACTCTCATTTCGTTTCAGCATGAAGGTATGTATTTTAGTGATGAATAGTTCGCTTGCCCTAATTGCAACTCTTCCTGCTTCTCCTGTTTTCGTGTCCTTAATCCAAAGATGAGGTTGCTTCGTAGGAATCTTAGCTTTGCGATGGACGGCCAACACTCTTGGGGAGGACAGGCTCGGTTTGCTCATCAACCTCCTCAACCTCCCCGCCAGCAGCCTTGTTAAAGAGCAAGTCCATATCCTCTAGCGCCCGGCCTTTGGTCTCAGGATAGAAGACGACAATAATCTAATAATCGGAGAATGAGAAGTGGCCATTACACTTCAGGGGGGAAGACTTACGGGGATGCAGATAAAGTTGACCGCCATAAAGAAAAAGTAGATGTTGGAACCAATTGTGTCGATACCCACAGGCCAAACTTGGGCCACGACGATGGATCCAATGGCTCCAGCAGAGGCGGATAAGTTGAGGCCACGTGCGCGGACTGAGGTAGGGAAGATCTTGGATTGGTGCGAGAATTAATCTCATACGACATCAAAAGGGGGGGTAAGGGGGGCGAAGGGGGATGACTTACCTCGGATCCGTATACCCAAGCCGATGGACCAAAGCCCATACTGTATCCCAGCGCGTAGATAAAGATGAACACAATACATACAACGTCTGCACCCTTATCTGTGTTGTCCGGATACACTTGACCCAGCGCCCCATTAATCTAAGATGCACGAAGTTATATTATCAGTTGCCCACGGGCTTTGCAAAACGGGGTATAGGGCTAAGGAGAAATCATGGCTTACGAGCATCCCAAACCCCATTGCAACACAACCCGCCGTCAACGTGACTCTCCGCCCCAGCCGATCAATAAGTAGCATCTCAATAACTGTCATGCCAATCTTCAACGTAGACTCGATGCCCCCCGCCATAAGCGTGACGCGCGTCGGCAGCCCCAGACGTGCAAACAGCGTGGGGAGGTAGTACTTCATCGCCGTGGCGCCGCACATCTGCGCCATGAACTGCAGCAGAGACGCTCGCCACAGACGCTTGAATAGGCTGCGGTCTGTGAATAGGGAAAGCCACGACGAAGAGGGGAATGCGGCCCGGTGCGCGTCTACGTCCTCCCGGATACTGGCGAGTTCGCTTTCGATCTCGTCGGAGCTGAACGAGCCTTCGCGGAGCCAGGAGAGTGACTTTCGAGCTGCGTCGTGGTGGGAGTGCTCGATTAGCCAGCGGGGGCTGTTTTGTGTAGCACGTGTTGTTAGTTTTAGTTTGGATATATAAATAAACGAAGAACCATCACACAGGCACAGACAAGTTACTGCTTTACGTAGTCCAGAAGATGAAACTTACGTCTCGGGGATAAATGGGAGGCCGATTCCAAAGATGAAGCAGGGAACCAATACGACAGCAAGGGAGACTCGCCATGAAACGTATATAGCGTAGTCTGATGAGTTCCAAAAGGTTACAGCGTAGCCGACCCTGTTATCATTGACACGATCAGTCAGTTACGCCATTCAGAAGAAAAGGTGGTGAAGCGGCTTTTGCCATCTTACCAAAAGCCGCACGCTAGACCGGCCACAAAGCCAACGTGGTTCAGGACGACGTATTTCCCGCGTTTCCCTGCAGGTGAAACCTCGCTTGATGGACATGTATGTTAGTTCCGTGTTTTCTCGATAGATCTTTTTGGTGGAGGGTACGAAGTAGGTACCTCTGATAAAGGGGCACCGAAGTCGATAGCATGCCCACGCCTACACCCGATATGACGCGGCCGACGATCATCATGGCATAGGCCCCTGACCCCGTCGCGCCACACTCAAAGGCATTACCGACGGCCACAGTCAATACGCCCGCCAAAGCCGCATACCGCCGGCCGAAGCGATCGCTGGTAGCATGTGAGATGAAGACGTAGCTTAGCCATGTCCCTAAGTAGTAAATAGCAGTGATCACCCCCTTTCTTGAAGGAGTGAGGTGGCCCATTGTTTGGATGAAGCCGGGATGGACGAGGACCGAGGAGAGAATGCCGACATTATAGCTAAGCCAATGTTAGCAGAAAGCCCCTAATGGCAAATTCAAGAGGAAAGTCTTGGTGATAGTGGCTAATAAGTCTGAACGTAAGAACAAGACACAATATAAAGGGAACAACTTACCCCCATGTGAATGAGCCCAGAGCAAAGAAGATACATAATAAGTGAAGCCGAATGTCTGCCTTGGTGGCTAATGCCATGATAAATGTTGCCGATGTTTTCAAATACTTTATGAGACTATATTAACAGAGAAGAGAAACGTAAGGTACGATAAAGAGGCACTCTGAAGATTCGCTTCGAATATAATACTGGAGATATCTGAATTACATCAGACTATATTAACTGCACAAACCAGAAAGCCTCACACCTCTATAAAGCCCCAATATGGCCTATTGTCTGATGTTTGCCCCCACTGTGCCGTAGCATTCGTCGAAAAAGCTGCCAAGTCAGGCCTCATTCCTCACTCAGCTGCCTATTCGAATCCTAGCTCCAGCGCGGTATATGGATAGCTTACCATTCTCGTGGGTGACAGCTCGAGATATACCTACAGTATATGGTCACCTCCTTCCCCCGCATTGATGTTACCAGCCCGGTTACCAACACAGGATTTATCCCCCAATCTGTCTCGTACGCTGCTATAATGGAACCATACAATTACGTGAGGAGCTGCAGGCCAAGACATATATGGGTGGCGCGACGGTGATTCTATTTGTTTAAAGACCCAGGGAGATATGTACCGTTGGACGCGGGTAAATTGAACTGATACGACTCTGGATCCGCAGTCCCAAATTGCCGATATAAGATAGACATATCTACCTTACATCGACTCGGACCTATTCAATCGGGGTCGTTGGAGTTAGGGTAATGCCACGAACCATGTTGGAAAATGAACGATTGTGTGATGGCGGAGGATGGATATTAATCCCAAGTGAAGCTCTGACGGAGTTGACCTCCGCCACAGAGCATATATATATAGATAGGGGAAAAGAGAGTGCTGGTTACCTACGCAGATAGCTTCGATGTTGCGTTACTTGAATTTCTGGCTGGTATATCGTACCTTGATGAGATTCCACCACTCAAAAACGCATCTTGGTGACAGGCGGTTCACATGAAAAATTGAGATCGTACAAGACGGCGACACTGCCTATTCATAAACACAGGACGCCCAAAAATGATCAGAATTCCGAGCAGATTCTCGCGGGGTTGAAGTTAGATGCTTTTGCCATACTATGACCATCTAAACACGAGATGGGCCGCGAAGTAATGAACGAACAGACCGAGGCACCACTGTGCTCTAGTAATGGTAAACACTCTATGAACTAGAAGCTACTGTTTTTCACGAAGCACCTATCATGATACATTAGTAGAGAACCCCATAGAACTAACACACAATATTTGCCAGACCTCGGACCTCGAATAAATGTGACGACAGTTAGAGAAGACCTCGAAGAAGATCGAACATACCCCGAACGAACCGGGCCGGTAAAGCCAGCCCCTATCCGATGGTGCGACCTCCCCAATAAAGACCAACTCTTCATCCTTTCGCTCTGCCGCCTATCAGAGCCACTATCCAACGTCTGCCTACTCCCCTACATCTTCTACCTCGTGCGTTCGGTCCTCCCTCCTTCTCCCCCTTCCTCTATCCCGAACCTCGAAAACGACCCTTCAGCATCACCACCACCACCACCAACACCGGAATCCGCCGAGGAGCTCGGAGCCCGCATCTCCAAGTTCTCAGGCCTGCTCGTCGCCGCCTTTCCCCTCGCGCAGTTCCTCGTAAGCCTCCCCTGGGGCCGGCTGTCCGACAGACATGGGCGGCGCTTCTCTATTGTAGCCGGGCTCGCGGTGTCCGTGATCGCGAACGTGGGATTTGGATTCTCGCGGTCAATCGACGCGCTGTTCTTCTGGCGGGTGCTGGCTGGCCTCGCCAATGGAAATGTGGGAATTATGCGGACTGTCACTGCCGAGGTCGTGAGGGAGCGCAAGTTCCAGACCAAGGCGTTCCTGCTGCTGCCGCTCGTGTTTAACGCAGGCATGGTGGCGAGTCTGGCGTTGGGCGGGTGTTTGGCGGAACCTGTGGTAAATCTCCCCGGGCTCTTCGGGTCCCAGGGGTGGTTTAATGCAGCTGGGAATCCGGAAGGTGTGCAATGGGCTCTTGACCACCCGTACGCGCTCCCCGCACTTCTCAACGCAGCAATCCTGGGCGTTTCGTTACTCCTGGCCGTCTTGGGATTAAAGGAGACGCTTCCTGGGAAGGAGAGCCAGAGCGATATTGGCCTCAAGTTAGGCGCAGTGATAAAGCGGCGGATAAAGCTAAAAGGACGACGACGACGACGACGACAACGCGCCAGTCCAGAAAGTGAGGAGGAATACGCGATGCTGATAGAAAGCAGCGAAGACACGTTTATCGGCCAAACCCCACCAGATCCCGAGAAGCCCGATCCCACGGGCACAACTGCCGAACGACGCAGGCGTCTCCCCTTCCGGAGCCTCTGGACACGCCGGGTCCTCTGCGCGATGGTCTCGTTCGGGCTGCTCCCGCTGCACAACTCGGCCTTCATGCACATCTTCCCCGTCTACCTCAGCAGCCCCCCCGCGGACAACGTCGAGGCATCGATGCTGGCGTTTACGGGCGGATTGGGCCTCCGGTCGTCGACGATTGGGATATGGCTCTCGGTCTTTGGCATATGCGGCATACTGCTGCAGCTGTTTATTTACCCCCGGCTTCAGGCCCGCATCGGCACCCGTGGTGTCTTTCGGATTGCGCTATTCTTGTTCCCTGTCACGTACGCCGCGGCGCCGTACCTGTCGCTGCTCTCTGGGGACGACGAAGGGGCTCTAAGGTGGGTCTGCTTGGGGATGGTCGTCTGCGCGCAGATCATGGCGCGCACGATGGCTATCCCGAGTACGGTTATTCTGTTGACCGAGGCGGCGCCCTCGAGGACGGTGCTGGGCACGATCCACGGGGCCGGGAATATGTTGGCTAGTCTGGCCCGGGCTGTCGGACCGGCTATTGGGGGTTATGTGTTTGCGTGGGGGGTGGAAGAGGGGGTTATTGGGCTTGTGTGGTGGATGTATCTGGTGATTATTGCTATGTGCGCGCTTGCGTGGTCGTATATCCTGGACAGGGATGAAGAATAGGGGGTTATGTATTAGGTTTTTAAAATGTGAATGAAGGCTGGGCGATGAGGGTATGGTTAGACTACTAGAGATGTGAATTTCGACATTGACAGTTCAGAAAAGCAAATGAGATCCCCTTACTGACGTGGGTAATATACACTTACCTACCTAAGGTATATACATTTATTTTGGATCACTAGGTTTGTACAGCGCAGCTCAAATATTCACGCGATCATTGGCGGGTAACACGATAGGGGTTATATTCATGGTTGTCAACCCTAAGCTTTTAACTAATCGAAATAGCCTCTGCTATCTCGTGACGTCTGTTCCTTGAGTCACATCCATTTCTTATGTGAAGAGCTCAACGGCATCAAAGATCTGTAGTAATTCTCAGTTAGTCTAAATCCAATGCATTTGACCTTGTTTTATACACAGTACTTACGAGATTGGGGCTCAAGAAATCGGCACCACTGTTCCCTGAGATGGAAGTGATGGTGATGGTGTTGGCACCAGCAACAAGCGTACCGCTGGGAATGCTGACGTCGTAAACTTCGCCGAAACCGCGGTATGCGCCACGAGTCACGCCACGGCTGTCGATCTTAGTTGGAGCCGCTGGCGCTGGCCCGGTCCAGGAGTTGACCTTGGCTTGCGGACGGGAGCCGGCAAAGGACAGCGTGGTGGCGATGCGGAGGGTGGCGGCGCCGGGAGCAGAGTTCAGGTTGAACTTGATAGTCACGGGGTTGTTCTTGGCCTGGAAGAGAGCCATGGGGAACTGGTTCAAGGACGAAGAGCCTACAGTGTAGGTGGCGGGCGTCCATGCCGACATGCGCGAGTCGGAGGGATGCATCCGGAGGAACTTGTCCGCGTTGAGGAAGCCGGTGGGCTGGCCGTCGTATTCGCCTATCTTCCAAAGCGAGTTTCGGGTCGTCTCGCCGCTCGCAATGTTCTTCGTCGTAGTTTGGCCAGCACTCACGGTAACGCCGGTAGCGGTGGCGACTTTGTATTCACCTTGGTACAAGACCATAGTATACGTGCCTGGTTTCATGGCGGGGGAAACGTAGTTGTTGTTGGATGCGATGGTCCAATACTGGGCTGCCGAGTTGTACCAATGAACAACAGTTTGGAAGCTACTGGCCACTCCGGTGGCTTTGCCGGAGACACGTCCACGGCCCGAGTCCGCGACGTAGCCTGTGATGCTGAGTCCCGAGAAGAAAGACGTGTCAAAGTCTTTGGCCTTGGGCACGCCTGATCGCGTAAAGGCCAAGACATAAGGACCGTGGAGGACGTTAACTCGGTACGCTTCAGTTTGGACATGACCGCTGTTCATGTACCAGTAGAGGTTAGTGGCATCGCCAGCGTTGTTGGATTCGATATCACGGAAGAATGGGCCGCCAGAGGACGACTCGGGTTGCGGCGCCAACACACAAGCGTGAATCACATCGGTGCCGCCGTAGACGCACTGCGCATCCTTGTCGATGAAGCGGGTGCTTGAGTAGAACTTGGATCGGGTTTCTCCGTCGACGATAAATACATCGGATCCCTCTACGGTAGAGGAGCTGCCAGAGGTGGTAGATACTTTGCCATAGGGGTACTCTTCCGGCAGCACTGATGACTTCAGGCGGGCGATGAAGCGTAATTCGCCTACAGAAGGTTCCTCCTTGATGTAAGTACCGAGGTATATGTTGCTCTCTCCCTCTTTAACTACCATGTAATGGGTCAAGGTCGAAGTGGTGCAGGTCACCTTTACGTAGTTGACGGAACCTATGCGAGGGGTTAGAACGTATCTCAAGGTGCACAAGTCATGCGTTCTAGAAACGTACTAGCTGTAACTGATTCTACCTTGACAGTCGCGGTACCCAGACCCGAGGACAAATGCGTGCCCTGGGAGGACTGAAGTTCGGTGCCACGATACTTGATGGAGGTTATGTCGCAGCTACCTCCGTTGACAGTGAAGACCAACGCGTTGCTCGACCCGGCGTCAATGACATAGTTACTGCCGGACTGGGTGAAGCCAAACGCGGCAAATGCCTCAGAGGCAAAAGCGAATACCGACAAAAGCAAATAGAGAAGCATGGTTGTCGATCTGTCTGTACTGTCGATCTGGATGGTACGGGATCGAGCCAAATAGACTCTACAAGCGGTACATCGATAACATAGGAGGCTCAAGTGCAGACACAGGAGATCATCCAACTTATATCTATAAAAATATATTAATATCTAGCCAGGCTACCTGGTAATAAGTGCCATGCTTTGGAGCTGGACCTAGCAACACGAAAGCACGAAACCTCCTTTTGATGGTATCGGACTAGCACAGGACCGAAACGAGAGACCCTTGAACAACACGCAATTGGACTTCTTTCTTGGTATATAGTATATACAATAATATTAGTAGCATTATGTTTTTAGCGAGTGGTTGCATTGGGCTAATTCCGTACTTAGGGGGGGAGAAAAGAGCAAGGCATGGTTGAGGTGAAGAGTTGGCGGCGGCGCTTTGTAGCTGAATTACCGGCGTCCTGGACGAATCGAGAAAAACGGAACAACGCTGCGAATAGGTGAGGTCTAGGTTGACACATGATGGAGTGCCAATGTCATTACGGACTGGGCATCGTATCCGATGAGCTAGATGATTGATGGAATTATTTGGTACGAAAAGCGAAGTGTTCAACTATTAGGAAGGTCTTTCATCACATTTGGAGAATCTATGCCCAATTGTACAAATACGTGCCTAGTACCAGTGGTCAAGGTAGGGTTTGCGGCGGGTTAGCTGCTACGATATGAGATCTATGTTACTACATAGTATGTATCCTGCCAGGGGTAAAGAAAAGACGAACTCACGATCCGGTGGGGAAAAGATCGGATGACTACTAATAATACACTACACTATATTAGGCATGTGCGTGCTAACCTACCTAGTATGTAGGTCGAATGTCGAAGGTCGAACGCATGAAATGGGTAACGACCCTATACCTTGACGTCGATATTAGACAATGCAAAAAAGCTTGAGATCACGAAATGAAAGGGCTGAGAGTGGGCTTTCGGCGGTTTTCAACTCAGGGGTGGTTACAGGTATATAGAAGGGGTTATACACTAACACTAGGTAAGCCACGCCACGAACTTGAACGCGGAGAAAGATACTCACTCAAGTAAGCGTACCCGAAAAGGGGTGTCTAGTATTCAGCCACAACAAGATGCCCAAATGGGTAATAGACTCGGCTCTTGGCGACACTGCACAAGGGGTACCATTGATGCAGTCACTAACGTTAATTGTGTCGATCAATCGAGTTTGATTGGACCGCAACTGAGATCAAATAGTGTAGGATGCAAGTCGTACGAAAGGTAAGAAGAAGAAGCAAAGCTGTTTAGCTACTGTAGCTCTCTTGCATATGAGCTAGTCTGTGGAGTGAAGTAACCTTAGGTGCTTGGAGACAAGACGGCCCAACTGTATTGTACAATGCGCAGGAGTGTAAAGTACCTACCTGGGTACCTACTGTAGTCTGTAGGTATGCAGTAAGCGCAAGCCGTGTTTCATGAGCAAACACGCGAGGATTAGAGAGTCGCCAGTGGACGTTGCGATGTTGGATACAAATGAAAAAAGTTGTGCCATACATGATGCTATGATGCTAAGCACCTACTTAGGTATGTGATATGAAGAAGGTGTTATTTTATTGATGACTGTCATAAGAGAATGGTTGTCTAGCAGGCTATGAACGCCTTCCAATATTTGCTGGGAAGTTTGAAAGTCTTACGACACGACTGCTAGATAGAGCCAAAGTCCTTAGTGATGATGAGTATGATGCCTGACACTCACCTATGTACCTATCTCATCCGGCAAATGGGACAATATCACAGCTGACCTTCTGTCAATAAAACAAATACAATAAGCAATGTTATTATTTTTAACCTTATTCTTGAGGTTGCTAACTCGTTCAAGGGAGCTCTGGAACTTCACCATCTTACTCATTGTTCAATATGCGTTTTGCCTCATACGATTTGCTTCCAAAATCTGATGAACGCCACCTTTCATCGTGACTACCTAGGTAGATATAGGTCACCCCAAAGGGCATAAGTAGAAGCGATGATGATTCCAGCAAAACAATTAATCCCCTTTCTAGTTTATCGACACCAAAGTCCGGCGTATTCCCTTGGCTCCTACATACGGTGTGGGATTACCGATTATGCAGACACAGCCCGCGTTTTGATGTTACGCATGTACAGGAAGGATGTAGGCTTCAGCTTAATGGCTTCATTGAAGGAAGTTGCCTATATAGAGCTACAGCTCGCATTGATTGTGAAGTTGACTAGTTCGTTGCATCATCCTCAGCTCTTTCGCATCTCTCTTATTGATTCCAAAGCTAGCTAGCTAGTACAGAAGTCTTTCCTCATCTTGTTCCTGTTCATAGCAGCAATCGTACTTGTCAAACTCGCAATAACCCGCGTAGCCATGTCTCGACAAGTATTTGCCCATTACATGGTTGGCCTCACCAACGGCCAGTCACAGAACCAATGGCAGAAGGACATATCGGAGGCCAAAGGGGCGGGCATCGACGGTTTCGCTTTGAACGTCGGGTCGGCTGACTCGTGGAACGGCCAGCAGTTGCAGCTAGCTTATAACACGGCTTCGTCTAACGGCTTCCACCTGTTTTTGTCCTTCGATATGGCCGCTAGCTCCTGGTCCGTTGACCAAGTGGTCGCCCTCATCAACCAATACAAGGGCGCAGGCAGCCAGCTGAAAGTCGACGGAAAGCCCTTTGTTTCCACATTTGAAGGGCCCAGTTGGGCTGATAATTGGGCTGCCGTACGTTCTGCTACTGGTGGTATCTTTTGTGAGTACCCTTCATGTTTCCTACGCACCTCTGATTTGCAAAAAGGGGAGTTTGTCTCATCGTCATACTCCAAGTTATTAACAGCAGACGACGTAGTGGTGCCAGACTGGTCTTCCTTGGGAGCTCAGGGAGTCGCAGGCAAGCTTGATAAAATTGATGGTGCCTGTACGTAATATCCTTCTTTACCATTCTCAATTGCGGCGATTTACACAGCATAGTTAACTGGGGCGCATGGCCAAATGCCAATGACTACACCATAAACACTGGTAATGATCAAGCATATAAGTCGGTTCTCAAGGGAAAGGCGTACATGATGGGCGTCAGCCCTTACTTCTACACTGGTAAGCGAGCCACAATCTGGGCTGACAAAATTCCGAAGAGGTCGGCGAGTTAACCGTACTATCCTAGATCTTCCCCAATACAACAAGAACTGGTACTCGTCTAGCGATTCTCTGTGGTACGATCGCTGGAAGCAAGTCTTGGATATCATGCCGCAATATGTCGAAATCATCACCTGTGAGCATACTTCCTACGCCGGTAGCACGAGAGGTTTTATTGCCGGGTACTGATATGAGCAGGGAACGATTATGGCGAGTCTAGCTACATTAATGACCCCATTCCGGCGCAGATTGTGAATGGTGCTCAAGCCTACGTCAACGGATTCGGACACTCGGCATTTCGCTTCGTTTTGCCTTACTTTATTAGCGCCTTCAAAGCCGGCAATGCGAATGTGCAGCTGCCTACTGAAGGTGCTGTTGCATGGTACCGGACCACACCTGCGTCAGTTTGTGGTGATGGTGGTGAGCAGCAACCGTGCCTTTATAAGGATGGTGCGGGTTCCTGGGCTAACCTCGGGTGATAGGAACGGTTTGGGGCCAAGGGGGAAATACTTCAGCAGTAAAGGGCACGAAAGACGTAATTTCGATCATTGCCTTGTCTAATGGGCCCAAAAGTATTCAAGTTTCCATTGGAGGCTCAAGACAAACCGTAAACCCCTCGAACTCGTTCGGTAAAGCTTTCTTTTATCAAGTTCCTTTCAACGGTAAGACTGGTGCCGTCACTATCACGATGAACGGGAAATCGACGAAGGGGCCAGAAATCTCGAACAGTTGTCCATCCTCAGGCCACGTGAGTATCTGCCTGATACCTACATTCGCAAGAGTACTAACGAGGGGATAGGTCAACTTTAACTCGGTTGCGATTCAGCTGTGAGGATTCGCGGTATAGGATAGGGGCGGTGGAACAAAGTGTATTATGCTTGGAACTTTCTGATTCTCGATCCAACCCTTACTCTTGGGGTAGGTAGGTCATTTTGGATATTGTCATTCTTTAGATAAATCAAGTACGACCTATACATAGATTAGGTAGTCAGGATGGTATTATTTGCATTGTAGGTTCAATGTTATACGCCTAGTTAGGCGTTTTGATCCCGACTTGGAATTTCTCGGCCCAGCCCGTAAATTCATCTCTCTGGCCGTCCCACGACTTCATTAACATTTCCGATGCCGCGAATGCGTCAAAAAAGCATGAATCCATGGTGCGATCTATGCCGTCGCGGTCCAGGTCATAGAATGCACAGGCTAATTCGCCAAAGCGATGCGGTAGGCTTTTCAGCAAGGGAAATACTTCATCGAGCCGCCGCGTGACTGATGATTGCGTACTGGAAGGCAGTGCTGGGACAACTTTCAAGCGTCTTTTGACGATGGCCGTGTAAAGCAACGTAGTCAGGCGTAGGCGTTTTAGACAGGATTCTAGACGCTCTCGAATCTTGTCCGGATCCCCTCTAGGTATGGTCCTGGGATTCATCAGTTGGTCGAGCATCTCCTGTGTCGAGATGTGGGTATTTTGCAACTGGTCTGCGACGCTACCAACGTCACCGTCCTCCGCTGGATCGGCATCGTTATCGTCGTCTTGGTCCTCGTCTACTTCCTCGCTATATTCCTTGAGCTCTTCAAGAATATCCTTCAGTGTATCCCTGTATTCCTCGACCTTCTTTACCAGCAACCCAGCCACACCAAGTTGCTGTAATAGAATGACGTCGTCGCAAGCAGCCCAGATAACACCGGTAGCAGCCATGCTGCCTTTTTCTCCACGGACGCCATTTTTCTGAGCCGAAGGCAGAACCTTTCCGTTTAGAGGGATGGTTTCAACTAGGCTCTTTAGTTCCTTGAGCACACGATAACATCGCCATGCCAAGTCCTGGCGAGCCACTGTGGTAAATTTATCCGAATCGCATATTTGAACGGCAGAAGCCAAGGCTGGTATGGGACCGGCGGCTAGTTCGCGGAGGACTTTGATAATTGCGGAAGGTGTAAATGGCTCGTTAATGATTAGAAGTGATATTTTTGTGGTATGTGCCTTGATTAGGGTAGCAGAATCGTGAGCGAGGGAAAGAGGGTCAATAGATGATGTGTCTGAGGTAGGGGGCAACGCAGATGGGGATGGGGAGGAAGATGGCAATGGTAGAGCGGCGGTTTCGGTGGCTATTGAGTGAAGAAAGTTTTCGAGTTGGGATATCAGATCAGTTGTAGATTGTACCAAAGCCTTTAATGCTTGGAGCGAATTGTCGGGTGTGGCCATGGTTGAAGACGCGATGCCTCTTGTATTTTTTTTTTCTTTTTTTCTTTTTTTCTTTTTTTCTTTTTTGAATTATTAGTTATTCGTCTCGGAGCATTTTCAACTTCCAACTTTCTAAAAAAAGAATAACTAGGTAACTACCCCTCCATACCTAGGTATGCGCTTATCGATAACTAGTGGCGCCTTACATAAGCACTAGCTACACTAGTTATGGGCATTACATAATCGGATCCATAGATACCTTCAAGGTTTCAATGCTGAACGAAAATTATCAACGACGTTGAATACTTACAACTACTTATAACTACCTACATCCTAGTATCCTAACACTTGGAGCTCTATAAGTCTTATATATTTGCATAATTATACATTATTTTATACATGGTTAACCACGAGCGCTTAATATCCGCCTCATCTTGCCCCTTAAAAAGAAGGCATACCGACTTTGATATCTTGTTCTTGGTCCATTCTAACCCAACCCAGACCAGCGTAACCGACGAGTGGAAAATCGACTAGGGTATAGTGAGAGTAAAGCTAAGTTTCATGAATCAAACTATGGGAGCAAGAGGCTCTCCTAGTCACAGGGAAAGTCGACGAAAACCTCGTTCCCGACGAGGTTAGTTGGTTCGGATGGGCATAGCCAAAAAGCAGCCTTTGGCCTGAATAATCCTACATCAATGCCGATGGCGGTTCCTGGTGGTACGCCGCTCCAATCGAAAGCTTAAGTGAAAAGCACAACTTTGCGTCGAGGACCTGGAACACGACGTCACCTTGTGACGTCCGAAGTTGAATCGAGATTGTAGCGAGATTGTGGGATAACAGCCTAAACACACAGCCGATAAAGTCCCAAGGCGTATTGCTATCAAAATGATCTTATATCGTATCTTTGATGAAGGCTCCTCCATGATAGAGTCCTAGGGTTCTCTCAGGGAGGCGGCTACTTAATAAGGTCAAATTAAGGAATATGGTTCATCAAGTAGATTTCATCTCCGGTAGATTGCTATTCACCAGCTGAGAACCAACAGAACATAACCCCTTAATAGCCACGATACTGACTGCCTGTCCATCTACCTAGCCTAACTAAGTACGCAAGTACTTATGTATCTAGGTAGGAAGGCATATAAGAAGATGGGCAGAAAGATCTTGAAGGATCTAATGAGGATTACTTGTGCCATAATAACGCACGTCTTAGCGAATGACAGCCTCTAGAAAAAGCGCATATTTCTAGGCATCTTGAAATAAACCAATCCAGCTTCAGCTACGTGTCGAAGTTTGGTTGCAAGCATAGTCAGAACTCTAAAGGACCAAGATAAACCGGGGGGGGGGGAAGGGGGGGAGAGTGCCTGGACAACAGCTGCATAATACTTACGAGGAGATAAAAGCATTCAGAGAATACACTGTCATGATTCTTAAACGGACTTGTTGCATTGGCATTACTACGAGCACCGCTTTGCTTCAAGATAGAGCATATATATCAGTTGTATGCAGCAAAACGTACTTCCCTGTATTCGTTTGGCCTCAGAAAGCAAAGTGGTTATATTGAGTGAGGAGCCAATATTGATCAGTAGAACTATAGGGAGATAAATTCGAGTCTTCCAAGGTTCCTTTATAATAACCTTGGTGAATGATGTCTAATGGTCAGGTAAGGTACCTCCTATTCATTATAAGAGTCCCGTAAAATCCCGCTTTTGAGACATGAGTGAAATAGAGACGTATTACCTGAGATATTGGCATGCGACTGACAATAAGTATTCTGCCTTGCAATGTATTATTCCATTTCTAGATACCTTATGTGTTCCACCTTAGCTGTTAAATCCAGCTGCGGGTATCCCAAGGTCATAGGCCAAAGTATCGCAATGGATTTTATTCTATTCGCGACCCTATCTTTTACATAGAGCTCTTTACATAGCCAAATAGAGATCATGAGTACATTATTCTTCTTCGTCATTGCTTAATATACACCGTCCAATAGAATATCCTCGGTAATGATTTGCTGTCACTGAATGGCTTCTTCAGGGGTCGGTATCTAGAACAGAGAACCTTGAGGGCCAATACGGCAAGATTATAAACCCGCACACCTCCCTTTCTTATTTTCTCTCTTTTGAAACTGGCAAGCAAAGAGAACTCAACCGAAATGGGACAGAAAATGAAATTTGAAGTAAAAAAAAAAAAGTGCTCATCCTCAAGTATCCCAAAACCAGCGATATATAACACCAGTCAACCTTCTCAACAGCCCCCACGGATTCCGATCTAGTTAGAAGGGACAGTATGCGTCACAATGTCAGATGATGCATATACTTGACGATTAAATAAACGTAAGAGGGACTGGAAGTACTAACCTAGTGTCCGAACACGAACCTCGGCATGCCTTTTCGATTCTTATAGCCGTACCTGGTTGTTTGGAGTTCTTCGAATCCTATATGAGGTATATTAATCTACCAATAAGACCGCATCAGAAGGCCCGACCGAAGCCCCTCGTCATCGTGGACACCCTTCCCCATTCAATACTCTTAGGGTCTAGAGGTTCCCGCCTACCAAGACAGACTTACCGAGAGACGTAACCGATCCATAATACCCATCCCAATATCCTTCGTACGATCCTAGATACCCTCCATATCGATTTACCTTACAGCGATCATTATTATATCGAGCGATATTTGTTGGTACTTAACCCCCACGCCCGTTGTATGGCTGCCTGGGTTTCCGAGCACTTAGAATCGAATCATTATATCCTGAAACGGTATCAGTGGCTTGGACACACGATCCTAAGCGCAGCTGTAGCCAATATTGCTACAATAGCAATATGAAAAAGATAATCCCTCAATTGTATAAGCAAGTTGACCTAAGAGGCGTTGGCAGACAAACTAAGACACATCTTATCATCTATGCCAATACCCCTTTCCGATATTACCCCTTTCTGGTTGCTTTTCTCGCCGCTTTTCCCCGTGCCTGGGCACAGTTAAAACTACAACATCTAGGCACCTATAAATTGTATAAAAAAATGAAATTTAAGTTAACGAAGAATTCAATCTTATTAACAAGTTCAAACAGAATTATAACATAATAGTTATCTCAACATAATCCCCCCCCTCCCCCCTATAACCCCATGCCGTGATTCGAAACAAGCAATCATGAAGAGTAAGAACAGAGTTAAATGCACTACCGCACAAGCTGTCACACCCTTTACGCCGATGGCACGCACTTGCGGATAAGAAGACCGATGAAAGAAGGCTACTCCGGACGTGCATAAGAAGCTTGGGTCTTAGTTCTTCCACAACAAGGGACTTTGAGTGTCTCCTCAGATTCCTATGAAATCTAATATTATAAGAAACCAACCTATATAGGTAGTTTATTTTTACGTAAATACTTATGGAAATGGAATGAAGCCAGTAATATTTCCATGACATGATTATTATAGCCTTTGTGACGAAACACCGAAGTTGGCATTTACATGAGTTATATGGTAATCCATAAATGCGTCTCTAATACTTAACAAAAACATATGGTAAACTAATAGGATGGGCTGTATCAAGCTATTCACAGCATATTGCCAGATAAAATAGGGCTTGAAAGAGAATTACTCTAGGTAGAGGTAGACATGTATTTGATGTGAGTCTTTCACAATCATAGTGCAAGATAACAAAATCAGATCCTTAGGGCTATGCTCCGTTGGATTTCGAATGGGTCTACGACTAGCAAAATTCTCGTTATAGTTAATGTTACATACATGAAAAAGCCCCTTGCAGGCTTAGTTGGAGGAAAATCCGGGCTTTCTTGCAGCCTGCTACTGCGTCCCTATCTAGATCATTCCTGGTTGCCAAGAGTGCTTGACACATCGTCGCCGCATCTGTCACCTGTCATCTAATTGATATTACAGAGCAAGCGACGCGCCTTCATACGTACACTAACTCTAGGTCGGTATTTTGGTCACGAAGGAGGTAACGCTGCTGAATGCCTTTACCTATTAAGGTATACCACAGTATGACCTGCCTCCTAGCCCGATGATGTTCCATGCGAGGGATTTAATAACCCTATCACCTTAATTAGGTAGCCGTGTTAACTTTGAACCCACCGTGAGGCTAACATTTCATGTAGGCTTGCGGTAGATCCTACCCCCAGTGATGAAGTCACTTACATACATCTTAAGCTAGCTCGGATTCTTTTTCTCGGTCCTATACTGGAGCTATACGACGTAATAATTGCTGGTAGATTTCAAGTCGTTACTAATGGATATCATATTTCACTTGTATAGACATAACTTGGTATGCCTATCCAGTCTATGTAGTTCGTATACTGTAATATCACAGACTTGCTTTTTGATACTAAGCCTGATCTTTAATAGTAGGAGTCCTACTATAGGACTCCCTACCTACTATGCAAACTCGGTGTAAGGGTTGTCGATCAAGAACAGGCAACCCGAGCAGCCTCTCAAGCCTGGCTGTTTCACTAGGACTTTCTATTGGGGTACTGATTCGGCACGGCAGGAAAAGAGTGGGAGCGGCATTGAGGCTGGAGACTTGGTGGGACGCGTCTATTGGACCTTGCTGCTTCTTTCGATACCGACAATGGATTCCATTAGTCAAGCGAGTTGAAGCGGGAATTGACTATGCGTGGGCGTCTGATAGACAAGCCGCGGCCGTGGCCGATTCTGGTGCTGTATAGTCGTGTGTATTCTCTGCAAGCCAAGTCTGTAGGCCTTCAAAAGAAGGCAAAACACGGCAAAGGCCGACCAAACAGCAGTTATCGGGTGCCGCACCTGACCATAAGCCGATAGGCTCGATCACCATTAACTCCCACGCCTTCACACGGTAGCGTGGCAAATCGGAGTCCAAGACTCGGCGTGAAATGTAACTAGCGTTTACGCCGTTGGTGTGGGGATGTCTAAGGTGGTGTACAGGATGACAAGCATTGATAGGGAGAAATTGATGAAGAGTTCATTTGACCTAACAGAGATGGCAATACACATAGCTTCTAAAAATGTGAATTGAATCGAAATTAAACGCTTGGAGAGACTGGTAGTATTGAGGCCTCGAAGGTAGCTAGAAGGGCTTTCCCCTGAAGTTGCCTCTTCCGTATACAGACCCTGAACCAAAAAAAGGCTTCCCAAGGTGTTAGTGAAGAGCTTCAAACACCCTTGTCGATCCATGAGCTCAGCTGGAGTAGCACTGGAGTAGTACGAGTCTAGGATGCTGAATATCCCCCGCACTATCATGCATCTACTTCGTTACACTATCTGAATGGATGGCTAGATTGGATAGACAGCATGTGATAGCAATCCGTGCGGGCCGCGTAAAGCGCCAACACACAACACGCGCCACCTGCCATCCACCCCACGACAATCAACGTACTATAGTAGATGGCTAGTCGTACGTATGTACACTAGGTAGATAGTGGAAGGAGGAATATGGAAAGGGAGGGTCAAGGCGACTCCAAGGGATCCTACCATTGGAAGTTCTTGCTAGCTCGAACGAACCTGTGCTCGAACCTGTTTGCTCGAACCTGCTGCTTGAACGAGTATTTAAAGCCATCAAGCTCCCCATTCTAACTGATTGCAAAAGCTTCCTTGTGCATCGCAACATCAGATAACACACACTACAACACTCAAACACCAATCCAACTCGACTATATATAAGCTTCCGCTTAACCCACACACACTACCTTCAAAATGGAGCCTGCTACTTGTGGATGCGCTACTTGCTCTTGCGCTGACTGGTAAGCTTTCCCATACCCCTACCGTATTTTATCATATGGGATCTGAAGCTAACACTGATTCTTCATAGCAACTCTTGCTCTTGCTGCGTAAGTCTTCATTGAACAGAATAGTTCCAACGTTTAACCTCAACCCCCTGAACAAAGCTCACACCTACTTTGCAGAGCCACTAAACCAGTCTACCATTCGGCATGACACTCCCGGCAACTTGAGAAGAGAATGATTAGGGGGATGACTATGGATAGGTGGATGTGATATATAGTACGGGGTCGTCTTTGATTTTCTACGAGGCTTCTTTGTGTCTATAAGCAGATTAGCTAGTTGCGTCGAGATGAAATTATACACTCCTTGAAAATCCAATCATTAATCAATGCTTGCATATGGGTATCGTGATGCCAACCATCTCTACTAACGCCATCCATTTCATTTCATTTCATTCCTTCCATTTGCCATAGTTTATTCACTTGCCTCATTCCTTAGAGGGGGCCCAATTAATTAACCACCCCCTTGCCCTGTCCATGTCAGGACCCTCTGCCTCGCAAGCTGCAATACACCATTCTAGTTCCCAGTCATCCTCAGATGCTAACAGCTCTGCTAGCTGCCTCCTGCGTTGATTCGCGTCGTCAACACAAAAGTAAATGGGGGTTTGTATATCCCGGACTAGATCCATAAGAGGTTTGACTTGGGGGAGCGCAAGCTGTGCGGTTGATGGCTTGGGCTCTAGCTTCATGTTGGCACGACCAGTCTTGCACCATTCATTGGCGCACCATCTCTTTCCACACCCCTGCATCATCTGCGTCAAGTACTTGCGTTCGATCCGTCGTTTAAGAGCCTTGCCCTCAGGATCGTATAAGCTTACATAGAGTGGAGAGAAACATAATGAACAGAGCCCAATGTCGTTTCCGGGACCCTGACCCATCTTCGTCCCAGCATTTACCACCCCGTTCCTACCGACACCATGCAGCGTTCGGCCGCAATTTTTATTCCGGCACACGGGCGGTTTTATTCGGTGTGCCTTCTCTAGTTCGTGATACTTCAAATGGGCTGACATGTCGCGGAGTCGAATGATCTTGGAGCAAAGATGGCAGTCAGTGGTTCTGGCCCCATCCACAAGCTCATGATCCGTAAGGCCTGTATGAAGCATCTCGGTCGATGGGTTGAACGGGTCGCCTTCTTGGCATACCTCGAGATGACAAAATTGACAGAGAATGATCTTGCCAGGGCATAGGGTTGTTCGGTGGCGCGCGAGATCGGGAATTGCATTGGTCGTGAACGGGCAGAACGGGCATTGCCGTTCGGTATGATACAGGTCATCGTGCTTTGCCTTTTCCATCTCTGATGATCCGTATGCCTCGTCATGGGAGCAATGCCAATGATCTTTCCATTCACTGGAGGCTTTTTGGAAGACATTTTGGCATTGAGGGCAAACCACATTGTTGCGCAAGCAGAAATTCTCGTGGAGAATCATGGTAGATTTTGGCACCCATTGAAGACAGTTCTTGCACTGCTCCTCGTCCGGAGATCGCTCTTCTGGGTTCGCATCCCCCGTGTCGGCCACAGGTGGTGGTGTAGCCTTTCCTGTCGTGAGAGCATTGTTTTTGACTTTCAATTTAAACGGGCGAGGAGATTCATCCGATGCCGTGGATTCGGGAGTATATCCGTGGATAGAAATTAGGAGGCTCTCGGCATTATCAAGCTCGGTATTAGTAGGTTGAATTGTTATCCGCTTACTGCCGTCTTGCGTATAGTTGAAGGCACTAAAGACATGTTCCGATACACGAGGCAGTGCTCTCTGCCGTGAGGACTTGGGGCTTACAAACAAATCCACGCCGTATTCATCCTGTAACTGACTAATCTCGATTTCCAGTACTCTCGATCTTGCCCAGGAAGGCAGCTCGTAATCCACGTAGTCCCCAGGAAGAACTTGACCATCGACGGTCATCCATATATTTAGTTCTTGCCCGACTGAGCTGCCACCAGCAGTTCCAGGAGCTTTTTGATGCTTAGCCATGATCTGCCTTATCGTTTCTCTGGCTTGCTCCTCGTCCAAAGCCTCAATGTCGACTTCAAGATCGGTGTTCACAACGCAGATGCCCTCTCCTTCGGGACGAAACCCGTCAACAAGGAGTCGGAATACCTCCCCTTTGGCCCCTAGCACTGACAGTGTTGCGCCATTCGTGAGGGTTGTGAAACTTTCACGTAATTGCCTCTCTAGCAATGCCTTCCAGTCGAGTGGGTTGTAGCCAGCCTCGAGCGGCCGTAAACGTACGTAGGTGCCTTTCGGTAGGGTATTGGCATGAACTACGACTTGAAGCTCCTCTACTTCATTACCGACATTTTCAACAGACTCTTCCGATGCTTTTTGGCTTCTATTTATTCCCAAACCCTCCATTAAATACGGACTCAGTATTACCTCTCCCTCCTGAGCGGAGAATTCGCGTATGCCGGCATAGATGATGTTGCCATTGGACGGATTGACAAGACGGAACATGAGTGGGCTTGGAAGCTGCTGATAAGGATCGCCATCGAACGCCAACGGGGCTCTGGTTGCTGTGTATGGCGCGTATGAGTTGCGCAGAGGATTCGAAGCTGAGGCGAGAGGTGCGGAAGTAGAGGCCGCCGTGGACGCGGCAAGAAGCTGTTCCAGAGCAGATTGGGGCAGGATAATTTTGTCACCATCCAACTCTCGAGATGGGTAGTTTGTCGGCGAGGCGACACGAAGAGTGGTTGACCACATAATAGAGGGTATCTCGACCATATTGAATCTTGTGATTATTGTCAGGTTGGACGGTTGTGTTTTTCGTGTAGTGGAAGCTCGGGGGGAGACCGCGTGTAGACAGAAGGCATTCCTGGGAAAAGAAAACAAATAAAACAAAGTGATATATGTGTAAAGTCCGTAGTCCGTCCGCGATTGTGGGTGACTGTGGGCGAATGTGGATGTAGGTGGATTTTGGATTACAGATTTAGGATTGGGTTGAAGATGACGAAAATGTTGAAAATCAGTCAGCCATTTCCGTCAAGTTCCATGACGCACCTCTTTTTCTGCCCTAAGATGAACAGGGGTAGTTAAATACTTGCCGAGTGATTAACTGAAAATAGGAAAGCGCATGTGCGTAAGAAGTACATGGTTTAAGTTAATGTACTATGTACAATAATCTACATGGATGGCCGAAGCGATTCCGGGGCACAGTACATAACTAATTATATAAGCAAGTCTCATAGATACTTGTTCAAACCACATTGAATGTTTCTGCATCACTCTTCTTACAAACATCCACCCTACAAAAAAGAACGGAAAAGGTCAAATCCAAGCACTTGATCGGCTAAAATGATTTTATTGCGGGTTTTCCATTTGCCAAGAACCCCCAAGACGGACACGATGGTGAATCTCAGAGTGGCCAAGCAAGAGCCAAGCAAGATGGCAAGATGGTTGAGATGACGATCCCATTCGAGGCGAGCTAACTAGTATCTACCATCGTATTTCAACAATCAATCATATCGACACTACTCACTGCCACCTACTACCTACTGCTGCCTACCTACTACTATGTAGTAATAGCCTGCCTAGGTATCTAGTAGACAAGGAAGGCAAATTCCTATATAAACAAGATACCTACCTACCTTTCCACGTTGGTATGCATCAACGATGACAGCAGCGTCTTGGAGTCCTACCCTACATACATGAAAATATGTATGTACGCTCTGGCTTTTGTGAAGTCTAGATTTCTACACAGAGACGAGCAATCCATCTAGTTACACCGCCCCTCAAACAACTACCTATTATGGTCGCTATTGGCCCAAGCAACCCCAAGCAACCCCAAGAAATGGTAACTAAGTGGACCAGTTATAGCTTATTAACATGCCCTGCGTGCATGTCTGACACTGCAATGCGACGCGGTCGGGTCAAACTGCCAAGGACAGGTAAACTGGAGCTCTATTACCATCATTGCCCAAACGATACGCAATAGTGCAGCAGTTTTAATGAGGAAGAAGCCTCTGCCAATACTCCGATATGGATTCCCAAAGGCCTCAACCTCTAATCCTAGGAAGGAGATGCGTGGGAATAGGAGGGGAGAAAAGGAATGGGAATGGGAAAGGGGGGGGAAACACCTCACTCCTCCCCTTGTTGCTTGATCTTATTTGGATACGGAGCGGTATAATATTCCATAGATGAACCTCTTTCTGTCTTACCTCCTGGCGTCGTCTGCACCTAGTACTATTTGTCTTAAAATAGCAAACAGATCTATGAAACATTTGTTGTCGGTCCATAGTTTTGCCTTTTTTTGAACATTTGAAGTTGATCATACATTATTCAAGTTATATGGTACACTTGTACTATAAAGGTACTGCTACCAGACTATTATAATACATACTTTGAACGTTAACTATTCCCAACTACATACCTACCTAATATCATCTGATTCTCGGGCTACTGAACTATAAGTTACTTACATAAGAGAAGACAAACCTACGCTAATAATCCTTTAAGAACCTTGAAGGTAAACTCCCGAGATCACCACCACCCCACCTACATACTACCTACTAATCTAGGTCCCATACCAGGTCCCTACCTAACCTAGGTGCCTACCTATTTACCTAATTATCCTGTCTTTCTCAAACAGCTGGCCTGTATTTGTTTTTGCATGTAATGGCATCGGGTGTCCCTCAGCACCGTCACACGCGCGATCTATTGAACCCCGAAGCTTCCGATGTTACGAATCCTTTGTTAGACTTACTTTCCAACACTCTTGTCCTTCACCAAACTCTCCCATATCTCCCCATCTCGAGCCTCTTGAACCTCGCTGCCACTTCACCGTCTTTCCGAGATCTTCTTCTCCGACGTACCCCCGGCGTCTTCCGACATCTCGATCTAAGTAAAGTTAGAATCGCCCAATTTGAAATTGACGGTATCGACCGCGGCGGTGAGGTTTGGCGCAATGTCCAGCTCGATGAGAATCTGACTGAGGACGACTTCTACTCCGGACCGCTGCGAGGCATCTTCCAGAGTATCCGGAGACGCAACATACTACAGCATGTCCAGACACTAGTTCTTGACGGTCTCTCGGTGACCGCCGAGTTCTGCAATGACATCCTCATTGATCCTACCCTACGCGTACGCATGCTCTCTATTCGAGATGTCACGAATCTGAATGAACGCAAGTTGATGCAGTCGCTACGGTATGCTTGCCGACCTACCCGCCCTGAGGATACCCCTCGATTGAAAGGGCTATATGTGTTCGGGGCGAGGGACACATCTCTAGTGACTCCGCCTACGCGGGCAAGGCAGAATGGAGCCGCTCGAGGCGCGAGCATCAGCGTAGGATGGAATCACAAGTCGCAACATGCACTACAGGAATCCATTCGGGGTGAAGGTGACGATTGGTATCATAGAAGGGGGCGTATCATTGGCAAACATATCGCCGACGGGTGGGCTGAGACGCTCCTCGACTGCCGCGATGTGATCAAATTCGACGCCGTGCTTTGCACAGGCCCCCGACACCAGAACTCTGCCGCCTTTGGTAAACTATCGTCTATGGGAGGCGCACCTAGTGGCGAACGTCCATGGGGTGTTGCAACTTTTGCCCTTCGTGGATGTGCGTCATGCGGAACTGCCCCCGAGGGTTTCACCACGTACGGGGAGTCTCCAGCGGAGCAATTACCGCTCCTAGCCCCAGTGCCGCTACATTCGTCCACTATCAAGGCCGCCACTTGTCCACGGCCTGGTATTGGGTCAAATAAGGGCGAAGAAGCTCACAAGTTCATTCCTAGGTGTCTCGAATGTATTCGCGAACGATACTGTTTTAGCTGCGACCAATGGTGGTGTGAGGCCTGCTATCAAGTACCAAGCCAACACGACCTGAACGCCCAACATGTTCATATTGTTAACCAGGCGAACGGCCTGATGGACCATGAAATGGCAGCTCTCGAGTTGTCCAATGTTAAGGTATGGATGGGTTACTGTCTTAATTGCAACCTGAGGTCGACGGAGAGATTCAGTGATCGAAATCCTCCCTGAACCCAAGAAATTCCAACCCATATATGGAGGAACCCCCTACTTACCCCTACGATCCGAGTTCATGTAGGGATGGCGAGAGTGGGCATCGACTACTTTCGAACATCCTTGGAAATTGTATGCGGCCAGAATCCCCCAACCTAACAACACATTTTTGGCATTCATGTTTGGAAGACGTAGATACCTAACTTTGCTAACGTTTATTATTAGCGGCCCAGGATCAGCCGAAGTTGCTGGGAATGCGAACACAATGTACGTTTCCCAATCCACCTGCGGACGCTCTTGAAAGCCCTATGCATTTGTATTTCATGGCTAACTCTTGAGCTCTAGTGCCTTGATTGCATCGCCAGCACCCAGAAACTCTGCAGAGCCTGCGGTGGCGGGTACTGTATAATACACTATGAAGGCTCTACACTCACTTTGGTATGTCTCCGAACGGATAATGCTTAACATTTAACTAACGTAGCATAATAGTGCGATTGTATGAAAACCCATTCCTACCCGGTTTCGGCTTGCTCGTTAATCTATGAAATATACTAACTGAATTTTAGGGTGCTCGAGACGCCGCGGTCGCCACTCTAGAGAGTTGTACTGATCATGATAGGTGGTCCTGATTATGAGCGACCACCTATCCACATATGAAGTTATCTACAGCCTGCCTACCTACGTACCTACGTAGGTAGGCAGGTAGGCAGGTAGGTAGATAACTACCTTATAATCAGTCTCGGGAAACCCGAATTTTCAACATTTAGGTATAATCAATCGGAGGCGTTATAATTTCTCTACTCTGCTACCGGGGCCAAAGGATGAGCTTTTTATTACAGACACATCAGTCAGTGGGATGGAGTGACGGGCATGGTTAACCCTTTATTATTATTGATTCTTGGTTCCTGATGGCCTACCAACCCAGGGGGCGAGAAGATGATACCCAACTCAACTTTACTAATTTATCGTTGCCTTTGCTGCCGGTTGATTCCTTCTAGCGAAGTATGTGTTTATGTACCGTGATAATGCCAAACCGTACGCAACATATGAGCACAACTATAAACGTACGTAAGATGATGCAGGTGGTTATTGCATTAGGCTCTATTGGATAGTAAAGTATCACCAGCAAATGCGTATCATTCAATAGATGATATCGCATGTATTTTCTGCTAAACAGGTCGGGGATATGTTATATACCTACCTGCTTAGGTAGATATACAGTAACTACGTGAACTCCCAGTTTCAGCTCTCGTAGAAACTCAGTCAAGATAGAATCCAGTCAATGTATGAGCAACTTACCCTTGAAACGGATGACCTCAAGGGGACGGGCATTGTAACTTAGGTACGAAGCCAGATCCTCCCATGTACCATATTGACGTACGTTGTAGAAGTAGAATCTCCGCAATGCCCTTTTTGAACCGTGTTACCTACGCGAAGGACTCGTAAGCCACAATTAGGTATACTTAGCGAGGTAGGTACCATTTGGCTGAGTCTTAGGTCTTGAGACAGTGTAGTGTATGGTAATGTGCTTTTGAATAATAATGAACAACCTGGTAACGAGGCCGAATCAAGGGTCCAGGCCAGTCGAAAACTTACGCGCCACCCAAGCTGCTCCGAATTCTTCATACTCTTCCTTTGTGACGGATAGTGTGTTGATGTGCTCATGTTTGGCTAAGTTTGCGCCGCCGAGCCAAGTGCTTGTTATTGGGTTGACAGGGCGGGCAACCCGCACGAAACATTCTTCTGGGGCAAGTTGGACAATTTCTTTTTGTAGTCGCTCGACGAATCCTTCAAAGAACGAGTTGCCACCAACCACGACGATGTTGGAAAGGAGACCAGGCCATAACCCAACAGGTAAAGTGCGCAAGGACTGCATGACAAGGTCTGCAATTCCTGGCTGGCGTAGACCTATATCTGAAGGATGAAATAAAAGTTCGGGGACGGTGAAGCGTTCGTTTCTGAGGGTCAAGACATCCTCGCTGGACTCGCCCGCTCGCCCGACAGCTAACTTCCTTGCCTTCGAAGCCAGCATCGGGTCAAACTCGCGGACAATGCCGTGCATCCTTGTATGGAAATCCGGGAGTACGTAATCCTTGGCTACCCCTCCACCACGGAGAAAGTCTTCTCGGGGCTCCCCTCTGGTTCCTTTCCAACTACGCTCGAGATCACCTTTGAAGTCGAGGGAAATATAGCAGGCGGCTTCCTTCATTTCGTTGACGATATAGTTTTCGTTGCGCATATCATAATGACGGAGGGAAAGTAGCCGCGTCAAATAGTTGGTCAAAAGTTTCCCTCCCACGTCAAGCCGACGGATGGCAGGATGGATAGGCCTGCCTTGGAATATTGGGGTTATTGTGGTATGGGAATATCCCGAGTCGATAAGCAAGAGGATTTCGGCCGGGAGCTGTGCGATGGTTCCGGAGTCTCGCGGTGTGCGTAGGATACCTTGGACATCGTGATACGCATTGAAAGATGGGCCAATGCCCCGGTAATAACTAGCAAAGCCAAACTCTTCGAACACCATCTGATCACAGTTGGCTTGGAGAACAGGGAGAGAATTGGATGGCTCGGCAAGTAATAATCTAGTCTCCGAAGGGTCACATCTTTGAGGCGCTTTATCGTCGAAGAATTCATGCTCCCATATCTCTTTTTCGGCCTCCCAGTTCACCACAAAGCCTTTCTCAACAGGTCGTCTAAGAGCGACTTCGCTGAAGTCGACGCACCTTTCGAGGTCAGAAGCAATGTAAACCTTCTTGCTACGATCTCTTGCAATGCAATTGGGTATGACGCGAGGCTCGTCGACAACATCGCCAGTGACGTATCCGGCTTTTATGGTGTGCGCGCCGTTATCGAGAACCAGAGTTCGAGACGGTTGTGACGGTTGGTGCGTTTTGGCTTTTTTCGTCGGTGCCATGGCGGGCAGCAGTTGAAACGATTCGAACCAATATTAGGGTGATGAGCAGAGCGGCGGCGCAGGTTATCGCAATATGTTTCTGGGTTGGCTTTTAGGTTGAAAGGTTTTTGTTTGGATTTGTATTTGGAGACAGGACATAGAATAATAGTACAGTACATGGTAGGTTTCGAAATATGCAGGTACTATACCTCTTATGGTTATATATCTTCTACGTACATAGCTGCTGGATACCTACATAGTCTATGAACCTAGGCAGTCAACTTACATAATCATTCTAACTATATCTGATAATCGTATATAGCCCCTTTAGTTGATTACATACCTGCTATACCTGTATATCACATAAAATACCAATATCAAGTTTCGTCATTTTGTTCTTTTTCTAATATCCTTCGACTATTACTCCCTTCTCCTCCCAGAATGTTAAAGCTCTTTCCTACACTGTTCATAAGCCCAATTTACCCCATAAACTCTTCAGATCGGCCTTTGTAACCTACTTGGGGGTGTTTGTCGTCACCCACTCTTCAAACTTGTCCGATCGAGCCCCAGCCAGGTCGTGGATCCATCGTCCGACGTTGTCATGGATGCTGAATCCAGACTCTGGGCTTGCTGGCTCCTCGACTGCCGTTTTAGAGAAAGCATACGCAAAGCTTGTATCTCCGGCCCCATTGAGGATGAATGGGTTTCCGTCAAAGTCGGTCCAACTTGCGCACCCCGTGCAAAGCGCCGTGAATTTGAAATGCGTCTCATTAACGGTCGTGCCCTTCAGTACGGTGTACGCAGCATCATCGTACGTGCCGGGTACATAATAGCCACTATTCGGTCATCAGTATCAGGTATCGCCTTTCGCTTGTGCTAAGACTAGTGACTAGTCGAAGTCCGCTGGGTGGTCATCAGGATATAGTACTCACGTAGCTTGGCGCGAGGAATGTTGAACCGTAGTCCCATCATGCCACACCACAGTCAGGGGGTTATATGTCATCTGTCCACCCCAAGCCCACCCGGCCCATCCCAACGCAACAGGCGCTTCGATTTGAATAATCACATCGTAGCTAGCATCGCCACTTGCTTCCGCTGGGAGGGCGAGCCGATAGGTGATACCGTCGGTGCTCGTGTAGGACTGAAATGTGATTCCAGTATCGGCATCAACGTACGGAGTGGTGTCTGTCTGAGCAAGGGCTATTTGCACTGTGAGTACAGAGCTGTTTTCACGTTTTTAACAATAAAGACTGCCACTCACCAGAGCCAGCAAGGCCAACTGCGGTAGTAGTGAGTGTAGTCCACTTCATGATTATTTCCTACTACTTGATGGTGTATACGATCTGATCTAGGTGACTCGGTCAGCACGAGTGTCTGGAAGGAGGCCGCTACACTTTATATGTACAATATAAATTGAACAAGATTTAATCTGGAAAGCTCTCTCCGAAAGAACCAATACGGGTAGACCAATATAGCATCCTTGCAAATCAAGGTACCATCTATGTTACCACGATGTATCCTCTCCATGATGTAAGATCAAGGGGGGCGTCGTGGTTCCCTGCAACGTTTGTTTATAGGATGTGCATCCTCGAACGCGGCTGAAATCTAACGTGGCATAAATTAAGCTTGCAAGTGTAGACGACAGTATCCGATGTAAATTTCATACCTGGAGGTAAGTAGGCATCTATCGTAACCGATGGGGTTCAGATCTCTGACTCCTTTCCCATACATTTGGGAATGGAGTATATGATTCCGCTACGGGGGAGCCCCGAGATAGGAAAATACATGAGGATATCCTTACAATCAATAGCATGTGTTTGGTACAAGACCGAGCGAGGGCCGCCAATGCACATCTATGTCAAGGGCAAAACTGCATTAGTTTTACATTGAACCTGATTGGAGTGTCCGGGTTCCTGGCTAGGATTCCCGGAGTCGATATTAGGCTGAATCTTGAAGCAGTGCCACTTCCTATCTACCTTCCGTACAAGCTTTTGGAAATCACATATTCGTCACATAATACCCACGACCATCTCGCATTATTGATACACGGTGGAATGTGTGATGATCGGTGTTGTTCTAGGTATATCTAATGCCTTCTAACCCTACCTTGTATGATTTATCCTGGAATTGCATACCTGGATCAATTTCTCCGAAAAATATCTCTGTCTACAAAAAAATCACTGATAACTTGGAAACTAGCATGGCGTGGTTGATATGTGATTTAAATGGGTAGTGTTTCTAAGATCATGTTGCCAGTATACATAGGTATTCAGGTAGGTAATGGACATTCTATAAAATGACTCCCACTATGCGTCGTGAACGTGTCCAAATGGTAATTCCTGATATAGAAGAATGAATGCTAGGGACTTTTAGAGGCCTTTAATATACATATCCTTACTGGGTAGGTAGGTGGATATACCTTTGAAAGACTAGGTTGATAGACGAAGAGTATTATCGATGGCCATCACGAGCTGACGCTTAATATATGACTGGGAAATAATGTAAAAAATAAGGTAAATAAGAGATTAGCTCTTGTTATGTTTGATTGCTTGTCATTGCCTTATTCTGGGTCTCTACATGCGCCGGTGCTCGATGACGAAGACATGTGGAAGGCTGACAGTACCCATGGTTCGGATGCTTTCGTCTCGGCAAGTGCCGTACAAGCGCCACATGGCTAACCGGGCGCCGGGAGCGGACTACAGATATAAGGCTTAACTTGCCCCGATGTGTGCGTATGTGACTGATAGGGTAAGAATTAGCGTGGATGACGTGATGAAATATTTTCTTATCTTGCATAACCATCTACTTATCAACATTTCGTCGGCTCGGCTTAAGCGGGCTAAGACACACACCTATTATATTTCCTCACCTCTTGACGTGAGATCTAAACCGAGATCCGTATATTTGTCTCACTTTAATATCCATTGCTGCCCCTTCTTCCATCATGGATAAGCTCATCAGTCCCGTAAATGACTCACCGCATTCTTCGATCCACGACGTCCACCTCTTTGTGGACATCTGGTCATCTAGACCGACTATGGTGATCCCTTGATGATGGCAACAGTAGAATGCCACAAATGTCCCACTCAAGTCCTCCTAGGCAACCTAGTAGCAATTACCTACCTAGTAGTACCTAGTAGGGGCACAGCTTCCCATTGTTAAACATGGACTAACATCGAAGCCCTTACCCCTTTCCAATTAGAAAGATCTATCTCTGGTTTAGCCCAAGCTTTATCCCCCCCACCTGCAACCTGCGAGGACCCTGAAAATCCCTCGAGTTCCTTCACCGGCGATTCGATTGCAATACACTTCTTAAAACCTCTTTACTATACCTCCCGTGTTTGACAGTTACTTCACACATCAATCAACCTACCCGGACCTCCACGTCGGTCTGTTGTTGTCATGATGGGTTCCCTCCCGGACCCTGCCTCTCCTCGCCAGCCCCTCCATGAAGTGATACCTCCCCTGATCTTAGGCACGGCGACATTCAACACACAATATGTTGCGAACCCGTTCGATCTGCCCTCATTATCCATCGTATCTCGCGCCCTCGACCTAGACGTTAAGGCTTTCGACACTTCACCGTATTATGGGCCCTCGGAAATCATCCTGGGCAACGCACTTGCACACCCATCCATCACTTCCAAGCATCCACGCTCGTCTTATTTCCTTGTGACAAAGGCGGGGCGCATCGAGGGCAATGTGTTCGACTACAGCCCTTCTTGGGTACGATATTCGGTGTATCGAAGTTTGGAGAGACTACACACCCCGTACCTAGATTTAGTTTACATGCATGATGTCGAATTCATGCCACCGCAGGAAGTATTGACCGCCGTACGAGAGTTACGTCGTTTGAGGGACGAGGGCGTCATTCGTTACGTAGGAATCAGCGGATACCCTGTCGAGAAACTATGCGCGCTTGCGGAAATGATTAATACAGAGACGAAAGAGCCGCTCGATGCTGTGCTTAGTTACGGTCACTACACGATACAGAACACTACTTTGGGGAGCTCAGCTATAGAACGATTCGAGCGTGCCGGCGTGGATGTTGTTTTGAATGCTAGTATGCTAAATATGGGCTTACTGACTACGAGGGGCGCCGATGCGGGGCCGATGGCCTCGTGGCATCCGAGTCCAGAGCCCCTGAGAAAGGTGTGCCAAGATTTGGTACCCATCGCCGTTGATGCGGGTGAGAAACTAGAAGTCGTCGCGATCCGATGGGCACTTGACAACTGGTCACGAGTCGGTGCTACCAAAGGTGGCCGTAATCCCAAATTACCTGCTGGCCAACGAGTCGGCATCAGCGTCATGGGAATTTCAAGCCTTGCCGAGTTAGAAGAGACTTGTCGGGTTTTCCAAAGCGTGATGGAAGGACTCGAAGAAGAGAGTCTTGACACGGAGCAGGCAAGACGGAGGCAATGGAGTTTGGATCGACGCCAGAAGATACAAGATCTGGTAGAGAAGATGTGGTTAGTTCTAGGACAGTGGAAAAACTACAGCTGGAACAGCCCAGATGCTGGGTTCGTCAACGAGAGAAAGCCTACTGAGATTGGGCTGACGCCTGACGATGGTATTCTCACACAGTATGCTGCGAAATCACATGTCAGTGTGAAGGTTGAGGAGTTGCCAGCAGTTGCTACATAGTAACCCTATCATTACAGTAAACGAGTATGTCGGATGTCGGCACGGCCCTTGGAAGTATTAGAACTTTCCACTCGAGGCTTTGCCTTCTTACTCCCTCCTCCTATCATAATATTATAGACTAGGTACCTCTAATTCAGAAACAATATTTCCACTTGATTGACCAAATTTCATAATCTCTGGCCTGAGTTAGTCAATTATGTACCTACTAACCTAGGCAGTCTCTTTGGCAAAAGTCATGCGGTGAAGATGAGATTCTCAACTAGGTACCTAGGTAGATAGGGTTAAACTAAGTATCTTGACCTTTATAATGAATGTAAGTAGTAGAGTTATAGTACAATTATCAAGTGGTTTAAGAATTCTTGACGAGTGGAACTTGTTTAGGTAGGTAATAGTTGAGAATTCCTATAGCTTAACAACGGCCAGCATTTTAATAGTATAGTCAGATGAGGCGCATAACCCATGCACCCATCTTTCACCTTTACTAGGTAGGTAGGTACTTTATCTGAGGTTAACTCTGAAAGACTACCTAGTAAGCTGGTAAATCTACCTACTACTCTCGAGTCTACTAACAAAACCCAACGACTCTTCCAGTAGCGCTGAGTAAACACAAGGAAACTACGAAATATTTGGGAAAGCAATTTCCGACAAGGTCCTTCTTTACCGGATCTCGCCGCTCGTTGACATCGCTTTGCGAGGGAATACCACCTTATTATCACGACCGAATGCCAACTATCTACCTATGTATACATCCCTCAACTCCGAACTAGAAAAATGACGATAGTGCCTACCACCTCCTTTAATGCAGATATCCATGATCCTTACTTGCTATTATCGCCCATTTATTGGACAAACGTAGAGAAAACAAAAGGAAACAATAAGGAACAAAGTTGCCTTTATTGCGTAACCTCGTGCGGCCTCTCTGCCGTATCGACATGCCCAAGTTGCTTAGCGTCTTCGTTGTCATCATTGGCAGGTGCCGGCGTTTCGGGGGTAACCATAACGTGAGGCGGGGAGGCACCATCTCCCCTGCTTTCTCCCGGGGTTTGCCTATTCTCACCCGTCATAAGTTTCGGCAAAGCTTCCTTGCCTTCTCCCTCTCCGGCCACCACATCCGTGGCATGTTCTATATGCTCACCGTGGGCCTTCTCAGCATCCGCAGATTTGCTACCCGAACTTGCATCTTCAACGGCTGGTGACTGAGCTTCGCCATCTATCGGAACGCCAACCATCTCTGCCAAGCTCCTAAAGTTAAACATCGATTCAAGATTCGTATTGTCGCCCTCCTCACTACGGCCAGCTAAACCAAGGCCGCCTGACCTCGACATTTCGGACTCGGCCCCTACGTTTCGGCCGGTATAGCTGCCTGGCATACTGTCGACTCCGCTAGAGCTGACCGAGCTAGCATTGCTCATCTGCCGTAGATGTGACGACCCTCGCGAGGGCTGAGACGGCACTGGAATAGGTAGGGATGGACCTCCAGAAATTTCATATTGTTCCCCATCATTCTCCCTACGATCGATTGCTTTCCCCTTGTCACTTGTCGAAGCTTCAGCGGATCTGGGTAATTGGCCCGCTGATCCACCATGGCTCTGCTGGGCGGCAGAGGTACTGCTCGCTCCGGCCACCGGCGTTTCTACACGCAGGTTGCTGGCAGCACTATTGCCTCGCCTGCGCCCGAGACCCAGACTAAGAGTACTCGCGCTGGCGCCACTGCCGCTGCCACCATACACGTCTCCCTTCTTTTTGGCCGCCTTTCGCTCTTCCTTCTCACGCTTTTTGCTTTCCTTGCGCGCTTCCTTATCTGCCTTCTTGCGACGCTCTTCCTCATCGGCTAGACTCAATCGTATTGCTTCTGCCATCATAAGGTTTTCGAGGTGTGCGGCGTCTATTCGCTCACGAGGAGGACCCGATCGGCTGGAAGGGGTCTGAGGAGTAGGTTCTGGGCCAGAGCGGTTGTCCGCTCCACCATCGTTGGCTTGAGGGTTGGAACTACTGCTGGGACTCTCGTTGCCACGATAACCTCTGCGGCCAAACCGGGATGATCGACCAAATATTGTGCGCGATTCCTGATTGCCCATAACAAAGGCCGCATGATGCAGGGCATCCGCAGCTGCTGCCCTGCGACGTTGTTGAGCCCGAGCCGCGGCTAGTTTCGTAGACCAGTCAGGCCGGACACGGTCGGTGGTGATAACTCCAGGCGCGTTGGCCGACACACTTTGCGTTCTCCGGCGATTAGCAGGGGATAAAGGCGCAGCGGAAGCCGGTGACAGGTTTGAGTTGAGAGAGCTGGAAGACGACATGGCCGTGCTCATAGCACCCAAGGTCGAAGGGCTGAAAGCGTACGTCAAACCACGGCGGAAAGGAGGGGCCTCATATGTCACGCCAAACTCTGTTTGAGTGCAATATGGGCATTTGGCTGGTTCCATGACGAGTTCACCGTCGTGATCCTCGGGGCTCGCCGGCGTTTGGGTTGTTTCTCCGTCAACGTGATGCTCGGGATAATGTGGATCAGGGCGTTTGATTTGTACGAAGCACTCGCTGCAGATGATCTGGCAGCAACAACGTGTACGATTCAGATATGGGGGATAGTACATGAGGCAGAGCGGACATTCAATACCCTCCTTGTACAGAAAAACCTCGAGAGGTTGTCCGTTCACAAAAGGGTCGTGGGGCAGGCTTATTTCCCGTGGCGTAATGATATCTGTATTTGATCCATTTCGAGAAAGGTTTAAAGCGGCCGCCAGAGACTTCTTCTGCGGTTTGAAAGGCGAGCTGGATTTTGAAGGGAGAGGCGATGTGGGGGAAGAAGGCATGGTCGAGCCAGGATAGTCGGAAGGGACTGAAAGTGTTCTAGGGCCTATCGGGACGGTAAGATTTGACGATGTGACTGCGGGCTCCGCGGGCCTCGGCTGCGGTATGAGATTCTCTGGGACTTGGTCGGCGGGGGGGATCTCGATTCCTCGTGCTGCGGCGATTATCTGATGCTCAGCCCAGCTCTCGTTGAAGTCGTCAAGTCCACGCCAAAAAGGCGCCAGTCTTCTCTCGATCTATTGGGGAAAAAAAAAGTCAGATACGTCATAGGCCTAACCACTAGTAAGCTGAAGCATGCTGTTTACCTGTAATTGGCGGACCACCGGCTTGTTGAAGTCTTCGGATGCCGTGTAAACGCCCATCGTAACTAAATAGCCCCCGTCAACCTGCTCTTCTCTCATGCTGCGGTCGCGTTCCTTAGCTCGAGCGACTCGCTCCCTCTCCAATCTTCGGGCTTCTTTCTCCTGTTTCGTCTCTCGGTGTTCGAACGGGGCATCTTGGTTACGGGCATTCGAGGAGCCACCAAAGGACAAGCCCAAACCGCCCAAGTCAGCTCGACTAGTACGCCTTGATCGATCTGGAAGTTGCCCATGGTATCCGGCTCCAGTGGAACTTCCTCCAGGGTCTAGGTGCGAACCGTGGGGTCCCATGCGGGAGCCGCCCCTCGAGTCTTTCGTATGCGTATTCCCCATGGCCAGAGATGCTATGCCGGTGATCTCCAACTCCAACTGCTGATATACCAAATGTGATTAGAAGATACGATGCGCAAAGGATATCGTTGATCGTTGAGTTCGCCCTGGAGAATTTATCGACAGAATGAGCTCATGTAGAGGCATGCACGGTGTGGGATGGTAAACCGACGAGGTCGAAGAATTCCAGGAATGTCGCACTGGGTGGATAAAACACACGGCAAGGGTGGGTGACTGCACAGGCTGTGCCTGTTGGCCGTATCATATACTATTCTGTTGGTTGGAGGTCTGTGGTTAGAATGAGATTTGACACAATCGACAACGATAATAGGATGTCAAGTGGATCAGGTACAGTATTGATTTCTTTGTGCGTCAAGGATAAATGGACAGAGGCACGCTCACACACCTGGGTAGATCAGAAACGTGACAATTAAGGCTTGAGTCAAAGGCAAATGCTATCAATGGCGGCACTGGTAATTCATGTTGTTGAGTGATGTAGACCCAGCGGCCATCCGTGGGAGAAATCGAATCGACTTGTATCAATGAATATATCGTACCGTCTTAGTGCGTCACTGAATTTTAAGGTGTAGTTGATATTTGGAAATTTGGAAATTTGGAGTAAGGTCCAGCTGTAATGGTACCTAGATAGGTAGATAAGTACTTGTACCTTGAGATTGTTGAAGATATGTATGATGTAGGTAAGGCAAGTAAGGTAGGTAGGTATGTACGAACGAACAAACGAACGAATGCGTGAGTGCATGTATGTATTTTCAGGCACAGGGCTGGCTGAACGGGATGTGTTTGGCTTGGCTGGGGAGGTCTCGACCAACGAGATCTTGGGCACTAGTATTTTTCCTAGTTTCCAAGGTTATTTTGCCGTTAGATCGGTATCGGCCGGGCTTAAAAATCCTTGGGCAGCCAGTAGCAGTACCGATACTTGTACCTAAGTACCGAGATTTGACAGACCAGTTGACAATTCCAAGTTCACCTGGACAATCAATGTTGTGTCACACGTGTTCGAGCCAAGGAGCTGGAGCTGGGGGTTTTGGGGAGGTGGGAGAAGGTAGATGGCAGATGGCAGATGGCAGATGGCGGATACCAAATGGCAGATCAGATGGTAGAATGGATGAAATGGAGACTGAACAATGTCTCAACTCAAGAGTGAACGAATGATTTGATCGTTGGAGTTATGAAATCCACTGACCCAAGGCTTGCGATAAGCTTACTTCCGACTTTTTGATTTTTTATGAGGTAAAGTAGGAGATGATAATTTGATATGTTTTGGGAGGAAATAATAGAAAGATGAGATTTTGATGTGATGAAGTAATTGTGGTTTTTTTTTAGAGGTTCACAGGTGGGGGAACCTTGTAGGTATTTCGTACCTTTACAACATGGTCCAGTCCGGTATTGCACTTTCCTTTCACCATGCATAATCATCTCATATCTTCAACACATGCATTCTACAAGAGCCCATTCTACAATGGCAGCTGCCTTGAATCAATATGGGGAGTAAATTACGTAATCAAATCTACCTACACATCCCTACTAGCATATAACTACATAGTATGTAGTACATGCATAATACGTACCGAAATTTAACGGTGTTCAACAAACATCATGCGCTCTTCAACATACTGTACTTAACCTAGGGTGTTCATGGATGCGAACATTGAACCCTTCACGAATCACTACAGCGACCACGTATTATATTTTCACTACCTATCTTTGCTAGGTACCTATGTGCCACATGACAACAATTAAAGATTCCACGCGATCAGTTCCACGGACTATGCAAGCGGGTTTCTCGTATTACAGTATCACTGCTTCATGGAAAGCTTTCCATATTCAATGTCACAAACTGGGATTCATGTAGATACATGTATACCTTCGTCCGTATGGAAGGTCAGGAACAGGAAATAATAACAAGAACGATGGAATTTATCTATAAACTCACATCTCCTTAGCTAGGTACCTAGGTTAGTATGAGTTGCATCCGGCTACCCTCGCCTTTCATCTTCAGCGAGCCTAGTGGACCCTTTGACTGTACCAACCATATTACACTGGCCTCTCGTTATCTGTCTAGCAACTATCTCCTCCAACCACCACATGGAAATTGCCAGAATCGTACTCCTCTCCTCGGATAGTCATCTCAACCGTGTAAGAGTGGCACTTGGCACGGATGTCAACTGCATAAGTGGCTAGATCGGGGCAACTATGCTGAATTTCGTACGAGTTATCGTTGCAAACCCAGATGGCAGTATCGTCAGAGCAGCTAACGCGTGTGCAGACACCAGGTCCGGCCTCCATGATGCATGGATGATCGGTAACGCTGTTGAGATGATCGATGCCATCCTGGAGATAAGTATTCTCCGCGGGGCCGTTTCCACCAACGCCGCAGTTGATGGAAGTCTACATTTATACATTGTCCTGTTAGATATTGTATACTTTGTGTGTAGCTTAGCTTATACAGCACTTACCTTATCGCGAGGAACGATGTATCGTTTGGTATTGGTAGTCGGCACAACCCACTTGATGGACTGATTTGCCAACAGAATCTGATCTTGAATCTCCTACAGGTGCCCATATTAGATTTGTTCTGAGTTTCAACGAAGTGCTATGTCATTTAACGGGAAAGCTCTTACCTGGATTGTGCCATTGATAGTGACGTTGGAGCCACTGATCTCATTGATGCCGTACCAAGTCATGGGAACGGAAGTGTAACCCGGAAGAGGAGATTCCAGATTGGCGGCAGCAACCTTGGCAGCCACGGCTCCAAGGATAGAAAGCATAAGATTCATCGTGGAAGATGGTGCCATATTGTTGTAAGTATGTGTCGGGCAAGGTTATCGTTTCTGTTGATTTAGGGGACTTTTTAATGAAGGTCAGTGGGTTGAGATGTAGAGAATATTTGAACTTGGCAAAGGCAGTATAAATAGTACCTACCTAGGGTTAAATACCTAAAGTTAGATACCTAAGGCTAGAATATTTTTCGAGATTTAACAATGAAATGTGTCCGGGTGCCTTCCACCTGCGCAACTTTGAGATTGTTTGTTAGGTATATGTACCTCCTTGAATAGCATTGTATCCTACATCTTTGTACTGGTGTTCTTTAGGCTCCGTGGTCCCTAAAACAATTCCTTCATCCAATATAGTAGGTAAAGTTATTGCTCACCTTAACCTAGAATGGAAAATGTCATTGTCCAGTGGAAATGTCCAAGTATCAACCACCAGTCCATGTGTTTTCCACTTAACATATTGAGGTATGTAAGTGGCCTGACAATAGTGAAGAGTTTAAAGCGAAAAGGGCAAGTAAATCAATTAATCGAAACAATATTTAATATTCCTACGCATCCATGGTTTATGATGCTCACGTCTTAGGCAAGGAAGGTCATGATTGGAAATTCGCAAAATTGCTGTGTCACGAAAGGTAGGCAATATAACCGCATAGCTATGAAGTATATACCTGCTATTAAAGGTTGCGATATACTGATTAATACTAGTATTAGCCAATGAGTGGTACTAATCATGAGGGTTTAAGCACTCATGGACGAGAAAAAGGGGCAGAACAAGGGCATTTATGGGAAACAGATTTTGACGTAACCAGGCATGAAATAGTAGGTAGACCAAGTACCTTTCCTACAAAGAGCTCGCGTTGCCATTGACATTACTTCCAACTTACACACCTTATAAGTATACCTTTTGGTAGATTCTATCGCAAGCGTCCGAATTTGAAATCGTACGTCGCCGGCAGATGCCATGTTTTTACTCACGAAAGACCCCGCGAAGTGTTATGAGGGCCAAGTGGTTAACGCTTGGATCAGAGTATATTTAATTAAGGTCCAATGATAAGGTCTTTTCCTGAACGGAGCGGATTCATCACCTAACATATATTTATTATACAGTACTTATGCACTACTTTCCTGCCTCCTCCATTGGTCGGAGGCGTTAAGCGTTAATATCTTTACAGAGGGATCTCTCTACTACAAGCTATCTCTAACAATCACCAACCCTTAGTAAATGAGGAACAGAAAGAGAGCAAAGTCTTCCATCTCCAAGAACTAGCTATATATATGGAAAGGGTTTAACTAACTTACGTGTATCATTTTAGCAATCACTATGGCAGTCCAGGCAATGCCAGACATCACCACCCTTTTAGAATAAAGAGAGAACACCCGCGTTGTTAATTCCATCAGGTTAATAAATTTCCATGTGTTTAGAACCCAAAGACTAACACGTGAGGCTTTAATTAAAGCTCCTCCAAACAGCTCTCCTGGAAACGATAGATGGGGCATTAAGCATTGGATTGTCAGTTAGGTGGTGGCTAGTTTTTTGACGCTTTGCTGACAAGTTATGAGATATCAATATAAGACTCAATATGTGGTAATTACTAGGTAGGCTCCGTCCTAGCCACGGTGAATGGTAGAATTGAAATGTTGAATTCGTCGTACTAAGGGGACCTAAAATTGAATATCTTGATCACGTACGCTTAGTGGGTAGTATGGTAGCGTCAGGCGTGCCAAAGAAAATGTTGAGATATGGGTAGCCACTCCTATGGCTATCCATAGCTGCTGCCGCAGCTATTGCTGAACCTTATCTCTTCATGTATGTATAGCCAGCTGAGAGGTCGAGAGCTCCGCTCTCTTCGTCACTTTTACAATTCGTTGTTTTGACGATTAGGGTTCGGACCAACCCATCTACATCTCCGACCCCCTTTAGTGTATTACACTTATTAAAGTTGCTGGTGTACACTGGTGTGATAGCGTGTAGTTGGTCCGAACCCTGTTGTTGATTGATCTGTGACCTGTGGACTGGCATTGATCACTATAGGGTTAGGGTTAGGGTTAGGGTTAGGGTTAGGGTTAGGGTTAGGGTTAGGGTTAGGGTTAGGGTTAGGGTTAGGGTTAGGGTTAGGGTTAGGGTTAGGGTTAGGGTTAGGGTTAGGGTTAGGGTTAGGGTTAGGGTTAGGGTTAGGGTTAGGGTTAGGGTTAGGGTTAGGGTTAGGGTTAGGGTTAGGGTTAGGGTTAGGGTTAGGGTTAGGGTTAGGGTTAGGG